CGTGTCTCTATGTGTGTGCTTGGACGCATTGAAGAAGAAAAAGAGTTTGGATTTGATATCCTGCTTTATCACTACCTGAAGGAGTCTCAAAGTGGCTAACATTCTCCTTCCCTTCCTCCAACACTATGAATTGTGCTCGGAAACGTACTGAGAGCCAATGTAGGTCTTTCAAAACCGGTGTTATATGGTCTCGGTGGCCACTCACAGACACCAGTCTAGCTGCCATATACTGGATTAGTTGTACAGTGGTACCTCGGGTTAAGTACTTAATTCGTTCCAGAGGTCCGTTCTTAACCTGAAACTGTTCTTAACCTGAAGCAGCACTTTAGCTAATGGGGCCTCCTGCTGCCGCCACGCCGCCAGAGCCCGATATCTGTTCTTATCCTGAAGCAAAGTTCTTAACCTGAAGCACTATTTCTGGGTTAGTGGAGTCTGTAACCTGAAGCGTATGTAACCTGAGGTACCACTGTAGTTGCATAGTCTGTCAACTTAAGTTGCCAGTCTTCTTTGGTTGGGACCTCGCTCATTTTCCATTTTGGGGCTAACAAAACCCGGGCCGCGGTTGTTGCATACATAAATAACCTAACCATTTTGACATTGAACTATGGCCCTTCCCCAGAAGTGTTTGGGGGCCATGGGATGTGGGCTGACTGAGGTGGAGTAGCTGATGTCAGACAGGATGGAAGAGAGAATGAACTGGAATAATATGGAGGAAGAATAGCTGACTGGCTGGGACAGAGAACAAGCACAGCAGCTTTTTGTTGCAGCTCCCAAAATAGGTATAACACAGCAATTTGTAACCTGTCATTAATGGATAAAATTGGATAAAATGTTTCCTGATATGGGTGCTGATTTGGGGGTTTATTTACGTCTCAGAGATTTCCCCTCCCTGCCCCCCACAAAAGCTTCAGTGATGACAACGTTCATTCAGAGGGAAGCAAGGTATCCAAAACCTCAGCCAACTGAGCAACTAGTTCCACGTGCCAAGAAAGGTTTTGAACTTGCAGCTCTTAAACAGCGGCTTTGCCCAAGGGGCAGCAGCAGGACAGCAAACTGCACTGGAAAACTTGACAGAGTTTTTTCAAAGTTCTCTGTGATGTGACATGGGAGCTCTGCTCTAAGAAAAGAAGAAACTAACTGCGCTGGGAATAGAAAAACTCTTGGGAAAATCTATGTAGATAATGAAGAGGGAGGAGAGGACACTACCTGAAACTCGGAACAGAAAGGGAGGAAGGACTTGGCCTGATTTCTCATTTGTTCCAATGAAAAAGTAGTTGCTGACCATGGCTGCAGGAACTGGCTGCCTGGGATGGGGCAATTTTGGCAGAAAAAAAACTTATATTTATTTGATTTCATATAATAATCTACATAGGCAAGGAAAAAGATGAAGAGGAAAGAAGAAAACCAATATATTAATTACAATTTGTGCCTCGATCTAGTTAATATAATAATGATAATAATACCATTCAAATTTCAAATTCTATAAACGTAAGTGCAATTTCAATGCAATGCAGTATTTTCCATATCCTTTGTCCTAAAAAATATTCGTGATGAATTTATCACCCTAACAGGAGAAGAAGTGACTAAAATTACCCAAATTAATTTGAGAAAATGTGATATTAATTTCAATAACAAGGTGCATAAATACTTAAATACTCAAAACATTTTAATTTTCCCAGGTCCTTTCATTCCAACATTGAATAAATAAGCTCTACTCCTTTACAAAAACGGCCCTCTCTAACTTAAGATCAGATTTGTTCATTTTGCCACAGACTTCGATCAACCAAGAATCCATAGACGGATAGAAGTTGGCACATTTCAGTCATGTTATATGTGCCTCGGCCACATCCGGATTTGATTACTGCATTAAGCTCTACATGGGGCTGCCACTGAAGAATGTTTGGAAAATTCAGATATTGCAGAAAGACACAGCAGCATTATGGAAGGCCAGACTGTTATGTACTGAAGTTCTCACCCTGGGCCAGCAGGGGGATACTGTAGATAGTTATGCAAATGAAGGATCGAAAGTGACGTTCAGTGATTGGATAGTTTTAGAAAGTTGTTACAGTAACGTTGTACTGGAGCTCTATATAAGCAGGCTGACTGAACCCTTCAGTTCAGTTCTGTTCTGTTCTGGCCTGTGAATAAACAAGAGCTGTTTGAAGAATCGCTGCGTCGTCTGATATGTTCACCCACAACTTAACACAGACCATTTTAATGTCCAGCCCAGTATTTTATATTCAGTCTCCCTGCAGCACCTCTCCAGGGTCTCAGGCAACAGGTCTTCCCCATTACCTGCTACCTGATTCCACTTACTCTGTGGTGATGAGGAACCTTCTGATTTCAGGGACCCCATGCAAGTGGTGGGTGGGGCAAGAGGCAAAAAATGGGTGGAGCAATGGATGCACATATTACCTTTGTGCAATTTCCTAGCTTCTTCACACTCACACGCTATCCTCCATCCAGGTGAATAAGAAGCATGGTCAGAGTTCAAAGACACATTCCAGTCTGGCAAAAGGAAAAGGTCCCAACTCATAGGGGCCTGGGGCCCTCCAATAAAATATTTTAGGCCCCCCCCCATGAACCTCATCTTGTGATTATGTGGGGCAGGGCTTACCTGGCCACCTCCCAATATTTCATTCAAGTTGACACCCCCGGAGTAATCCCAGAGAACAAAGGCACACCAGCTAAAGTTTGAATCATTCTGCATGTCCCGGATTTCAGCCTGATCCTCAGAGCCAAGAAGACAAACAGCGTTTATGAGCCGTGTAACCAAACAGCCAATTAACACAAGAAATAACTCTTGCAAGGTCCCTAAACCTTCGCATATAAACACTACCCATACTGGAGGGTTTCCAAGCCGTCCGGCCCAGTAGGCCATGCAGTTTTGTTGCCGCGTTGAGCAATTAAAATTCTCCCGAGCTAGGATCTCTCTTTTGTTTCCTTCACCTTTCCAGTGAAATCTGAACCACAGGAAGCTGCCATTTGCCGGGTTACCTCCGCACAATACGTTTAAAGCAGGGGTCAGCAACCTTTTTCAGCCGTGGGCCAGTCCACCATCCCTCAGACCTTGTGGGGGGCCAGACTATATTTGGGGGGGGGGGAATAAACAAATTCCTATGCCACACAAATAACCCAGAGATGCATTTTAAATAAAAGGACACATTCTACTCATGTAAAAACATGCTGATTCCCGGGCCGTCCACGGGCCAGATTTAGAAGGTGATTGGGCTGGATCCGGCCCCTGGGCCTTAGGTTGCCTACCCCTGGTTTAAATATACCAAGAAATTCCAACTTATTTAACATTACCCCTGGTTTAAAGCACTCTGAATACCACTTTAACAGTCATGGCTCTTCCCGCTCGCCCCCCCCCAAAGAATCCTGGGAACCGTGGTTTGTTGAACCTGGTGGGAATTGTAGCTCTGTGAGGGGTAAACTAGCTCAGTGGCAGGAGATCTGCCTTGGTAGATAATACCTCTTACTTCTCTGGATAGAAGAGCATGTGCATGTGTGTGTGGAAACAAGCATACTGTACCAAGACGAATGTTACGCTCATGGCTCCATCAACTTTCCCCTGTGGCCCCAGCTATCCACCCACCACTGTGAGGCCTATGAGGGTCTCAGAGTATGAATGGAGATATGTATGTTTTGAGTATGAGTAAAACCAGATTGTATGTGACTCTGAAGATAAAAATAAAGATAGAGAGACTGTTTGATTCTGAAGAAAATAGGAAAGATGGACGGTCGAACTAGATACAGTGGTACCTCGGGTTAAGTACTTAATTCATTCCAGAGGTCTGTTCTTAACCTGAAACTGTTCTTAACCTGAAGCACCACTTTAGCTAATGGGGCCTCCCGCTGCCGCTGCACCGCCACTGCTGTATTTCTGTTCTCATCCTGAAGCAAAGTTCTTAACCCGAGGTACAATTTCTGGGTTAGCAGAGTCTGTAACCTGAAGCGTATGTAACCTGAAGCGTATGTAATCCGAGGTACCACTGTAATGGAATGGGCAAGCAGGATGTGCCAGAATTTTGGGTGAGTCAAAGGACATGAAGGGGACAGGTTGAGACAAGTAACTGTTCTCAGAGGACACGCTGAGACAAGTCACTTCTGGGTTGACCCAGAGGAAGAGCCAGGCTGTGTTTTATGTGTTCGCCTGGCCCAGCAGACAGCAGCCACTGTTCTCAAAAGACATATTGGGACAAATAACTATTCGTAACTATTTGGGGAATCAGCATGACGACAGCTATCATCTAGTCCAACCCCCTGCGATACAAGACAATGCAGCCATACGGGGATCAAACCTGAAACTATATAATGGCTGGTAAGTCCCTGGCACAGCACGTTGCTATCCTGACTGCAGAGGTGGCCGTCCAAAGACTCTTAAAAGAGATTGATCATATTTTTAGTGAGTCTGCCCATCTGGTGAATATGAATGAGAGGAGTGAATGAGTTCTTATTAGTTATTACTTGATAATCAATAAAGGGTTATTTCTAAAAAGATTTACCGTATTTTTTGCTCTATAAGACTCACTTTTTCCCTCCTAAAAAGTAAGGGGAAATATGTGTGCGTCTTATGGAGTGAATGCAGGCTGCGCAGCTATCCCAGAAGCCAGAACAGCAAGAGGGATCACTGGTTTCGCTGCTCAGCGATCCCTCTTGCTGTTCTGGCTTCTGGGGTTCAGAATATTTTTTTTCTTGGTTTCCTCCTCCAAAAACTAGGTGCGTCTTGTCGTCTGGTGCATCTTATAGAGCGAAAAAATATGGTAGGTCATTTTGTTTCTTCTCAAAAACTCTCTGATCTAAAAAGAATCCCGTCACCAGACTTGTGACACCACTGCCTTGTGGCATCTGGGCGGTTTGCCCAAAAGGAAAGGCAGCTCTTGGGTCTAAAAAATGTTCCCCAACTCCATTTGAAAGCTTGCTTTAACTATTCCATAGTTAACTGCATGGTTCTCTGCTGCACCTAAACTTCTTTCCCCCTTTTTTTTTGTAAATAGGGAAAACAGCTGCTGCAGCCAGCTTGGGTTGTCCATTTCCTGTGTCACAAAGGAATATTCCTTATCTGTCTGCAAAAAAACCAGATAGAGTCCAGCTGAATCTTGCAGCCCAACAAGTCACATCAATTGATGAGGAGCGGAAACAAGTATTTTACGATGGAAAGCGGTATTCAAATTCATAACCAAAAAAGTACAGAGCTTTCTGCTAACTAGCATCCCTAACATGTGGAAATCTCTCCCCCCCAAATTAAAAACTTTCTTTCTCGATAGTTGCCGGGTTGGGGAAGATAAGGCAGGGATAGGGATGTTATGGTCCTTCAGATCCCATCATAGCATTCAGATATTATGTGCAACATTTGGATAGCCACAGGTTCCCCATTACTAATCTAATGTTAGAGGTGAATTGCCACTGATTTATTACCTTATCAGCCACAAAAAGGCCAAAATCTTCTAAAGATAAAATAAAATTGGAATTCTTGATCGGAATCGATTGTCATTTTAAATCAGGATTGGGGAACCTGTGGGTCTTCAGACGTTAGCCGGAATACAACTCCCATGATCCCTGACAACTAGCCATGCTAGCGGAAGCTGATGGGAGTTGAAGGAGAAGAAGAAGAGTTTGGATTTGATCTCCCGCTTTATCACTACCTGAAGGAGTCTCAAAGCGGTTAACATTCTCCTTTCCCTTCCTCCCCCACAACAAACACTCTGCGAGGTGAGTTGGAGTATGGAGGCCACAATCTCACGATCCCTGTTTTAAAGGGGCAGCGGCAATTGTCCTAAGAGCTTTTCCCTTGACCCATTCTATAAGGGACTGTTCTCTGTATGGGACAAGTTAAGATATACCTGTAAAAGAGGACATTGCACTCTCATCTCTTTCTTTTTTATGTTCTTGTTTAGATTAGTTGATTTTCTTACTGTAATGTATTATAAATGTCTCAACAAAACTTTACTTTGCCATCATGGTATCTGGATATAGTTTGAATGCTTCACCCGTAGGTTTATAAATCATTTAATGTGTCAGTACGAATGGAGGTCGTTAAAATTGCAGTTGTTGTATAAGGGGTTGTTATTTTGACTGGCGTGTAATTGAAACCAGTAAGATTTTGGAACGCAGAAATAAAGTAAATCTTCAAACCATCAATTCTAGCATGCGAGGGGCCACCTAAATTATATAATTTGGCATCTGAATGATTGGTATTAGTAACTGTATTATAATTTGCATTGCTATAATAAGGCTATTATTGGATTATTGTAATTGAAAAGTAATAAAAATTATTATCCGAAAAACAAAACTTTATTCTAAAAAGAGTGCTGTCATACCACATGGAAGGTTATCACTTCTTCTTTTTAAGTAAATATCGTCAAAATATATTAGCCCATAGAGTATAGTTGTTATTTTTTGGGGGCGGGGGGACAACCACTTTCTGCATCTTGCTGTACGGTTTGCATATATTGGGCTCTGCTCTTGACAGACTATAGCGCCTTTCTAAGGGGTTAATGGCTGATGAAACCCAGCAAGCCAGTTGCTTGCCCTTCTGGAATTTGCCACGAGGTGGCAAGTCTTTGGGGAAAATAATACACAATCCCACAAGGCCGGCAGGCTGGCAGAGTTCTCCACCTCTAATTGCCATCCCACCCCTGCCAGTCAGCCAAGGTGTGCCTATAATTAATCAGCCCAAAGGACCAGGCTTTGCATATAGCTCCTTGAAACTGAGTACAAATAGGAGGATTTAAGAAGCCCAGCACACCGAACTCCACAGATCCTTGGTATACTTTGGTTCATCTCAAACCATCCATTCCCCTGTGCGCATCCTGGGACGACACAGGTCAATGTGAGGACTGTACCACTCTGTGGAGGATGGTCTGATAGGGCAAGCAGGGCACAGCCCCACCATCCTCAAACATCCAAAAAACCAAAGTGCTGCACCAACAAGTACAAAATAACCCCTCTGCAGCGCCACAAATCCAACTCAATGGTATAACGTTGGAAAACGTCGATCACTTCTTCTACCTGGGCAGTTATCTTTCCACTGATGCCGAAATCCAGCATCACCTGAGCTCTGCAAGTGCAGCTTTCTCCCGATTGAAGTGCAGAGTGTTTGAGGACCGGGACATATGCTTGTGAAACATGGACCACTTATAAACGCCATCTCCAACTCCTCAAAATATTCCATCAACGGAGTCTCCGAAAAATCTGACACATCACTTGGGAAGGCAGGCGAACTAATACCAGTGTACTGGAAGAAGCAAAGATCACCAGTGTTGAAGCAATGATTCTTCAACATCAACTTCATTGGACTGGTCATGTTGTGTGGATGCCTAATTATCATCTTCCAAAGCAACTACCAGTATTCTATTCTGAACTTAAAAATGGAAAGCGTAATGCTGGTGGTCAACAAAAGAGGTTTAAAGACTGTCTTAAGGCAAATTTTTTAAAATGTAGTATAAACACCAGCAATTGGGAAACGCTTGCCTGCAAGCACTCCAATTGGAGAACAGCCTATGCCAAAGGTGTCATGGGCTTGGAAGACACTCGAACTCAGGATGAAAGGGAGAAACGTGCTAAGAGGAAGGCACATTTGGCAAATACACACCGTGATCGACTCCTGCCCAGAAACCTATGTCCCCACTGTGGAAGGACGTGTGTGTTAGGGGACATTCGGCACAGAAACATGTGTGTATACCTTTAAGAAGTTTCTGGGGTTAATTGGCTGCAGCTGGCCGTTGCTATAAAGGAAAAAAGCTGAGTTTTGTAGCCTGCCTGCAGGAATAACACCCACCAGAGTTTGTGTCTATTGTTTAGTAATAAAGTCTTCGTTTTAGTTTGGGTTTTTACACCTATGTCTCCTGGAGTCACTCTGTCCTCTGCCACTGGCTGGAAATCCCCCTTCAACAGTGTGGATCCAGAATTGGCTTACACGGTCACTTACGGACTCCTTGTTAAAACTGTGTTTATGGAAGACAATCTTACTCTGTTACAAGGGATCGGGGAAAAGAAAAAGCCGCAGGCAGCCCCTGCCTGCCATTGGCTCTGGCTCCACCTAAAGTTGGCCTTCTGCTTCCTGCCCTACCGATCCCAAAGGGCCCCAGTCACGGCCGGTGCCATGTCAGAGGGTTGTGTGCAATGTTACCTAGAGAAGTCCCATTGTTATTAATGGGCATGGCTAAAAAAAGGCCTGTTAACAACCTCAGATATGCAGATGACACAACCTTGATGGCAGAAAGTGAGGAGGAATTAAAGAACCTTTTAATGAGGGTGAAAGAGGAGTGCGCAAAATATGGTCTGAAGCTCAACATCAAAAAAGCTACGATCATGGCCACCGGTCCCATCACCTACCCTAGAAGGGGAAGAAATGGAGGCAGTGAGAGATTTTACTTTCTTGGGCTCCACGATCACTGCAGATGGTGACAGCAGCCACAAAATTAAAAGACGACTGCTTCTTGGGAGAAAAGCAATGACAAACCTAGACAGCATCTTAAAAAGCAGAGACATCACCTTGCCAACAAAGGTCCGTATAGTTAAAGCTATGGTTTTCCCAGTAGTGATGTATGGAAGTGAGAGCTGGACCATAAAGAAGGAAGATCACCGAAGAATTGTTGCTTTTGAATTATAGTGCTGGAGGAGACTCTTGAGAGTCCCATGGACTGCAAGAAGATCAAACGTATCCATTCTGAAGGAAATCAGCCCTGAGTGCTCACTGGAAGGACAGATCGTGAAGCTGAGGCTCCAATACTTTGGCCACCTCATGAGAAGAGAAGACTCCCTGGAAAAGACCCTGTTGTTGGGAAAGATGGAGGGCACAAGGAGAAGGGGACGACAGAGGACGAGATGGTTGGACAGTGTGATTGAAGCTACCAGCATGAGTCTGACCAAACTCAGAGAGGCAGTGGAAGACAGGAGTGCCTGGCGTGCTCTGGTCCATGGGGGTCACGAAGAGTCGGACACGACTAAACAACAAATTTCAGGGGTCAGCTCTGAGGAGGATTTAGTTGGTAACAAGCCAGGATCAGCATGCCTCTGGCATTCAAACCGGACAAAAATGATAGCCCATTTAGATGAGGATTTCTTGGACTAAGCATTGCTATTCTCTCTCTTTCTCTTTCTCTTATTTTATCAACTTCCCACTCCTTTTTCCAAGGGGTTGTTGTTCTTCCCCTTCTGCTGCACCCTAACTTCTATCTGTTAAATATTTTGATTATATATATTGTGGTTTTTATGTTGATCTTGTTCTGGGTTTTTTAATAATAATTTTTATTAGTTTTCAATTACAATCCAATAATAGCCTCATTATAACAATACCAATTTATAATACAATTATTAATACCAATAGTTCAAATACCAAATTATATAATTTAGATAAGGTGGCCCTCTCACACGCTAGAATTGATGGCTTGATGATTTGTTTCATTTCTGTGTTCCAAAATATTATTAATCTCCATTACATTCCGGTCATAAAAATAATCCCTTATACAAGAAATGCAATATGAATAACTACTATTTATGTTGACACATTAAATGATTTATAAAACTGCAACTGAGGAACTCAAACTATATCCTGTGTTGATCTTGTTCTGTGAACTGCCCTGAGACCACCGGGTATAGGGTGATATATAAATTCAATAAATAATAAATAATAAATAATAAATAAATCAAAACCACAATACTATGATCTACTTACTTCTGTTGCCATTAGCTCAAATCCTGCTTGTAAGTTCATCATACTATAATATTTCTTCAAGTACAGTGGTACCTTGGGTTAAGAACTTAATTCATTCTGGAGGTCCGTTCTTAACCTGAAACTGTTCTTAACCTGAGGCACCATGTTAGCTAATGGGGCCTCTCACTGCCGCCGCACGATTTCTGTTCTCATCCTGAAGCAAAGTTCTTAACCCGAGGTACTATTTCTGGATTAGCAGAGTCTGTAACCTGAAGCATATGTAACCTGAAGCGTATGTAACCCGAGGTGCCACTGTACTCCAAAAAAGGCATCCATTCTTCCATAAAACACTCATCAATAGATTTTTTTTTATTTTGCTGTTAATTATGCTAGTTCTGAATAGTCCATTAATTTGCTTATCCATTCTTCTTTGGTGGGAATGCTTGGCCAGGGGTCAGCAAACTTTTTCAGTAGGTCCACTGTCCCTCAGACCTTGTGGGGGGCCGGACTATATTTTGGAAAAAGAATACGATTGAATTCCTATGCCCCACAAATAACCCAGAGATGCATTTTAAATAAAAGCACACATTCTACTCATGTAAAAACACGCTGATTCCCGGACAGTCCGCGGCCTGGATTTAGAAGGCAATTGGGCCAGATCCGGCCCCCGGTCCTTAGTTTGCCTACCCATGGCTTGGACTATGCCTTGCTGTTTTCACATAGACTGACTCCCATGTGCAGCCTGAGGGGATATGATTCCATGAGAGGACTGTATCATGCCAGACATGGCATAGCTGAAATGACTCATAGGCCCAGACTTTACATGTCCACATATCTAACATTACCAAGTTCAATGTGCAGGTAAAGGTAAAGGGACCCCTGACTGTTAGGTCCAGTCGCGGACAAGTCTGGGGTTGCGGCACTCATCTCGCTTTATTGGCCCAGGGAGCTGGCGTACAGCTTCCGGGTCTTGTGGCCAGCATGACTAAGCCGCTTCTGGTGAACCAGAGCAGTGCATGGAAACGCCATTTACCTTCCCGCCAGAGTGGTACCTATTTATCTACTTGCACTGCGTGCTTTCGAACTGCTAGGTTGGCAGGAGCAGGAACTGAGCAACGGGAGCTCACCCTGTCGTGGGGATTCGAACCGCCAACCTTCTGATCGGCAAGCCCTAGGCTCTGTGGTTTAACCCACAGCGCCACCCACGTCCCTCAGTGTGCAGGTACTGCTGCACAAAGCCCTATACAGCTTGGGACCAGCATACCTAAAATATATTTTCATCCCCTATATACCCAGTCCATGACTATGTTCTGCAGAAGGCATCCTGCAGAGAGCATTCTGTCAGGAGATCTGTTCTGCACAATGTTGGAATCATGCCTTTTGTGTGGCAGAGTCTACCCTTTGGAACTCCCTCCCACTGGATATCAAATAGGTGCAGTCTCTATTTTTGGCAGTTGATGGAAACATTTCTCTTTCAGCAAGCCTTCTCGGTGGACACATCTGGCACCAGTACTGCATGCGAATTACATGATGTGGTGTTTTATATTGTCTTTAGAGGTATAATTGTTGTTTTTTTAATGTGCAAATGTTCTGTGCATGTTTTTATTGAATTGTAAATCACTTCAGGGTGCTTTGTGGGAAGCAACTCATAAGGAATAATAAGAAGAGAACTTGTGCCACAAACTTGTGTACAGCTGAAAACGTTGGCAGCATTAAGATAAATTCAACAGTGTAAATGAGATTTGATGTATGCAATAATAGAATACTGAATGGTATAGCTTTTGTAAAATATGCAGGGATTTATGATATGTAAAATGAACCATAGAAAGAGAAGAAGGGAAGTCCTGGATATCTTAAGGATGTAAAAATGAGTACAGTCATACCTTGGTTTTCGAACAGCTTAGTTCTCAAATGTTTTGGCTTCTGAATGCCACAAACCCGGAAGTGACTGTTCCAGTTTGTGAACTATTTTGGGAAGCCAAACGTCTGATGGGGCTTCCAATTGGCTGCAGGCGCTTCCTGCAGCCAATCAGAAAAACACTTTGGTTTCCAAATGTTTTGGAAGTCGAACGGACTTCCAGAACAGATTCCATTCGACTTCCAAGGTACGACTGTATTTTAAATTGTAAAACAGACAATTTAATAAAAATTATAAACAAAAATGAAAAGAAAATAAATTGTGCCCAATGGCCATTTGGATGGGAAAAAGCAACTTCTGGCAGAAAAGGCCAAAGTGAATTGGTGGTACCAGTGTCCAGCACAGGTGGAGGGCAGTGCCAGATTTATGTATAAGCTAAAAAAAGCTATAGCTTAGGGCCCCACTCTCTTGGGGACCCCAAAAAAAATTAAAGGGGGAAAAACTGGAGGTACATTTCCAAAATATAAGATAAAAAACAAATAAAACCTACATACAGCAACAGTGTTTTGTGTTGTGTAGGCACCTATGATGTAAGTCATGGGCCCCGCATGCTAGCCTGCTCCCTAAAATATCACTGGTTTGCTCATTTCTATATATAGGGTGCCTACATTCTGCATGGACTGATTGCATGGCAACAGGTGCAAATGGCTTTAGATACCTATTAGGTCCATAAATTACCATATAGCATATATTCAACAGAAAAAACAGAAACAAATTGTTGTTGACAAAGGACAGCTGGACATATAAAGGGCCCCATTACCTTTGGTACCCCACTCCTGGTACCAAATACGTTATGAATAAAATATAGGTCCTTTTATTCTGTTTAGGTGTTTAGCGTAAATGAGACTCAACATGCTCCAGGGAAAACGCAAGTAAGCACAGACAACCAATATATATTGGAATTTCTCTACAATATAATTTATTATTAACAAACATAACATATACCAAGACAGGGAACATGCACTTAGTTACGCACACAACCACACACTCATCCATACTTGCCACTCTTCACTGGAATTCATCAGTTTCCAGTAAGAGTTATGGGTGGCGGACGCCAGCGCTGTCGTATGTCCGGCACACAGACCTATCTGAAAAGTCTCATCTTATATAGTCCTTTTGGGTGTTCATCTGAATCCTAGCATTTCTGACTGTCTTTGGCATGTTCTTGGCAGTCCTTTGTCCTTAGCATGTTCCTGGCATATCACAACTCTCATTGTTCGAACCTGGTGTTCTGTACTTTGTGGCATGTTGCAACACTCATTGTTTGAGACTAGCATTGCATAGCCAGCCTTTACGCTGCCTTGCATGCGCCATTCACTTGGCCACAACATGCACATTCCAGTAGCTCTTTGATTAACACAGTTCTTTATTAGTTTATTAACAGCATCCATTTTGTATGGGCCATCTTGCGGCCCATACAAACATGGCATTCACTACAGTAGCTAAGGCCTCATCAAACCTAAATCTGGCCCTGGTGGGGGAGGAGGAAGAGGCAGATTTCCTTGCCGTAAATAACCTCTTTCCCTGCCACCCTCCCCCTGAAGTAATTTCCCCCAACATTGTTGTTGTTGTTTAGTCGTTTAGTCATGTCCGACTCTTCGTGACCCCATGGACCAGAGCACACCAGGCACTCCTGTCTTCCACTGCCTCCCACAGTTTGGTCAAACTCATGCTGGTAGCTTCGAGAACACTGTCCAACCATCTCGTCCTCTGTCGTCCCCTTCTCCTTGTGCCCTCCATCTTCCCCAACATCAGGGTCTTTTCCAGGGAGTCTTCTCTTCTTATGAGGTGGCCAAAGTATTGGCGCCTCAGCTTCAGGATCTGTCCTTCCAGTGAGCACTCAGGGCTGATTTCCTTCAGAATGGATAGGTTTGATCTTCTTGCAGTCCATGGGACTCTCAAGAGTCTCTTCCAGCACCATAATTCAAAAGCATCGATTCTTCGGCGATCGGCCTTCTTTATTGTCCAGCTCTCACTTCCATACATCACTACTGGGAAAACCATAGCTTACGGGATTCCAAATGCATGTTGGCCAACCTTTAAGACCCAATGGTGGCGGTGGGGAAGCTCCTTGGGGACGTGTGCTTTGGAACAAGGAAATTGCTGAGCTGCACCACCCATGCCTGACTGATCCATATAGAAGAAGAGCTGCCTCCAAACGGTTAGTATTGTTACAGATTTATAGGTGCTAGAATTCAATTTAGATCTGGCTGTAATTTCCTTGGGTAGCCAGGCTCATGTGTATTTAAATGTGTATTAGCTATTAATCCCCTGGAATTAGCATGTGTGAAGAGTTGATTAACAGAGGCAAACTTCTCCAGTTGTATATTGGACACCTCTAAATCCTAGGAATTTAAGTGTTAATTAAGTTAATTAAACCACACGTGTTGCCCCTGGAATCTTGTACCACTCAGAGATAGGGGTGGCATGTAACAGAATTTTTGCAGGAGGGATTCAAGCCTATACCAGAATTTTAGGGGGTCCTCCAAGCAACCTAGGGATATGTCGATTAAACCACTGTGCTGCTTGGGCTTGCTGATCGAAAGGTTGGTGGTTCGAATCCCCACGATGGGGTGAGCTCCCGTTGTTCAGTCCCTGCTCTTGCCAACCTAGCAGTTCGAAAGCACGTCAAAGTGCAAGTAGATAAATAGGTACCACTCTGGTGGGAAGGTAAACGGTGTTTCCGTGCGCTGCTCTGGTTTGCCAGAAGCAGCTTAGTCATGCTGGCCACATGACCCGGAAAAACTCTCTGTGGAAGTGGACAAACGGCGGCTCCCTCAGCCTGTAAAGCGAGATGAGTGCCGCAACCCCAGAGTCGTTTGCGACTGGACTTAATTGTCAGGGGTACCTTTACCAAGCAACCTTTCTATTGCACATTCATGATGATTTGTGCTTGTGGTGCTGATGGGGCAGTCATACACAATCCCGCTTTCAGTACTGTTTACATTGGTCAAAACTGCTTCATTTCCAATCTGCATATGCCATAACTTCCTGCCAAAATCTGGTAACCTAAGGTTACCAGATTTTTTTTCAATGAATCCGGGGACTTTTCAACTTCACTTTTCAACTTCAGTCAGAATGGATGGATTTTGTCTGGGGACTGATTTGTAAATCTGGCGACTGTCCCCGGGAAACGGGGACATCTGGTAACCTTACCAAAACTTTCTTACCAGAGGGGTAGGTTGTCCAACTTTCATTGTGAAATTAGTGCAAGGGGTGCAGTAACGTTTGGAGAAGCATCACAGAGCAACTAAGAAAGCAGAATGAAGCTACCACTCATGAACTATTACTGTATAAAGAACAAATGACTAAGGGGAAGGCAAGTAAACACCCTATAAGTAAATCAGGATGAATGCAATCATCATATAACCATCCTATAAACATATATGGAGGAATGCTCAATAAAGACCAGATATAGGCCCCATCTGCACTAGACATACCACTCTAAATAGTCATCACCTCCCCCAAAGGATCCTGGAAACTGTAGTTTGTCAAGGATGCTGAGAGCTCATAGGAGATCCGTGCTCCCTTCATAAAGATACATTTCTCAGAGTTGTTTACAGTCAATTCTTCTTTCCTGGGAATTGCAGCTATGTGAAGTCACCCTACCTCTCTCTGAATCTCAGAGACTGCCACCACCTTTCTCCAACTATGGGAGAAGGTGGTGCGGATGCCAACTTTCTACTCCTCACTCCCACAGGAAATGGCAACATGGGTGGCGGTGGTAAAATGAGCTGCAGACACAGGCAAGTAGATTTAAGAAGCAGCCTGTGGTATATGCACTGGTACTTTCACTTCCTCCCTCCCCTCTCAAGTTTCCCCATTTCACTAGGGTGCAGCTCTGCAAATGCAAAAACGTGGTATTGTTTTTTCAATGAGGTAGCAAAGGGTGGAATTCTAACTCCAGAAGTAGGAAGAACACCAGAGAGAGAGAGAGAGAGAGAGAGAGAGAGAGAGAGAGAGACATGAGGCACCCAAACATTAAATTATAGAATCAGCAGAGATGGCTATTTGTTTTTTTCTGTGTAGTTAATAGGAAGATTTCTAAGCAGGCAAAACTCCCAGTTCATCTAAACCAGTGTTTCCCAAACTTGGGTCTCCAGCTATTTTGGGACTACAACTCCCATCATCCCTAGCTAGCAGGACCAGTGGTCAGGGATGATGAGATCGGTAGTCCAAAAACACCCAAGTTTGGGAAATGCTTATGCAAAGCTGTGCAAGCTTTGAGATTTTACATTTCCCCTTCAGTACGCCATTTCTTTTTTTAAAAAAAAAAAATTTATTGCTTTTAAACCTTACAAGAAGAAGAAGAAAAGAAAAGAAAAAAGAAAAGAAGAAGAAGAAAAGCAAAAGAAAAAACAATACAATACAATATATAAACAATACAGAACGCAACATTAACATTAACACATTAAACAAAACAAAAGCAAAAACAATTCAAAAAACACACATCATACCATCTCAATATCCTCTCTTTCATTCCCTTGTTTCATCGACCTTCTCTCACCTCCCTTTTTGTATTCCATTTCTATTAATTGTTTCAGCAAATCCTTTCCATCTTTCTCTATTTTCTGTCATGTAATTATCTTAACGTATTTTAACCTTATTTTCCATTAATACTATAATACTTATTTATACTTAATTCCTTAAAATATTTCTACTAAAGCCGTATAATTCCCTTCCAACATTTTTCTAACACTCATTAATTTTACATTATTTCCATATATAGATTTAAACTTTTTCCAATATTCTTCCACCGTCTCTTCTCCCTGGTCTCGGGTTCTGCCAGTCATTTCCGTCAATTCCATATAGCCCATCAACCTGGTGATCTTCTGTCTGAGGCTCTTAACTCTTTTCCAGGTCCCTTCTGCAAGTCTTCTTCATGTTTATACATGCACTTTACTTTGTCTTCTCCTGATCTTGTTCTTATTTTCCTTCCTTTGATACTGAAAAGTAGATCTCCGGGAAATTCCCATCTAGCAATGTTTTTATTCCTTCTCGACAAGTCAGCCAAATCTCCATAGTTAGAACTGAAATTCAAAAGATATTTCCAGTCGTGTTTCAAAGTTCCTCCAAGTCTGGCGGTCCCCACAACTCCAGTCTCCTCCTGACCCAAGTCCAGGTCCCAAAGGTCAATAAACCCCTGCATGAGGGGATCTATCCAACTTTCTTTCTCCAGTCCAAGCGGGGCTCCAATCCTAAAAGTCTGACTTTCTCTAAATTCAGTCTTGAAAGGCATCAACTTATAATCATCAAATTGCAACTGTAAGGCTGGGGCTCTCTCCCTCACCACTTGTGCCACTTTAGGTTCCACAGCAAAAGCTTTCTCCCCCGCCTTCTCCTCAATTTGCCATGTCAAAATAGATCCCTGTATCGATTCCTGAATAATTTCTGTATTGATATTGACTTTTTGTGCCAAATTAATCACTTTTTGTTCCAAGTTATCAATTTTTATAGTCCTCGCATCCGTCTTCTTATAAAGCTGTTCCAGTGAATCATTAATCTTACAAAATGCAACCACTAAGGCTTCTTCTGTCAACATTCTTAACGGTTCAAGGTCAATCCCAGATTCTCACAGTTTTATCTTGCAGGTGGGAATTCCCCCAGCTCAGCTCTTGTAACAATTTCAAAGGCTTCCTCTAGAGGGAAACAATTTCTATTTGTATCAATCCTTTTAAGCACAGTTCAAACAATAAAGTTAGTTTCAATTTTCAGTTACTTTTACTCCTTTTTAAACGCAGAAGGAGACAATGGAAACAATGTATTTCTCTTCTTTAACTTACTGTCAGCAGACGATCTATTCACAGTCAATGAGCATATCCAAAACTTCAATCTTACTAGCAGCCCGTTTCCAGGTTCAGAGCGGTGGTAATTTGACTTTCTTCACTCTCTCCTGCAGGCTTACGCGATCTTAAATTTCCCCCCTCTTCTCCTGCTTCCAAGGGGGGTTTGATGATTTAACCGATGGAAGTTTAATCCTTTATGAGAGACTTTCCAAGGCTTTAGCTTGCAGCCTCTTTGCTTCAATCTATTTACAAAAGGGGAAGGCGGACTTCCTGTTTGAAACCTCCCCGTTTCGGTGCCAAATTAAGACGTTTAAAAATCCAATTTTCCGTTCTACTCACGGGTAGTTGTTTTAAGATCAAATTGTCCACAGGAAAAAGTCAGCGCTCTCCAGCAACAGCAATGCGGCTTCACTCCGTGAAAGAAGCAGTCGAGTCGAAACACCGCGCCACTCACCCCACGTCGCTCCGGAACCCCGAAACCGGGTTTCCCCGCGAGTAGGGGAGGCGCAAAAGGTGCCAGCCGAATCCCACGTCCACAAGCTTCTCCCGCCTGTGGTTTTTAGTGGGTCTCCGCCTTCGCCGTGGCGGCCAGACCCTGATTTCCACGGAGCAGATTCCTCCCGATCAGAGGAATTCCGCCATTGCCGGAGGCGCTAACCCGGAAGTCCCAGTACGGCATTTCACGCATTCCAGTGGAATTCCACGTCTGTGAGAGCATCTTGTCACAGCTCAGACCCAGCTTGGTTACTCAAAAAAGTGCTTCAGACACAGATTCTGTAACCCATGGATGGTGGAACTCATTGTCCTCAAGATATGGCTGGACTACAACTCCAGCAGCCCTGGTGACTGGACACGCGGGCTGTGAGCTAATGTGAGGTGGAGTCTGCCAACATCTGAAGGACCACAAGTTCCCCACAAGTCCTGCTGCTACTGATAGCTGAGCTATCTTTGACCGCACTTCCAGGCAGCATCACTAGATTTCAACGGGATTAGATAAATGCAGAGAACATGCCTATCAGTGGCACAGATGAGTTGCATCGTGCTCCTCCCTCAACTGTTACCCGTGGCAGCCATTCCATCAGGTTGGGGGAGGGGAGCTGACGCCGCAGGAGCTCACCACTGTCTCCGCTGAAAAACAGCAATTTTCGGCTCCTCTCCAAAATTATACCATTTCTGGTTCTCACAACAATATCTCTGTGCCTAAAAAGTCACACCTGAGCTTGTCCCTCAGATTGCGAGTCCGAGGGCAAGGTCTTGACTTTTCAATAGTTCGGGAGCCCCTTCTTGAGGCTGAAGAGTGGGATGGAAAAAAAATGCTCATGCTAAACAAACCGATGGTGATGATAGCCAAAAGGCTACTCTCCATGTTCTGAGGCAGTGTTATCTCCGAATACCAGTCTTTGGGAGGCAACAGTAGGGTAGGGTTATCACCTGCACCAGGGCTTCCTGTGAGAAACTGGGTGCTGCCCTCTGAATGGTTTGTGCTCTTAAATAAAAAGAGAGGGAGGCTGGGGCAGGCAACCACAGCAACGGAAGATTGAGATCAGAGGGCAACGAGGACAACCCAGCCTTCTCCTTTCTTCCACGTCGCCGGAGTTGTCTGTAATCACAGTCAGTTTCACTTCCCTCCCACGCATTCATTCCGGCTTGTGAAATCCGACAGCTCAACATTTCTGTCTGTTTATTCGGAATTCGGTCCCCCCAAGTTCAGCAGGACTTGCTCCTGAGGAAAGGTGCACAGCGCTGCAAGATCTCGTTTCAGTTCCTCTTCGATCGCTCTTTCCAACCCGCAAGGCCCAAGTGCCTCAAACCACTTCTATTCTTGCGCTTCCTGGCTTTGGCCACAAGACACCCACCCCCACATGCCTGCATCTTACAACAGCATCTAAGGGTGTTCCTAAGAATTAGGCTGCCAACGGCCAAGTCCTTTATCTGCTCTTCTTGTTTTCTTTATCAGTATTGTTTTTGCCGCAAGCTTGGAATCGTGTATTTCGTTGATGAACGACATCTAAAGGAGGAAATATGAACACTCCAGATAGAGCAGATGAAAGTTGCATCCAGTCCACACATCCTGTTCCTCAAGGTAGCCAGCAAAATCCATCCAAGGGAGGAGCCAACCCCCAGCAAGACTTTCCACAGGTATGCTATGGGATGGAAGTTTTCAGTTCTCCACATTTTGCAGCAAATTGCATAATGGTGTTTTTTTAAAAAAATCCTCTTGGAAATTCATCAGTAAATGCCTCCTAACTAACATTTTTATGTGAAGTGTACACATTTGTACACAAAGTGCACGCAATCAAATTTCCCACATATAATGGATTTTGGTATGCTATTTTCACTAACATCTTCATTTTTTACACACACCCTCCCCAATACAGGCATTGTTTTGCAAATGTCGGCTGGGGAACTACATCAAAATGATCAGAAATGTGCAAATGCTGGAGGGTAGCTGTGTTTCGATTCACATATTCCATCCGAAAGTGCAAATGTGATGGATTCAGCATTAAATGTGAACTGAACTGAAATCCTCCTCCATCCTTTAGGTATGACACCACTATCAGTATCACTAAAAACGTCAATAAATCTTACAAATTAGAAATTTGGACTTTTAGTATAAGCATGCACACATGAAAAGGCACCAAGTGCCTGTGAGCTTTGATGGGTAGAGGGACTTATCTATGTGGGAGAAGGGGCAGGGCTGGCGTATATATTAAAGTGGGGGGGATGTTGAGGGTTCTGGGTTTTTCCCCCATGTATTGCAAAAATGTATAATAACTATTAACTAAATTCCCTGGTGTCAAAAAAGGTTATTTATGTATGCTACTACTGCGGCCTGTGTTTTGTTAGCCAAAAATGGAAAACGAGCAAGGTCCCAACTAAAGAAGAATGGCAACTTAAGTTGACAGAATATGCACAACTCGCAGATTTAATGCATAGAATAAGAGAATAATAACATATGTTTAAAGAAGACTGGAAAACGTTTATTGAATATATGGAAAATAATTGTGTACAGCTGAAAACGCCAGCAGCATTAAGATAAATTCAACAGTGTAAATAATGGAATAATGGAAAACCGATTGGTATAGTTTTTTGTAAAATATGCAGGGGTATAAGATAAGCAAAATGAACCATGGAAAGAGAAGAAGGGAAATCATTGATTTCTTAAGGATGTAAAATGAGTATCTTAAATTGTAAAACAGAAAACTTAATAAAAACTATTAATAACTAAGATGCAAAAACCATGCACACACATACCCTGAAGTTCATTTGGGTGCATAGCAATTCTGATGAGCAACAAAATATTTGACCAGCATGACATTCAGCGAAAAGCTCTCCACTACCATTTGTTCCACAGCAAGGCAACTCAGGGCAGGTACTTTCCTACACAGGTGCTGACCAGACCCAGGCCTCTTCAGCTTCAGCAAGGTTGCTGCCTTGCATGTATTCAAGACCTGGGTGGACTAGAAGCCAGAGCGCCTCTGGGGTTCGTAGGTTATTATACTAGGACGATGCTGCTGACTCAGTACTGCGTTCTCACAACATAAAAGACAGACTCCCAAGCTCTGTTCAAAGACTTAATTTGTCCTTAGCAAAGCAGGACAGGAGGCCTGGCAATGCATTAATTAAAACTCGGCTTTTTTCTATATACATAAAGGTCAACCCCGGCCCGGGGGGAGATGCGGCCAGCTATTCATTACCACGTACCAAATGTGAAGTCCACATACCTTGACAGATACATCATCTTCTCCAGTGATAATAGTGCAATAATAATAATAAAATTAATCACTTCCTTAATTATCAGGAGCTTCCATAACATATTAACCATCATAACCCTGCCCCGGGCAATCACAGCATGAGAAAGACTCTAATATTTATTTAGAACACCAGTCAATTTTTAGTTCCACTCATTTAAATTTATTATTTTTTTCATCCCTTCTTTCAATATAAAATATGGTCAAGGCAGCTTACAAATAAAAGGCAAATAATAAATTTCATTGACTTGATAATATTGTAAGCAGTCCGTTACCACATTACTAACATCTTCCAGCTTCTTCAATCTGATCTCTTATTGTGAAAAGTCCAGTAAATCTCTATATGTTATCCATTGGCGATATTCTCAAGGATTCTGCTTCCGCGGGTGAGCACCATGTTCTCCTTTCAAGCAGGTTTTTGTATTCATCCCATACTCTAAACAAATTCTTCCTGACTACATGATTCAAGAAGCTCTTATATATTTCAGCTTTATAATACCATAGACATGCATGCCAGCCAAATTTTATATTGTGTCCTTCAAGATCTAAAATGTATGCATTCTTCAACATTATCCACTCCTTTAACCTTGTTTAAAGTTGACAAGAAAAATGGGTTTGTGATACAAAGTTCACAATTTGAAAGGGACCTTATAGAATCGTCAGGAAAGTTAATTTCCAGGATGTATAAATTATTGTTGGAGTGGGAGACAAAGGACGAGATGGTTAAGTCAGCTTAACTAGGTGAGAGACATAGGACATAATATAGAATTGAGTGCATGGGAAAGGTTGTGGGAAAAGGAATTAAAATTTACAGCATGTTATACCCTTAGCAGGCAACCAGTCCAACAGACCACTGTACAGTGGTACCTCGGGTTAAGTACTTAATTCGTTCTGGAGGTCCGTTCTTAACCTGAAACTGTTCTTAACCTGAGATACCACTTTAGCCAATGGGGCCTCCCACTGCCACCGTGACGCCGCCACACGATTTCTGTTCTCATCCTGAAGCAAAGTTCTTAACCCGAGGTACTATTTCTGGGTTAGCGGAGTCTGTAACCTGAAGCGTATATAACCCGAGGTACCACTGTAGACTGTTTGGGTGGCAAAGCCAAAGCAGCCAGTGGAGGCCTGAGAACCTTAAGGACATACCAGGACCTTTCCCTGAATGTTCAGCTTTCATTGAAAATAAAAAAGAAAGCCTCTGCCCCTTTTGTTTATGATGGTGAAAAGTACAATAGGGGAGTATTTCTATCCCATCCTTTGCTAAGAAGCAATTCAATTAAGGAACTCTAAACTACCTGTTCTGTCTGTTCTACAGCAATATCTTGCAACATTTTCGTCTCCGAGTTGCTGGGTTGTCAGCCAAACAGAATGTACCTGGAGTCACACCCACCTGCTTAGTGGGGTTAGCCTGGAACAGGTTTATCAAGACCGAAACACTTCATCTAAATGGGTCTTGTACAAGAGCCTCTCTTGGAAAGAGAAGAGAGCAACTAGAGCAGTCATAGGCAAACTCGGCCCTCCAGATGTTTTGAGACTACAATTCCCATCATCCCTGACCACTGGTCCTGTTAGCTAGGGATGGTGGGAGTTGTAGTCCCAAAACATCTGGAGGGCCGAGTTTGCCTATGCCTGAACTAGAGATTGCAGCCCAATGCACACTTACATGAGAGTAAGCCCCAATGATGCCCAGAGGGGCTTATTTCTGAGCAAACATGTGCAGGATTGCACTTTTGAACGATTCAACTCATACAACAGATACGAGTGGCGGACACTTCCATGGAAAATTTAGAAGAGCAATCGCATTAAAGAGCAATCTCAGAGGTTAACTTGGGAGTTTTGCAGATGTGGCAATTTTTTGTGTGCACTGGGCAAAATTTGTTTTTGGGGGTTGCCAGGCCTCCACCGTCGGTGGTGGAAGGGCAGACACGACGGGGCACAGAATCCCCCAGTGACGAAACCCGAGCAAAAGTGCACAGCTGCATGCTGTGTCTGCACTGCCATGCAACATGCAAAGCAGAGGCGTCTCCCAGGACTTTTATCTGCTTGGCCTTGCTGGGCATAGTGAGGCAAGCAAGCTTCTGTCAATATTTATAAATACAGCTGGTCGCCAGTCTGCAAGGCCAGTTTGCAAACATCGATGTTGCGCATGCAAATTGTCAGAAAGCACCGCCTTCCCCTGGCCCTGAGCTTTGGACGGCAGCCATTGCACAATGCCTATAAAAACCCTCTTCGACGGCTCACGTTAGATAAACAGGAGGCAGCAGCACTTCTGGAAACACCGTTGGTCCAGCCAATTCTGGCACGGAAAATCCACGGTTGGTTTGGCTTGAAAGCAAAACACGCATGTACATAGGGAGAGAGGAATTGTTTTATACCAGGTGAGACTATTCGTCCATCTACCTTGATAGGCAGAGTCTCCCCAGGAGACAGGACTTTCCCATCACACTTTTTGTCCAAGATCCCTTTCATTGAAGGTGCCAGGAATTAGAAACAGGGACTCTTTGTATGCAAACTACTTACTCTACCTACTGAAATAATAGGAAATGTGTCTGGTCTTTTCTCCCATTTCCTGATCAAAACTGTCTTACTCCCCAAGCTACTAGCACCACTTTGGTGGTTGGGGTAGAATATGGACACAATGCAGGCACTGGGTTGGCTCAATGGAGCTGATAGCAGAGATGGGGGGGGGGGGTTGATCATCCCTTGCCATGCCATCGCTCCAGTCAAAATCAGAGGTTGTCTTCCAGGGGGAGACTCCATCCAACGGTTTTGTCCCCAAAAGCACAAAGAAATATATGGCCTGTACAGTGGTACCTCTGGATGCGAACAGGATCCGTTCTGTAGCCCCGTTCGCATCCTGAAGCGAACATAACAGGCGACTGCGCGTGACGTCATTTTGAGCACCTGCGCATGCGGCGAAACCCAGAAGTAACGTGCTCCGTTACTTCCGGGTCGCCGCAGAGCGAAACCCAAAAATATTCATCCCGAAGCTACTTCAACCCAAGTATAGGCAAAGAAAGTTGTGTCTATGGGTCAGCTTCTCAATTGCTGCAGTGAACTGGGGAATTAATCCAGCAGCAAATTTAGAATACAGTGGTACCTCAGGTTAAGAACTTAATTCGTTCTGGAGGTCTGTTCTTAACCTGGAACTGTTCTTAACCTTAGGTACCACTTTAGCTAATGGGGCCTCCCACTGCCGCCACACGATTTGTTCTCATCCTGAAGCAAAGTTCTTAACCCGAGGTACTATTTCTGGGTTAGTGGAGTTTAACCTGAAGCGTCTGTAACCTGAAGCGTCTGTAACCCGAGGTACCACTGTATACCAGGGCATCTTTTGTTCTCTCCTAGTTAAGGCAAAGCAGCAGCTCTTCCAAGAGCAGCTGGGTGGGGTGACAGGGCAATGGTGATACTTTTGCCCCCACAAGTTCAGTGTGGATCAGTGAGGGTCCTCAGTCAGGGGTTCAAGCCACCCAGGTCTTGGCCGGTGGAGGGAAAAGACACTGTATGCTTCAGGGCAAAGAATCCATTCTCCCTGGAATTCCCTGCCATCTTCAGCTATGCCATCCCTGCAGTCTGAGAACCAAAGATTGAAGGCAAGAAATCAGCCTCCTGCGGCCATTGTTCCATCTAACTCCAATTGGTCATGGCTCTCTCTAGGCTAACCCTGCCCTGCCAAGCTGCCGACTTGAGAAACCAGAGGCTCTTTCTGGGCGCAAAGTTTGTGCTCCGTCTCCGAGAGATGATGACCTATGGTGAATCTCATGCCCTTAACCCCAGTCCTCCATCCCCACGCAGGAAGTAGTGTCCCTGCGACAAGCTGGAAGGCAAGGTGGGAAAACTACAAAGAGCTTTTTATCTGTAGGAAACTGACAAGGATCCAATGTTTCTCTTGTGCGTAGCAGTTCAAAGTTTGCCCTTCATGTACGTTTTGTACCAGGCGCCCGTGTTTGTGTAGAACCTGCTTTGGTTTTAAATGCACTCTAAGGACACGAGAGCAAACTCTGCTGTGTTTATGTGACAGGCCACTGACCAGGCAGGCCAGTCCACCGTCCCCACCTGACACTGGCCCACCGGCAGGGATCAAAGGGATAGAGACGGGCCTGGAGTGGATCTCCTCCCACCATCCAATCCCGGACTGCACCACTCCAACTCTTGTGTAACAAAGCTGTTAATCAATTGTGAATGTTTGTTTAGCCCGTTTCTCAGCAAAGAAATTCCCAGGCCATCGCCCACCCCAGCCCCAAATCAAGGTGCCGAAAGCACTACACAGCGGTAGCGAAGCCTGACAAGACCTCTCCTGCAGAGGCTCTGTTTCCTTGTGTCTTTGATGTCAGCATTCCTGAGTGTCAGAGGGCATGGGGAGCAGCAAAAGCTAAAGTCATAGGGCCCCTAAGCAGACTTACTGATGGAAGCCAAGCGCCAGGAAAGTTGTGAAACAGCTCCCATTCTAATCCTGTGAAATCCCTGGTACAAAGGCTACACCTAAGAAACCGTTATGAACCTCTACTACAGCTGCTTTCCTGACTTTTTATGAACACCCTCTCTTGTCCGCAAGGTAAATGCCACACCAATAAAACTGCCCGGCATATTGTGAGTTTACAACTCCCTCTTCAAGCTGGAACAAGCATTGGGGTTGCACGAAAGGAATTACAGAGGATCCCCCCCCCCATCAAAACTCTCAAGTTCAAGTGCAGGGGGTTTCCAACCATGCAGAGACAGAGCTGCCAGTAAGGACTGGATCCAGTTTTTGTGGTCTTCACTTTCCCTCCCTGCTCTTTCTACCTTCATAGTCCCAGAAGGAGAAAGAAATGCTGTCTGTTCCTGGGGATCAGCTGTGTGCCGACAGGCCCCGCTCTGACAGGATCGCCTTTACTTTCGCCACAATGGTTGGCACTTCTGCCATGGCGCCACGACCTGTAAAGCGAGGACAGAAGCAGGGTGAGGCCAGCTCCTCCACAGGGAGAAATGGTTCTCTCCTCCAGCTCTGATCTCCAAGGCTGAATACACCTTCCTTTTGACCAGGGATGGGCAACCACGGCCCTCGAGATGTTGCTGAACTCCAACTCCCATCAACCCCAGCCAACATGGCTAATCATCAAGGATGATGGGAGCCAGGGGCGTCCAACAACAACTGAAGGACCACCTTTGAAATTATTAATCAGATAATCAAACTGATGGTGGTGATGATGGTGATGATTAACTGAGCTTATATACCGCCCTATACCTGGAGGTCTCAGGGCGGTTCACAGAAAAGATCGCAACATATACAATCAAAATAAAAACAACAACCCAATAACACGCCCCCACCAAAAAAAACCCCACATTTTAAAAGGGCATAGGATCAAATCAACCAAAGGCCTGGTTAAAAAGGAAAGGTTTTGCCTGGCACCTAATGGTGTATAATAAAGGCACCAGGCGAACTTCCTTGGGCAGAGCATTCCACAGACAGGGAGCCACTGCAGAGAAGGCCCCGTTCTCATGTTGCCATCCTCTGGCCCACTCAAAGAGGCGGCACACGAAGAAGGGCCTCAGAAGATGATTTCAGGGTCTGTGTAGGTTCATATGGAAAGAGGCAGTCCTTGAGAAATTGCAGCCCTGAGCCGTTTAAGGCTTTACAGGTCAAAACCAGCACTTTGAATTGGACCCGGAAACTTAATTGGTAGCCAGTGCAATCGGACCAGGATAGGTTTAATATGCTCCAACCGTCTTACTCCAGTGACTGACAGTGCGATTTTAGACATCTTCTTCAAGGGGAATTACTCAGAGGTATATGCATATAAGATTGCACTGTAAATATTGGAAGCTTTCTTCAAAAGAATGTGTAGCAATTTCTGGATGTTCCTGGAGTGACTCAAAGGAGCCCAGCAGCATCTCTGAAAAGCAGCATGGGAACCAGCCCACAGAGGCAGGGTTGCGTACCTCCTGCCATGCCCATAATTTCATTTAAAGGGAAGGAAGGACGAAGGGAAAGTGTGCTGGCTATCTACCAACCTTCGTCTCCACAGATGAGTTTCTTCACGATGCAAGGAATCTCCACGTAGCCAAAGCTCTTGAGCTGATCCACCTGCTGAGCAGTGATGGGGTGCTCCCACATGGCGGTGTTCATGGCAGGGCAGAAAAGCAGCGGCTTGCTCAGATCCCAGGCGCGGATGACGCATGTCTGCAAAGGCAGGCAAAGCATTGGACAGCCTCTCTTGCCACATGGGTAGTGCATCTGCAAAAATGCAAGCAAGGAAAGGAATGGCCCATCCCATTCCTCAGCTGACAAACTAGAACCGACCACAGATGAGTCATGCTACTGTTCGCTGGGGCTTCGGGGCCCAAAGACCCCCAAAGCGATGAACACCATATTAATAAATTGGCCCATGAGAATAGCTTAAAACAATTCATAATTGGGGGGGGGGGGGGGGGAGAAACAGCGAAACAAGAATGAAATATGAAAGGTGAGTTGAGTATCTGAATGCAGCCAAGATGGAAGTAACAGAGCTTAGCTGGGACATATCTCACTGAAAAGCTTGGGAAAATAAAGCAAAGTTTTCGACTGGCGTCTAAAAGCCAACAAATGTAGGCACCTGGGACATGGCAGTCCCAGAGATTGGGTGTCACCACAGAAAAGGCCCTGTCCTGAATAGCCCCCACCCCAGAGTCGTCTTCATCTTAGTGTGACTCAGAGTAGACCCACTGAAAATAATGGTGCTACATTAGCCATGCCCATTAATTTCAACGTGTCTACCCAGAGGATGACGAATGCTGGATACAACCAAAGTGCAGGCAGGTACTGATGCAGGTACTGTGCTGGCTGGTACTGATGGGAGTTGAAGACCAAAACATCTGGAGGGCACCTGGTTGGGGAAGGCAGGCTTGGGGCTTTTAAGGGTCAAAACAAGAACTTGGAAGTATTGCCTAGAAACATGGTATTAAACTCACAGGATGGAATTCAACTACACTAGACCTACTGAAATTAATGGCTCTAACTTAGCAACGTTCATTCATTTCAGTGGATCTACTTGGAGTCAAACTTAGCTGAACACTACTCATAATCATCATGTAATCATTAGTACCCGAAAGATCGTCTCACCCCATATATACCCAATTGATCGCTGTTCTCTGTAGCTGAGGGTCTCCTGCAGATTCCATCTAATCAGGAAGTGCTTTCTACACAATGTAGGAACTGGGCCTATACTATGGTGGCCCCTTCCCTTTGGAATAAAAAAGTAAAGGGACCCCTGACCATTAGGTCCAGTTGTGGCCGACTCTGGGGTTGCGGTGCTCATCTCACTTTATTGGCCAAGGGAGCCGGTGTACAGCTTCCGGGTCATGTGGCCAACATGACTAAGCCGCTTCTGGCGAACCAGAGCAGTGCACGGAAACGCCGTTTACCTTCCCGCCAGAGCGGTACCTATTTATCTACTTGCACTTTGACGTGCTTTTGAACCGCTAGGTTGGCAGGAGCAGGGACCGAGCAACGGGAGCTCACCCCGTCACGGGGATTTGAACCGCCAACCTTCTGATCGGCAAGTCCTAGGCTCTGTGGTTTAACCCATAGCGCCACCCGCGTCCCTTTGGAATACCCTCCCCTTAAAAAGGCACCATATCTATTGCCTCTCCAGTGCCTACAGAATACTTTCCTCTTTCAACAAGCCTTTTAAGTTGAGATCTTTCCCAGTCTGCACCTGTATCGGAAATGTTTTTCAATATGTTTTTGCTGTTTTATCTCTTGTTGTTTACCATCCTGAGCACCTCTGGGAAGGGCGGAATATAAATTTAATAAAATATTATTTGCATTAAAGGAAATTAAGTAGCTGTATTCCACCCAAAAATGATGAAATGGGCACACAGGCAAAGAACAAGGGCATGGAGGTATGAATCTGAAGCAAATTATTTAGTTTCTTTGCAACACATTCTAGGATTTCCAGTTCAATACAAGAAAGTGTAAACCCGAGCCTCAAGCAAATGGACAGATAAACAGAAGCTTGGAAGATACAGGCAGGCATCAGTGATGGGGACATCTGCTTGAAGCATCAGACGAAGCTTGCAGAAACTCACCAGTAAGTTGTCGCAGAGGCCACTGGCCATTTTGGCCAGGGTGTTTGCGTCCAGAGGAGCCACCAGCAAAAGGTCAGCCCAGCGCCTCAGGTCAATATGTAGCACAGGATCCTCACGCTTTTTCCACAGCTGCAGAAAATACCCTCAAATCAGTGAAATCACCTGGTATGTTTAATTACATTATATGCACAACACACTAACAGACACTAAGCCCCACTGCATCTTGCAAGATATCTGAAGGTTATGTGGAATGTTTAGGGGCAAGGGAAATTCTCACCTTAGAAAAATGCAGAACAGAGACAAAAGGACAATACGAGTGGACTCTCTGTGCCCTTATTACAACAAAAGGACTGATACTGATGAATTGGAAAAATAAAAATGCAGCTCTCTTCTACAGTATGATTGAAGACTTATACAAACTCGCAACGTGTGAACAACTTGCATATAAATGCAGACTTGCCATGGACAAATTCAATGATATTTGGAATCCATTCTTACAAATATTGTAATAGGTTAAGATCTGGTGAAGTACAATAACAACTTTGTAAAGTATACAGTTTGGGGGGGGGGTTCCCCCTCCCCCCCACTTTACTTTCCCTTCTACATGGGCGCTGTTTCTCTTTTTCTTTTTCTCTCTTTTATTTATGTCCCACCACGTTTAGTGCACATATAATTAGGTACAGTGGTACCTCGGGTTATATACGCTTCAGGTTACATACGCTTCAGGTAACAGACTCTGCTAACCCAGAAATTGTGCTTCAAGTTAAGAACTTTGCTTCAGGTTGAGAACAGAAATTGTGCTCCGGCGGCGCAGCGGCAGCGGGAGGCCCCATTAGATAAAGTAGTGCTTCAGGTTAAGAACAGTTTCAGGTTAAGTACAGACCTCCGGAACGAATTAAGTACTTAACCCGAGGTACCACTGTACTTTTTAACTTTCAATCAAGATGAAATTTAAAAAAAAAGAAAAAAGAAAAATGCAGAACAGAGACAAGACACCCTTCCTCCCTCTCTCTCTCTCTCTCTCTCACACACACACACACACACAGAGAGAGAGAGAGAGAGAGAGAGAGAGAGAGAGAGACCTCTATCATGTAGAAAATCCTGTGCTCTGTAAAGTTGACATGGTACAATTAGACCATACTTGCAATTCAAATAATACCAGATGTGCAATGCAGGACACTCTGCTACCTGCCCCAAAGGAAAGCAAATTCCAAAGGTGAATTCTGCAACCTGAGAAAGTTATTATCCTTTTGCAGAACACTGTCTACATAAATGGGAATTGGGGTGCAAGCCAGATCCCCTTTCAGCCAAAGCTCTATCCGGAAGTTCAGACCTGCAGCATGCAAAGAATCGCATGAGGGAGGCAGCACGCTAGCTCCAACCCCTCCATCGCTGACCCTGTCACCCTCCAAGAGTTGGAGGGCTAAATGTAAGGAGACTGCCCTACATTTAGTTTCTTTGCAACACAAGGTAGAGGATTCTCAGGTGATTTGCAACTCCGAACTTCCAGGGTCCTCAATCATGCAGGGAATCTCCACACACTGAAAGGGTTGCAGGCTGCAAAGGGATGCCCTTTCAATATGGGAAGGTGCTTAAACCTGAGAAAGGGATGCAATCAAGAGCGTAGAGGCAATGGGCTCCTCTCCTCTCTCTCCCTCATCATGCGAGGCTTGAACACCTGAAGACGCAAGCAACACTTTGCTCTTTACAAGAGCAAAGGTGTGCAGGCAGGACACTCGCAGCCCTGCAAAGGCTGGCATGAAGTGTGGCAAGGAGCTTCTGAGCAGCCTTTTGGGGGTGGGCAGGAATGAATTGACAGTCTTGTTTTCTCTACTTCCCTCCACACTCTTAAAAAAACCCAGTATGCTTCATTTTTTAAAAAGGATGCTGACTTGGGAGAGGTGCTATAGAGAATGTGCTCTGCCCTACACATGCTAACATCTCCAGGTAAGACTGGGAGAGAACCCTGCTTGAAATCTTGCAGAGCTGCTGCCGTTCAGAGTAGGGAATACTAAGTTGAATGGAGACCAGTGGTCTGACTCAGTATAGGACAGCTTTCTATGTTCCTAACTGAAAAGTTAAGTGGCACTGAACACCAACCTGCCATTCATCAGAATCGCTGTAGAGGGTCACAGGGACCTCCTGGGGGTTATAGAAGTGCTTTGCATTCTCAGTAGTCACCACCCGCACTTCCACCTGGAAAGAAGAAAGGGGGGGAGCACAGAGGAGAAGGAAAGAAAATAAGCCATTTGAGATAAAGAGTTTAAATCTTTTGAAGCTTAACTTTTATTTGTACTCCACTGAGCTAGTGGAAGAATTGATGCTTTTGAATTATGGTGCTGGAGGAGACTCTTGAGAGTCCCATGGACTGCAAGAAGATCAAACCTATCCATTCTGAAGGAAATCAGCCCTGAGTGCTCACTGGAAGGACAGATCCTGAAGCTGAGGCTCCAATACTTTGGCCACCTCATGGGAAGAGAAGACTCCCTGGAAAAGATTCTGATGTTGGGAAAGATGGAGGGCACAAGGAGAAGGGGACGAGATGGTTGGATAGTGTTCTCGAAGCTACCAGCATGAGTCTGACCAAACTGCGGGAGGCAGTGGAAGACAGGAGTGCCTGGCGTGCTCTGGTCCATGGGGTCATGAAGAGTTGGACACGACTAAACAACAACAACGAGCTAGTGGAGGTGCAGTCAGATAGGGCCACAGAACCAGATTCCAAGCAAAACACACCTGAAAAGTTAATTCCCATCAGCCTTGCAATTAAGCACTCACCTGACAGGTGACTAGGTAGGTGAAAAGGAACTGGCATTCAGGTGAGGGAGCAGGCTGAAGGAGGAGCAATGGAGCAGCACCTCCCTCTGTGCACAGCAAAGAACTGCAAAGGGCTACTGACTAAGGGATGGCATTCTCCATGCCTCTTCAGACAGTCCCCAGCAGGCGAGAACATTTCTCTGCAGGTTAAATTGCTTCTGTGGACTTGGTTCCAAGGCGGATTGAAATCACAGCAGGCCAGGTTTAGAGAACCATTTTCATACCTTCTGGGGGCCACGTGCCAGTAGCGAGGAAGGCCAGAGGTGAAAATAGGCACAGAAACAAGTGTGAGTGTTACCTTTGTGCAACAGATTGGCTTTATCTTTGTACGGTAGGCTAGTCTCAACATATTCCATCTAACACCCAGACAAGCAAGAAGCGTGAACAGAGTTCGAGGACTCAAGGAGGGTAAAAAGCAAGGCCAGAAAGGAAGGTGGCTGAGGAAAGTGTTTGGTAGGGAGAGTCCTAGAAGCCCAACAGAGATGTCTAGAGGGCAGGATTTGGCCCCTGGGCTGAGGTTCCCCCTGTAGACAAATGGCAAATACGTACAAGCTTGTGACCATGATAGAAACGAGCACAAAAGAATAATATGTCCATGAAAGATGAAAGAGAAGCATATGAAAGACTACACTGTACTAAAGCATAAGGTGAATATGACTAATATATACAACTATGAATGCATAGGATTGCATAATGCAGAAAGAACAGGGAATTGAGGGAAAGGAAGGCACAGTATACTTTCCAAAAACAGCAACAAGTTGAATACCGCCATCCTTCATTGCCACCTCCTATACTGGTACAGAATCTTTCTAAGGCTCCCACGGTTACCTGGGAGTAAGTCCCAATAAGCTGAATGAGACTTATTTGTCTGAGTATGCATGTATAGCATCTCACTATAAATTCCTAGTTGTTCTAACAGCCCGCCATTTTAACGTAAATATCAAATGAAATGCATAGCTACCAATCAAGAGCAGACCTGAAGAAGAAGGAGAAAGATTCATGTGGGTCTCAGGTAAGAAGTAGTGAAACACAGAAGTGGTCCTCTGGTGAAAACTAGTAAAAATCTGAAAAGAGGTCTCATTCCAAAGAATCAGAAGGAAATGGAATGCCAAAAAGGAAACAATAAGGATTGGAGAGAAAAAAGAAAAAAAACATTCAGTCCTAGAAAACAGAAGTTTTCCAAGAACTACTCCAGTGTAAACATTACCCGGGGCATGTATAATAAGCAAGAGGGGAAATCAAAACATGAAGCCCCTTTCTCCTCTGTAAGAGAAATGGCAAAAAACTGGAGTCCAGAAAAGACCCTCCCCACAACTGCCTTAAAAACAAAGTGAGATCTGGGGAATAAATGACTTCTCCTTTTCTATACTTCCCTTTGTCTATCTTTCTCAACCCTCCCATAAGTCACTTTCCCAATTAAAATTCATTTCTGTATAGATCTGAATTGGGGAGGCTGTGGCTGGACTCCAACTCCCATCAGCCCCAGCTAGCACAGCCAACGATCAGGGATGATGAGAGTTGTAGTCCAACATCTACAGCTCAATTGCCAGGCTATGACAATTTTGCAACATCATTTAGACCAGCCTTCTCCACCCTCCGGCCCTTTGGGCGCTGCTGGACTAGAACCCCCACCAACCCCAGACAGCAAGATCAATGGCCAGGAATGATAGTTGTTGTTACGCAACAGTATCTGGAGACCACAGGGCTGGGGGGAAACTGAATTGGACAAGTTTCCCTTTGTTTGCTTAAAGCAGGGAGACCGGCACATTATAGGTGTCTTATCAGGGAAACATTCGAGGCCAAAGCCATGAAGATTTCCCAGCTGCTGCTGACCAAAGAGAATGTACAACATTGCTGTTGTTGTTCATCCTAGTCCATTATTTAATGGCGGAACAGGGCCAATTCAAGCCATTAATCAGCCTCCCTTGCATTCCAGCATCAAGGTCGAGGGAGGCTCAGTTCTGCTATCCAAGCTGGAATGTAATCATAACTGTTGATGAGCAACATTCTGGTTCAGAATAAACTCTGGATGAAGGAAGCCTTTTTTCTTCCCAGTACGCCAGAATCGTAAGAACCAGGTGGACTTTCTTAGACTGCAATCCTATATACAAATAGTCTTTATATTGTGGAGAGAGAGGGGGGCACCCCCGGATTGCAAATCAAGAAGTCTGATGGCACATTAAGGCAGGGGTGAAAAAACTGTGTCACTCCAGGTATAATTGGACTACAACTCCCATCATCCCAGGCCATTGGTCAGGCAGGCTGGAGCTGACAACAGTTGGAATTCAACAACTTCAGGAGGGTTGCAGGTTCTAATCCCTGGATTAAGGCATTTCTTGAGGTATATTTTGTATGCATGAAAATTTATCCCCAGTCTCTGCAGGCAGTTCTGCACAGGAACGCTTCCTAGCAGGTAACAAATTAAGCAGCCACTGGAATCATAGCTCAACAGGAGCCATCTTGAATCAACTGACAATGTATTTGGTTTTCCCATTGGTTTTTAACTGCAAACGTTTATGCTAGTCTTTGCCAACCCGACACTGTCCAGATTATTTCAGACTACAGTGGTACCTCGGGTTAAGAACTTAATTCTTTCTGGAGGTCCGTTCTTAACCTGAAACTGTTCTTAACCTGAAGCATCGCTTTAGCTAATGGGACCTCCTGCCACCGCTGCACCGTTTCTGTTCTCATCCTGAAGCAAAGTTCTTAACCTGAGGTACTATTTCTGGGTTAGCAGAGTCTGTAACCTGAAGCGTCTGTAACCCGAAGTACCACTGTACAACTCCCATCAGTTCCAACCAGCACACGGTGACGGGGGCTGATGGGAATTGTGGTCCAAAATGTTTGGAGGGAACCAAGTTGGCTAAGGATGTTTTATGCTAGCATAAGCAGAAAAAGGGCTTCATTTAGAAAGATCTCTCTCCTGCTTCCTTCTCAAACAAAAAAACCCTTCTTATTTATCTAGGAAATTACCTTTATGTGTCTTCTGGTGTATTATCTGGGAGGTGAGGGAAGAGGGAGTTTGAGATGATGCACACAGGTGTATTAGGAGGTACCATCTCAGAATAGCTATTCCCCATTCTCACTCTTACAGGAATGAATGCCTCTTCTAAGATAATGCTTGCCACCTGCTGTTTTATAAGTACTGTTGTTGTTGTTTAGTCGTGTCCGACTCTTCGTGACCCCATGGACCAGAGCTCACCAGGCACTCCTGTCTTCCACTGCCTCCCGCAGTTTGGTCAAACTCATGTTTGTAGCTTTGAGAACACTGTCCAACCATCTTGTCCTCTGTCGTCCCCTTCTCCTTGTGCCCTCCATCTTTCCCAACATCAGGGTCTTTTCCAGGGAGTCTTCTCTTCTCATGAGGTGGCCAAAGTCTTGGAGCCTCAGCTTCACAATCTGTCCTTCCAGTGAGCACTCAGGGCTGATTTCCTTAAGAATGGATAGGTTTGATCTTTTGTTGCCATATTAAATGGGGGGATGGGAGCTTTTAGTGAAACATGGTTTCCATGTATTAACTAACAAGCTAACTATTATACCTTCTTGTGAAAGTATTTTTAAGAGCAGGGGTTCACAATGCCACAAAGGATTTCACTGGTGTCCCTGGGCAGATGTCCCAGACTCTGAGCTTTTACTACTTTTTTAAATTAAGTTTTCCCTCACACAAGTCTCCCACTAGATAATCTGTGGTAAATTGTATAAATTTGTGCAATTGGTGTACCATGAGGTGGGTGCACTATATTTAATTGGGGGAAGTTAGCGGGAGCAGATCCGCTGCATTATTAATTGGTGGTATTAGGTGGTGGGTCTGCTACAAGGGGCAACCACAAATAAGTTTTTGTGTGGAAGACCACTGAGTGCCATTCAATTCTGGCTCTCAGACACCGTTCCTAAGCGTCAGAAATCTTCAATTTTAAATGTATGTCTTTTGCACTGTTATAAGAGTTCTAAGTTCTCAAAAATAACAAAAATATGCATAAATGCACACATATCTAAATATATAAACAATGTGTCTGAAACAGTACAGGAGAGCAATCCTGAAGCCATTTTGACTCTCCCAATGACCTCAAATATTCCTCTGCAAATGGGGGCAAATGGGGACTGCCTTCCCATTGTCTTTTCACTTACAAATCCTGTCTTAAGGGCATATTTGTGTATGAATAGGGTGAGCCTGTGACCTGGATTCAGGAACTAAAGTATCCATCACAAAAGAATGGCCAGGCTGCCCAGCGAACATTATCAAGTATCCTGGCAGACAGGATTTAAATAAGATATTCTTTATTGTCATTGTCCCATACAGAACAACAAAATCTACATCAGACATTCAAAAACCAACAAGCCCCCTATCCCTGCTATTTCTGCTGTAGATGCCTCCTATGATGTATGTATGATGATTTTAGGTTGGTCTGTGGCTAAGGGGGTTGGGCAATGTCAAAAGCCTTTAAAGGTTCTTGCATACTTTTGTTCAGGGTCTCTCCCTCCTTGGAAGGAGGAGAGGGAACTCTGTTGCAACAGAAAAATAAATATCTGCCTTGCTTTCCACTGGATCCTGCCTCCATCTATTTTTCTCTGACCGATCATGGACTTAGGGGACTCCGAGTCCCATGGGGAGTTGGGCAGCAAACGCCAAACCCCGATTTTTACATCAGCTCCAAGCTGGAATCCTGCACACCTCTGCGTTTAACGGCACAATTTTCCTGTTGGATGCAAAGTGTCCTGTGTTCAGTTAATAAACAAGGCTTTTAAAAGAAAAGACACACGCATGAAGGAAAGAACAAGGCTACCCGCTGCCACTAGGAACAATGGCTTTCTTGCCTAGCTTGCAGATTTTCCACGAGCCTCTGGGTGCTGACAGTGAGAACAGGATAGGGGACTAGGCTGGCCATTAGCCTGATCCAGCAGGGTCATCTTATGTTCTTAAGGCCCTGGAGGAAAGATAGGTCACACCTCAATGGAAGGACCATAGCTTGTCTTACATGAAGAAGGTCTCAGGTTCATTCCCCATCATTGCCTGGTGAAAGGATCAGTTAGGAAATGGTGGGAAACACTTTCTCTGCATGAGATCCTGGAGACACAAGGGACACAAATTGCTTGGCCTGGGGTAAGCCAGCTTCCTAGGCAAACAATACATTTTTTATAGTGCTTAAGGTGCCATCAGACTTTTTTGTGTGTGTGCTAGTTGAGGGTTGTATTTCAAGCAAATATTTGGAGTAGTAACTCATGAACCAAGTCCCTCTCATGAGCTACAGTTGTCAGCCATAAATTCAGGCATCTCTAGTAATTGCAATTAGCAAAGGATTCTTGAAAGTTATATTACAACAAAGGCACCAGGAGAGCAATGAAATTTCTCAGATGAAGTACAGCACACCTCTTCCAAAAGATGCAGTCTAGCATCCATTCAAATGAAACGCAAATCATCTTAGATGGGCATAAATAGGTTCACAGGTTACTGCAAAAGCCAGGGCTGTAACCTGAGCCTAAAGAGGGGGGGAAACACAACTTATTAAACCCACTCAGCCTTGGCTAACAGTGACATCTACCGGTCGGAGGCATTACTACATACAACAGCTCAAGGGATGATATAGCTGCAAGCATGTCTGTTCCCATGAAACCTCCCAACTCTATTCAGAGTAGCCTTCCTAAACCTGAACTGCATGAGGTGTAACTTGACAGAAAATCCTGGGATCTGGATACCTTAAGGCATGGGTAGGCAAACTAAGGCCTGGGGGGCGGATCTGGCCCAATTGCCTTCTAAATCCGGCCCACAGACGGTCCGGGAATCAGCTTGTTTTTACATGAGTAGAATGTCTCCTTTTATTTAAAATGCACCTCTGGGTTATTTGTGGGGCCTGCCTGGTGTTTTTACATGAGTAGAATGTGTCCTTTTATTTAAAATGCATCTCTGGGTTATTTGTGGGGCAAAGGAATTTGTTCATTTATTTATTTTTTCAAAATACAGTCCGGCCCCCCACAAGGTCTGAGGGACAGTGAACTGGCCCCCTGTTGAAAAAGTTTGCTGACCCCTGCCTTAAGGTTTGCTTTATCCTGTGCTTTCTGATCAACATCGGAGGCCCTGTTTTGTCACTGGGATATGATCTCTGGCCTCTGCCATTATTATTAATTACCTGCCCTTCACCCTGAGGTCCCAGGGCTGGTTACAACAATTAAAACACAACATTAAAAAAGTAAAGGTAAAGGGACCCCTGACCATTAGGTCCAGTCATGGACAACTCTGGGGTTGCGGCGCTCATCTTGCTTTACTGGCCGAGGGAGCCGGCGTACAGCTTCCGGGTCATGTGACCAGCATGACTAAGCCACTTCTGGCGAACCAGAGCAGCGCACGGAAACGCTGTTTACCTTCCCGCCAGAGCGGGAAGAGACACTCCACTGCTACTTGCACTTTGACGTGCTTTCGAACTGCTAGGTTGGCAAGAGCAGGGAACAAGTAAGCCGTCGCAGAGCTCACCCCGTCGCGGGGGTTCGAACCGCCAACCTTCTGATCGGCAAGTCCTAGGCTCTGCGGTTTAATCCACAGCGCCACCCGTGTCCCAAAAACACAACATTAAAAACAGTTTAAAACAACTTACGATCACAGAAAATCAAGTGGGTCCTAAGATATACACCTAAAGTTTCAAAAGTCAGGGTAAAAGAGCTTGTGGTCTAAGGACTGCTTTGCATGTGTACTTAAAAGGAAGGTCACCAATCCAGATCAGAGAATCCTGCTGAGGTTACTGGTGGCTGAATTTGCTTGCTTTCCTCCTCCTTCACAATTTATTTTGTGTCATGTTAGTGAGTCTGCAGGTAGGGGACTACAGTATCTTTATCTTTTAAACTCTACAGAGCACTTCCAAACAATTTTAGACATGTTACAGGCACTAATCAAGAACAATAGGTAGATGAATTGGATAAAGGTAGCCTAGAGATATAGGAAATATATTTTTGCTGTGGCATGTTATGTTCTTTTACATAGTGCCTTGAGAAACTCTTTGCCTAATTATTACGTCAGTTTGTGCCCAATGCAAAAAGACACAAAGAAAAAGAAGCAATGACCATTCCCACTTTGTAAATACAAAAGCCAGCAATTTACTCACATCAGCCCAGGTAACAACTACTCACCCCAGGTATCTTTAGAAGCTCTGATACAAGAATAGGCAACTTTAAAGCAGCCACACTTCCAGTAACACCAACAAGGATGTGAGTGTTCTTCTGCATGGGATCCATTTCAGTCTTGGGAACCATCACATTCTGTATGCAAACAAGGAAAACATGGGACTGTTATTGCTTTCAAACATCATTTCAGAAATCTGTGTAGGGCCAGATTTTGTTTGTTTATTTCCTTGATTCCGTGTATGAATCACTTCGCATAAAATATTTGAAAGGATATTTTACTTTCAGTAAGAACATCAACAACAAAAACAATTCCATATGAAAAAACAACTCCATATTTACAACTAAAAGCAATTCCATATGTAAGGACAAGATCCAACACAGTGGCATAAAGGTTTCCACTTACCTGTTGAAAAAGGAAGGTCTTCAGTAGGGACTGAAAAGACAATAGAGACAGTGCCTGTCTGGAGGGAGTCCCAAAGGGTATGTACTGTACTAGCACACTAAAGGCCCAATTCCTATATTGTATGGAATGGACCTCCTGATGAGTTTATATCCTGTAGAGCACAGTAATCTATTGGATATATAAGGGGTGAGCTGATCTTTTAGGTATCCTGGTCCCAAACTGTATACCACTTTGTATACTAGAACCAACGGCTCAAACTTAGCTTGGTAACTAATTGGCAGCCAGTGCAATTCTTTCAACAGCAGTATAGCACAATGATGACAGTTGGCCCCAGTGAGCAGTTCAGACACTGCATTCTGCACTAGCTGCAGCTTCTGGGCCAACCTCAAAGGCAGCCCCACATACAGCACACTGCAGAAATACAACCTGCAGGTTACCAGCACAGGGACAAAAGTGGATTCAATGCACAATGACTTACTACTCTACTTTACTACAGAAAATGCCAATTCAGGACCAAACACAGGCTACGCAATCTCTGAAATGGCAGGTGTGTATAGGAGAAGGAGAGTGATGGGACTGAAGGACCTCTCCATGTAATCTGCTGAACGATCAGGAATTTTTGGCTGCTCTCTTTTAAATCTTTCCATTCAATCTTTCCAGTCCATTCCAATAACTCCATTACTAGGATAATATCCAGCTCATTAAAGACATACAAACTTTAGAAAAATACATACCTGATGAATGTACATATCAGGCTTGAACATTGAAGCATGGTACTCCAGAGAATGGACAAAAGCTGACATGCCACATTTGTGCAACTAAAGGGAATTCTAACCCCCATATTTTCTAGAATGTGTGGCAGTGTTAGAAACTCAGAAATATAAACTGGGCACCAAAAGGATGTCTAGTTGTCATTTGGGGGCAAGATGGACTGACTGTGGTTGAATTATCTTTTCAACATGGGAACATTGCCTTGCAAATCAGCCAACGAAGGGTGCAAACCATGTTAACTCAGAAGTAATTCCCACTGAATTCAGAGGGGCTTACTCTTAGGAAGACGGGTTGAGGATTACAGGTAAAAGTGCCACTCTCCTTAAAGCCTCTTCACTCCTGCAGGAGAAGAGAGGAACCAGACAGAGGCCTTGTGCAACGCCTTCCCTTCAGATATCAAGGAAATAAACAGCTATCTGACTTTTAAAAGACATCTGAAGGCAGCCCTGGATCGGGAATGTTTTAATGTCTAATGTTTTACCATTTTTTTAATGTGCTGTAAGAGAAACCCAGCCAGATGGGCGGCGTATAAATAATAAAATTGTTGATAAGTGACAATATAGCCCTCCCAGTCTTTATTACGCCTTTCGGCAGCCACGCCATGTGTACATGTATATATGTATATATGTATATGTATGTATATATGCATGTCAGGGCGTGTTTGATCCGAGGATGGATCAGATCCCCAGGTAACCATTATCTTGGCCCGATCCCTCTCTCTCTCAGTCTGGCCTACCTCACAGGGCTGTTGTTCGTGAGACTCAGGCTGCGATCCTAACCGCGCTTGTCTGGGAGTAAGCCCCACTGAATTCAAGGAGACGTTGTTAGGATTGCAGCCTAAAACGGGGGGTGGGGGTGGCGAGGAGAGAACGGGGTACGATGCCCTCAGCCCCCTGGAGGAAATGCAACTAACATTAAAAAGCATATAAATAAGCAGCGCCTCTCGACATTCCCTTTCTCCAAACTCACCTGAGGGAACGACTCGTTCTCGGAACCTTCCAGCGAGGGGCGCAGGAGCACGGACACTAATGGGAAAGGACCTTCCGCTTCCTAGACGGCTGCTGCAGGCGCATTTATTTGAGCCGTACTCGGAAAACCACTTCCGCTTCCTTCCATAGACTTACTGGACAAACTGACGAACTGTGCGGCTCAACTTCCGGTTCCTTTCTCGAACGAATGTAACCATAGACTTAAAGTAGAGTGGCGCGCAAGCGTCAGCTTTTACTCCTCCATTCCCCCCCCCCCCAGGATAGAGGAAGCAGCAGGTGCTCATGGCATTTAATGGATGATTCCAGGATTTAGGAGATGTTTTTAAAAAAAAGGAAAGAAAGAAACAAATCAGCCAGGTGTTGTATCTCTTAATCCTAGCATCTCTAAGGGCAGCCTGCATAGGACATAGGAAATCCCACAACTATTTTTAGTTAGTTACTGATTTTTTTATTCGCAAATTTAACAAAGAAACAGAAATAAAATTAAAAATACTATTTAAATACTGCTAATAATAACAAAAAACATAGCAATCATCTGTTCACAAGCTGAATGCAGTAATCATTAGTACATACATCTTAAGTTACTATAAGCCCTCCAAATGCCTATTAATTCTGTTCCTGCTCACAATCCATCTTAAGACTGAGACCAATGCAGACTTTATGGCTTTAACGCCAAACCAGTCTCCCTCCCCCTATCCTCACCACCTTGCTTAACACCAGGCTTTGATGATGAGTTCTGTAGAACTCAAGACATTTGTTCACTATTTTGTGACATTTTAATTAGCCCAATAAAGGTACTGAGCTACTATGGACTTTGGAATGCTGCAAGGGGCCACATTCCCTGAATAGCCAAGCTTCTTTGGACCCCAATGCCAACATTGAGCAGGGCCAAAAAAAAAAAAAAAAAGAATGGGCAGAGCAGCAGACATGTCTCTTACATTTGGGCAGTAGGCTACATTTCAGTCATACTCAAGTTACAAGTTAAAACACACACACGCTCCCAACAATTTCTCCATCCTCCATCAAGGCAAGCTTTTTTCAGGGGGAACTCACCAGAACTCAGTTCCAGCATCTCTCAGGTGAGTTTGGGCACCTCTGATGGGTGCCATTGCCATTCTAAGAGAAGGAGGGAGGTGTTCATGATGAGTTCCAGCACCCTTTTTTCTAAAAAAAATAGCACTACTGAAAACAGAGCATTTTAGTGCTAGCTATCTGAACAAACTCTTACGTTCCCTGAAGAGCTGCCTTTATTGAGCTGCATTTCCAAGTGATGTCCACTGCAGTCTTGGATGGCTGCTACAACGAGGTCCCGCATGCAGGCAGACTTTGTATTTGTGGTTAACCTTGGGTGGAATACATCACTCATTATCTGTTAACCTGCCCCTTATATAGAGACCCCAAAGATCGCTTTCTGAAACCTTTGTTCACACAAGCAAGCAGGTACACCTTGGCAGAAATGGTTCAGGGGGTTTTTTTGAGTGACAATAATAGCTTTTTAACACACAGTGACTCTATGCGAAAACCGCAAAAAAAACTTCAGGGAAAAGGAGTTAGCTAAAATCTCTATAAATTGTTGCGGTGATTTGGAGGTTTAATCTGAAATCAAGCTAGATTTTGGCAAATTGGTTTCTATGTGTCTTCACTCTCTTACATAATGGATGCTGGCTTCTGTTATGGGTATATGTTCTGTATTGTTATTATTGGTACTATTGTATGGCTAGAACAATAAACTTGTGAACTGATCTAATACTCAGTGATGATTAGCTTATGAAACTGTGTTAGTTAAGTAACTAAAAGGCATGGGGTATTTTAAAAGTATTTACAAAGATGCAAAGGATTACCTGTTTGAAAATGAAGAGGGTCTAAATTAAGGTGTTTCAATCTTGCCTGGGTATTTTGTTTTAAGAGGGAATTACTGAGGGAATACAACCCTTATGTAATTTGTATACATGCTGTTCCTGACGTTGCCTGTTTTTAATGCTTAATGAACACATAACCTAACATGTCTAATTCCCCCATTTTTCAAACTGCACATTATCAGCTTTCGAACTGCACACTATAAAAAACCTCCTCCCCCAGCCCCGCAACCATACACTTGCTGACTACTCACCCAATTAGCAACCCATGCAAGAATCTATATCCACCCACTTTCTTGCCTGTCTGTCACAGCTATCTGGCAGTCTCTCCCTCTCTCTCATATCAGCTTCTTGAACATTTTTGTATTCCTCTTCCCCATCTCTGCATCTGACTCCTCTTTTCTCTTGCCATTTTCTTTCTGAAGAATTCTTCTCCAACAATGCACACATTCTTTATTTTTTTTTTGTGGTGATGCACCATCACAATACAAAACCAAACCAAAAGCACAACATTTGATATAATTTGTTTTATTAATTAGTCTCCAGGTTGACACCATTTCATCAGGGACAGACATGGAATGACTGAATAATCACAAGTGGTCCCCATATTTAAAAACCCCATCCCTTGCTTTTCCCATTTGTTCTCTATATAACATTTGTTTAAAAACTCTGTTGTGAATTAGATACATTGAGATGATTACTTATGGCACCACAGCTATTTGAGAAGTCTCTGAAAAGAAATGCAGAACAGGATTGCCAGTGTCTCTCTCTTCTTTACCAAACAGGAGCTCAGCGGAGGAGAAACCTCTGCCCTGCCTAAGCAAGGGAAACTCACAAGAATTCAATGCACAATGATTAGAAGCCATTATATTCCCTTTCTGAAAAATAAATTATTACAAATGCATTCAGCCCACAATTGTTCCCTATCAGATTGAATTATTTTTTTCATGAGTAACTCAGTCCAGCCATCAGCATCCAGCAAATGAAAACCCTTCTAAGATGTTACTGTCTCAAGTGGCAGCCCATAAGCAACACCCACTACTTCCAGGCTAAGATTCAAGGCCTATTGGTGCTACCATTTCAGCACACAGTGGACGCTGGAAATGCAGCTGCAAGATGGCCTTGAGGGACAAGAAGCCAGAACCCAACTAAGGAGGAAAAAGCAATGGGAAGCTAAATGTCAGGACAGATGAACATAAGCTGGTGCTGGTAACAGTGAGGTTTGGTGCATGAGGTTTGTGAATGCAGAAGACATCTATGGCTTACCATAGGTGCTGGGAGATGACAGCAAGCAATGGAACAATATTGCAGGTGATGGGACACCACAAGCAGAAGAGCCCTGCTGGATGAGACCAAAGGCCCATCAAGTCCAGCATCCTGCTCTCACAGCGACAAGGCCAGATGCATATGAAAACCCCACTAGCAAGACATGAATACAACAGAACTCGCTCACTCTTGTTCCCCGGCAACTGTTATTCACAGTTACATTGTCTCTGACACTAGGGGTATCCTTTCTGGTTCAGCTCCATGCACGTCTTCTCCAAACCATCTCAAGGAGGCATTCCCCAATCCCTGCAAACAGCAAGCTGGCTGGCACAGAGCCCACAGTCATTCCCCACTTGCATGGTCTCCATTTGGAAGAGCCACAGAGAATGAACAAATTCTCTAGCCTAGAATCCCTGAGATGCAGTTCGGGCACAAGATTTATCTGTACTAACGCGCCTGACGTTTTTGGTTTACAACAAAACCTGTGAACAAGGAAGGATAGATGCTAACACACACACACACACACACCCTAGAGCTGATATCATTTGGGTCCTGTTATCACCAAGCTGGTCAACCTGGGATGGGACTGCATTACTTCCAGCTGCGGGTGGGATTTCACATGATGGAAAGCCCCTCCATTCAAAAACAACAACATCCCTACATGAAGAAAACTAGCACATCAGGGAGATAAATTCTAGCTTAGCTTTCTCACTGCTTGCTTTCCATGTACAGGGATTTTTTTCTCTTTTTTAAAAGGAGGAACATTTACCTGAAGTACTGTCAGGAAAAAATAAAAAATTGTCCAGTAGAAGAAGAGGAGTTTGGATCTGATATCCCGGCTTTATCACTATCCGAAGGAGTCTCAAAGCGGCTAACATTCTCCTTTCCCTTCCTCCCCCACAACAAACATTCTGTGAGGTGAGTGGGGCTGAGAGACTTCAGAGAAGTATGACTGGCCCAAGGTCACCCAGCAGCTGCATGTGGAGGAGCAGAGACATGAACTGGTTCACCAGATTAACTACTACACCACACTGGCTCTCACAATTTAATTTAATTTAATTTATTTATTAAAAGTAGCATATTTAATTATTATTTTTCGACTGCATCAGACCAACACAGCTACCTACCTGAATCTGAAGTACCGTGTTCAGTTCTAGGGACTGCAGAGGATACTGATAAACAGAGCATGTCCAGAGGTGGGCAAGAAAGATGGCTAGAGGCCTGGAGACCAAGTCCTTCAAGGAAAGTTCGAAGGAGTTGGGCATCTCTAGCTGGAGAAGAGACAATTAAGAGGTGATGTGATAGCCATCTTCAAATACTGTGCTGGTTAGAGTATTGGGCTGGGGCCTGGGAGACTAGGGTTCAAATTCCCCACTCAGCCATGAGGTTCACTGAGTGACCTCGGGCCAGTCACAATCTCTCAACCTATCCTACCTCACAGGGTTGTTGTGAGGATTGAAATGGAGAGGGGGAGAACTGTGTGTGCCACCTTGCGCTCCAGAGAGGAAGTGAGAGATAGTCATGTAAAATAATAGAATCACAGAATTGTAAAGTTGGAAGGGGCCACGAGGGTCTTCTAATCCTACCCCCTGCAATGCAGGGATCTTGGGCAAAAGATCCCTGCATTGCAGGGGGTGGAATTAGAAGACCCTCGTGGGGCTCAAACCCACGACCCTGAGAATAAGAGTCTCATGCTCTACCAGCTGAGCTATCCACAATAATAATAATAATGGCAGAGGGCTGAACTAGTTGATTTTGAGGTCCCTTACAACTCCTTATGATTCTACCATTCAAGATTCAAGCTTATGAGCCCTTACGTGCAAGCTGAAGTAATACTTCCCCAACACAAATTCACCACTGCAGAGAGAATTGCTCATCATGTATACCTGAAGGGCATTTTCCCTCTTGGGGATCAAGAGCTACAGATCATCTTCAAACCACATTGTCCCCCCATTCCCTTCACAGACTCGACCAACTTCTCTAATCCCTGAGCTGCAAGGATCATTACAGGGCACTGCCAGGCACACTCAATGGGAAGCAAGTTCCCCCCTTCTTGTTGCTGCATTTGAAAGCAGAGCTCCCTGAATTTCTCAAGTCTGACTCCTCCGACTGATGAGCGAGATGAACAGAGGCCAAGCTGTTCCAACTGATTCCATCTGCTCAGAATGACAAAAGCTGGCTTCCCATCTTTGAGAACAGGCCGGCCTTTGCAGTTTTTAACGAGAGAAACAGGCATGCACTGAGAAGGTGGGTGGACTTCTACAGGGATGCTTAAAAATAGCAGAGTTTAAAAACCCTTGCTGCTTCCCCCCTGCCCCACCAACACATACATTAACCCATTTCACAGAGCCAACACAGGAGCAGGGAATATGTTCTTGTGAAGCAGGAGGAGGAAATTGCAGGTGATGGAGGTGAGGGGAGAAAAGGAAGTAAAAAGCTTCAAGAAGGGAGGAAAAGCACACCACCAATCTGAACGAGTTTTGAAAGCATTCTTCTTTGGTGGTCTCTAATCCTATGGGATTAGCCCACTTTTATTAGATCTAACACAACAGAGGAAGAAGTTGCTGTAGGTAGCCAAAGAGAATGGCTGCCCATACAATAACTCCATTCTGGAGGACCCACCAAAATTAAGGTGAAAATAATCTACTCTTGCCAGAAGTCTACATTAAGTTCTGAAGGCAGACAAGACTCTTTTAAGTGTCTCTGATTCAGTGGAACTGCCAATCTTTAATAAACCCTGAATGCACACACACACACTTGTGAGGCCAAACAGTAATGATCTAGCAACAGAGAATACAGCAAGATAAGACGCAGGGGCAGAGGAAGGCATAAACATACTTCACAGCCACTTGAACACCAGGGAATATCACGTTCTCTTATTCAAAGCACACAATCCCATAAAGCAAACAAACAATAGCCCTGTTCAAGCACCATGGGTACCAACCCACTTAATGAGCAAGGGGGTGAATATGGTGACCCCATCTCCCAACAACTCCATCCTTATCCACTCAGTCCCTACACCCTTCCTGCGTTGACCTGGGAAGACCTGGAGGAGGCAAATGCAAGTAGAAGTCACCCACCAGACCTTTCCAGCTCAACATGCAAAGGTTGGGAACCAAGGGGGCGAGGGGCAGGGTCCATGGGGGGTATCAAGAGCAGGCCTGCACACATGACCCTCTGCCTCCTACCTGGGTTATATTTCCTGTTCAGGTGTAGCACTGTATTTCACCATGGGAAGGACCATGACTCAGTGGCAGAACACCTGATTTTCATGCAGAAGGTCCCAGGTTGAACCCCCAGCATCTCCCAGTAGGGCTGGGAGAGACCCCTAGATGATACCTTGGAGAGTGGGAGTGGCTGCCAGTCAGTGTGGGCTATACTGAGCCAGATGAACCAATGGCCTGACTTGGTATGAACCAGCTTCCTATGTTCTGATGTTGGATATGATGGGGTGTTGGCCAAGGAAACCAGAATGAGTTGCCGTATTATTGGTTATTTTATTTTTACTATGGTAATAAGATTTATATGCTGTCCTTCCTCCATAGATCTCACGGTGAGTTAAAATACAAGATAAAATACAAGATCCATACTCAGATCAAGAAAAAGCATTGGAGGTTGAAGTGAAGGTCTGCTCAGGATACAGTAGAGGCTTCCATGTTCCGAAAAGCGCTTGTCCGTGTGTGGTGGCTCTTCACACAAGACAGCCTGTTATAGACAAGCTTCACATTAATTCCTATACAGAAGCATCTTCTGTGCCTGCATGTTTTTTTAAAAAACAAAAATCCATAGAGCAGCCTTGCGGCTCTGTGGAAACACTGATAAAAATCAATGAAAATACAATTACTGGATGCTGGGCCTTCTGGCACCACCAGACAATTCAGAAACATTAGGAATTGCACTATAATGTTTTGGCCAAGGAAAGAAAAAACTCCACTCTTTATATTTAGTTGAGAATTGCCGTGTATTAGTGAGCCAATGGAATTTGGAACGTTGTTCATAGAAGAAGAAGAATTTGGATTAGATATCCTGCTTTATCACTAACCGAAGGAGTTTCAAAGCAGCTAACATTCTCCTTTCCCTTCCTTCCCCACAAGAAACACTGTGAGGTGAGTGAGGCTGAGAGACTTCAGAGAAGTGTGACCAGCCCAAGGTCACCCAGCAGCTGCATGTGGAGGAGCAGAGATGTGAACCCGGTTCACCAGATTACGAGTCTACTGCTCTTAACCACTACACCACACTGGCTCTCGTAGAATTGTAGAGTTTGAAGGATGCCAAGGGCCCTCTGGTCTAACCCCCTGCAATGTAGGAATCTCAGCTAAAGCATCCATGACTGATGGCCATCCAACCTCTGCCTAAAAACCCCAAGGAAGGAGAGTCCACAACCTCCTGCAGGAGACCTGTCACACAGCTCTTAGTGTCAGCAAGTTGTCCTTGATACGTAGTCGGAATTTCCTTTCTTGTAGCTTGAATCCAATTGTTTAAGTCCTACCCACCAGAGCAGGAGAAAACAAGCTTGCTCCATCTTCCACGCAATAGTTCTTCATATATTTGACTATGGCTATCATATCTCCTCTCAGTCTCCGTAAAATTATGAGGTCATGGAACCAATTGCCTGGTTGGAGGGAGGCTCTCGCTGATCAGAGGTCTTCGAGCACAAGTTGAACAACCACCAGTTGGTGATGCTCTACATCTGGGTTTGTGGCATCAAGCAGGGGCTTGAACTATATGGCCCACACAACAGGGGTTGGGAACCTCAGGCCTTTTGGCCCTTCCCCCAGGCAACACCCCTCACTTGACCCTGTTACTTACACACACACACACACACACACACACACACACACACACTTTTCATGATTTTGCCTGGCTGGAATGTGTCTTGAACTCTGATTGAACTCTTGCTTGTCTAGATGGAAGGCAGAGAGAAACTAGCCTGCTGTACAAAAGTAACACAGGCGTTCATAGCTCCACTTGGTTTTGCCTCTGGCCCTGCACACCACCAGCACATGGCCCTCGAAAGCTTGTCCAGAAGGGAACAAGATCCTCTCCATGATTCTAGATATGGGGCTTCTGGGGTTGGGGGCATGTTTGGAATGTGGTTCATACTGAACACAGAGGTCTGCTCCAGTTCAAACAGGGCAGCTCTACAGCACTGCTCACAACTTTGTTTTTTAAGCCACGCACTAGCACTGCCTTCCTATCGATACATCGGAAGAGTAAATGGACCTGTTTATAATACCGCACGTTAAGGTAAGTGGTAACCTCTGGTGGATCAGCATGGAATGAAAAGGTTGAGCTCTGGTTTTGAGAGTGAAGAGAGTGTGAAAAAGAGCAGGGTTTAAACGCTAATAAGCCAGCAATGCCCTACATCAGAAACATGCAGCCCCCCCCCAGGTTTTGGATTACTACACCCATCATCTCTGACCATGCTGGCCGGGGCTGATGGGAGTTGGAGACCATAACACCCAAAGGGTCACAGGCTCCCTAACCCTGTTCTATACAGTATAAGTTGCAAATAGCTGAGACAGAATGAACCTGACAAAGTTCTTGCAACCGGCAGCTATTGTGAACTGGGTTATTCATGAAACCCCCAGAGTGTCCCTTTAGCAGCTCTTGAATGTTTGGGCTCTCCACGCTCACCCCGGCTGATGCAGCTATAATATCATCTACCAACACAGTAAAATTTAAAAACCACCACTGTACATTGTTTCACAAAAGGGGAAGGGAGACCAGCACACACATGTACAGTCACTACAGCACGACACAATAGTCCTGCATGTCAACGCAACAGCTTCTTCAGATTGGGGGGAGTGGGAGAGAGAGAACAAATTATCTCCAAGGACAATTATCCTAGAACAAAGTCAAAGGGTGGAGGAAGAATAACAATTTTGACATGCCTCCATCCCATCAAGGAGGCTATTATACAGCCCGCCCTGCGCCAACCCTTCTATACAGTGGAATTTACATACACAGAGAAACACACACGCTCTCCTCCAGTTCTTCCTGCCCACTTCAAGTCACAACCCTCTCAGGTTCACATCTCACTCGGGAAGTTCTAGTTGGGTGGGGAAGGTCACACCTCACATGTCATTGGGGTAGTTATAGTTAGGAGTGGCCGAATACTGCGTCTCGTGGGGCATCATGGCTCCCTGGGCAGCACCGACCGCCACGTTCTGAGCTGCCTGCTGCACGTGGGGGTTCTTCCAGGCTCCCGTCGTCCATTCCTCTTGTGCTTTGCTGATACTCCCACCGCTTCCCCGGTAAAATTTATGGACCTGGAGTGGGGTGAAAGTAAAACAGGGTCGTTCATCACCTTTTTCAGTTTAGCCTTGGAAGGACAAACAAAGGAGCCAAGCTCATGGTCGTTTCTTGGGGAAATCATGTAGCCATCAAACATCAGAAGAGCTCTGCTGGATCAGGCCAAGGGCCCGTCTAGTCAGCATCCTGCTTTCACCAGACGCCCATGGGAAGCCTGCAAGCAGGACCTGAGTGCAACAGCACTCTCACCACTTCTGAATCCAAGTAACTAGTATTCTGAGTACCCATTGATAAGCCTTTATTCTCCATGAAACTGTATAATACTCTTTTAATTCAAGTTGGTGATCATCCGTAGTTTAACTGTGCACCATGTGAAGAAGTTCTTTCTTTTCTCTGTCCTGAATCTTGCTAGTGGCTGCCCAAGATTCTCCAAGTACATGGACAGATACTTCTGAGGCACACATTAAATATATAGGTGTGAGGTGCACACAGAAAAAAAATGTAAGAAGCAGCTTCTTGGTGACTGGTATATGCCAATCAAAATCCATGCACACTGCACGTCACTTGTGTGAACACAGTCATGTCAACTCTGGCCCTTGAAAACAGAAGGATCAGGCAGCAGGAGTCTCCTGGGCATTCTCAGCCAATAGAGTGTGAGATATATCTATGTAGCATCCCCATGCAAAACCTTTCCCACGTCTTACCATACTGAGGGCAATGAAGGAGAAGACAGACATGGCTGTGAACATGATGGTGGGGATGAGCATCACGACAGCTGACCCCACGTTCGTCCCAAAGAAAGATATTGCTGCAATCCAGCCACTGCAGAGAAACAATGAGAGTGAGAGGAAACATTGTGAGGAAGCTATGGTGCTGCTACTGCCACCACTCAGAACCACTCCTTTGAGTCATAACCTGGAGAAAGGTCATAGTGCAGCGGCAGAGAGCCTGCTTTGCATGCAGAAGGTCCCAGGATCCAAGCTCAGAAGGTGGCCTCTGGGTCTTTATTTTAATTATATTTGCCTTATAGGATTTCTCAGCTAAGGTCAGTTATTGAGCCAGGCTTGATGGGTAATTAATATTTTCAGATTCTTGTTGGAGCCCTTTAAGATGAGTTGACCAATCCAGAACAGTGGAAGGAGGAGGAATGGCCTCATTTAGAATTAACTCATTCAGCTCCCTCTTACCCCCCTCCTTTTGGAGAAAATAATGTGTGATTTTGCTCTGTCTCCTTCGGGGTTCTGGGGAGCTGATTAACGAATCTGGCATGATTCCCAGAACTTTGCAGTTCTTTCTAGTAAGTACCATAATAATTATGATTATTCTTCGGCAGTTTGCAGAAATCAATTATCTCCATACGTGGTGGCCTTGAATTTATAGGTCCGGCGTCAGTGCCATCCAGCAGAAGGGAGCATTTTGGAGACTCTCTGCAGCTGCCACCTGGGCTCGCTCGTCAACAGTTCTGATAATCAATATGTTTCTCTTCCTTAATTTATAACTAGTACAGTGGTACCTCGGGTTAAGAACTTAATTCGTTCCAGAGGTCCGTTCTTAACCTGAAGCACCACTTTAGCTAATGGGGCCTCCCACTGCCACCGTCGCGCAATTTCTGTTCTCATCCTGAAGCAAAGTTCTTAACCCGAGGTACTTAGCGGGTTAGCGGAGTCTGTAACCTGAAGTGTCTGTAACCCGAGGTACCACTGTATCTTGTAAACTTTGGCTCAACCTTGCCTAGCAAAGTGCTCCAGTTTCATGCAGCCTCACAGTTTAGAGGAGTTAGAACAATAAAACAATGGGATAAAACAATAAATTAAAACAACAAAACGAAGCACTAAAAGGTGTTAAGAAATAAAATGGAAGAGAGGATAAAAACAAATGCTATGGGTTGGTTATAGAGCAGAAACTTGCCTTAGAGCTCAAAACCCTGCTTCAAGCATTTGGCAGCCATCTTCCCCTCTCCTACACAGCAGGTATGAAGTGGAAGGATAAAAAGGGCATTCAATCCCCAGCATCTCCAGCTAACGAGATCACAGGGCAGTTCCCTATCCCTGATCTAGGCCATACAGTTAATTGCCTAAATATTTATTTTAAGTGGGTGGCTGCTCTTGTTAACCCCTCAGATGTCCAGCTTACCAGACTCCCCAGCCGGGGATCCCGACTGCCTGGATGATGCTGATCACCAGCTGAGCCATGAAGGTGAAGAAGAAAGCCATGAAGCTGAAGGAGCTGTCTGTCCTACAAAAGAAAAGAGCCCATCATTGTTGCTTTCTCCACTGACAACCAGTCCAACCACTAGGCAGGTCTCCCACCAGCAGTCAAGACTTAAAAGGAAAGAGAGAGTGCTCTCCCATCCTTTGAAAAGAGACCTGTCACCATACAAGATGATCCACTTAGGATGAAAGCAGCCTCCAGGAAAAGACAGGAGGGAAAGCACCTATTTATTGATGGCTGAACAGAGAAAGGATGACCAAGCTAGCATTAATTTGCAGTGCTAATTTTAAAAAGCTTCCCCCCATTTCTGCATGCCTAAGAACACTGAACACACACTGAAGATGACTAGGACTGCTTGGAAAGGGAGAGGACATTCTGCCACAATGCCTTTCCTTATAGTGATAGTGATCAGACACATGGCTTAAAGTCATGGGCGGGGGCAAGGATGGATAAGAGAAGGAAGGGTGATGTGATTCGCAGGTGAGAACAGGAGAAGCAGAAATGTGTGGTAGAAGCTGGAGACCACCACGGGTTAGAACATCTGTGCACAGGGGAATAAAACAGGAACTAAGGAATGGGTGGATATGGAGGGGCTACTGAACGCAGCAGCAAAGGGATGGGAAATCTGTGGCCTTCCAGATGTTGCCAGACTATAATGCCCATCATCCCACACTGTTGATCAGGCTAGCTGGGGCTGATGGGAGTTGGGAGTCCAACAGCAAGTGGAAGCCATGGATTCCCCATCTGTGCAGTAGGACCTAGCCAAAAGAACTGAGGAGCACACTGGGGTGGGGCTGGAGAATGAGAGAGAGAGAGAGAGAGAGAGAGAGAAGCTGTGCCTATCACTTACTTGAAGGCTTTGTAAATGGGTCTAAACCAGCAGACATAGGAGCAAGGCGTAAAGAGAATGAGCCAGAGAATTGCCAGTCCAAAGTTAACTGCTCCACCACCTCCGATCATCCACGCAAGGCAACCAATCAGATTCACTGCCAAGGTGATGCTATTCACTGCAAACACATTTATCGAAAGAGACACACAGAGAGAGGAGCAAAAGTAGCAGATCACACAGCAAGAGCTGGACAAGCTGAGAATGGGAAAGATAAATGAGTTCAGAGCTTCAATGAAGAATAATAAGTGCCGCCTCCACAATTTTCTAAGGGTGTTTCCAGACCATAGCTATTTTCAGGTATGATTCAACCACATGCTGGCAAATTCAGGTTATGCAATTAAAGCTGAGTTAGAGGCCTTGCCCAACAAACCCACTTCTCCAAAATGACAGGAACCTAGCCTCCCAAATCTTTTACAAACAAATCAGTATGAATGTTCTATAAACACACATTGTCTGGAAGTGCCCCTAGTCAGGCTTCTCACATTCCCTTTGGGAAAGGCAAGGAAGAGAGACAAAGGAGTAGAACAACAAAAAGGAACCAAATAAATCTACCCTCTTAACAGTCAACAACTACCTACAGTGTTGTTGTTTTAAACTGTTTTTATTAAATATTTTGAGACTACACTGACGACTGAGTTGGCCCTTATGGAAACAGAAACCAGGAACAAAGACGAAGGCTGGGACTGGAAAACTGTTTCATGCTGGCCAAAACCTTTTGTCCAGATCTGAAGAATTAATACTCTATCTGGACATGGTTCCACACATATGTCTACAAATAATAACCTAGGATTGCCATATTTAAAAAGGTGTAAATCCAGACACAAAAGTTGTTTCCTCGGCCCAGTATACCTGAAGGAGCATCTCCACCCCCAATCGTTCAGCCCGGACGCTGAGGTCCAGTTCTGAGGGCCTTCTGGAGGTTCCCTCACTGAGAGAAGTGAAGTTACAGGGAACCAGACAGAGGGCCTGCTCGGTAGTGGCACCCGCCCTGTGGAACGCCCTTCCATCAGATGTCAAGGAAATAAACAACTATCTGACTTTTAGAAGACATCTGAAGGCAGCCCTATTTAGGGAAGTTTTTAATGTCTGATGTCCCTTTTCTTCAGCCATTGTGACCCTTTTCTTAAATAGCAATTAGAAAACAAAATGGCAGACAGACTATTGACACCACATCAGTCCAGTGCTTAAAATCTTGCAGACTGCCCATATGTTACCAGGCCAAGGTCAAGTTCTTGTCTTAATTTACAAAACCTTTAACAACTTGAGTCCAGGATGCCTTTATGACCACCTGATGCCTTCGATATCCAGGATCTTTCAGGGTATATCTGTTGGAGGTCCCCCAAGGCTAAGATTGGCAGCTCATATCTGCCAGGAGCCCCACATTCCGCATTGTGAGCCTAATTCTGCCTCTCTGGCCAAAAAAATTCTATCAATATTGAAAATAAATTAAAATTTTAAATTCAGATTTGTGGAAAGGGAAATGAAAGAGTGGGTCCCTTACTGCTTCTGGTCCATGCTTCCCCACTTACACCCACTGGAATGTTGGCCTGCCCTTTTAACCCTCCAACCTCCACAACTTACACATCCAGAGGTAGTAAAGACGTTTGACTGTGGTTCGGTGTAGGGGTGGGATTTCCTCATCAAAATCCTGGTAAAAGCACGGTTTCAATGGGATGAAATGAGGGAGAGGAGGGAAATTGTTCATTCTTTCTGCAAGAAAAACAGAAGGCAAGTTATTTCTTTTCCATTTCCCTCCGCAAGTAATATTCAATATTCAAGCAGGGCCGTTTCCGAATGGTTCAACACTTTTGAACACAATGATTGTATACAAAAGCTAGGCACAAAACCATGGCTTGCACTAACCACATTAAACAACAATGGCTTAGCAAAAACAAATCACAGTATTGCCATTATGTTTCAACCCAGCAAATATCTCTGCCACTCTTATAAGAACCCTACTGTGAAAATACTATAGGCAAGGGATGGGCATTCTGTGGCTTCCCATACGTTGCTGAACTAGCGTTCACATGGTCCTTGGCCACACTCCAATAGGTGTTGGAGTCCAACAATATATAGAGTGCCAAGTTCCCAACCCCTGTTATAAGCAAAAAGCAGAGAAAGAACAGCTTGCCTTGAGTCACTCAGTGATTTCGTATGTTCAGACTGAGGGACTTCCTGGTGTACAGCTGAGACTCTTGATCATTACAGCATTGCAACTTTCAACTAGCCATATTGCAGCTCCTCTGAACTTACTTTGCCATGAGAATGTGAGTGCAAAAGTACAGTAGTTTGAAATGTGGTTCAGACTGCATTTTCTAAAAAAGAACTCCTCATTCTGCTCCCAAAAACAGTTCCATTAATAATTTAAATACTTCTCTTTTGGTCTGTCCCCCATCCCCAATGCACACTTTACATACAGATAAAGTTAGCAGCCTCCTATGCACCTGTTCTGTGACAAAGATAACACAGAAGCTGATGCCCCAGACAGTGGGGGAGCAGAGAGAAGAGGATATTTTAACAAACTATTACTGGTTGCGATGACTAAATTAATTATTCAGAATCCCCAGACAATGAGCTGTGCATCTTATTTGTGACAATTTGCTTGAGGTGAACAGTTCAATATGCAATCCTAAGAACATTTGCCTGGAGGTGAACCTGTGGAAAGAGGATTTATTCCTAAGAAGGGCCTGCCCAAGACAATTTAGCACTTTAGATATAAAATCTAAATGGCACTGTTTCATGCCATCACCTCCCAGCAGTAAAAATCCAATAACAAATTAAATGAATGACAATGATATCCCAGGTCTGAGTCAACAGCCCTTCTGCCTAATGGCAGATTTGGCTTAACTTCCAAGAAAATACATTTATGATCAACAGCATAACATATTGATTAGAGGGTAGGGAGGGCAGAGAAATGACAGAGAAATGACTATAGAACTATGTACAGCGAGAGGAACTGTTTCTCCCTCTCTTGGTGCTCTGGGGTTCGTGGGACTGATAACAGCCACAATAATATAAAAGGCTCATTTGGGTGACTTTCAGGTCAAGGGAGAAGGGCGACTGACATACAGAAAAGGGACCACTAGCATTCCAATGATGAGTGCCATTAAGAAGTCTGGAAGCCTTCCTTATGAAATAAAAATCCAGAGTGTATAATTGGGCTGATTTCCATCTACATCAAGGGTGGGGAACCTCTGGTTCACAGGCTACGCCCCCTGGTACACCTGCCAGGGGTACCAGTTTGGCCTCTTCCCCCCTCCACACCTGACATTATAGGTGATGTTAGGTGTGGGACTGGTATTCATATGGCTTCAAATGAACAGTTGGGAGCTGAAAATGAACTCCTGGTGGTTCCTTTCCTAGAGCAAGGCATGCTTCCACTGCCCACGAATGGAGGAAGGAGGAGGAAGTGATTTCCATTGAAACACTTGCTAATATAGATAGGCCTTTCTTGTCCATTTTAACAGCATTTTTAATGGAAACTGCTTTCTGCTCCTGAAGCAAGGTTCAACACAGGGCTATTTGAAAGCCCTTTTGCAAGCAGCCCTTGCTGTAACTCTACATCACTGAGGAATTGTGGGTGACTTCTGCCATAGACCATTCTACATATCAGTGACAGCCAATGTAGAATCCCCCAGATGTCCTTGGCCTCCAGCTCCCATCAGTCCCAGCTAACATGGTCAATGGCCAGGGATGATGGGGAGTCAACAACAATGGGAAGCGACCACATTGGCTATCCCTGGCATATACTCATGGCAATCTCCTTCTCTGAGTGTGGACTCTTGTACAGTCAGAACAGCACCATCTACACACAAGAGAGAGGCATCAGCAGACTCAGTGGAACCCCAAGGTGTGTGGAAGTACAAACACACACACAAATCTACAAGAGAAGAAACAGGTTGGGGGAAGAGTCCCGCAAGCATGCTCTGTGGGAATGGAATGTTGGCTGACTGCTGTAGTGGGGCAGAGGAAGAGGGAAATTGAATATCCTGAAAGAAGGCATGGCCAGCTGGCTGCCTTGAACAACAGGATTCAAGACTGCAACAAAATCTGCGTTTCCTGAAATTAACCAAATAAGAGCACAAAACTTATTACCAGTGCCCTACCTGACACTGCTAAGTATTTGGGGCAACCAGAACAAATATAGTCAAAGAAAAGTTGGCTTTTTAATGGCTGCGAGACTATTAATCTCTAAATACTGGAAATATCTGAAGGGCCTCTCTATAGAGGCTTAGTATGAAAAGCTATTAGTATTGGCAATTTCAGAGAAGATTATCACTTAAATATGATTATTTGGAGGACAAATCAAAAAAGCCAAATTTTGCACCATTTGGTCAGGCTTCACTGATTATTTAGCAAAATTGGACGATCCTAGTGGAATACTAGGATGGTTTGCATTCATATGGGGCCAATAATCTCCACTACTTATTCTTTTCAAAGTCCAGATACCTTTGATGGGTACAAGAAGTTGTGACTGGAGATTTCTGTGAAGCAACAGATGGGCATCTCTAGACTGGTTCCACTTGTCGCTGTCTGTCTTTGGCCATTGGCAGACCACTGACAGATCAACACTGTGAATTGCTATGAAAGTGGGAGCTCTGTCCATCAAAAGTTGTCGCTGTGTCAAACACAGGCATCTCAGGAGTACTGATCTTGTCATTAAGTCTTGACTCACTTCAGCCTCCCAGTTCAGGCTGGAACATAGGAATATACAAACTACTGTTCCAGGATAAAAAGTGTTAATAGAATCAGGCCTTGCTCAGAGCATCAATTCCTCACACAATGAAAGCTTTTCCTCACACAAGGAAATCTTACTGTCATCTTACCTCCCATGATGTCGCTCAGTCTTTATTCCACAGATAGACAGAAGAACTTGTCACACCACCAATAAAGCTGAAAGAAATCAGGGAACAGTTATGTGGATAGCATCATTATATAGTTTTGCCACCAGATGACACTGAACTTATTTGTATCTGATTGGAGCCAGGCACTTCCTGCTTGTTTGAGAGAAACAATCAAGTACTGGGCTAGCTTTATGAATTGTGTGTGCTCCCAAGACTTCAATGACAACAGATATGATGTTAAAGGAAGAGACTAGGGATAAACATGTCTTTGACATGTAAGGCTTTCCACTTCTGATAGACCAGGCCTAATTATGCAATTTGCTTCCTTTGCAGCCTCAAAATCCAAGGGAACATTTGCAGTGGCTTGGCACAACTCGAAACAAAAGCATCACCACCTCAGTAAACTTAAGATCAATGTAAATCAGGGTGGGGGACTTTTTTCCAGCTGAGAGCCATGTTACTTTCTGGGCAAGCTTCTTAGAGGCACAGGCCAGCGGTGGACAGGGCCAGACACAAATGTGGGTGGAGAAATGAATGCAAAGTTTATAGTTTGTACACACACTCCTCTCTAGTCTCCAGACAAACAAGAGACATTATTCCAAGGACATATTCCAACCATGCAAAACCACTTGGGGGGCAAAGGAGGGCCATTAAGGGGTACGGCATGGAGAGAATTCCCAGGGAACCAGATATAGAAGCCTGGAAGGCCACATTTATTTCCAAACCATTATATAAAGAGTAAGGCCTTCTTAGCTATTTTAAGCCTGATGTATTTGCCGCCCTGGGCTCCTTTGGGAGAAACAGGCAGGGGGAATATACATTTAACAGTACAATAATAATTGTGCTCATCTTCCTATTCTTTCCCAGTCAATTAGAATTCCTTTCCTAAGTAGATAAATTGGAAATGCACAAGATCTGACTAGCAACTGACAGGCAAAGCTGTTAGAGGCATCCATAGCAAGCGTCCAGCAGAAGCCTGTGTTGCTAAACAAACCGGCTTTAGCCTAAGAAGTTAAAAAAGGTTCTACAATGTAGGACAGACATACTTAGCCTCTGGCTCTTCCTGAGTAACCTATGAGTGACCTACATTGACCCACACTACTCTCTAATCCACAGAAGCAGACCTGGACAGGAAGAGCCAGAATAGATCTACAAGGACAGCCAGCTTGACTGTAGTGGCACTACAGTCCCAGACTTTGGCTCATGTTTTCTGAAGGATGTATCCAAAAAATCCAAGCTTCTGCCTTATGACATCAAGATGAAAATACAGCAGAATGCATTGTTCCTCATAGGGGATTATCTCCCTGTTTTCTTGCATTGATTAGGTATTGGTTTGGTGCATTCCCAAGGACTTAAAGCAGGTGACTCTATAGCTGCATAAACACCATATACTTAAAGCACGTGGCTTCCTCCAGAGAATACTGGGAACTGTAGTTTACCCACACAGAGCCACAATGCCTAGCACTTCCTGAACAAACTACAGTTCCCAGGATTCTTTGTTGGAACTATTGTATGTGCTTTCAATGTATGGTGCACAGACACACCTATGCTAAGCTTAGAGTCTTCTGCACAAGGTCTGCACAAACCAGGATTGCAAACCATGGTTTGAATACTCTTTGCAATCCTATTGTTTCATTTGATTCCACTGATACCTCGTCTTTCTTCCAAGGAGCTCAAGGAGGTTACACGGCACTTTCTCCTTCTACAGTGGTACCTCGGGTTAAGTACTTAATTCGTTCCGGAGGTCCGTTCTTAACCTGAAACTGTTCTTAACCTGAAGCACCACTTTAACCAATGGGGCCTCCTGCTGCCACCGCGCCGCCAGAGCACGATTTCTGTTCTCATCCTGAAGCAAAGTTCTTAACCCGAGGTACTATTTCTGGGTTAGCAGAGTCTGTAACCTGAAGCGTATGTAACCTGAGGTACCACTGTATCTGTATTCTGACAACAACCCTGTGAGGTAAGCTAGGCTTTAAGACTGGCCAAAGGTTACCCCAAACAGCTTCATGGCTAATCAGTTCATGGACATGGTGATAGCTCAGCTCCCACCTCCAATTCTGTGTAGGGGCCCTCTGTGTCTTGCGGAAAAATTGAGGTGCTGTGACCCCTAAAAGTCCCAGATTGGCCTCCACTGTCTTACTGCCCAATGGCCCAGCTTGTTCCTCTGTAACATGTGCTTTGGGGAGTGCCAGGTCCTCCTCTGAAGAGGATTCGTCCAGTAGGCTGCATGACAGTTAACAATAACCTAAGAGGTACACAAATCAATGCCATTTTGAAAGGTTCGATCCACTATCTTGATTCAAAATAGCTTTCAATAGTATTGAAATATACACAAAAAAACCTGCCCCTTGATCTCAGGAACCATCATGCCAAGTTTGGTGTCTACACCTCAAGAGGTGTCTGAATGTATAGAGAATAGACAGAGGGGCAAACAGCAATTTTCCAAAATATACACCAGAAGAAAAGAAGATACTGTGGGAGAGAGGGGGATGACAGAACCAAAATATGCAAATCCTGTATTTTTTCCATGTATAAGACTTCAAATTAAGGGGACTCCAAATTAAGAAAACACCCCTCAGCACTACCCGTGTATAAGACGAGCCCCAATTTTAAACCTAATTGTTTGGCAAAAAAAACCCTAGTCTTATACACAGAAAAATATGGTACTTATATGTGCTTATCCCATACTAAATGTTTTCAGAACTGGTTCTCAGATTTGAACTTATACATTACATTGATTAGCATGAAAAAACATCTACAGATCTTTCCGAGAACTAATGTTTCCATTTCATTTATTTACTTAAATGTTTTAATGTCACACCCTACTTTGCAATTAACACTTAAAAACTAATGACAACCATATTAAAGCTAGCACAAAACAGTAAGCGAAAACAAAAACAAAATTAGCATTAAGTGGCTTTTGACAAAAGCCAAAGCAAATAAGGTGCCTTCTCTTGGTGCCGAAAGGATGTTAAATTCAGTGCCAGGGAAGCATTCTTGGGGAGAGTGTTCCATAAATGCAACAAGGGAGGCTGTCCCAACCTGATACCAGCCCAATGTTTTGGACTAGAACCCAAGAGATGTGTCTTTTCTGAAAAATGTCAAAGTTGCATAGAGGAATTTTCAGTTTGCAGGAAATGATTCTGAGCAGGGGTGGGGAACGGAATCTGACCAGTGGGGCAGATCCCCAGGCCACCTTTAGCAGATGGATTGGGCTGCAGCCCTGTCAATCACCTCCAATCATCTTATTAGGTGACAACTTTAGAGGGACTCACTAACCAACTGATTGGACCCCTTTGAAGATGGGCTAATCAACTTATTTGGGTTGAGAGAATGCATTCAGTGAGGCTTGCTATAACCCCCAAGCAGCTGATTGGCAGTTATGGTATGCCCTTTTAATGTCAGTTTACAGGGGTGATTTGTATCAAAATGTTCTTGCAAATGGACATTTTTCCTCCCCAAATTGGCAGTTTTGTCATGTGCAGAGCAGCACCAAGAGCAACTCCCATCAACTGTGCTAGAAAGTTCCCAGTAGGAAACTCCCTAGTGCAGCCAATCCCAGCAGGTCTCACAGATCAGTGCTGTCAGTGAGTGCCACTCACCAAGAAATGGAATACAGGTGTTAAATCGATTCAAAACAAGACATGATCAGGAGGAAAGTTTAAGTTCCCAATTGCTCATTTGCAGCCAAATATTTACTTGCCCCACACCTGGCATCACATATGTAAGGTGTGGGGCAGGTGAGTGTGGTTGGGGGGAAATGGCCTGGGGGACCCAACTGTGACCTTTGCTGGGCCTAATTAAGCCAATAGGTTGGAGGTTCCTCACTGGTGGATGAAGGAATGATTTAATCTAGCATGTTTATTCAAACTGCATTTAATAAACAAAGCTAAACACTTTGAAACTGCCAGGTTTGTCTAACGAGGTATTTTCACTTAGACTCCATTCACTGTTACTAATAAACTTAGGAAATGGGATATTTCTCAAGGAAAAATAAAGCACTGTGAAATTTTCTTCCCCGCATCACTACAGTGGTACCTCGGGTTACATATGCTTCAGGTTATATACACTTCAGGTTACAGACTCCGCTAACCCAGAAATAGTACCTCAGGTTAAGAACTTTGCTTCAGGATGAGAACAGAAATCGTGCTCCGGTGGCACGGAAGCAGGAGGCCCCATTAGCTAAAGTGGTGCTTCAGGTTAAGAACAGTTTCAGGTTAAGAACGGACCTCCAGAACGAATTAAGTACTTAACCCGAGGTACCCCTGTATTTGAACCCATCCCTTGTGACCATTAGCCCTGCTTGCTGCAACTGATGGGCGCAGGAATCCAACAACTTATAGAGGACACCAGGTTGGGAAAGGCTGGAATAAATATCAAGCCTTGGGCAAATGGGCATTTTCAGAATCTTAAAATGTGAACAGGCTGCATAGGAAAGCTGCCATATAACAAATCAGTGTCAGGATCCTATCCCAAAACATGTTGGCAATGACTCTTACTTGTAGGTGAGGTAGAGATAACTTCCCAGGCTAATAGTGGTAAAGGCTCAGTAGGAAGCAGGGGGTCCAGAGGTCAAGGTTCCAAGATGCACAAACAAGGCAAGTGGTTCATAACCAAATGGAAATTACACAGATATCCCAAGAGTTGACACATCCCTTGTGTCAAGTTATTAAAGAAAGGATGGGGTGAGCTCACTCAGGGGCGACTCTTGTCATACGAGACTGCTGAGTGTGCACGTATCTGTTCTGAGTGGGTGCATCTAATCCCACCAAGGAAGGGGGTGCCTGGTTCTTGACAACAAAACTGTCTCCTGCCCCTCTGCCTCCAACTCTGAAATCAGCTCTGGCCATAACAACAAGAGGAACAGCCATTTTAGATCTGGTCCTAACCAATGTTGATGACCTGGTTAGTGGGGTAGAAGTGGAAGGATCATTAGGCGCGAGTGATCATGCTCTTCTGAAGTTTACTATACAGCGGAAAGGAGCAGCCAAGCATACTAGGACTCAATTTCTTGACTTTAAGAAAGCCGACTTCATAAAACTTAGGGAAGTGCTGGGTGAGATCCCATGGACAGTAATACTAAAAGGAAAGGGAGTTCATGATGGCTGGGAGTTTGTTAAGAGGGAGATAGTAAAAGCACAACGTCAGGCAATACCAATGAGACGGAAACATGGAAGGTGCCTAAAGAAGCCAGGGTGGCTATCTAAAGAACTTTTAACTGAGTTAAGATTTAAAAAGGATGTGTACAAAAATGGAAAAGGGGGAAACCACCAAAGAGGAATTCAAACAAATAGCCAGCACGTGTAGACACAAAGTCAGAAAAGCTAAAGCACAGAATGAACTCAGGCTTGCTAGAGAGGTTAAAAGCAACAAAAAGGCTTTTATGGGTATGTTCAGTAGAAAAAGGAAGAACAAAGAAACAGTGGGGTCACTCAGAGGAGAAGATGGTGAAATGCAAACAGGGGACACAGAAAGGGCTGAACTCCTCAATGCCTTCTTTGCCTCAGTCTTCTCCAATAAAGAAAACAATGCCCGACCTGAAGAATTTGGAGCAAATGATTCAGCAAAGGAAACACAGCCCAGAATAACTAAGGAGATAGTACAAGAATACGTGGCTAGTTTAGATGTATTCAAGTCTCCAGGGCCAGATGAACTGCATCCAAGAGTATTAAAAGAACTGGCAGATGTGATCTCAGAACCACTGGCAGTCATCTTTGAGAATTCCTGGAGAACAGGCAAAGTCCCGGCAGACTGGAGGAGGGCAAATGTTGTCCCTATTTTCAAAAAGGGGAAAAGAGAGGACCCAAATAATTACCGCCCAGTCAGTCTGACATCAATACCAGGGAAGATTCTGGAGCAGATCATTAAGCAAACAGTCTGTGAGCACCTAGAAAGGAATGCTGTGATCACCAATAGTCAGCATGGATTTCTGAAAATAAGTCATGTCAGACTAACCTGATCTCGTTTTTTGACAGAATTACAAGCCTGGTAGATGAAGGGAACGCAGTGGATGTAGCCTACCTTGATTTCAGCAAGGCATTTGACAAGGTGCCCCATGATATTCTTGTAAAGAAGCTGGTAAAATGCGGTCTTGACTATGCTACCACTCAGTGGATTTGTAACTGGCTGACTGACCGAACCCAAAGGGTGCTCATCAATGGTTCTTCTTCATCCTGGAGAAGAGTGACTAGTGGGGTGCCACAGGGTTCTGTCTTGGGCCCGGTCTTATTCAACATCTTTATCAGCGACTTGGATGATGGACTCAAGGGCATCCTGATCAAATTTGCAGATGACACCAAACTGTGAGGGGTGGCTAACACCCCAGAGGACAGGATCACACTTCAAAACGACCTTGACAGATTAGAGAACTGGGCCAAAACAAACAAGATGAATTTTAACAGGGAGAAATGTAAAGTATTGCACTTGGGCAAAAAAAATGAGAGGCACAAATACAAGATGGGTGACACCTGGCTTGTGAAAAGGATCTAGGAGTCTTGGTTGACCACAAACTTGACATGAGCCAACAGTGTGACGCGGCAGCTAAAAAAGCCAATGCAATTCTGGGCTGCATCAATAGGAGTATAGTATCTAGATCAAGGGAAGTAATAGTGCCACTGTATTCTGCTCTGGTCAGACCTCACCTGGAGTACTGTGTCCAGTTCTGGGCACCACAGTTCAAGAAGAAGAAGAAGAGTTTGGATTTGATATCCCGCCTTTCACTCCCCTTCAGGAGTCTCAAAGCGGCTAACATTCTCCTTTCCCTTCCTCCCCCACAACAAACACTCTGTGAGGTGAGTGGGGCTGAGAGACTTCAAAGAAGTGTGACTGGCCCAAGGTCACCCAGCAGCTGCAGGTGGAGGAGCGGAGACGCGAACCCGGTTCCCCAGATTACGAGACTACCGCTCTAACTGGAACGTGTCCAGAGGAGGGCAACCAAAATGGTCAAAGGCCTGGAAACGATGCCTTATGAGGAACGGCTAAGGGAGCTGGGCATGTTTAGCCTGGAGAAGAGGAGGTTAAGGGGTGATATGATAGCCATGTTCAAATATATAAAAGGATGTCACATAGAGGAGGGAGAAAGGTTGTTTTCTGCTGCTCCAGAGAAGCGGACACGGAGCAATGGATCCAAACTACAAGAAAGAAGATTCCACCTAAACATTAGGAAGAACTTCCTGACAGTAAGAGCTGTTCGACAGTGGAATTTGCTGCCAAGGAGTGTGGTGGAGTCTCCTTCTTTGGAGGTCTTTAAGCAGAGGCTTGACAACCATATGTCAGGAGTGCTCTGATGGTGTTTCCTGCTTGGCAGGGGGTTGGACTCGATGGCCCTTGTGGTCTCTTCCAACTCTATGATTCTATGATTCTATGATTCATAAGAAGCTGCCTTATAGTGAGTCAGGCCAATTGGTCCATCTAGCTCAGTATTGGCTCTCCAGGGTTTCAGGTAAGGAATCTTTCCCAGCCCGACTTAGAGATGCTGGGGATTGATTGAACCTAGGATTTCCTGCATGCAAGACAGGTGACTACATCCCTTTCCGAAGGAAGTTTCTCCTGGAATTTAACAAAAGTTGGCTTCCCTGCAATTTCCACTCATTAATTTTATGGATGTTATGGAACGAGAGTTAAGTTTTCTCTTTCTTTCCCCACACCACCTCATAACTTTGTAAACCATGGTCATATTCCACTTAATATTCTTTCTCTTTAAGCTGGAAAGTCTCAACTTGCCTAACTGGAAACATGTTCTGCCATCTTAATCATTTGGATTGTGATTTCTGCACCTCTTCCAGCTCTACAATAGCTACAGCATAGAAACCTCCATATACATTCGCCACCACTCGAAAGTGTAAGACAATAATCTGCAAATGCCCACAAATTCTGCTGTTCTCATATTACAGGTGACAGCAGCCTCTCTGCTTCCAGCCAGGTCACTGGATTGGGAACAGAGGAAGCTGCATTGAACTATCAGTCCACTGATCCACTTAGCTCAGTACTGTCCATCCTGATGGTGGCTCTCCAGGGTTCAGACAGCAGTCTTTCATGGACCTATCCAGAGATGCCAGGGATTGAACCTCAGGTCATCTAAATGCTCTATGAAGAAGCTATGGCGCTTCGCCTGAGATGGTGCCACCAAGGAAGGACTTTGGTGCAGAAACACGTCCAGGGCCTGTCCAACAGAATAAGCGAGGGGAGTGCAAATGCAGCAGAACTGGTTTACTGTATTTTGAAATAAGTGAAGTAATACATATTGCCACTTAAAGAGCACCCACCCACACCTCATAAGTCCATTAAGTCTAGGGTCTAAAATGCCAGCTGCACCACTGGGAGTAGACCCTATTTTGAGTAATGTGAAGGAACACCAGGTAGCCTTGTGTCAGAGAAATAATAAGAAAAGGCATTTCATTTTCCAGCTGAGAAAGACAGACTCTGCTGCTACCTAATTTCCAAATGCAATACCCCTAGGCTGGGTTTCAAACTGATTGATGCACACTCAACTGCCGTTCATCTCAGGAGGACAAGTAAACATGCAAAGGATTGGACTGAAGAGCTTGTGCATATTTTAGGACTTCAGTCCAACCTAAGCAGATATTTCAGCATTGGTTGGACCCAACATTTTTGACCTTATAAATAATAGAAGCCCCATCTTCATGCAAAACATTATCTGCCATTTGCAGATGAATGGAGCCTGAACATCTACCCTAAGGAGTTTATGGTTGTTTCTCTCTCTGAGGGTTGCTCTCTGCTTATTACTGTCTCTCTTTCGAATGCAAATAAATGCCCATACTTCTGGGAGATGAAATCTAGTTACAAAATAATACCATTTTGGTTTTCTTTCTACATATACACAAGTACATTGATCCTCAAGTCAATTTTTGAAGTCCCCAGGAATCAATTGTTTATATTTTGTGAGAATGGGTCCATCTGAATGACTTTCCCAAAGAAAACATCATCCTACACTAACCTTCCCCAACCTGGTGCCCTGCAAATGTTGCTTGGTTGGGAATGGGAGCTATAAGCATAGACCATGCCTAGAAAGTACGGAGATGTAAGTGCAGGTCAGCCTTGTGTTAGAAGTGCCAATGCTTGATTCAGCATAAGGCAGCTACCTAGGTTTGTTGACCTGTACTAACTGGTATGTTCAAGTCCCCCGTTCTGTACTAAATAACACTGTTAGACAGTTATATCATTATTTTTATTTATTTATTTCATAAATTTTGTACACCACTTGATTGTGACAAACCAAACAAGTCTCAAAGTGGTTTACAAAAAGATAAAAACAAGAAAATCAAGGGGTGAAATACAATACTATAAACAGACAGAAAGTTAAAATACTAAAACAAATCAAAATTCACATAAGCATTTCTAAGCATCTGGATAGGCTTGCTTTGAACAACAATATGTTTAGGTTAGCCACACATCCTAGGCCTCTGTTAGCAAAACGGAAGAATCAGCTTGAAAGAAATGAACCTCATACTTGAGCAGCCACATCATAAAGGTGACGAGATTATGTATCAAGTCCCTGGCTTTGGATGCATTTGCAGCCAAGATTCCAAGCGAGAAATGATGCATAAGAGAAGGTCAACACAGGCTGTGTACACACCAGACCTTTAAAGCACATCCAAAGCACACACATCACAAAGAATCCTGAGAACTGTAGTTTGTTAAAGGTGCTAGGAATTGTAGCACAGTGAAGGGTAAACTACAATCCCCAGGATTCCTGAGGACAGGAGATGTGCTTTGAATGTACTTTAAAGGTATGGTGCAGGATGCTGCCTTATACTGAGGGCTCATCCTGACTTCCTTTTGCACTGTACTTTCCAGGAACAGGTCCATGCTTTAAAGCTCTGTATCCGGCCAGGGTTTTTTTTTTTTGTCCCAACACTTTCCCCAGGGAACCTCACATTCTACCACTGAATCAGACCAAATGGCAATCCACAAAAAATTTGACTGCTGTTTGCTTCAATTCAGTGCCAAAATGTGAATTTTCCCAAGGAAAACGCCAGGACAAAAAAAATACCACTTGGACACGAAGCTTTAAAGTCCAGACCTGTGCCTGGAAACACAGCACAAAAGGGAGTCTGGGTGAGCCCTGAGTCAACCATTGGTCCACCCAGCTCCATGAGACTGGCAGAGGTTCTCCAAGGTTTCAGGCAGGGATGTCTCCTTGCCAGCCTATGAGACTGGCAGAGGTTCTCCAAGGTTTCAGGCAGGGATGTCTCCTTGACCTACCTGGAGATGCCAGGGGCTGAACCTGCGAATTTCTGCATGCAAAGCTGAAGCTCTACCACTGAGCTGTGACCCTGGATAATACAGAATCTAGGTGATCTTATCCAACTTCCTGCTCAGTTAAAGAATCCAGAGCTGAAGCATCTCCAACAGATGGCTGTTCTGCCTCTGCTTGAAGACCTCCAGCCATGGAGAACACACCTGCCCAGGTCATTGCTTTCATTGGTCAACTGCTCTTACCATCAAGAAGTTCCTCCTAATGTTCAACCAAAATCATTAGATCACACACACACACACACACACACACACTTACTAAGGCCTTCTTAATGCATATAACTCCTCCCCAACACAAACCTGCCCTTAAACTCTCTGACAGCGCCATCCTATTATCTACCTATTGAAAGTAAATCTTGCTTATTTCTGTGGCGTTAACTGGCAGTCAATTGGTTTTGGCATAGTGGAGATGTAACCCACAAAATTTGGAATGTTCAGGGTTAACCGTGGAAGAGGACAACTGCCTTAGGGAAGATGCTGATTGGATGGAGTTCAGCAAAGCCCTTGGTTCTACAATACCATAGCTGAGGTCACTCTGCAAACACATTTTGTCTCTGTTGGAATATCTTTGCACACTCATGCACTCATTGAAGGAGGGATGGGAAGAGAAGGAACTTACCGTTTTACATAAATATAACCCATATAGAGAACAGTTTACACACACTAACCACAGGCACACATCTACCGGAAGGCCTCAAAATGCAGGAACCCGCGCTCCCCACCAGCACCATCAATGTCAACAGCTTGCGGATGGAACCTGCACAGTCTTTTGCCTCTAATCCCTTTTTGCACGGCGCTCCTGTTGGGGAAGGGAGCGGGGTCCAGTGCATGCATCTTGCAAAGGTTCGGAGAAAAAAGGGAAAGCCAAGAGGTAGCTCCCCTGATCCACGGCCCCCCCTTTTTTTTTTGCAAGGGTGGAGTGCGGAGAATGAGGGGAAGAGACGCGCCGCGGAAAGGCTCCATTGCACGTACCCTCTCCAAGAAATCGCACTGAAGGCCACATTGCTGGGCCCCGGGGAAAGATAAGCACAACCCCGTCCCCATGTCGCCGAAGGCACCACGCTAACATAGCGCGGGGAGGGCAGCGGACTGGAAGGAGGAGGCCTCTTTGCCCGGGCGTCCAACGGGCGAGGCCTCCGCCCTTCTCCATCCCCCGCTTTTAGGACTCACCGCTTCGCTGCCCCGGTCCTCGGGCCCCGCCGAACGTCTCCCCCGGATCCTGACCCGCAGCGCCCACCGGCGCCTCCTGCTGCAGCGGCCGCAGCTCTCGCGAGGCTCCTCCGATCCTCCTTCTCCTCCCCCCGCCCCGCACGCACCCAGGGCTGGGTGGCTCCGGCGGATGAGAGAGGGGCGGGGCGGGGCGGAGGCGGAGATGCTGCCGCTGTCCCCGGTGCTGAAACGTCTCTGGGTGCGGCGAGCAGCCGGAGAGGAGGAGCCAGGATGCAAGGCGGAGGAGATGCGAGGCTGCTGGTGCCTACAGTACCAGGAGGAGGACTTCAGGGCCTGCTCAGCGGAATGAGCAAGCCCCCTCCAAGCAGAAGGGCTGGCTTAGCGCATTCTGACGTGCACATTTATTTATAAAACCATGCCCTCTCGTAAAATATCAGGGTGCAGTACAGCAATATAAGCGCATTATTTTTAGAAAACATACACATTAAGATCAGTACAGAACACTCATTAAAATGACCGGCCACTTAAGAAAATGGTGAACTTTAAACAAGGTTTGAATGTTTTAAAAGCTGCATACGCCTGTCAACATTATATTAAAAATAAAACACCTGTTCAAGAGACACCTGGAAATCAAAAGTGAGGGGGCCTGCCACATCTCTGCTGGAAGAGTGTTCCACAACATAGGACCAGCAACACTAAATGCCCAGCTTCTGGTTGAGGCTGGTCAGGACTCTATAACGCAAGGGATAACTAACAGCGCTTATCTCTGTTACCAGATTGAGATTTAAGGGTTCAGGTGGTCCTTAAGGTATCCTGGACCCAGGTTGTCCCAGGCTTTGTACAGTGACACAAGAGCCTTGAACCTGGCCCAGCTGCCTATGGGCATATGTTGCCATCTAAAGAGCACTACTATGAATCTGAAGAAAACATGCATCTGTTCAACTTAACCAAAACTTTGCAGCTCAGAGTGGAAATACAGTTCAAACTCAGGCAAAGCAAAGAGTTGTCAAACTGTGGTCTGCAGACCACTGGAAGTCCATGAACTCCATTCAGGCAATCTTCAGAAAGGCTAAACTAAAGCTGAATATCCATTCTTTATCCTGCTTATGTTTTTTATGTCTACAGAAATTGAGTCTGATAATTAAAAAAAAAAACCTGGGGTAGATTTAGCAAACAGGCTGATTACAACCATGTAGACCATGGGTAGGCAAACTAAGGCCCAGGGGCTGGATCTGGCCCAATCGCCTTCTAAATCTGGCCTGCGGATGATCTGGGAATCAGTGTGTTTTTACATGAGTAGAATGTGTGCTTTTGTTTAAAATGCATCTCTGGGTTATTTCTGGGCCATAGGAATTTGTTCCTTTTTTCCCCAAAATATAGTCCGGCCCCCCACAAGGTCTAAAGGACAGTGGACCGGCCCCCTGCTGAAAAAGGTTGCTGACCCCTGATGTAGACAGTGTGACAAACTTACATCCATGAGCAGCTCTGATTCCACAGTAAACTTCAATCTGTAAGCACCACATGTGGCAGTGGATCTACAGGATCTGAGACAGAGACCTTTTCCCAGCCCTAGTGAAAGGTGCCAAGGTGCAAACTTTTCACACTCTCTATGGAAAGTATGTGTTCTCCTATCACATTTGGATGTGCTGTCAACTGCATCTTTCTACCTCACAAGCTGTACCAGGAACGAAAATGTAAGGGCCTGCTGGATCAGGCTGCCGGCCCATCTAGTCAACCAACCTGCTCTCAAAGTGGCCAACCATATGCAAGTGGGAAGCCTGAAAGCAGGACCTAAAATTGGGCTGCTAAAACTTATCGCCCTGCAATTCAGAATGCTTCTCCTTGTATTATAGATGACCTCTGTAAGCAACCAAAACAGCTTCATTGAAAAGTAGACACACACATCTGTGCAGAAGTAGTAATACTGAAACCATTGCTATTTGGCTTAAGTAAGTTCTAGTAATAGAACAGAAATCAAACAAAATCTTTGTAGTTCTGAAATTATAAATTATTTACAGAATTTAACTGTTCAAATTCTAAGGTATCGTGCAGGACAAAACGTTCTAATGTAAATTTGGTAATCCTTTCAGGAGAAAATTCAGAGTAAAGCACATCTGGCAAAATTAAGAATGAGGATCACAAGGAAGAATATTCAGAGGCAGGGAGCGTTCGTTAAATGTTACTTATAACTTCCGTTTTAATTTTGATTTCCGATCAGAGAAAATACTTGTTTCATTTGGAATCCAGTATGCCAAGTAATCAGAGCAGCCAGGAATGAAATCCTGTATTTCCCCAAGGAATTTGTTCATCTCTTTAGCAGAAGGATAACCTGTGAAGTAAAGGTTAAAAGGTACACATTTCACAATCTCAATATTGTTTTAAAAAAACACAGAAAGAAATGTTGCAAAACACAGAAAAAAATATTGGAAGGCCTTAAAAATTGCTTAATTACAAAGCAATTTTTTTTGTTGGCTGGGGAACCCTTGTGTTTCCACTAATGGGACACAATTATCAACTTGAGAGAAGGTGATTTAAACAGCACAGAGGAACAGGGAAAGAGTTTTTAAAAAGCCCTCCACTAGCCCAACAATCCAATCCTACACACACCTGCTCTTAAAATAATGAAATTTTCTAAGAGAGACAGAAAATTCAGGGATTTCAAAATTATAGTGTCATATTTCATTTTGTCCTGATCCCCATATGGGACAGCTGCATATTCCTGCATTGCAGAGGGTTGGACTAGATGATCTGGCTGGGTCCCTTCCAACTCTACAGTTCTATGATCTGATGTCATAACCCAAGGACAGGAATATAAAGAGAGATATATATCATTAATTTAAATTGTGTGTATTTGCATGAATAAATGTAATATTATTTTGACTGCAGCTTTTAAAAAACTATTAAAACTGGATGAAAAGGGTTGCTTCTGGATTGTAAATCCAATTCAATTTTAATATCTGAAATCAATAACAAACTCACTTCAGTCCTGTCAGAAACTGTTGGCAAAACAGATGAAATGAAATGAATTGAACCATACTAACTAAACCCACACTTCACAGTTTAAAGGTACACTGAGATCCAGTCTTGTCACTAGATGGAGGTTGTCTTTGTGGCATGGAGTGCCTTTTACCAAAAATGTCTGGCTTGCCAGCTATGACCACTTCTGGACAGCAATAGTGGTACCTCAGGTTAAGAACTTAATTTGTTCCGGAGGTCTGTTCTTAACCTGAAACTGTTCTTAACCTGAGGTACCACTTTAGCTAATGGGGCCTCCCGCTGCCACTGCTCCGCCACCGCACGATTTCTGCTCTCATCCTGAAGCAAAGTTCTTAACCCGAGGTACTATTTCTGGGTTAGCGGAGTCTGTAACCTGAAGCCCCTGTAACCTGAAGCATCTGTAATCTGAGGTACCGCTGTAATCTGGCTAGAGTGATGGTTGGATTATTGCAATGGTTGGATTATTGCGATGTGAGTTATGTGGGACCACCCTTGCAGGAGGTTTGGGAGCTTCAGTTAGTAGAAAATTCACCCACATTACACCAATTATGAAAAGATTAATTCTTTGCTCCTGGGCCCAATTCAAGATGCTGAACTTTACCTAACTAAACTGAGACCACAGTTCCTAAAGAAGTAGCTGTCACAAAGGACTCTGGTCTCCTGCCATTTCTCTAAGCCAGGCTGTCACATATCTCCCACCAGTTCTATTCAAATGCACTTAAGGATGCATGCCTGTAGTGTAGTTTGTGGAAGGTGCTGGGAATTGTAGCTCTGTGAGCCATTAAGCACAGTTCTCAGAATTCTTTGGGAGAAAGAATGTCCCTTCAATTTGCTTTAAATGTATGGTGTGTACTGTGTACAGAGCCTGTGTCTCTAGGAAAACCGCAGTTGTTTAACCAGGGGTTTAATTAGATTTTTAACTTATCTAACTGAGCAAGTTATAGTTTGCCATTCATTGATGAAGAGCAGATTAAAATTTGCTGCTTTTAATCTTTGTTTTGTGTTTTATTGTATTGGCTTTATGCTGTACTTAAAACTGAGGTCATGTGCATAATACTGTAGTGATAAATCCTAATAGTGATAAATCCTAAACTACGCTTTGTTCTTACCTATCACCATATTGCTTGCTGGATAATCTTGTAGTGGAATATATGCCATCTTCACTGTTTCTACTGTCCCTGGGATTTGATTGTCTTCACTGTAATTTCAGACAGAAATTTTGCTATTATTTACACTTTCAAAAGCCTTTTGTTTTTTACAACAATCAATATAACACCAGAGAAGTCTTTTAATTCCAGATTATTATTTTTGTTTCCATCAGCTTGTTACTCAAGAGACAAGAATCTGCCCTGAAGAAGGAGATTTACAAGAGCATAATTTTTAACTTGTGCTGCTTTGTATTATCTAGACCCAGCCTCCAGCTATGATTCATCAGACATTTATATTAATGAAGCAAACAGGTTCAAACTGTTAAAAGGCATCCTCTCTTCATAAAGATTATTGGAACTGTCAATTCCCTGGAATTACTTTGGTTGGAAGTCATGGGTGCTTCCATATGGGAGCTTACTACTGTGAACAAGTTGTGACTTTATATGGAACATATACTGAAAGCACATACTTTCCCCAACAAATCCTGGGAACTGTGGTTTGTTAAGAGGGCTTTGAATTGTAGCTCTGATGTAAACTGCAGTTCCTATGAGTCTTTTGGGCAGTAATATGCCAATATATATCACTGGTGTACACAACCAGTGATATATTCTAAATGTGTTGCCAGAAACAGATTTTTTAACTTACAGGATTTCCCCCAGAATGGGACAATCAAGATGAAATGGGGGAGCATACAAGCTGGCATTTTGATGCCAATAACATCTTGCAGACACAGAAAAACAAAAAACAACAAACCTGCATTCATGAGGAGCACTATTCCCACAAACAAAACCTGTCCAGAAGCACCATATGATAAAGTGGAATAAAACCAATATAACTGACTTCTAGTAGAGACCGCCCTATATGACTTCTAGTATGCACTGCCCTGAGACCTCCAGGCAGTATATAAATTCAATAAATAAATAAAATAATAGGCCAAGGAAGTGGAACAAGATGCATTAAGTAACCTGATGTAGACATATTTTCTGGCTGTGGGAGCTCAGTTGGGCAGACTAACATTCTTTGGTTCAAATTACTTCCCTTCTGTGAGGGGAGCTAATTAATGCTTTCATATCGGGTATCCAAGCTCAACTTAGAGTAGACCCACTGAAATTAATAGACTTAAGATAATCATGTTGATTAATTCCAGTGATGATTAACTCTGGATACAACTCTGGGCATTGTTGATAAAATTACTGTTGGTGGAGTGGTAATGATATCTTACAATAAAAAATTAAGAATTGAGAACTAGCTGTGAGAACTGACTTTAGCTAATCCACACTATCACTGAACACATGCCACCACCAGTGTATTTTAGCTACTGCATAAAACAACAGACATCCAACAATATCATCTGATACAAAATATACCTTTTCTCCAACCCTCTCTTGGCCTTTGTCTCTTCTTCCACCCTGTGGCACTTTACATCAACAGGTTGACTGGGCTGTGGATATAAAAAAATGGCAGCTCTAAAGGAAGGAAGGAAACTACATACCAAGTTCATGCTTTCAGCAAATTTCAGTTATTTCATTTTGGAGTACTATTCCATACTGTGCATACAAATGCTGTATGTGAAAATCTAAAATAAAAAAGTTACAGACCAAAACAGATAACTAAATTAAAATTAAAATCATGTAATGTACATTCAATATTCTTCTTACCTGCAACTTCAGAGGGTTAGAAATCTGCTCCCATATAAAGCTGCCATTTTTCTGCCTAATTTCTGTAGGGATTGCAAAAGGAAAGAGAATCAGGCTTTCCGTGCAGCTTTACTAGATGATGCAGTGTAATGGCCATCACTCACTAACAATGTTTGCCTTTGAAGTACTTCAAGGACTCGTTTTAGTCAGGCAAAAGCACTTGAGGCAGGAGCTCAGCTGGGTTGGTGAGGGATGTGTGGCCTGGTGAGAGTGCCAAGGGTTGGACAGAGAAAACTAAAGGACTGCTTTTCACACATACACACACACACACCATGCCCAAGGTTTCCACCCCTGTCTTAAATAACAAGTTTAATATTGAAATGGGGAAAAAATACTTGTGCCCACACACCTTGCTGCAAGCAGGCAGGTAGAAGGAGGAAGTGCCCTAATGCTGTTGAGTTTTTTGTTTCAGAGTTGACACATGCCGTAAGATAAGAAGAATGAAAAACAGTGACTCTGTCTTCTAGATAATCTAAGCTCTGGTGTATTCTAAAGGAAGAGGAAGGGGGTTACAGAAATGAATATGAAACATCCAAACAATTGTTTTAATTACAGCTTTCAATTAACTCTCAAGCAGGACGAATTCCTCCAAAAATCAGCCAAGGTAGAGAGGATTTGGAGGCATCCTTAAATAGAATTAGTTTGTTTGTTGCTATATTTTTTACCACCACAAGGGAGTGCTGCTAGGATATTTTGCCTTGGCAGCAAAATGCCTTCGATCAGGAGTTCCCAAACTGTGGTCCACGAACTTCATTCAGTGGTTCTGCAGCCCGTATGTGGATTTGTGGTTGGAGACGGCGCATCCAGCACATTAAATATTCATATTGAGTTTTAATTGCATTTGCATTGTTTATTTCCCACATTGTATTTAACAGTTTTCCAATTTGAAGATAATGGAATTCAAATTGTAATACTATAAAATACATAAAACGATATAGCATCTAGCACAGGCAGCACATGACAATTGCTACAGTAATCCAGAAAAATCATTAAGTGGTCCACTAAAATCCTCAGCAATTTTCATGTGCTAGTGGGGGGAGGGGAGAGTTTGGGAACCACAGCCTTACATCATCTCCATTCTCAGGTATATAGGCAATATAATCCACAATATATGCATATCCTCCATCCCCAAGCTATTAAATATCTGTGAGATACCTCTTGCATTTCCAATACAGAAGGATATTTTAAAGCTGATTTACATCCCAACACTTCTCCTTCCAGAAATTAAGCAGTAGAAGCAGAAACAATGCCCAGACTGCAGACCATGTATGGTATTGATAAAAACTGAGCTATAAAGCCAGCTACAAAATATACCTTTTTGTGTCAGGGTGGGAAGCATCACTGCTGAACAGATAATCAGCAGCATCCTGGTTTGTGATCACTCCTCCTTCAGCAACTGCAGAAAAATGCCACAAGGGAATAATCTTTCTTCTTCAAAATATACTTACTCTTTGAAATATGGGTTTTGAAATTTGCAAACATGCATCCCTTGCATTGAGCTGTTGTTGTTTACTAATTCTTTATTAAACTTTTTTGAAGATGCAAATTAAAAATGAAGCCAATCAGAATCAAGGGGTGAGTTATTAGCATAACAGGCTTAAGGCAGCTTAATAACGAAACATAATGGTATTCTTAATACTTTCTCCTTTATGTTATCTTTACAGGAATTTCTTTACAGGGCGTTTCTTGACAGAGTCCAAGGTGAAGAGATAACTCAAAAGGTTCATAGTTTATATTGAGGGTTGCGGGGCCGACATTATTCTTTGCCCTGGTATAGTCTCTCTTGCCTCCTTGCTAGGAGGGGAGATAACTCGGTTGCAACAGAAAAAAAATAATGATCTGCCATGCTTTTTTGGCCTCCTGCCTCCATCCATTCATCTCTGACCGATCATAGACTTAGGGGACTCAGTCCCTTGGGCAGCAAAAGCCAACCACCCCTATTTTTTCTATACCAATAGATAGGTAGAAAGATAGATAAATGTTTGCTGTGCTGGAGCTCTCCGTCCCTTCAAAGCTAGCTGCTCCCACCAACCCCTCTCGATCCCATTTCCCATAGGAGCCAAAATAAAATATTTGAGGGGGCTGCCCCCTCTCCCCAAAAAGTATATGGGCATTGTCATTTCAAATGATGTGAGTGCTCCGTGACATGGGATCGATTTTGCAAGTCGGGGCTTACTTGTCCCCCCACAAAAAAACCCATTTTATTCAATTTGGCACCCCTGCCCTCGACGAAAACACTGAATTTTACTTTCACCCTCAACCTTCTCCTAAGGCTGAGGGATATAAGATCTCCTCCTCTCCTTCCTCAGTGTCGTGATTTCCCCTCACCCCAAAGGCCACGGAGCTCATGGCTGACGCTTTGAGAAAACCAGGCGCTGCAGCCCCTGAACATCCTGCTGTGAGGTAAAGGGGGGCCCTGACAGGCCTCCACTTTCCCGCCTTTTTTTTTGATACAGTGAAACCGAAATCCTGCAGAGCGAAGGAGGGAGGAATATGTCTCCACCCTCTTTCCACAACTACATTTGACCAATACGTGTACACGTTTTGCACAGTGTATTGCGCACAAAAGAGAACCCACAAAAAAAAACATGCCTTTCCTCACAGGAATTCATGGAGTTTTGCACACAGAGGGTGTCCGAGGCAGTCTCTTCTCCCCACCCCAATAAAGGCTATTTCGATGCTACTGACTTTGCAGCATTCCTGTCATAATTTAAATCAATTAATCGTGAACAAGGCCAAATCTAGGTTTTGAAGGCTTGTGCGCAAAGTCTCCATTGCTAGGCCCCTACCCCGATGGTGGGCCTTGCGGGGACTGCCCAGCTATGGCAGGTTGCAATTGTGTGAAAGAGGATTTCTGATATATTTTGGCTGCCAGTGTCCGTCTTGGTAGCATAAAGGGCAATAAAACGGAAAGCCTACTTGAAAACATCTTACAACATGGGGTCATGGTGAAATTAGGGACTTGATTTTCCACCGACAGTTATGTACATCTATCACAATAAGGGATGGATGAATCTGCCAGTTTCCCCAGTTTCTCATTTTTCCAATCTTACATTCAGTTTTCCACATTTTCTCAGGAAATCACAAAAAATGTCTTCGTTGTTTTTTTTATTAAAAAAAATCCTTATAGAAATTGATCAGCATTTTTGTGTGACTTTCTCCTTAAAAATAGCACCCTTCAACCCCAGCTAGCACTGCAGTAGGGTAGTGTAATGAATGCAAAACCTGTGTAAGCCAGATAATAATGGTCTACAGACATAAACATTTACCCTTTATTAAGACTATTATCTGAACTTTATTCAAGAGCCCAGCAGCACACTGTGAAACTGATATGAGTATTCTTTTTATTGGATTTCATCAAACAAATACAAAAGGACACACCAAAACATTTTTGTTGGGGAACAAGTTTTATCCCAGAGTTATTACTTATTAACCTTTGCTTCTGTTCCCTGCCATTTCTAAGCTGAATATTTTTCTAATAAATATACATGTGGACAATTTTATACATGTGCTAAACTTGTGCTACAATGTGAACTCAAGAGGATTTTTTAAAAAATTAATAATAATTTTAATTTTTTTCCTTTTGGGGAAAAATATATATAATTAATCTCTCCTTACAAGTTTACAATTAGGAGTGGTTAGTGTAAGAATTCTGTAGGCCTCAACTGCGATGCCACTTTTAGGGACCTACGTGAGATCCTGCTAACTTTTCAGACATGGCAGGGCTGTGTAGCAGAATTGAAGCTGGACCACAGGAAGGGTCAGGATAGCTACCAGAGCAGGTCCCAATGATAGGGCCAGAGTTAAGTCCCAAAAGAAGTCCAGGGGCACCTGCCGTCCCCTTTCATTGACAATGGGATCTTAGCACTGGATCATATGAGTTGTCTGTATCTAATAGCTCAGGGTGAAAGAGATCCATTTTACACTAGGTGCTCCTTCTCACCCTGGCTCTATAAGTGAAAAGCAACAAGTCTCAGGGGCTCACTGTTTTGTCCTGCGTCATTCAGACATGGACAAAGGTATGGGTAGAGTTTCTCTGCAAAATTGTCCATGAAAGTGTAGATGTGAGACATATTGTCTGCATTATAAAAGGATACCTGACCACCCTCATAATCCAAGAACACCCCAATTCTAGAGGGAATTTTGGACAGGGCCAGAGGTTTTGATTCCATGTCTATAGCTTTAAACTCATTCTTATTCCTTAGCTTTATGAGCCAGTGCCCCTCTTTGGGGGACAGTGGGTAGTTCCCTTTACGGTTAATGCTCTCTCTCACAACCCCCAAGGTCCATTTGGTCTTGTTCCATGTCTCCACTTCCCAGTAGTGTCTCCCAGTGGTGAACCCTTCAGCCGCCAGGACAGAAACGCTGCAGTCAAATCTCTCTGGAATGTCCGGCAAAACTAGCTTTGTGTCAGTATGTCTCACGCAGGTCATCCTTTCGGAGAGAACCAAGTTTGGATGTGCGGTTTTGGGGTCCAGAGTCAGGAAGGAAATGTCTGGTGGGATCAAGAAAAACATGACTATTGTAGCATTGGAGACATTTAAGGACAATTGTAAAAGTGTAAATACACCCAATAAATAAGACCCTACTGTCAGAATGTGTTATGCAAAAAAATTGATTCCTCAATATATGATGTTCTCTTTAATGCACCAGCTAAGGCCTTAATTCAACAGCTTTGCTAAAGCTAAGCAAGTCTGGGTTTGGTGAATGTTGAGTTTGGAAACCACTAATAATTCTGTTAAGGCTGTCTTAAGTTCCATAGTGGAAGAAAAATGAGATATAAATACATGAAAAACATTAAGAAAACTTTTTTCTAGATGTAAAGATATGGAAGTTATTCATGAAAACCTGCATTCCCTGTCCCAACAAAAAAGTAATACAATGTCATTTTAAATTTTGCCACTTTCATTTTAAAGTTTGCAGTCCAAATGCCACTTAACTCACTAATGCTGAACGGCAGTATCCTCAGCTACAGCACCTTTTAGTGTCTATTTATAGACTGTAGGCATTGAGTAACTAGATATCTCCAATATTGCTAAAGGAAATAGTTGGATATTTGTGTAATGGTTGTTGAGAAATGTTTTTGGAAATGTTGTAAATTGGATTTTCAGAAACTTGTTGATGAATGAATAGAGCATTCCATTCACCTCTATTCACTGAAAAGTTGCTTCAGCATCTATATGTAGTGATGAAGCAGAGATTTAAAACAGAGATTAATTCAGCAAAAAATGATGTTCCATGTATATTGGACTCCACAACACTTTTAGAGAAAGGAATTTGCTAGTTCAGGCAGATGCTGGTGATGTAACACTGAAAACGCCTCTTTGATGTATCTTCTTTTAGGTTAGAAATTATTGTTCATGTTAACTTTGTTTTGAAGAAACTGATTGGTAGATGTTTGCACTCTCTTAAATTATATTCCTGTGTTGTGGGGGACTAACAGGAGACAACAACAAATGATCCTGCAAGCCCTTATTGTGGTGAGAAAGAGGAATCAGAACACTTATGTGAAGCTCAGTGACTGCCTGTCTTTTCCCTTAAACCATTTTACAGCACGGTCCTATACAAATTTATGGTGCCTTTCCTGCCTTTGACCACAATGCAGTGCCAAATTTTCTAATGCCTTGCTGCAGTATTTTTAGAATTACTCAGAAGTTAGTTCAGTGGGGCTTACTCCCATGTGTGTACAGAGCTACAGCTTTTGTTTGATTTAAAGATGAGTAAGTGGTACAGGACACAGCTTTACCTGGGCTGAGGATGGATTTCATTTCCTTCCATACGGCATAATGTATGGGCCCTTTGTAGTCCCCTGCATTCAGAGTTCCAATCACTAGTTCACCCAGAGATGAATTTTCTGTTTTCTGTTCCATCCTGCACAAATCATGAATTCACATTCCAGTTAGCAGGAAGGGATACTGCCTGAAAAAAAGTTCTATAAACAACTATTATAGTGGTTCACATATCAAAACAAATCTTCATTGCTTAGCCAAAGGCCATCAAAGCATTCAAAAGTATAATGACAATGTGGGATGCACTGCTCAAAATATACTTAAAACATGTTTGTATAAGATAATGCATTACTATATTCAGTTTTGTTGACAGTGATTAAAAACTGTAAGAGGCATTCCAGAAATGGCTACAATAGGCCTGGTCCCATGGAGAACATCCTGCCACTGGAACATATGCCAACTTTCAAGGGCATGGCTAGTATACTCATTCTTGCTACCCACCCTATCAAACTCACATCTGGTACCCACACCTGAATAAGGCTTGTCCCCTGACTGATTAAAGAAATCCTGCCTTACTGTTTCGATAACACTTGCTCACAGTCTCACACTTACTTTTCCATGAAAGCTTTTATTCCCTGTCAGAGGAAAGGAGAGAGAGGGGGAAAAAACAGTTATTTACTAATGGTCTTTGAGACACACTTTCAGCATATGTGGAACCTAGCAAACCTAACAGGACAGGTGGTTCATTGCGCCACAAACCAATCGATGCCCCTCACAGCCTGCCTGTCTCTTCTCCCAGAAGGTGTTTCTTTTCTCGCAGATGTTCAAGGTGATCTAAAAAGCTGCTTTCACCAAATCTCTTTGTGAGGCTATAAAAACATACTGTTGTTGCTGTATCCCAGATTCCCTTCTTCTATTTTCAGCTTCCATTACCAAAGGGGCAAAACAACTCTATGTGGGGACAGGGAGGAAGGAAAGCAGTAGATAAACTGCCGCATCCTAAATCCTACCAGCCAACTGGCGTGAATTTTCTCCTAAATCTTTGCTATATCAGCTGCAGGCTAGCATAGGTGTTAAGGCCCGAGTATCAAAGCCTTTTGGCAGCAGGCATTGTGGGGTAGTGAATTGGCACACAACACACACACACTCAAGGCCACTGCTCACCTCACTATTAGCTTGGCTGACTGGCTTCCTGCCTCACCTCCATGTAAGAGGGCCCAAATACAATTTGTGCTTTAGCTCATAGAAATTTAGGGCTTCTTCCTGTGCCACAAATTGCTGGACATTTTGCATCTCCCTGGTCAGGACCTTCAGAGCTCAAGCGATGCAGTCAAGGGGAAACACAGAGTAATGCAACTCAGAGCATCATTTCCTGGAGCTGGAAAACTCCCTTTTTTCATTAACATATCCCTTTTTACTATGGGCTGTTTCCTTATACTAAGCACACAGTGACTGAGCTAGAAATCTCTGAAATAACCCATGGACAAGAACCCAAACAATGCTGTACAGTTAGGTCCAAATTCCTTACTTTCAGGAAGCCAGCAGAATTCTGCTGGTACAGACGGGCCTGGATGCAGACCAGGGTATCCTTAGCGCTCTGTGTTTGGTCTTGGAGTTTGTTTAGATTTGCCTCCATTTCTTGGAGGAGAATTTCACCCTCTTCTTTTAACTGATTGATGTACATTTTCTCCTTGCCATGAAGAAACTGGTGCAGTTTTAGAAATTCCAAGGAAATGTGGTACTGAAATTGCAATCTGTTCTCCTGGAAAAAAATAATTTATCAGACAAAGCAAAGGGTACTCTAGTAGCTGATATAAGTATTTTTATAAATAAGTAAGATCTTCTCTTTTTTTGAAAACTGTTGTCTATTACTGCTTTGTAATATTTCAGTGACCCTTTCGCAGTATTAAGACCCTATCTGGAAGCACACAATTATTAAAATAGCAACAGTATTGTTGGGGGGATTCTCTAGATTTTCTTTTCCGCTTTAATAATAGGCAATCAAGAGCAAATTCGAAGTGCATCGAGTTACAACTCCAGACAAGCTTACTTTTATATCAGGGGTTTGCAGACTTCAGGCGTGTCAAATTTATTTTATTTATTTATTACTAAAATCACATGATCTGTCAACCAGACCTTGTGCAATTAAAGATGTGAGTACTTGCAATTAAAGATGTGAGTAAAAGATGAGTACATCCTGATATTAGAATTTGTTTTCAGTACCAGAACTGAACAGAGCTCAGTTAGCTTGGGCTAAGTTAGCTTGGGCTAGATTAAAACATAGTTGGGGCCTTTCCCCTCCACTGGGTTTCAAATTGCATTTGCACATCATTGATAATTATAATAATGATGATGGTGATAATTTCATTACATACTGTTAAGTGCCTCAGTATGGCTGGATGTGTTTCTAAGTAGCCTGGTGTCTGTTGACACCATTGGATGGAGAGAAGATGCAGGCGTCTTGATATTGTTCAAATAAGATTGAAGCTACTTTGGGGGGAAATGCATCAAAACACAAAACTTCTCAAGAAACTACAGAACAGATGTGGATTGTGACTAACAGCATGTGTACATGGTTTCACAAACCAGTGGTGGGAGCACATTGGGTTCAGAGTAAACTGAAGTATGTGCACAGCATTCTAGTTAGTTAGTTAGTTAGTTAGTTAGCTTCCTTCATTCAATTGATTTAATGTAGGTATGAAAAACACTAGTGACTGGGAGCAGCCGCCGAGACCATATAACACCGGTCTTGAAAGACCTACATTGGCTCCCAGTACGTTTCTGAGCACAATTCAAAGTGTTGGTGCTGACCTTTAAAGCCCTAAACGGCCTCGGTCCAGTATACCTGAAGGAGCGTCTCCACCCCCATCATTCTACCCGGACACTGAGGTCCAGCACCGAGGGCCTTCTGGCAGTTCCCTCACTGCAAGAAGCCAAGTTACAGGGAACCAGGCAGAGGGCCTTCTCGGTAGTGGCACCCTCCCTGTGGAACGCCCTCCCACCAGATGTCAAAGAGAACAACAACTACCAGACTTTTAGAAGATATCTGAAGGCAGCCCTGTTTAGGGAAGCTTTTAATGTTTGATGTATTACAGTATTTTAATGTTTTTTTGGAAGCCGCCCAGAGTGGCTGGGGAAGCCCAGCCAGATGGGCGGGGTATAAATAATAAATAATTATTATTATTATTATTATCCAGTTTAAAGTGGATTCAGTGCATTCCATGTGTGCCTGTTTTTCACACAATGTTATCCTCATCCAAGGGGCAGCCTATACTTTCCCTAATTATAATTTGAATTTTCCTGAACTATGGATTAAGCAGTGAAGCGGTGGGGTGGAATCTAATATAAAATCTCGTGTTACCCAGTTGTGGGTGTACTGCAGTTCACTTTGCAGATGGATGGCTGAGTGGGGCATTTTTTACATGTATGACATTTTTCTTGGTCCCATCTATTTCCACAAACCACTATGTCCAATGGTGAGGCACTCCTTAATGGCCTACTACTGGCGTGGCTAGGCTCACATGTACATTTTAAAAATTGCATAGCCTCCAACATTTCTCCGATGAAAATAGGTACGTCCCATTCCATAATGATCATTTTACTATTTATACATCATACATCTTACTGGGTTGCCCCAGCCACTCTAGGTGGCTTTCAGCATATAATAAAACAAAATAAAACATTAACCATTTAAAAAAAACCAAACCCTTCCCTATGCAGTATTTCCTTCAGACAGCTCCATACCCTCCAACATTTCTCCAGTGAAAATAGGGACATCCTAAGGAAAAGCGGGACATTTCATGATCAAATCAGATACCGGGACAGCTTCTCTAAATCAAGGATGCCCCTGTTAAATAGGGACACGGAGGATCTGAAATTGTTTGCCTCTTTTGTGCAAGTCTGGTATATCTGATGACTTGTACCTCAAAAATAAAAAATAGGTCATGCACAGGTAAACAAATACATGAAGGCATGCCCACTATGGTCCTCAGGCTTCCAGAACTCCGGGAGGGTTGGGAAGTGTTAACTGAAAGGAGAAGTCGGAAGCTCATAATGCAAACACACCTCATCAAACACCACCCACAAGTGTGGATGGGAAAGCATTCAGACAGAAATCAATTGAAAGAGCTCATGTGTGGACAAACATGCACCAAAGCTACAAGGAAAAAATCGGATCTGTGAGACCCACGTGTGCATTAACATTCTGGTGTATAGACAAAGTAATTTCACTGCTGCTATTCTTAAACACAAATTAATGCTACTCACTTTATGACTAGAAATCTTCTCCTCCTGGGCATTTTTCAACATCTCGAGTTTCATCATGATGGACCTCAGCTGCATTCTCATCATGAGCAGTTTTTCCTGGAGGGGTGGGGTGGGAATAATTCTATAATTCACAGAATAATGCTATAATTATAAAAATAATTCAGTCATTCTGTATCCAAGGAAGGTGATCAGTTCCATTTAAGATCAGTCCCATTTGCCAGCCGCATTACCAGAGTTGCATGAAACTTTTCCATGGTGGTCACTGCATTTCACATCTTTCACAAGCATATTACTATATAGATAAGCACAGTGCTTTTTTTAAAAAAAATGTTTAGGGGTACTCTCTTTTTCCTATTCATATTGAACTAAAAAGGTAAAGGTACCCCTATCCCTCAATGAGGCCAAACTTAGATTCACAAAATATTTAGAGCAGGGGTCTGCAACCCGCGGCTCCGGAGCCGCATGTGGCTCTTTTACACCTTTGCCGCGGCTCCGGGGCGGATACTAGCAAGGGGAGGAGGCGCATTGTGCGCCCCGACACTCCCCACTGTGGCGGGCGCTGTACTGGCTGTGACGTCGCATGGGGGCGGTGCTAACCTGCGTTAGTCACGCACCGTCCCGATGTCACCTTCCCGCTCGCCTGCCCGCTACATTGTAAGGGGCATGTACGCTGGTCACTGCATTGAAAGGGGTCATGTACGCTGGTCACTGTTTTGAAGGGGAGTGAAGAACACACACACACAAAAAGGTAACTTGTTAATTTAACGTTTATTTCTATGAGGAGGAGTAATTCTGAGGGGTCAAACAAAGAAATAATAAAAAAGTGACAAAAAAGTTATTTTTATAATGACGAGTTTTGCAGCTCCGTTTTTTTTTCTTCGGAAACGGGTCCAAGTGGCTCTTTTTGTCTTAATGGTTGCAGACCCCTGGTTTAGAGGTATGTGTACCCCTGTGTCCCCCCCAGAAAAAAGCACTGGATAGGCATATACTGTAAATATGTGCTTCCTATAATTCTCTTCAACATGCAAGGAGTCCATGACCGAGAGGCAGGCATTCCTTGGCAGACGAGTTAATCTGGAAAAGTGTTACTTTTAGTACAGCTAGAAATTTAGAAAATCACTGGCAGAATGCAAGCTGTTATGTTGGCACCATCTCTGTTCTTTTTGAGCTGTGCCAATCAGGAAGTATCTTTGCTTCATGGCTGAGGTTCTTTGATGTAACGGTAATGCCATCTGCAACTAAAACAACTTAAATCGCAATACTAAGTAAGCCAACTTCCAAGTACTGTAAACATATGCACAGGATTGGGCAAGACCTGCATTTCCCGTCTTCATGCACTAGAGGGCAACTTTAACTCACATGTCATCCATTCACCCCCACAGAAAAATTAGAACTTAAGTCCTAGAAAGTCCTAGAACCATAGGGAGGGGAAGAATCATAGGAAGGGACCACAAGGGCCATCTAGTCCAACCCCCTGCAATGCAGGAATATTTCCCCCCAACGTGGGAACTCGAACCCACAACTCCTTCAAGTGTTGTGATACAGTTCTACAACTCAAAATGGTGTTAAAACATGTGCATATATGGGGAAAGCATACACAAAATTTAGTGAAAATAACACACAAAAATGCATGGTATTAAAGAAAATTGGTTGCAAAAATACATATACTAGACAAAAAATGTGTGTATCCGGAGAAATGTGCACTAAAATGCTGATGAATATTCATTGCAAACTGATGCAGATATATGGCAAACTAAATTTGCAACTGGAATAATCAAATTTGACAGATTCATCCACATATAAAAAAAAGGAGAAATTCTTTTTAGAAATATTTTAAAATAGAGAAAAATACTTTAAAAATGTTTTCTAACACAGATGCTGTTTTGCTCATCATCAGGAGTGACATGGGTGCTACCCAACATGTGTTTGTGATACTCCGCACTATTCTCCACAGGGCAGCCACAGTTGCAGTTGATACAACATGAGTAGCAATAGGCGTCCTGGGTACATGGAATTTTCCTTCTGCACAAAATGCAACCATGAGAAAAGCAGTCCATGAAGCAACTAATCTGTGCCACTGTTTGTTTGTTTGTTTGTTTGTTTGTTTGTTTGTTTTGTAAGGCTCTAAGCTACATCCAGTTAGCAGAAAAGTCTATTTGAGCTAGAGGCCTGCTTACTGAATGGAAGCATTTTAAAATGTTTGTACAGGATCCTCTCCATCCATTGTTAAAACATTATCCAACCAGCCAGGAGGTTGTGGGTGCAGGGAGCAGGTGGCCCAAAAACTGGATCTTTTGAGCTGGGCCCCCAATTTCCTGACCCTTTCACCTTAAAAAACAAAGCAAAAACTTTTAAAACAATGCTTATAGGGCAGCTGAGCAGGCTGCAAAGCAAGGTGCTGGTGGGACCTCAACCACCCATCTTCATTTCCCCAGAGGAACACTATACATTCATGAAAATTTGTGTCACAGGTAGGTACTTTTAAGTTCTTAGCAACGCCCAGCTAGCTTTAAAACATATATACACACCTTTGATTTCAATGGACCTGATAAGTAGGTACTTAGGTGTTTCCCTTTGAAACCAGCATAGTTTTAAAAAGCTTGGGTTGTATTTAGCTAAGGGCTTGTCCACACTTACCTTTCCTCCACTCTTTCCAGGTGGGGGCGCATCCACTTTAAAACTCAGTGTTGAGCACCTCTTCTTCTTCTTCTTTTGTTCCTGAGAATTCCCCTCAAAAACCTGCTCATTAAAGCTGAATCAGAGCAAATGGCAACCAGCAGAAAGCCTAAATTGCCATTTGCTCCAACTGAGCACCAAAGCGCAGGTTTTCGCAGGGAAATCTGGGGCGAAAATAAAACACTTGACACAGAGCTTTAAAGCACAGAACAGTGCCTGGGGCAAAAAGGTAAGTGCAAATCAGCCCAGAGCCCTACTCCGAGTTGACCCACTGAAATTGAGAAATCCAAGTTAGTCGTGTCCATTAACTCCAGTGGGCCTGCTCTGAGTAGGACTAGCATTGAATACTGCTACTTGAGTTTGGCTGGATCATTTCCCATGTTTTGATCCGGCCTTGGTAAAATGGTTACCGTATAAATCTGGACGGCATCTGGGATAAGGAGAAACTGGGTGCTTTGTTCTTTGGGTTGTTGAGTTTCTCGGCAGCTGAAGCAAGCTAGCTTTTCTTGCGGCTTCCAGTAGAGGGTGTAGGGCTCGCTGTGTTCTATGCACTTCTGTTGCTGGCACCCCACATGAAAGGTCTTAATCCTTTCCGCCATTTTCTCCAGTGTTTTGTTTGCTATGAACTTTCGCTCTGGAACGCTCGCGTGGCATTGTGGACAGAAGACTCCCTTTTTCCCCCATACTGCCTCTAGACAATTTTTGCAGAAGTTGTGGCCACAGGGCAGAATGACAGGCTCCTTAAACAGCTCTAGACATATAGCACAGGATAACTCCTTGGTGAAATCATCTGCATGTATCTCCCAAGAGGTTTCAGAAGAACTGGCGCCGGCAGGTTGGGCTTCTTTTTCAGTTGTAGTAAATGAGGTAGTTGAAGGGTTTTTGCTTGCGGGTGTGGACATTATAGCAGAAAGACATGCCCTAAGGCAGCAGTCAAGATAGGGCCATCCTGTCAGATGAAAAAGGAGTTAAATGAGCTTATCATAAAGCATAATAATCAAGGCTGGGCGGCAGTTATGTGAGGACATCTTGCACTGTGGCAAAACTCTACTCGATGTGAGACCTTTCAGTAGAGTCTTCCCTCCCAGGGCAATATCATTGCTATTTGTACGTTTCTGAGAACAATTCAAAGTGTTGGTGCTGACCTTTAAAGCTCTAAACAGCCTCGGTCCTGTATACCTGAAGAAGCGTCTCCACCCCCATTGTTCAGCCCGGACACTGAGATCCAGCGTGGAGGGCCTTCTGGCAGTTCCCTCATTGCGAGAAGTGAGGTTACAGGGAACAAGACAGAGGGCCTTTTTGGTAGTGGCACCCGCCCTGTGGAACGTCCTCCCTTCAGATGTGAAGGAAATAAGCAGCTATCTTCTCTTTAAAAGACATCTGAAGGCAGCCCTGTTTAGGGAAGTTTTTAATATTTAATGCTGTATTGTTTTTAACACTTGATTGGAAGCCACCCAGAGTGGCTGGGGAAACTCAGCCAGATGGGCGGGGTATAAATAATAAATTGTTGTTGTTGTTGTTGTTGTTGTTGTTGTTAGTTTGCCATGTGTTACCCAATTAACTTGTGACTTAAAGCAAAAGGAACAAGAACAACTCCTATAGCAGCCACAGGAAGCTTTTGGACATAGTAATAACGAACAATATTGTCTTAGTCGATCAAAAGCCTGGGGGAAAGTAAGTCTTTAAATGATGCTGAAAAGATGTCATGAAGGTACCAGGCACATTGCACCAATAGGGAGTCACGACTGAAAAGACCATCTTCCTTGTCACCACTACCCAAGCCTCCCTCAGAGGGGGTCGCTGGAGAAAAGCCTCAGAGGAAGGTCTAAGGCAGGCATAGGCAAACTCGGCCCTCCAGATGTTTTGAGACTACAATTCCCATCATCCCTGCCCACTGGTCTTGTTAGCTAGGGATGATGGGAATTGTAGTCTTAAAACATCTGGAGGGCTGAGTTTGCCTATGCCTGGTCTAAGGGTCCAGGTAGGTTTGTATCGGGAGAGATGTTCTAGAAGGTATTGGGGTCCTGAGCTGTAAAGATCTTTCAAGGTCAAAAACAGCACTTTTAATGGGGCTCGGAAGCTTATGGGCAACCAGTGTAGTGTTCGCCTTGAGCCTGGTAATGGTCACCGCTAATCCTGCCAGGCAAGTGTGGGGCACAGAGGGTTCGTGGGGCTGCAATGCGCCACCTGCCTGCCTGCCCATGCAGCGGGGAGTCCAGCTGGCAAGTCAATGCAGCCTTTGGTGGGTGCATCCCTCCAACGTTGGGTGGGCAGCCATTTGGTGAGTGGGTCAGGGGCACTATGGCAAGACCAGGCTGGGCTCTAGGGCCCAGGAGGTTTTGTCGTCTGGGCAGCCCAGGACATCCATCCACATTGCCCAGGTTTGTGGTTTGATTTCACCCTGGAGGCACACTCCATTACCTCTCAAGACAGGACAGGTGCCAGCAATAAGGTTACTGCTGTTGGGATGAATATAGCCTCTTCACACAAGCTGTATGGTTTACTCAATACATACACAGTATCGCCAGGAATTATGTGTTTTTGGGAAAAATAAAGCTTTTGTCAGTACCAACCTTCTATCTTTCCACACCAATACCACTTTCCTGCTCTGGATCTCCCTTTCAAAATTACCGACAGATTGAGGGTGGCATTCTATATTAAAATAGCTTCCCGTTGCCACCATTTTTCTAAGCAGTTTATTCCCAACTCACCTATTTCCTAGAAATAATGTGTTTCAAGGAGCTATTGTTTGTCTTCCACCCTATCTCATTAGGCAGCTTTGCCGCCCGGCTGATAACTGCCACTCACCAACTGTTTTCCTCTTCCAGAAGATTCCATCTGTGTTCCGGTGAAATTATTTGCTCTCAGATCCAGCCATCAGGCTCTCCAGATGAGATCAAAGCTTAACTTCCATCAAAACAGGCCTGTTTTTATTCTTTCCTCAGCATTGCTATCCAATTCCTTTATGATGTATAACCAGAAATATCTCTCACATGGTATCCATGGTCAATAATTACTGATGTATGCTTCTCCTTCAGTTTTAATACAGAAAAAAAATCCACTTTTGCCTTGCATGTGATAAGGTGTTTGAAAAACATATTTATAATCTTGGTAAAATCAGTTGTTTACCATCAGTTAGATTCCCTCTCCACTCTGGAACTGTGGATGTTGGCCCAGAATATGCTTTTGTGGGTTATATGATCTGCTAAAACAACCACGAGTCTTAGAACACCTTAAAGGCTAACACATTTATTATGGTATAACATTTAATGGTCTACAGTCTAGTTCATCAGATGATCCTGAGTAATGGGTGTATATATACACAAGCACACAGCAATTTCACATTGCAGTCTTCCTTTGATGTTCCTTTGTCCTAGGGTGGCTACTTTTAGATCTTATAGTCTCCTGGAAGGTAGAAATGTTCCCCTACTTGCTTCTGAACGCTGCCATTTTTGATGTTAGATTTGTGATCATTTATTCTTTCACAGTAGGAATGGCCTGTCATGGAGAACTCAGAAGGGCATATAGCTTCTTGCTTGGGGTGTGTTTAGAAACCTGTGTCTGGAATGCAGCCTATTGCAAAAGGTAAATATCCCATCAATTGCCCATCCCACATTTGCTCCTTCAGGAAGATCAAAGTGTTTCAGATTGGTCCTGCCTTCTTCTGGAAGAGTTAATCCAGGGGTCGGCAACCTGTGGCCCACAGGGGTCGTTTAACCGGCCCATGAGCCACCCCCAAACTGAGCAGCATGCCTGGAGTGTCCCGCGCGCTGCGCTAAAGTGGTGCAGCACAGCACAGCGACTTGCTTCCGCGGCACCGGAAATTGTATCTGAGCAGATGCAGGTAATTACAGGCACTCACACACACCCGTGATCCGGCCCACGGAGGGATCTCCGCTGGATTGAACCGGTCCAGGCGAGGTAAACCTTGCCGACCCCCGAGTTAATCCTTTGCTGTCAGCTCCCCTCTTCTACAGGCCAAGAATTACAGTATTTATCATAAGCAGAAAGCAGTGAGATAGTTTGCTTTGTTCTGAGCTGTGCAGTTTGTTTTTAGTTTCGTTTTAATTATTTTTTAAAAAAGTTACAGCTTGCTACATATGGGCAACAAGCATATTTTACTTATCTTCTTTTTCACAGACTCAAAGAGTTATCTGTGACCCCCACCCCCAAGTCATGCAACGCATTTTGAGACATTGGGATTTGAGTTCTGATACAGATATAATTTGAGGCCTATTTTGTGAAGGGAGTACAGTGTGATTTACAATCTCTCTCCTTATTTTGATTCTTAAAGCTCGCTTTTAACTGCAATTGTGTAATGAGAGAAATATAACACTCCTTATGATTAGAACATGTTTGTGAAGATCTGCTGATGGATGTAATCTTGCATTTTGGATGCAATTCTGTTTACACTTACCAGGGATAAGGCCTATTTAACATAATAGGACTTACTTATGAATAAACATGTGTGGGCGTGCCCTGGAAAACCAATAAATCAAGGCCACCAACTGTTACAAAAGGAAATCTTGGTAGAAGTACTTTATTAAGAGTTTAATAAATGCCAATACTAATAGCATTACAAGTTACATTCCAGACAGGCCAAATGAGAAACTAATTCATAGGCAAAAAATTGAAATATACACGATACTCAGAATAGATCACTGAAATTAATGGACCAAAGTTACTCAAGTCCAATAACTTTAATGGCTCTATTCAAAGTACAACTAGTACGTGATGCAACCCATAAGCCTTTCTACTTGCTTCTTTTTGGAAAGATTCAAATTCCTAAAGTATAATGAGAAGGATGGGAAGGATTGTGTCGATGAACACTTTTATTGTGTAAATAATGTTGTCTTGTCTTTTCCTCCTTTGATTTTTTTGACGACGTTTCTTTGTTATTTATTTTTTTCTCATTTCCTCTTTTTTGTTCCTTTAGAAATTTTCTATTTTCTACATAATTTTCTTTTTCTTCATATGTAAAGAGATAACATATGTTTGTATAGATATGTAAATTTTTAATCAACAAAGAATAATATTTTTTTAAAAATCCTGGAAGATTTTGCTGATAGAAGTATTTGAAAAATCAACAGAAGGTTACTTTTCATTTTTTTTTTTATGAAGCCACACTGCAAATCACTGAATGTTACAATAAATGCATGACTGATCAGATTTTCAAGGCAATCTTCAATTGTCTGCCTACAGTGGACACACATACAGTGGTACCTCGGGATGCGAACGGGACCCATTCCCGTAAGACGCGACTGCGCGTGTCGCCGCTTCTGTGCATGCGCATGACATCACTTTGACCGTCTGCGCATGCGCAAGTGGCAAAACCCAGAAGTAACGTGCTCCGTTACTTCCGGGTCGCCACAGAGCGCAACCTGAAAATACTTATCCTGAAGCATATTTATCCCGAGGTATGACTGTATATGAAAGCCCACATCATACACTTCAAAGTCTTAAGCACAGCCCATCAGCAGGTCTCAGCAGGTTTTGATGTATGCGGCTCATGATGGAAAACTATCCAGAGAGCTACAAAATCAGTAGAAAAGCAGGAACAGCGCAGGAAGAATGTTCAGGGGCAATCAAAAGGCAGGCTCTTTGGACCTGGAGAGAAAAAACATAAAACCAACTTTTATACTGACTCATGTGAAAAAAAAATGCTGCCAAACTACAATTAACCTCAATGTGGTCTTGAGCATCATTATTGCAACCTAATCTTTCCTGTTAGTGGCAGGGGAAGGCAGAATGTCTATGTAGAAGAGCACTTTGAACAGTGAGAAGTATTGGGAGAGCTAACTAAGGGCTGAGCTGCAAATCCAGAAATCTCTTGGTTCACCAGGAACTCACTGGGTGGCCTTGACCAAGTCACTCCCTCTCTCTCTTAGTCTCAAGCCCCCCCTCTCCACCCCAATATAGGCAGCAATACTGATTTCAGAACGGTTGGGGAGCATGTGGTGTAGTGGCTAGAGTGTTGGACTAGGGTCTGGCAGTCCAGGGTTCGAATTCCCAAATCAGCCAAGAGACTTGCTGGGTGATGTTGGGCTAGGCATAGGGCCTTCTGGCAGGTCCCTCACTGCGACAAGTGAGGTTACAGGGGACCATGCAGAGGGCCTTCTTGGTGGCGGCACCTGCCCTGTGGAATGCCCTCCCATCAGATGTCAAGGAAATAAGCAGATATCTGACTTTTAGAAGACATCTGAAAGCAGCCCTGTTTAGGAAAGTTTTTAATGTTTGATGTTTTATCGTGTTTTTAATATTCTGTTGGGAGCTGCCCAGAGAGGCTGGGGGAACCCAGCCAGATGGGTGGGGTATAAACAATAAATTATTATTATTATCATCATCGTCATCGTCATCATCCCAGCCTAAACTACCTCATACGACTGAGGATAAAATGGGAGCAGAGGCAGAGAAGCATGCATGTTACCTTGCGTTTCTTGGGCAGCAGGGGGAGGGAGGTGGGATATACATGAAATAATAAAATAAAAACAGTGTTGGACTTTAGGGGAGAAATTCATCCTTGCATGTATTTGTTTTCCTGTTCCCTTCGTATCCTGCCTTTTTCTACGACTGTGGGGCAAGGCTGCTTTGCTCTTCTGTCGCAAACTACAAGGAGTGGCCTTTTTACACAGTGGGAAATGGTAGGTTTCATATACCACCACCACCCCAGGGAATGACACAGTGGTTGTAGATGGGGCCATAGGAACTTCAGCATACATTCAATATAACCCTTGTGGTGGGTACATTTTATGGTTTGCATTTATTTTTAAAAACCAGTCTGTTCCTTATTGTGAAGGGACAGGATACCCAAATCCTGTCTGAAATCACCCCAGGCCTCAAAACTGTCCAAAACTCCTTTTGTCTTCTAAAAAATCCAAAACAGCTTTTCTCTGCTTGTCTCTGCTTATTCTCACAAGATGCTGTGCATAGGCAAAATGTTACTTTTAAAGGCTAATGAATAGGCTCTGTCATTGCCAAGAATACTCAGGCCTGAGAAACGAATCTTATCTCATTCCAGTTGCAACACATCTGAACAAACTGAACGCAAGGCTTCTCACCCCCCCCCTTTTCCTGGGAAGAGTCCAATAGTCCCAAGACAGCTTTCTGTTCATGCTCAGAGGAACTCATGGGCAGGACTCCTGAGGGAGGAGAAAGGAGGAGGGAACTGGAAAGGGGTATATAAGCTTGTGCACATGACTGTGAACTCGTGCATGCTTTTTGTGAACTATCACACTTGCTCCTTCTATCAGTTCATGGATGGTAGAAATAAAAGCCTTTTCTCCGAAACTATTCCTTGAGTGTCTGTTGACTCCCACTTCCCTTTCCCGGGCGCAATATTTTTCCCACCCGAGGGCAAAGCCTCATAAGGCTACAATTGCTAAGAGTTATCTGTGTGCAGCTAAATATATAATTAGAAAAGTGTAATGTTAGCACACCATAATGGTAAAATATAATTTGTATTATGACGCTATAATCCACCAATGCTGATTTTTTAAAAATAGTTTGCCGCCACCATACCCCCCCAAAAAAACCAACAACACCCCACCAACAGTTTCTGGTCATTTATCAATACAGTTGCCAGTGACCAAAAAGGTATTTTTAAAGAAATCGTTTAAAATGAACACTGAAAGGAGTTGGTTGGTACTGGCATCCATGTTGTGGCATGGCCCAGAGTGGCTGGGGATACTCAGCTAGATGAGAGGGATATAAATGATAAAATTATTATTAATTATTATTGCTATACATGGGCAGGCTGAAAATTATGTGCTGTGGCAAGTACAACAAAATGGCTGCCTGCCATACTCCTCCTTCCTCCTATTGCATAAACAGGAAATGTGGTTGGGGAGGAGGGAGAGAGGGCAGCAGCGGAGGAAGTTATATTGTGCCCCTCCCCGAGAAAAGACCAAGACTGAGCTGGAGAGCATGAGATGCAAGGGAAAACTAGCTGTGTATAACCAGTGGTGGGTCAGGATGGGGAGGACAGTAAAGAGGAGTACATATGGTTGGGGGGGAATAGGGTCATAGCCATCCTGCTTTGGATGCAGAATTCCCCAGGTTCAACCCCCGACATTTCCTGGCAAGGCTGGGGAAGACCCCTAGAGAGCTGCCAGTCAGTGTAAACGATGCTGAGCTAGATGGACCAATGGGATGACTCACTAAAAGGGTACTTTCAGTTTTGCCCCAAGGGGTATAATATGTTCAATAGGATATTCATCACAGTGGCTGCTCCCCCTGACCTGAATGCTGATTAAAAGACTTGAGGGTTCACCCAGCACCTCAGAAGTTGAGAGAGGTTTGGAACTCTGAGGGCTTCCCACGTTCTCATTTACTCTGCCCAGCAGATTGCACATTCTCACAGCATTCTACGGTCTTTCTTTCCTGTTTCTTTCCTTGTGATTGTAGCCAGAAAAAAATATTTTAGCAATAAGCAATTCCTTTGGGGGGGGGGGAACCACCCACAAAAGCAAGGTGGCACCCACGGTAAAAGTTCTAACAAATGTGTGCTGAGCTGTGATAGATTCAGTTTCCTGATATACGTCCAAGACTGACTCTTGAATAAAAGTCAGAAGAGTGGCCCAAAGGGCATCTGCACTGATGAATATTGTGCTACTCTTCTGTTCCTTCTGAAAAAAGTTGGGCTTTAGGCCCTTTGAGAAAGAGAGCCATGGGGAAAATACAGAACAGCTATGACTGACTGGGTGCTGGTGGTGTGTGGATGCCTTGTATGAAGGGAAGAAACAGAGCACAGCAATTCCACACTAATGCTCCAATCTGAACTCTTTACCTGAGAGTAAGTCCCACTGAATTCAACAGGACTTACTTCTGAGTATACATGGTTAGGATTACACTATAAATGCCTAACATGGAAGCACTGAAGAAGCCTTGTGCTCCCCACCTAAAGTTAAGTCTTGGAACCCCCAGCATTTTGAAATAATTATTATATATTAAAATGTGTTGTACTCAGCTTTTTATTTACGGTAACTCAGAGTAGCTACACTGAAATAGCTATGGCTAACTTTGCTCCATGAATTTGAATGGCTCCACTCTTGAGTAAAAGCTAGCTGAATAGAACTATTTTATTAATTTATGAATCACCTTTCCTGAGTTTCAAGGTGACTTAGTAATGGAACAGCTAAAAACAGATTCAAAAGCAATACAATACCCCCTCACACACAATGAAGACATATTTTTAAACAATGTGAGGAAAGGGGGAAACAATAGTCTTTGATCTCTCCACAAAGTATCATCGCAAGGGGTAAAGCTATGTTATAGTAAGACACTAGAAGACAGAGTTCTGGAAAAAACTGGTCTTGCAAATTTGTGGAGAATCTGGCATTACGTGGCACCGATTGGCTAGTACCTCAGATGTCACAAACCCACCTACCCTCAATCTCTAGAGCAGTTTGGCCATCTGAAAAAGCTTCCATATTTCCTCAATTCAGACCAACCAACCCCCTCCGACAAATAAATGTCTGGATGGCAATTCAATTTTTAAAAATAAAAATTAAAAAAAGGCAAAAAGCCCACTGGAATAGTGAAGTAGGGCAGATGGTGGGCCAAACCAAAGATTGATTCGCTGCCAGATACATCCATCACAGTAACTGCAGCTGGGAGTAAAAGATATAGCTCAAGAATTAGGTGCAAGTTCCTTTTCATATTATATCTGTTTTCACTCACAGTTTATAACTAGTCCAACAAAAAATTGATTGATTTGTTCCTTATGAGAGAAAGGAAAGATATTTCTTTAAATAAAAAAAATAATCACATTATCATTCATTAGTTATTTTTTGTAAAATAACTACACTTTTGTAAAAAGTGATGATTAAATTAAATAATAATCATCTATATCTTACCTTTCCTGCTGAGGGGTCATTTGGTTATTACTCTTGCTCTGCAGAAGAAGAAAACAAGGTAAGTGTCTCTCGGACATAAATTGGTCCAATATTTTATGACAGCGTTAATCTGAAGTGCCTACAGATTTCTTGCAATTTGCTGAAAGATTATGGTCAATGAATGTCTGCTGCTCTTGCAAAGGATGACTAGTTGTTCATGACAATTTGTAGCAACGTACAGATGCAAATCTTAGCCTGTGAATGTCATCTGAAGACGGGTGTTTTCTGGAGGGACTACAGATGGCAGAGAACAGCTGTTCATGTTTCAAGACTTGACAAGAAAAAGAAAGGGAAAAGAAAGTAGACCACAGTGGCAGATACTCACCCCATTTGACAACTTTTGGTCCAACAAGGGTGCTGTGTTCCACTCTGCAGGCAACTTCTTCCCCATCTGGAGTGACCTTGGCATAGACAAGGCGATTGAAGGCCCAGGTTTTATCAAAAGAAAGGTCAGACTGTTTCACATCTTCAAGTGGCTTCCCGCCCTTCTCAATTGTGATGTTGATTTTGGGAGGGTGGAAGTTGTCCACATAGCAATTCACAATGTTTTCTTTGCCCTTCTCCACAGGATAGCGGGAATAAACTTGTACGTTGGGAGTTCCTGTAGGAATGGGTGAAAGAGGTAAAAAGGCAAGGTTTAAGGATACAGGTTATCATCTGCCATGCTTTATTAGCTGCGCACTCAAGGGCTATATCCGACCTAGGAGATAAATTTCCTACCTGGACATTCCTTCCATACAAGAAGCTGCATGTATACAGTGGTACCTCGGGTTACAGACGCTTCAGGTTACAGACTCCGCTACGCTTCAGGTTATAGACTCTGCTAACCCAGAAATAGTACCTCAGGTTAAGAACTTTGCTTCAGAATAAGAACGGAGATCAGGCAGCGGTGGCGCGGTGGCAGCGGGAGGCCCCATTAGCTAAAGTGGTACCTCAGGTTAAGAACAGTTTCAGGTTAAGAACGGACCTCCAGAATGAATTAAGTTCTTAACCCGAGGTGCCACTGTACCGTCAGAGACTGAAATAGCCCATGTGGTCCATTTTGCTACATACACATAGAACAGGAGCCCACTAGTCCAAGGTGGTATCTGGTTTTCAACATCTAAACATCACGGTTTAACGATATATCACTATGCTTGAAATAAGGGTGAAGTAGAGTCATTGGCTGGCTTAACAGATTTCCCCACATAGTGATTTTTTGCTGGTGCCTGCTCCTGTGATTTGCTGCCCCCTGCATGTATTTGACTTTCTGTGGATACATACAAGTGTCTTTCTAGCCTTACCTGTCCTGGAGGTGCCATGCATTGAATGTAGAATGTTCAGCATGCAAAGCAGAACTGCACTGCCGCCCTTCTCCCGACCTGTGAAATCTGCGGTCCTCTAGATTTTGTTGGACTACAACTCCAATCAACCTGGATCACTAGCCATTGATAGCTGGGGCTGATTGGAGCTGGAGTCCTACAACACAAGGAGGGCCACAAGTTGCCTATTCCTGCTCTATGCCATTCATCTTCCCCTACTAGGTTGCAGCCTAACCTAAAGGTGGTTCACAACAGCACTCTACCAGTGTACTAATATACAATAAAAAGAGGGGGTCCCCAAATGCATGTTTTGGGGCTAAAGATGTCCTAAAGGTAGGTTCTGGGCCTGAAAAACCAGAAGATTACTGCGTACGTACCAGGAGAAAAGGGAAATAAAAAGTGAAAGCAACATTTGATCTGCACTCATAAAAGACCAAGACGCCATTTCACTTGCTTTTCTAGCTGCATGTGATAGTAATGAAAACAGAACTGGTCAAAGGCCAATGACTAGTCAGAAAGTCCCTGGAAATGAGCCAGCAAGGGGCAATGGATAAATTATATGTTAATAACCACCTTGAGTTCCACCGCAGAAGACGTAGCAGATATAAATGTAGGTCTCCACTGTTTATGTATTTGAAATTAAAGGAACATTCTAGTGTGTGTTTAACTCCTTCCCTGCTGGCCACCTCCTTGCCACTGCCTTTCACTCCCCACCCCCCAGTGTTCCAGATGAATGTTTTACACATCTGGAAACTCAAAAGGCAAAGCAGCTTGGGGCAAGGATTAAGACACATCCCGTCCTCAACCCTGGGCCACAAAGTGCAATGGATCACCCACCCTTCATTTTCAGACAACGGCTTCAACTGCTGAGTGGAAGGACAATTTCAGGGACAAGATTTCTAATTGTCCGTCTACTCTGAGGCAAAAGTGCACCAGGAGGTAGTATCCAGAAACTTGGTCCATTAGTGCAGGGATTTACACTTGCACAACTTCCCCTCCATTCCCACACTATGGCACACCCTTCCCAAATCCACTGCAAAGGGTTGAAGCAACTCACGTAACAGATTTAGTTCAGATGCACAAGCATAAGCGCTTTCGCACACTTTCACTTGTCCCATGCCTATAAAGCACAGATCCGAGCAGTTTTTCCTTTGCCTCGCTGCCTTCCCACTTCCACTCTTTAGTGCTAAATCCAAACAAACCGTGATCTGCAGAAAACACGACTGCCATTTGTTCCAATTTGATACTAAAGGTCAGGTTTCCCTGGGGGAAAGCGGTGGTGCAAACTGAGGTGCAGATGTACCCTTAATCTTTGCTCTACCAGAACAAGTTACTTAGTGCTGTTAGATACAACCCACCATTATTTTGACATAAAAGCAGCTGCGGGTGTGCTCAAGTTTCATAAAAGCAGCAGTGATTAAGGGGGTGTTTTCTGGCCCAAGTGTCTTCTCCTCAAACTGCTATTAGCTCTACAGTGGAAATAAACACCAAGGTGTGTTCTTCTGTGGCAGAGGCTTCAGAGGGGTGCTGCGATGGGAAAACTATGTCAGGCCAGAGCCTCAATCTAAAGCAGTCCTGCACTGGCTGCTTTTAAGTAAAAATGAAAGCACTGGGAGATCTTGTGGCAGACTTCCTGAGACTTGTGTAGCTTGGCCCTGTGAGCCTCTTTTTAAGTTTTCCACTATTGCCCTGGCAGCATTTCCAGCTTTCAACACAAGCTTATCAAGGGCTTTTTTATGACAGTACTCACTGGTGCAAAGTACGGCCAACTCTCTCTCTTTCTTTCTTTTGTCGCCCACAGCAGCCATTTTGTGACGGCACCCATGACACTTTTATCAACATAAAAGTACTGGCACCTCATTTTTGGCCCCAAAAAATTCTAAAGCTGACCCTTTGCACATACATGAGCTGGAAACCCAAAACAGGAAGGAGATTTTCAGGAAAGCAGTAGGGGGAATTGAAATGGGCCCCAAAACAAGGGTCAGCACATGTGGGCTTCCTTCTCCTGAGGAATATCGCTGGGGGAAGAGAGTATCATGTAGGTGCTGTCACTATGTGGGGGCAGGATTGGGCACAGAGGGCAGCAGCTTTTGGGAGAGGCGGGTGATAGCTAGTTTAAATACCCCCTTTCTTTCTCCTAGGGAGATAGTGAATATGAGCTATCCCTTCCCGACAAAATGGTTGTGGGGTGGGTGGGTGGGTGGGTGCGTGTGTGTGAATTTACCTGTAAACTGCCTAAATTCACATTTTAGAAATTTTATTCTCCTGAGTTTAACAGCTGTAAAAACCTCTAGTCTACAGTAAAGGAAGGAAGGAAGCACTTCAAGCTTAGCTTACAAAGAACGGCACCACATAACAAAAAGTGTTCCTTTTATCAGGATGTTACTGTCTCATTGGAATCAGCCGGTACCTTGAGCTCCAAAAAATCCCACTGAACAGACAATACTTCCGCCCTCCCTCTTCTCGAGTCAACTCCCATTTTGCATTCTAGAACTAAGACAGCATCTGTTGGGAGCCCTGCACTTGTGGTTTGGGCCGGAAGTCTAACAAAGGAACCAACGATGTTTTAAGAAGTTAGAAGCACAAAGGAAGACGAAAAAAACTTCTCAGATGCAGGGAAGCCATCATGAGCCTTTGTTGTTTTCTACTGACTCACTCAGGTCAGCTGCTTCCTTCTGCCCCATCAGCTTCAGCAAAACACGGATTAGGCCCCCCACAAAAACCCCAAAAATAATCAAGGAGGCACTCTTAACTCTTTTAATCACCCCAATTACCCAACAGGATGAACTAAAACAACACAACCTATACGTGTTTACTCAGAAGTAAAACAACATAGCTCAGTTGGTTAGGAAAAAAGCATACAGGCATATGAAGGTTGTAGGTTCGATCCCCGTAAGGGAGAGCTGCGTATGCCTGCATTGCAGGGGGTTAGACTAGATGATCCTCAGGGTCTCATAACTCTTGGATTCTATGAAAAGCCCAGTTGTGTTCCATAGCGATTGCTTAATATGATGTTTAGGATCACAAACACTAAGGAACACTGTAGCACCTTTAAAAGCTCAGGCGGAAATCCTACACAGGAGTAAGACCACAGTGGGACTTAGGGGGGAAAGCATAATTAGGTTTGTTCGCCAAGGTCGCCGTCCTTATTTCGGAGTAAACACACTTAGAACTGCGGTTTAAATAATTCAGGATAGCACAATGTTTCTTAGGCTAAAGCCTGCTTGACATATTCCACGTCGGCCCCTATGGATCTTTTAATTCTTTAGCAGTGCCACCGCGTATATAATTAAAACCCACCGAGTTTCACGGTGCTAAATTCTGGGCCAGTGGGCACAGGGAGAGATAACCCGTGTCAAGCTACTCGTGAGAACGCGCGCCTCTAAACCCGTTCACGAGGTCTACCCCTGGAAGACAGCCGAAGCGGGAGAGGGAAAGGGTTAGGCGGGCTGCAACACAGCCTTACTTACTTGGAGTGGCCTCCAGGATGCCGACCAAGAGCACGAGGGCCAAGCACGACAGCATGAGAGCCTTCGCCATGGCAGAAAGGGTCTCGGTGCGTCCGCTTCAGAGTCTCGAAACTCGGCGACTGAGACGGCAGAGTTCGGCCGAGGGAACTTCACGCCCAGAAATCGCTCCTTTCTGACCAATCACAATAACGCACAGGTAACGCATCACTAGTAGCCGGGGAGATGTCTCAGCGCAAGCCGGCTGAAAGGCCTCGGGGACTTTCCAGCACATGCGCACTCCCGCCGCTCGATGATTTATTTTTTTTTGTATACCGTATTTTACTTTCGGTTTCCGTTGCTTGGAAAGGCAGGCCAGTTCCGAGAAATGGGAGAAGCGCCGCTGCGGCAACAAGATAACAATTGAACCAGGGCCAGAGTGCAAGATGTTTTTTTAAATTATTATTATTATTATTATTAATGTTCCACAGGTTCAGATAAAGCCTGGTACCTGTTCAGAACCTGTGGCATATTAATAATAATAATAATAATAATAATAATAATTGATAGCACAGAGGTGCTGTGATGGGGCTCCCTTTGAGGAAAGGTTGCAACGTTTGAGACTTTTTAGTTTAGAGAAAAAGCAACTACAGTGGTACCTCAGGTTACATACGCTTCAGGTTACAGACTCTGCTAACCCAGAAATATTAGCTCGGGTTAAGAACTTTGCTTCAGGATGAGAACAGAAATCGTGCTCTGGCGGCACGGCAGCAGCAGGAGGCCCCATTAGCTAAAGTGGTACCTCAGGTTAAGAACAGTTTCAGGTTAAGTACGGACCTGCAGAACGAATTAAGTACTTAACCCGAGGTACCACTGTAAAGGGTGACATGATTTGTTGTTGTTGGTTAGTCGTGTCCGACTCTTCGTGACCCCATGGACCAGAGCACGCCAGGCCCTCCTGTCTTCCACTGCCTCCTGCAGTTTGGTCAAACTCATGCTGGTAGCTTCGAGAACACTGTCCAACCATCTTGTCCTCTGTCGCCCCCTTCTCCTTGTGCCCTCCATCTTTCCCAACATCAGGGTCTTTTCCAGGGAGTCTTCTCTTCTCATGAGGTGGCCAAAGTCTTGGAGCCTCAGCTTCACGATCTGTCCTTCTAGTGAGCACTCAGGGCTGATTTCCTTAAGAATGGATAGGTTTGATCTTCTTGCAGTCCGTGGGACTCTCCAGAGTCTCCTCCAGCACCAGAATTCAAAAGCATCAATTCTTCGGCGATCAGCCTTCTTTATAGTCCAGCTCTCACTTCCATACATCACTACTGGGAAAACCAGAGCTTTAACTATACCAGGGGTAGGCAACCTAAGGCCTGTGGACCTTCTCAATCTGGTGCACGGACGGTCCAGGAATCAGTGTGTTTTTACATGAGTAGAATGTGTGCTTTTATTTAAAATGCATCTCTGGGTTATTTGTGGGGCATAGGAAATCGTTCCTTTCCCCCAAAAAAATATCGTCCGGCCCCCCACAAGGTCTGAGGAACGGTGGACCAGCCCACGGCTGAAAAAGGTTGCTGACCCCTGAACTATACGGACCTTTGTCAGCAAGGTGACATGATAGAAGTCTATAAAATTACTGTGTTCATGGCGTGGATAAAATAGATGTAGATGAACTCATGAACATCCAATGAAACTGAATGTTGGAAGATTCAGGAAAGAGAACAGAAATTTCTTATTCATGTAGCATATTGTTAACCTGTGGAACTCACTCCCACAAGATGGTTAGAGGCAGTATTGCTTCTGAATACCAGTAAGAACAGGATGCTGGACTAGATGAGCCCATTGGCCTGATCCACCGGCTCTTCTTGTCTTCTTACCTAAGGTGGATGCAATGCAGCCGAAAACAGGGAATACAGATGTTGCCGAAATGGAAGGTGGCAAGATTTATATACCACAATAAAAATTAAAAAGCTGTTTACATACAATAGCATGAGATATTTGTTAAAATAGCAATGAAACCAGACATTCAAAATTGTAAAAATAAAATTACCAAATACAGATAAAACCAACAGCTTTAAAATATACATACTAAAATATGTCATAGTGGATAGTTCAGTGAAGGTGTCGAGCCAGTGCCCAGCAAGTGTGAAAAATGAGAATTCCATAGGGATCATAAGGAACTGAAAAGACAGCTGCCAATATAATGCCATTAGGCGAATCTATGTTGTGACTGCGTTTTAAATACAGATTGCAATTCTGCCCACAGCACCACAAAAGCCTGAGTTTCCAAGCAGGGCAGCCAAAATGTTCCAAGAAACTGGGGCGACTTTCCCCGAGGACAGCTTACTACATTAATAATAAATAAATAAATATTTATACCCCACCCATCTGGCTGGGTTTCCCCAGCCACTCTGGGCGGCTCCCAACAGAAGACTAAAAACACAATAAAACCTCAAACATTAAAAACTTCCCTAAACTAGACTGCCTTCAGATGTCTTCTAAAAGTCAGAGAGTTGCTTATTTCCCTGACATTTGATGGCGTTTGACATTTGGCGTTTAACCCTCTTCTTCTGGCACAGGATGCCCTACAGAATCATCGAATGGTAGAGTTGCAAGGGACACCCTGAGGATCATCTATTCTAGTCCAACCCCCTGCAATGCAAGAAATCTGGGGCTCCAACCTACAACCTAGATCTTATTAGCTCCAACCAGCTGAGCGAAGCGTTGGTTTGGCTCTCCTTTTATTCCGTACATGGGCTTTTCGTTTTTGCATTTTTATGTTGCGGACGCCAAGGTACAAATGCAATAAACGACAAGAGTGGGAAGATTTCGCCCGGAGCCTCAAGATACATAAGCGATGGTGCCAACCGAGAGGCGAGCCTCGCAAACAGCGGCAATAGCGGTATATTTTTAAATGAAGCCCAGCAGCTGCTGCCCCTCCCTTAACGAGGCCTCTTCAAAAAGAGGCAGGAATGGGAGACGCCGTCGAGGGAAACGCGCGTCCCCGATGGCGGAGGGAGGGGAAGCGGCGGCCGGGGCCGCGCAGGATCTGGTAAGCGATTGGCGCCGGAGGGATCTCCGGCCTCTGTTGGCGGCCTGGAGCTCCACCTCCTCCTTGCTTTCTGTGTTTGCAGCTCCCTGAGAGCCAGAGGGAGAGAGTATCTGCTGGAGCCGCGTTCACACGTTCCACCAGCGGCTCTGCCCTCCCTTCGCCCTCCCTCTCTCGGGAAGCGACACGCGTGTTTCGCCTGGATGCTTACTATTGTTATTCTTTCAGGGCAGCGGAAGGCGAAAAGCATCGGGCGGTTTAAGCACGCTTGTTTTAACGAGTTTTTTTGGGGGGGCGGGCGGGATGAGTCCAGTGGGGTTTACACGCGTTGTACACGCGCACGTCGGCATGAGCCTCGCTTGAACACGGAGGTGGGGTTTGCGGGAAGAGTAAAGGCTGGAGCTGCAAATCGCAGCGAGCTGTTGCGAGTGTGGGGGAAGCACCTGCGCAGTCACGTCTCTCTAGGACTCACCGCGGTGCTCTTTATTTTTATTTAATAATAATAAATTTTATTTATACCCCGCCCTCCCCAGCCAAGAGCAGGCTCAGGGAGGCTAACACCAGGTATAAAAACAATTGATTAAAAGACAACTTAAAAACAAGATTAAAGTACAACATTCAAATGCAGCCTCAATTCAGTAGAAACTCAAATCAAAAACTTTTTGGGGATGAAAACATCAAATCTTCACCAAGGCCAAGACTGGTCCTATGTGGGCCAGAAAAAAGCCACACCACACAGCCTGATTATTACCTGAAACCAGTGCTTTTTTTCTGGGGGGAGGCATACCACTAAACGTTTTGTGGATCTAAGTTTGGCATCATTGAGGGGCAGTATTTCAATATGAGTAGGAAAATGAGGGTACCCCTAAACATTTTTTTCAGAAAAAAGCACTGCCTGAAACACTTTTTGGTGTGTGTGTGAGGGGGTGTTCCTTAAAATCCCTGCAGGCTTACTGTAGTAAAAGCCTTCCTGCCACATTCAAATCTGCTAGCTTTTAACAATACAAGTCTACTCAGAAGCAAGTCAGGTAGAGTTCCGCAGGTGTTCTTGATAGTTAGCTGTACATTCTTGTAGCTTTGGCTTATTTAATTGACAAGATTTGCACGTTGCTTAATGGTAAGAAAACCTGAGCAGTTTACAAAAACACAAAATGAAACACAAGTTCTCAGTAGAAACAGGTCCTTTAAAACATTCAAAAGAACTTTGGCAGGTAACATGCCTATAAACAGTCAAAGGGAACAAGGGTAGGGTTTTCTTGGACTGGCCACCTTTGGAAATGACCCATGGCTGTGTAGGAAATGGTAAGGGGTGTGTGTGTTTAATTAAATAATAAATTTCTATAGCATTCTTCATCCGATGATCACAAGGTGGTTTACAATATAAAAAGTGACCAAGATGGTTTAAAGAGAGAAGTGCATTTCTGGCTGGGTGGTGGTGGGGGGGGGTCATAGAAAATGTTATGTTGGTTATTATAACTAGATGTTTGAGAGGAACTAGTGCACACTGAACTTGGATTGCCATATTTCAAAACAGTGAAAATCTAGACAGAAATTTTGTTTTTTGCAAAGTTGTTTAGCTGGGGGGGGGTCCCAAGAGGAGTTGAGCTTTTTTTGGCAAGGTCGCAAATTGTTGTTTTGTAGCTATTTTAAGGGGAAATCGTCACTGCTGGCATGGGCTACCATACGTCCAGATTTCCCTGGGCATTTGACCAATACAGTAATTGTGGAGCTTCTGTTTCCCCAAAATCTTGGAGCAGGGCACATCCTCCTCCTTGAGATTAATAAGTCTCAAGCCTCAAGTCAGTGAGGGATACTTAACAGGTGACCTGTTGGCAAGGGGAGGCCAAACATCTGAGTCTAAATATGGGTGGGTTAGAAACCCAATGTACCGGTACTTACTGTGTTCACATCACAGTAAACCATAGATAATGATTTACCATGAATGCATAGATGGCTCCTTTCCCACCCTCGTGTGAACAGAGGCAAGAAAAAACAATCTCTAGCTTAATGTTGTGTTGTGTCTGAACAGGAAAATGTTTTAGTTCCAAACTGTGGTGTGAAGCCAGCGTTTCTTCTTGGCTTACCAATCACGGTTTGTTTGAAGTGAAACGAACCCTGATTCTGTTCTAACACTAAGCCAGGGATTGCGGTTTGTTGGTTCTGATAGGAGAGGATGATGCTGGAGCCATTCTTGCATTCATGGTTCATAGTTTACCATGATTGCAAGAACAAGTTGGCTTTGGTTCTGTGTACTTAGTTTTGGAAGAGGTTTCGATACTGTCCATCGATTTCTCCCACAAGGGAGTTGACAGCAGGATGAGTCCCTTATTGTTTATCCATCTCCAACCAGATCCTGGAGGATTACTTTATGACGGAAGAAGAACCTTTGGGTGACAAGACAGCTGAAGAGGAAGAAATTGATCTTTACGTTAACTTGACATTCACTTCAACAGGTAAGAAAATATTTAAACTGTTCTGGAAATAATAGTATATTCCAACAAAAGCAAAGCCATATTTTCAGTTTTTAAAAGTCAAAGTCCCCTCAATGCAATTCCAAAAAGCGGCATTTCACTTGAATAAAAAGCTGCATACACCCCACGCATTTAGTGCAACCCCAAATCCTGAAAACTAGTTCATCGTTCACAGAACTACCATTCCTAGCACCAGGGCCGTCTTAAGTATATCTGGCTCCATGGTGCAAAGATCCCTCCGGTGCCCCCCCCATTTCCTTCGCCCAGCCTCTGCCTCTTCCCTGGTGCCTGTGCCATGGTGGCCACGGCAGGTGGAGGCTCTGGGCGCGGTGCTGCTTCGGCGCAGCATGGCGGAGGCGGGCGAGATCAGCAAGCTGATGCCGGGAGGCGTAGCGTCCAGCCTCCGCCTCTTCCCTGGCGCCCTTCAGAACTTGGACGCCCTGGCACCCCACGCCACTTGCCTCTATGGGCAAGACGCCCCTACCTAGCATCTTTAGCAAACTACAGTTCCTACTATTCTTTGGGCAGGGAATATTCTTTAAATGTCTGGTGTGTTCACAACCAAAACAAAATTCCAAAAGAATCTACCAAGATTGACAATGGCAGTGGTGTGTCTCTTCTAAAGTGTGGGATTTTTTGGCTGTCTAAGGCATGGGTAGGCAAATTAAGGCCCGGGGGCCGGATTCAGCCCAATCGCCTTCTAAATCCGGCCCATGGACAGTCTGGGAATCAATGCGTTTTTACATGAGTAGAATGTGCGCTTTTATTTAAAATGCATCTCTGGGTTATTTGTTGGGCCTGCCTGGTGTTTTTACATGAGTAGAATGTGCCCTTTTATTTAAAATGCATCTCTGGGTTATTTGTGGGGCAAAGGAATTAGTTCAGTTTCTCCTCCCAAAATATAGTCTGGCCCCCCATGAGGTCTGAGGGACAGTGGACCGGCCCCCTGCTGAAAAAGTTTGCTGACCCCTGGTCTAAGGGCCTGCTTCCTGCATTGTAGTTGATTTGCTGTGGCAGGTAAAATGTTGCTGCCCTCTTCCTAAGATCCCTCCTTCTGCTGCTGATCTGTTCCCCTCACTTCTAAAGCTTACCTGGAGCAGACTAGAGGGAAAGTCCTGGAGACAGATGCAGAGCAGGCTCATGTGGGTGGATTTGAGGAGGTGATGGTGACTGTTGGGGAAGAGAAATCGGAAGCTACTGAGGCAGAACCCATGCTAGAAGATGCGGCAGAGAATGAAAGCCTTCCCACTGAGCCACAACATGCTTATGATGATCATGATGAAGAAGAAGAGGAGGAAGGGGAAGAGGAGGAGGAAGTGGCAATGGTTGATCAAGATGAGGAACCTGCATTGGAGAAGGATCATAAAAGCAAGGAAGCTGGAGAGCCAAACAACCTGGGAGACCCAGCAGTTATGAGAGCTGTGCGTGGCCAACGTACGTTGGAGGTAAGATAGACTTAAGGTGTGCCACACAAGACTTCTCTTACAGTCTTGCCAGTCTCTTCTGTTCATTTGGTATTTGCAACCAAACGGGCAGAAGGTTTGGTAAAAGAGTTGGATCGTATGACTTGGGGTCCCTAATATGGATAGGGTGAGCATGTGACATTTAAGGTGTTTTGAGAGTAGGTGTCAGCAGGGGCTGCTGATTAATGATCTATGTAAAATATAAATTGCCCTTTGGGTGTCTTGTAGTTTGAGAAAGCTGGATAACTTGAGGACAGCAATATGGAGCCGATTCTGTCATTGTGACTTTTGTTATGTAGGAATTTACTTAGTAACCCAGCCCAGCAGCTATAGAGGGCACCATTTTGAAAATGGCTGGTGTGGTGTTTTCACTGCCACATAGAATGAGCTTACATCCCAGGTGCATAAATCTGTGTCACAAAGAAGTAGTACAGTGGTACCTCGGGTTATGAACTTAATTCATTCCGGAGGTCCGTTCTTAACCCAAAACCATTCTTAACTTGGGGCATGCTTTCGCGAATGGGGCCGCTGGCGTGCGATTTCCGTTTTCATCCAGGGGCAAAGTTTGCAACCTGAGGTACTACTTCCGGGTTAGCGGAGTTTGTAACCCGAAGCGTTTGTAACTCGAGGTACCATTGTAGTATTGCTATTAATTTATATACCACTTACATGGCAGCATGCAGTTAATCATAAAATCCATACGTAATTAAAATACACATAAAACACATCCATTAAAGCATTAAACATCCATATTTAAAATAAACAAAAAAACAAGCCCATTCGAAAATATGCATGTAAAAACAGCTGGATAAAAAAGTTCAAGTTCAGGGCACTGCTTACCTGCCTGAATAGGTGTGTCTTCAAGAGCCAGCAGAGTGGCAGTACAAATCGAACCCGTCATATTTCTTCTCTAGCTTGAAGTGTTCTTGTTTCATTGGACGGAAGAGATAGCGGTGGGGAAATGAGCTTTCTTGCCTGGCTCACAGCCAGATAACCCTCCCCATACTGAGAAACTAGAGTTCTGTCTTTTTGAAAGTCCAGCCTAGTATAAATTGCAGGTAAAAGTCAGATCTTTGTATATGCTCCTGATATGGCAGGCTTTGGCTGCAAAGGGTAACAAGAACTGCAAGTCTTGCCTAAATCTACATCCCCTGGCCTCCAAAACCTTTGCATAGTTTTAGAAGTGCTCATAATTAAAGGCTAGTCACTTTCTAGTTAAAAATGAGATGAGATGGGGATTTTCAAGCCTCACCAAGTCCCAACTTGCTTCAGTGGCACTCCCAGCCTTTCTCAACCTGTGGGTCCCCAGATGTTGTTGAACTACAACTCCCATCACCCCTAGCTAGCAAGGCCAGAGCTCAGGGATGATGGGAGTTGTAGTCCAACAACATCTGGAGACCCACAGGTTGAGAACCGCTATGCAATATTTTAGATGTTCTTTTTTAGGCTCATTTTTTGTTTGTTTTGCTTTGCAGAGAGAAGATTCTGCTGTCCTAGATAGCAGAGTTGCCAACGACCTCTCAGATTATCCTACTGATTTCTTGGTAAGACTGCTCCCCGCCCCCCTTTAGGATACAGCCTCTTGTACATTCATTTTATCAGTGTTTTCTGATACATCAGCTGCAGCCATATTGGGATAGCAGGGCCACTGTAGTCCATGCACTTTTAACCTTAAGACCAGGGTGTGCTCTTGTGGGCCTGATCTGGAAACTCCAGGCGATGCAAAATGCAGCAGCTAGACTGCTGGTGGGTGCAGACAAGTGACAGCATGTGACGCCTCTGCTAAAACATCTGTATTTTATTGGGTTGGGTTCAAGGTTCTCATACTAATATACAGTACAAATCCCTGAGCATCCTGGGTCCAGGATACCTTAGACTTCCTGAGCCCTGAGATCCAAGCTCGGCCACTGGGATAATCTGATAGAACACAGTTGGTTGTCCCTCTAGTTTTAGCAGCCCAGCTGGCTTCAACTGCGTCATGCTTATTGCAATCCTTTCAATGTGCTGAAGTTGGGTTCGAATTACTCAGTCATTATGATTAATCTTAATTGCTTGCTTTCTTCTTTTCCTTTCTCGTTTTGCTTAATTTCATTGAACGAATCTCTCTGATCCAGGGGTAGGCAACCTAAGGCCCAGGGGCCGGATGCGGCCCAATTGCCTTCTATTTTTTTTAAAAAAATCGTTTTTATTAATTTTCCAATAAAAACAGCCAGTTAACATATCCATCAAATCATAATCCAAATCCAATTATAATCCAATTAAAAACAATAAACTAAAATAAAAAAACCAAATTACAGTCCAAAATTTTTTTTTTTTTTTCCGGGCTTCCCATAGTCTGGACCTCTCCAATATCTCCAATTATCTCCAAGTTATCTCCAATATCTTCGTTCCTGCCTTCTTCTTGTTGTTCCCATATTTTCCACATTCCGATCTTAATGCTTTAAAGTTCTCCATCCCTGGCTATGTGATTCTCAGTCGTGTCAGAAATCATATATCCTTTCATCCATCGAATACAGTTTTATTTGTGTATTTATATTTTTTCAACTGTCTATTTGCCAGCGCAGCTTTTCCTGACTTCATTCCAATCCGGGCTGTTGTCCAAGTCTATCGTTTGAAATTTTAAATTTTGGCCCAATCACCTTCTCAGTCTGGTCCACGGATGGTCCGGGAATCACCGTGTTTTTACATGAGCAAAATGTGTCCTTTTATTTAAAATGCATCTCTGGGTTATTTGTGGGGCATAGGAATTTGTTCATATTTTTTTTCAAAATATAATCCGGCCCACCACATGGTCTGAAGGATGGTGGACCAGCCCACAGCTGGAAAAGGTTACTGACCCCTGCAGTCTGATCCCTTTCAGACAGCTTCAAAACCTTCCATGTGGAATTCTACCCGGAGAAGAGTCCAGTCGCTGTCTATGATGGAGGTAAGGCTCATTCTACACCACTTTTCTGCTCAGCAAAGGGAATGATAACCTGCCCTGTCTTTACCACAGAAGCAGCTTAGGGTCAAGTCTTCTGTATCCAATTGCATCTTGCCTTGATCCTTTGATCCTTGTGATCCTAACGTCTCACAACAAATGCCAGTGCTATGTTAGAAAGAATGTACAACCTGAAAAAAAGAGACAAGGCATGTACTTCTGTAAACCAATAAAATATTTAGTAAAAATAAATTTTAAAAAGAAAGAGAAACTAAAGACCAGCCTTTCTAAGGAGACAAGTTCTTGAAACCAATAAACCAATTAACTCCTGAACCGTATCTCACACCTGTGTAAGCAATTAGGTTTCTCTGGTAGGTTTCTGGAACATTCTCCACTTCCAGTTAACAGACGCTTACTCACGCAGTTTTCTACAAAATGAATGATCAGTCCCCCAACACTCCTGTCCCCCAAACACTTTAGGTCAATATCTGCATCCATGTACCGTGTCACTTAAAATCTGAGTTGGGAGTCGCTTCAGAGCATGAACTGAGAGCAAACCAGAAATTCACCAAAAATAGAAATTTCTCTGGCTACCGAGATGGTGCAATGTGCTTCACCACAATATCCATGGGGGATTAATTTTGGATTTAAAGGTGAACCTACCAAATATGCTTCTTCTGTAACAATACATGAGCAAAGCACAATCATCCATTGAAATTTAATTCTCTAACCAGGTAGTTTGTACAAAACTCTATTTGCTAGGGTAGTGATTATTTGTTTATTTATTTATACAGTACCCCAGCCACTCTGCGTGGCTCCCAACAGAATGTTTAAAATGTGATAAAACATCAGACACTAGTGTGCATAAAAATGCATACATGAGTGAAACTAACATGCGAAAATTCAGTTATAATTAGGAAAATTGCTTTGTAAAAGTGTGTATATTGGCATAAGGGCATGAAAATGTATATTAGAAATTTGCATGAAAGCGCTGATGAATTTTCATGAAGGCTTTCTAACAAGCAAATCGTGCACTGCTGCGGGAAGTGGAGAACTTAACACAGGAAAAAATGAGAAACCGAAATGGACAGATTTATCCCATCCCTAACCACAGTATAATTGTATTAAATATTACTGTTGCCGCTTATGCCTCAGGCGCTGGACAGGGCTTCTATGTCCCGGGTCAACCTAGATCTTTTGGCCTCACCGGCGCAGAGAAGCTATCTAGACACATCTGGCCTGGAGCGTTCAGGTTTCCGTGGGAGAACCTTCAAGCCCTCTTCTCAGCGCTTCATGCGGCAGGTAAACTGGCTCATCACCTGGCCCTGTCTCACTTCCGCCCCCCGATCCTCAAACCCTCGATCTTGCTACTGTCATTCTGTGCTACGCAGAGCTAATTTTCCAACTGCTTGTGTCAGAACGACAAAGCAGTTGTCTGGGTTTACCAGTCTGGAGTAACAGTTCTATACAGTATGCAGAACATGCACCTAATGCTTAGGATACCTGAGCTGCTGTGGATATGCCCGCCCTGTGGAACAACCTCCCGTCAGGTGCCAAGGAAAGAAACAGCTATCAGACGTTTAGAAGACACCTGAAAGCAGCCCTGTATAGGGAAGTTTTTAATGTTTGGTGGTTTACTGTGTTTGATGTCATACCGTATTTTTCGCTCTATAGGACGCACCAAACACGCACTGTGTTTGATGTTATACCGTATTTTTCGCTCCATAAGACGCACCTAGTTTTTGGAGAAGGAAAACAAGAAAAAAATATTCTGAATCCCAGAATCCAGAACAGCAAGAGGGATAGCTGCGCAGTGAAAGCAGCGATCCCTCTTGCTGTTCTGGCTTCTGGGATAGCTGCGCAGCCTGCATTTGCTCCATAAGACACACACACATTTCCCCTTACTTTTTAGGAGGGAAAAAGTGAGTCTTATAGAGCAAAAAATACGGTAATTTGTTGGAAGCTGCCCAGAGTGGCTGGGGCAACCCAGTCAGATGAATGGAATAATAATAATAATAATTAATAAAAAATAATAAATTTAAAAATTGTCTTTGCTACTGTACTGTCTCACAGCAATCTCCCACGATGTCTGGCTCTATGAGATCGCCTTACCTGTTCACTCCACCCCGCAGAACACGGCGTGTACTTGGCCTTAATCAGGTAATGTCATGTGTCGTGTCACCTGTGTTGGTTGCCAAGCTGTTACCAAGTCAATTTCAAGGTATTACTATTGATAAGGAAAGCCTTGACTGGCTTGGGACCAGTTTACTGGTGGGGTTACCTTAGACAATATGTGCTCACTTGTTCACTTTGATCTACAGAACTTTCACTGTTATAGGTGACATATGTTAATTGTTCCACAATTGTATAAAAGGAAAAAAAGGGATATTTCAGTGTGGCAGCACCTACACTTTGAAACTCCTGGCTTATTGGCACCTGTTTAAAACTCTTTGTTTAGGCAAACCTATCCAGATGCATAGATGTTGATGTGTTTTAATCCATTTTACTATTTTAATCATGTGTTTAACTGCTCTTTATTGATTTTTCTTTTTTTAAAAAAAATAGTCCTTGTAAATGGCTTTAGAGTTCTACAACAGTCCAGTGGCATATGAATTTTGTGAAATAGATAAAAATAAATTTGTAGCTTAGCTCCGTTCTCATGGGAAACTATTCCACCTGCACTTCTTCTTTTAAGTTTAGATGTGCCATGACTTGTGATTTCCTTTTACACAACCGAAGGCACAAGATTGTAGTTAGTATATAATACTAATGGTCATTTCACTTCTGAGTGCTGACCCAGATGTAACCGAAACATCACTACCCACCCATAAGGGCAGTGTTGGTGGACTTTGCAGGGGATCCCAAGGTTCGCAGAAAGAAATATTTAGAAAAACCCCTGGGGTTGGGGAAAACTCAAAATGTGACAGTGAAGGCTGAGCATACCCAGTGACAGTGGAATGCTGGCTCGGGGAGAGGGATGGAATGGAGTATCCTGGAGCAGGCCATCAGCAGGAGTATCCCACAGGGCAAACATTTTGTTGCAGGTCCCACTTGTTGTTTTTTTCCAAATAATCTTTATTAGTTTTTCAATTAGATACCCTACATAAACATATTGTATTACATTTTACATTTATACTTGCTCTTCAGAGCTGACTTCCCTCCTTCCTTCTTCTGGTTTTTTATATCACATATAATTTTATCACATTATTTTCTTCCATTTTGTATATTGTTATTCATTTTCCATATTTGTCCATAGTATAAGGTAAAGGTTAAAGGGACCCCTGACCATTAGGTCGAGTCGTGACCGACTCTGGGGTTGCGGCACTCATCTCGCTTTATTGGCCGAGGGAGCAGGCATACAGCTTCAAGGTCATGTGGCCAGCATGACAAAGCCGCTTCTGGAGAACCAGAGCAGTGCACGGAAACACCGTTTACCTTCCCACCAGAGTGGTACCTATTTATCTACTTGCGCTTTGACGTGCTTTCGAACTGCTAGGTTGGCAGGAGCAGGGACCGAACAACGGGAGCTCACCCCATCACAGGGATTCAAACCTCCAACCTTCTGATCGGCAAGTCCTAGGCTCTGTGGTTTAACCCACAGCGCCACCCGCGTCCCTTGTCCATAGTATATCCATAAACAAATAAGTCCTCGTGTTTATACAATTATTGTTGTCTGTATTCATTTACAACTACTGTTGTTTTCACCTGAGAGAGCGAAGTACAGATTTCTTTGACCAAATGCTGCCTGGCTCCAAACGTTTGTCTCAAACCGTATCAAGAGGTTTCAAAGTAATTGGCAAAGAATTCTTGGCATTTGGAGCAGCCCTGCACTGTCTCTCGCCAACAGGGGGACACTTTACATTCAATGGGAGATGGGAGTCCCCACTTTTTAAATTATTATTATTATTACTGCAGAGAATGGTTTCCTGATGGCAGAGGGCATGACAAGTCCTCAAGGGTTTTAAAAGGAAGGGTTACGGAAAGCTAATCAGGAAAGGGTCAGTTGCTAATGCTCTACTGTGTATAGGAGGGAATTTCTTCTGAACGGGATTTAACAGTTCAAGCGTAGGTTTTGAAAAGTCAGAATTCACAACTTGTTTCCTGTGTGTCCTGACCACAGGAAACTGAACACATGCAAAGTGGCAGCCAAATTGTTAAGAAAAGTGCTTTTTCTTCCTGGGGGTACTCAGGGGTACGCATACCCCTAAACATTTTGTGAATCTTTGTCCATTTGTCCATTTACTGTATTTATTTTTCCCGATCTGAACTATAAAATGGTGGTTTTCTTGAGTCAAAATGGGAGTACCCCAAAACACATTTTTTTTAGAAAAAAAGCACTGGTTAAGAATACAGTGGTAGCTCGGGTTACATACGCTTCAGGTTACATATGCTTCAGGTTACAGACTCCACTAACCCAGAAATAGTGCTTCAGGTTAAGAACTTTGCTTCAGGATAAGAACAGAAATTGTGCTCTGGCGGCATGGCAGCAGCAGGAGGCCCCATTAGCTAAAGTGGTGCTTCAGGTTAAGAACAGTTTCAGGTTAAGTACGGACCTCTGGAACGAATTAAGTACTTAACCCGAGGTACCACTGTATATAGATATTTAACTGTAAAGTATTAAGCTAAACCTTAGATATGCAGGCAACGTATGCCTTTTTTTTGGTCTCCAAGTAAGAGCAAGTTATTTGCTTGCAGGACTCCTCCTTCCATTAGCTGCTATTAGGATGCAAAGTAGAGAGAATTGTCAACTAGAGGGCTAGAATGCCCCCAAGTGGTTAGATGTGGCCGGGCAGCTGCATTTTCTCAATTGCCAGTTATAGTTGCCTATCTGAAACCACCGGAAGTTGCTTCATGAGCACTGTTAACAGGCGCCACATAATATTTGTTCTGCATCTGTAAGAGAAAGATCTTTAAGTGTGACAGCATCTGACCTTTGGAACTCCTTGCCTGTTGACATCAGGTTGGCACCTTCACTGTACTTTTTTCCAGCTCCTGCTAAAAACACTTTTGTTTAGGCAAGCCTAGCCTGATACGTAGAATATTAACACATTTGTTTTTAGTTTCTCGCTGGTTTTATATTTTTAAATGTTTTAAATAGTTGGTTTTTTACCAATAGTTTTATTTTTTTGGTTCAACTGCTTTGATATTTTTTTTACAATCAAGGGTAATATCAAACTTAATAATAATAAAAATCTCCTTGCCTCCCTCTTTTCTCCAGACATCTGCCTATGCGTCTCCACCTCCATATAGGCCCTTTTTCCCAAATGTCAATAGCCCAAGCTGGACAATGGCCCATAATCTTGATCCTCCACTCTTCAGTCCAACATCTGGCAACCAGCAGAAGTTCAGGTATAGAAAGCATGGGTGAGATCACCTTGTGTTTGAGAGGATGCAGCCCTTTCAGGAGTCCATCTCCATCTGCGGTTTAGTACGTAGGATTAGAGTTGTGGTGGGGTTATTTTGACCAGCTTGGAGAACTATAATCACAAGAGTTTCTTGGCATGCTCATGGATCCCTGCTATGACACCTGATTGATTGATTGATTGATTGATTGTTGGCATCCGTGTGTCTCAAGAGACGATGGAGTTCACCTCCAGGTGCAAAGTCAAACCACTGCGTTGGCAGCCCCAATGTGACCTCTCTGGGACGCAAGCCTGGACAAGTGGGTATGGAGGTCCTGGGCCACCCAGATGGCAAGACACTCCTCTTAGGCTTGCTGATGGGGTCCAAAGGAAAGCAGAGCAATACGTTTGGCACCAGCTTGGCTGCAGGAGTTGCCGGAAGGAGGCGTACAAGGTGCCATCCAACCATCTTAGGGACTCCACTCTGAATTTGTGCATTTATTATTACGGTCACAGACCAGTTCCAGCTCACTTACAATATCAGAAAAATCAGAAAACACAACAGGAATACATTGAATTGCAATTGGGTTTAACAGAGACAATTCAGATATAACAGCAGTTAAAAATATACATTAAATCTTGATCACTAAAATTGACCACTCTGAATTTGTGTAGGGTTTTTTCCTTAGCCTTTTCTTCTCCTGAAGATACCCTGCAAGGCAGCGGAGGTTTAGGATCAGAGTTTTCCTTCTAGATGGACTACCTTCCAAGGTGATTGAGCCCCACCTGCCCCTCCCTTCCTTCCAGGGCACAGGCAGATACCTCCTTCTTGACTACTGCACCCCACTTGCTAGTCCCAGGCAGATAGCACAGCCAAGTGCTCAAAAGGCTTTCTAGAATCCCTGGTTCAGCGCAGACTACAGATTTGGAGTGTTGATCGTGATCTGCAGGCTCTGTTTGTCATCTGTTAATTCAAATAGTATTTGGGGGGAAAGAGGACATCCAGCAAATAGTTTGATCAGGGTTGTTGCCAGTAATTGAGTCTTAACTTTGGAGTAGGGAACCTGACATGCAGACTGAATATTGGAGAACTGTGGGCAAGATCTGTACTTGCAATTTGGGATGAGGAGAAAATCAATTCAGTTACCATTTAAAGGTGACTTGCTTTAAGTCAGGGGCAGAGGAAGGGCGGAGCAGTGGGGGCAGGCCATCCCGGGTGTCACCACTGAGGGGGTGACAAAATGCCGGGCGGCACTCACCGTAGGGCCAGCAGAACGCCCGAGCCATGCGTTTCTCCTGGAAGTGACACAGTGGCTTAGGCGCCCGCAGGCTCCACGCTGCCCCGAACGGTCCACCCGCTGCCTCCCCCCCGCCACAGCTGTAGGGTGGCTGAGTGGGAGGAGGCAGGCAGACTCCTTGGACGCCCCGCGGAGTGTCCTGCCCCAGCTGGCACCGCCCCTGGACGCAGGGCACGCGTACCGCCCAAGGCGCGCAATCGGCTTGTTCCGCCGCTGCTTTAACTCACACTTTCTGCCACAATATGAAAACCAAACACAGCCCATCTTCGAAATAGCAGTTCTCAGTTTTTCAAACTAGTTCCGCAGCCAAGTAATGTTCACAGAAGAATGTATATTGAGATAAAGTGCACATAAAAATAGCACGTTAGTAGTAACAAACGCACTATATTAGGGGAAGTTGCTTTGCAAAAATGTATTTAAAAGGTCCTAAAAGCATGGGAGACAGATCCTGGTACCTCACCTTTGTCCTCTGTTTTATTACAGTGTTCCCAGTGCCATGACGCAACTTCACCCCCTGCATCAACGGATCCTGACCCAAAGACAGCGAGGGCAAGAAAGGAGGTAAGTGAGGGCAAATGAAGACAACTTAATAGGAACATTGCTACAATCTTTATGTATTTATTTATTACATTTATATGCAACCTTTTTTCCTCCAAGGAGCTCAAAGTGGCATGCACACTTCTCCCCCCTCTCCATTTTATCCTCACAACAACCCTGTGAGGTAGGTTACACGAAGAGGCAATGACTGGCCCAAGGTCACCCAGTGAACTTCATGGCTGATTTGAACCCTGCTCTCCCAGGTCCTAGTCTATCACTCTTAACCACTGCACCCCGCTGGTCCTCATGGGATCGTTTGGTGACTCAGTACAGTACCTATTATAATGGCAAAATTAACTTGTTATATGAAGGAAAGGAAAGGTAAAGGTAAAGGGACCCCTGACCATTATGTCCAGTCATGGCCGACTCTGGAGTTGCGGTGCTCATCTCACTTTATTGGCCGAGGGAGCCGGCGTACAGCTTCCAGGTCATGTGGCCAGCATGACTAAGCCGCTTCTGGCGAACCCAGAGCAGCGCACGGAAACGCCGTTTACCTTCCCGCCGGAGCGGTACCTATTTATCTACTTGCACTTTGACGTGCTTTCGAACTGCTAGATTGGCAGGAGCAGGGACCGAGCAACGGGAGCTCACCCCATCGCGGGGATTCAAACCGCCGACCTTCTGATCGGCAAGTCCTAGGGTCTGTGGTTTAACCCACAGCGCCACCCGCGTCCCATGAAGGAACATAATACACATCATATTTTTGTGTTAAAATGGATTAAGCTTGTGGATTACTGTAGATAATGTTGGCTATTTTCTGAGGGCTAGTTACAGATTTTCAATGTTTTGATGCGCATTGGAGATCATTTAGTGTTTTTCTTTTCTCCTCTCCTCCCCCCCACCCCAAACTTTTTGGTACGGTATGGAATATTGAATGAAATAACTAAACTGGAAAAATACAATGAAAGCACCAACTTCATTCAGACTTCTAAAACTTAGACAAGCTTCTATTCTGAATTATTGAAGGTATTCAAGTTCGGTGCTGTTACCCTAGATGAGACTGCCAGTTTCCATTTCTTAGTGCAGAAAGTATGGATCTGATGTGTAGAGATTTTTCCTATTCTGATTAGTTCAGGAGGATTCTGTAAGGTTTATTTCTATATGAGAGAAACAGAAAGAAGGTTTCTGATGTTTTGTTTATTTCTCTGGGAAGCTGATTATAGCTGGTTTAAACTGGTTCTGTTATGTTTCTTTCAAGGCCGTGCAGACTATAATAATAAGGCCAGGAGGAGCCTGACGCTCACTTTCTCTTTCTCTTTGTTCTGGTGGTCTGTTCTGTATGCTGTTAAGGTTTAAGTCTTATTATAAAGTTTGTAAGTTTTATTTTAAGTGCTGCAACTGGATTTTTATGAACTGTGCCAATCCTGATTGTATTGGATTTGTGACCATTATGCTCATTTGCCTTCAGCAGCACTAAAGCCGTGCTGGATGAAGTACAATTGCCTCTGGTCTATTTTTTGGAAACTCTGCTTCGTGTTTAGGTTTTCTTACTCCTCCGGCCCTGACGTGACAGAGCCCTTTTTAAAAGCAGTTCAGAAGAAAGAATACAGTCGTACCTTCGTTTTCAAACAGCTTAGTTCTCAAAACATTTTGGCTCCCAAACGCCGCAAACCCGGGAGTGAGTGTTTTGGTTTGCGAACTATTTCTGGTAGCCGAACATCTGACGGAGCTTCCGATTGGCTTTCAAGAGCTTCCTGCAGCCAATCAGAAGCCACGCTTTGGTTTTGGAAGTCGAACGGACTTCCGGAACAGATTCCTTTTGACTTCCAAGGTACGACTGTATGTGACCACAGCAAGGCGTTGGTGGTATTCTGGACCAGTGCAGAAACCTTTTCGTAAGCGAATTTCTTCTTCTCTTAAAGAATTCCCCGTATGAAGCGTCAGCCGCCGAAGGAGGATCCCTATGCTGTGCTCATGACTCCGGTAGAAAAAGAGTGGGTGATAAAGGTGCAAATGTTGCAGCTTCAGAGTGACAACCTTCACAGGGATGACTATTATTACCAGGTGAGTGTTGTTGTTTAGTCGTTTAGTCATATCCGACTCTTCGTGACCCCATGGACCAGAGCACGCCAGGCACTTCTGTCTTCCACTGCCTCCCGCAGCTTGGTCAAACTCATGCTGGTAGCTTTGAGAACACTGTCCCACCATCTCGTCCTCTGTCGTCCCCTTCTCCTTGTGCCCTCCATCTTTCCCAACATCAGGGTCTTTTCAAGGGAGTCTTCTCTTCTCACGACGTGGCCAAAGTATTGGAGCCTCAGCTTCAGGATCTGTCCTTCCAGTGAGCACTCAGGGCTGATTTCCTTCAGAATGGAGAGGTTGGATCTTCTTGCAGTCCATGAGACTCTCAAGAGTCTCCTCCAGCACCAGAATTCAAAAGCATCAATTCTTTGGGGATCAGCCTTCTTTATGGTCCAGCTCTCACTTCCATACATCACTACTGGGAAAACCATAGCTTTAACTATACGGACCTTTGTTCACACTTTTCCGTTCCAGCCAAGTAATGTTTATGATACATATGCCTGTATAACATGTGCAGTAAAAATTCACATATTACTGGAAATATTATACAGAAATGCTTTGTACTGGGGGAAATCTACTTTGTGAAGAATACATATATTGGATGTAATTGCATACAAGGGAGTATATTGGGATAAATTAGCACTACAATGCTGGAACTCCCTCCCTGAAGAAGGTAGACTAGCTCCTGACTTGTCCTTCCACGGACAGGTAAAGACCTCCTTGTTCCAATGGGCTTTGGGGAACCAGCTGCTTTTAATGAAAAGGGTGGTGCCATGCTGTTTTTATTGTAATTATTTGTAGGTTTTAAACAGATTTCATATATGTATTGAGTTTGAATTCTATTGGGGTTTTTAAAATTAATTTTCTATGTTTTTAGTGCTTCTTTTATTTAGAGACTTTGAGTGCCATTAGGGAAAAGGTTGGGGTATAAATGACAATAATTAATAATGATGCTGATGAACTGTTTTTAGGATATCAGAATGTGGAGAACTGAACTGAAGATGTGAAAAATGAGAAACTGCCACTGATAGGTTCACCCACCCCTAAGCAAGAATCCTAGACTGCTCTTGAGAGGGTGGGCATAGCTTCCCAGTCACAAGGCTTGGGTCTGGGTCAGTTCTGTCTCTTGCAACTGCAGACCTGCTCTCATATGATGGGCTGCATTCTGACAACCATATTCTCCCCACCATGGTGGGGCTCCTTCCCTTGGGCCCCTTTAGGTTTGCCCAGGAAACAAAGAACTGTAGTTCAAAAGGCGCATGTTAATCACTGTCTGGCGAGAATGGCTCAGGGAGAATTGCCATCTTGACAGTTTTGGATGCTGGAGTTGGGGTGAGTGGGGAGCAACAGAAGTGCTGTGTGTTTCCACTGCTTTTGGTACTGAACTGTCCTGTCCTCTCCACCCCCCAGGAATATTATCGCAAGCTAGAGCACAAACAGGCAGAGAAGGGGCTTCTTGGAGGGTGCAAGACTGAAGTCCCCAAGCTAGTGACACCATATATCCAGAAAGTGGAGGCATACGAATCTGGTAAGCGCTCTGCAGAAAAGAGGCTTTTCCCTAGATGTTAGGGATGCTAGGCACCTCCTGACAATGGTTTCCTTCTTCTAGTGGTGCGGATACCAGGCTCCCTGGGCCAAGTGGCAGTATCTACGTGCTACAGTCCCCGCAGGGCTATTGATGCCGTGCACAACATCCCACTGGAACAGGTAATGCACCCATCCTTTTGCCTCTGGCTTGCCAGAAGCTGGGACTTGACTCCACAGATTTGCTGCATGTGAACATGAAGTTTCTTGCATATATATCGTTGATGGGACCTTCTGACCCATGGGCCTTGGAAGCTGTCTCACCAGGCCATTTGGGCTAACCATGCCTGATTTCCTGGGCCTTGCAGTCCCATGAATGTTGGCCATGGGAAAGTTTGAGGAAGGTTCTTCATTTGCAGTTGTCACCAGAATTCAAGCTGGGGATGCAAAGGAAGAATCTTCTCTGCAGCTGCTGCTTGAACCGCCTGACACGTGACACAATATGATTTATGGTTGGGTGGCCCTGTTCACCTGTCAGTGGTCCACAGCGGATGGTTGTTCCCCACCCCCTAATAAATAGGGCACATTATTAACTGGCGGATGGGCGGTATATTCTATCAGCTTTTTCCTCCTGTTTTTCACACCACTTCTAATTGACCAGTGGAATTCTGGCCACCTTGTTGTATTCTGTAAACGGAAACGGCCCCACTGGAAACTGTATTGCAGAGCCCCCTGAGCTGTTAATGTAACATCCAGGGGTGCCAAGCTGGTGCTGGTTGCTCTGCTGTTGAAAACTAACACCTGTTCCCCCTCCCCCTTTTTATCCATCTTCTGAAGGCTGTGGGTAATCAGCGACTGCAAGTGCTATACGAAATTGAGAAGGTGAGTCACTGAGATAGCTTGGGAAGGCAGTTCTGTGTTTGTTTATTTTTTAAGCCAATGTCCTTGGAGTGTGGCAAGGCCAGTACCAGAAGCATTATTGTGGGTTAACTCTTGTTTGGCTTTGTATTTATGTACTTAAACATTGATTTGGTGGGGGGGGTTTGTTGTTTGGTAATACAGTGATACCTTGGTTCCTGAACGGCTTAGTTGTTGAACAAATCGGCTCCCGAATGCCACAAACCCGGAAGTAAGTGTTCTGGTCTGCGAATGTTTTTTGGAAGCCAAACGTCTGACGTGGCTTCTGCGGCTTCCAATTGAGTGCAGGTAGCTCCTGCAGCCAATCAGAAGCCGTGCCTTGGTTTTTGAATGGTTTCGGGAATCGAATGGACTCCTGGAACAGATTAAGTTCGAGAATTGTATTGATATATTCTGCATTTGTTGAATTGTTTATTTTTGTCATTTGAATTTACTAACATGTTCTGTATTTTGTATGTTTGTATTTTCAATGTTTTGATGCTTTTGAATGTTTTCTGCAAGCTGCTTTGGGTACAGCTCATTGTGCAAAACCAGCATATAAGTAAACTCCATCAATCTCTATTCAGAAAGGCAGTGTGTGCTCTTCTTCCTCCAGTCACATACCTGCCCCCTTTGTCCCCACAACAAAGAGCTTGACAATATGAAACTCATGATCATGACATTCCAGTGGAGCAGATTCCTAGTATGTCGTATGCAACACAGGCAATGTCATGACTACAGATGATGATGCATAGAAACTCTTGCAGAATTGTTAGCAAATAGCTCTGTTCAGCTAGAATTCTGCACATGCCTCCAGAACTGAATGATTTGGCTGTGTTAATGAAATAGTCATTGTAGAAATTGAGAAAAGCCCCTATGGTGTGAACCAGTCACAAGTACAGTGGTACCTCTGGTTACGAACTTAATTCGTTCCGGAGGTCCGTTCTTAACCTGAAACCTGAGGTGCCACTTTAGCTAATGGCATAGCTGTCAACTTTCAGATTTGAAAAATAAGGGATCAGCAGCCTCGAAAATAAGGGATCAGCAGCCTCACCTGTCCTGGGGACAGGCTACGGGATATCTAACAATCCGGGATAGCAGCGGGAAGCAGCGGGAAACGGTGCTGAATAAGGGAATTTCCCACAAAAAAAGGGAAGGTTGACAGCTATGGCTAATGGGGCTTCCCGCTGCCGCTGCCCCGCCACCGCAGGTTCTGGGGCAAGTTCTTAACCCCGTACTACTTCTGGGTTAGCGGAGTCTGTAACCTAAAGTGTTTGTAACCCGAGGTACCACTGTAGTAGATTGCAATTGCCTAATTGATGGGAGTTGTAATCCAGCCACATCTGTTTGCAGGTTGCTGGACAAAGCTGCTACCTGCCCCCTAGTGACCCTGCCAAAAGATTTTACATTGCAAAAGTAAAAACTAACTAAAGCATAATTCCTTGGCACGGGGGGTACATGTACATGCCTGTGGTACCTGAGCATGTGATCCTTAATGCTAGCACCAAATTAAGGGTTTGACCACTGTTTGGAGAATAGTTGGTTCATGCTCCTGAACTTGTGCCTTTGTGACACTGCTGACCCTAAACAAGTTTAGGAGATTCCGTGGAAAATGGAGGCATGGATTTCTCTACAGTTCCCATGAACTCTAGGTAAGAAAATACTATCTGCTGCCTTCCCTTTGCCCCCCCCCCATTGGGAAATGGGAGATAACAGGGGAAACAGCAACCACCTGGAGAGCACAGCTAGACGCTCAGCAAATATACCGTATTTTTCGCTCTATAAGACACACTTTTTCCCTCCTAAAAAGAAAGAGGAAATGTGTGTGCATCTTATGGAGCGAATGCAGGCTGCGCGGCTAAGCCAGAAGCCAGAACAGGGAGAGGGAGCGCTGCGCAGCGCTCCGTCTTGCTGTTCTAGCTTCTGGCTTAGCTGCGCAAAGCCTCCGCAGGGCAGCAGGGTGCCTTCATCCCGCAGCCCTCCGGAGGCTTCACGGGCTGTCCCAGAAGCCTCCACAGGGCACGGGGATGAAGGCTCCCCGTGCCCTGCAGAGGCTTTGTGCAAAGCTAGACCAGCTAGAGGGAGCACTGCCCTGTCAAAGACGGTAGTTTTATGGATCTTCTTGGTGTGTTCCTGAAACAGATGTACCTGCAGCTGCTGGATATAGAAGATGGTCAGCGGAAACTGGAGCAGGTGCCAGAGGAGGAGCACCTCCACTTCTGTGAGAAATTTGCGCATGAGCTGGGACATATCTATCAAGCCCTAAGAATCGAAGAGCAGAATTCGGAAAAGTGAGTCCAGGGGGAATATTTGCGGCAGTGATGGTACATGAGATGGTTGTTAGGCTGAAGAAGACGATGGCTGTTGTGGCCACATGTCTGTGGACCCACCTCTATCCATCAGGTCAGCTGCCTACTTAGGTTATCAGGCCGCTGACAATTTCTACTCCTTGGGTTCATACCATCCTCCCTCTCTAGCGGAAGAGCCAGGAGATGTATAGGGTTGTATAAAGATCTGCTGAAAGAATACTCAACACAGATAAGCAAAGAACTTGAGCCAATCAAAAGTTTCCTCTCGGAATGTTTGGGCCTGCTTACTTCCCTGACTGAGCTAATTAGGAGAAAAGAAGACCGCCGTCCCCATAAAGCAGTCGACAACAAGCCAAATGGAAATATAATCCAGTCAGGCACGGAAAACAGAAAAACAACTAGAACTAAACCAGGCCAGGTGGAAAAACCACTTGCCCCCAAGAAATCTTCCTTAAAGGGAAAGTGTTCAATGCACAAGAAGAAGAAGAAAGAGCCAGGAGATGTTCTGTTCTGTTAAACAGCCAGGTCTGAAGTCCAGACAGCACTAGGTAGAACATAGCCATGGGCCTTTATGTTTGTGCATTGGGTATGTTTTTGGCCCCTTTCTAGACTCTCATGGTGCTTTGGCAGTGAGATACGTGTGTGGACCAGCTGGTCTTTTCCTTCCAGGGAAGCCAAAGATGGGTTCCTTCAGATCCTGCTTGTGGGAAAAGGGAGGAGGCTGGTGGCCCGTCTGTTGCCACACTTGTCGCAGGAGCAGGCCAAGCAGGTCCTTGTCAGCATCACCCAGCACCTACCGTTTCTCCTTCAGAAGGACATGATGGATGAGGTATCCGTCCTGTGTGTTCCACTTCTCTCTAAAACCACCTGCATCATTAATGACCTTGTTATGAGGCCCCCATTATAAATTGACTTTTGGGGTGCAAAAAGGGCTTGCACTAAAATAAGACATTTAAATTGGGTTGTGGGGGGAGCTAAACTGCATTGCTTGCACAATTTAATTTCCTCCAGATTTTCTTGCATAACCAGACCCGAGCAGGGCAGTGAAGCCTTTCCCCAAGCCGCCAGAAAACTGAAATATGTGCACAGCTTTGTAGAAGCTGAAATGTGTAAGATGGGCTGTGTCTTTACTGAATGAACTGAAAATGATGCTTGAGTCCTGTTAGGCTGAGAGTCAGGCTGCAGAATTTTTCAGAGAGCAACCAGTAACCCTTGCTTGATAGGTTGTAAGGGTTTGGGTTAAATTTATCAAGCCCATCCTGTGCTGGGAGTTGAAACTTCATTTCTCTTAGCGGGCTCAGTGTATAGAAATAAAGACCTATAACTCTTAACTCTACTTCCTATGGTGTTAAGAGTTCTCTATCCCATAGATTAGGTTTATTAACTCTTAAAGGACAAGCAAACTTGATATTAACATTTATCCTTTCAATTTACTCCTTCCATGTTCTGTGGGCTTGGTAGTCTCTGCCCATTCTCTACGGTCCTCTCTGTGATGTCATTGAGCAGTTGACCTTCAGTGAGATGATAGACCTCTTACAGGAGTTAACCAGATTGCAGCCGGAGTCTGTCCAGCAATCGCTTGCTATGGTGTTTGGGAACAAGGTGTGTTTGGAGACAGGGCTTTGAAAATTTCCTGGGGGTCCTGGCAGAATTTTGTGGCAGAGCGACAAATGGGGTGGGAGGGAAGACTTTAAAATTACCTTAGTATTTGCCAGTATCGGTGTGGTTTTATGCCACCTTAACCTCGAGGTTGGCATTGAATGAGGTGGGTTCCATTGCTGCTGTTCCCTTGCTAACATTTCATGCTGTGCCATCTTCTCTCCTTGCCTCTCCAAGTTTGCCATCTCACTTCTATACCTTCTGCTGAGTCACGGGGAGAGATGTCTCTCCTCTGGAATGCCCCTGAACCCCCGCAACGGAGACTTTGAAAAATGGTGAGGTGGTATCTGTTGGGCAGGGTAGTCCCAAGTAATTTGTGTCTGCAGACACCAAGCCTCTTAACCATCTCCGTCCTTTTTCTCTCTCTCTTCCCCCTCTTCCCTTTTCTTCCCCTTAGGGTGGATACAGTGCTCCTTGTTGCTAGGGAGCTGTCTCAGGTACCCAAGGCATCGATGGTAGAGCCATTTCACCTACCTAGCAACCTCCTTTTTCTCTTCTGCCGCTATGTAGACAAAGACATGGCAAACCACTTAGATGCCAAGATGGAGTAAGTTTTGGGCATTGACAGAGAGCAGGTAGATAGGTACTTGGAGGAGTGGGAAGAGCATGTCATGTAGAGTGGCTGGGGAAACCCAGCCAGATGGGTGGGGTATAAATTATTATTATTATTATTGTTGTTGTTGTTGTTGTTTCAAGTGAACTCTTACATAGAGTGGAGACTGTATTAGTTTGAATGTGATACTGTCCCACCAACCTCACCTCAGTCAGGCAACTGCCTGTCTCCTTCAAACCACCCAGTGGGGTGGCCCTGGCTGTCAGGTTCCTCCTCACTCTGTTTTGCCATTTGTTAATTCGGCAGGGAGAGTGATGGGGGGCCAAACGAGAACCAGCTGGTCCCATGTCTCATTGGCTCTGGATTCATCTACTGTTCATCTCCCTGTCTCTCCACCCCGCCAGTCCAAATGGACACCAGTCACCACCGCTGACACAAATAACATGGCAGTACCCAGATGTAAGGCAAAGCTGCAAATTGGAGGATAGCAGGCGATTGCAGAGAAAATTCTCCTACAGGAACATGTCCTTTTCTAGCTGTTTGCTTTTGGTCTCCTCTCATGGTGGATCCCTGTTTATGATGGCTTGTTGCTCTTGGAAATGAAGGGCCCATTATGGGCAATATGAGTTCATTGTTTTCCCTACCTGAAAACTCACTGCTTTCACAATGCTTATTTTCATGTTCAACATGCTACACTGCACTGTTAGACCACTGGCCCCATTAGCTCAGTATTGTCTACCTTGACTGCCAGAGGCACTCTCGGGTTTCAGATGATGGTTTCTCCCAGACCTACCTGGAGATGCCTGGGACCTTCTGCTCTACCACTGACCACTGTCCTCTTAACACTGAAGGACCCTTGCTATTGTTTGGGTTTACTTGTTTCCACCTCCTGGGAAGGGGACACGGGTGGTGCTGTGGGTTAAACCACAAAGCCTAGGACTTGCCGATCAGAAGGTCAGCAGTTCGAATCCCCACAACGGGGTGAGCTCCCATTGCTCAGTCCCTTTTCCTGCCAACCTAGCAGTTTGAAAGCACGTCAAAGTGCAAGTAGATAAATAGGTACCGCTCCAGCGGGAAGGTAAACGGCGTTTCCATGCGCTGCTCTGGTTCTCCAGAAGCGGCTTAGTCATGCTGGCCACATGATCCAGAAGCTGTACGCCGGCTCCCTCAGCCAATAAAGCAAGATGAGCGCCACAACCCCAGAGTCGGTCACGACTGGACCTAATGGTCAGAGGTCCCTTTACCTTTACCTCTTGGCCCAGCCAAGAGATTGCATATATTGATATGTGAGATACTTTGGGGGCCTTTAGACTGCTGTGAGCGCCATACATTTTTGGATAGCAATGCTGTTCTCAGCAGAATTCTTCCACATTTTAATTTCTTTTAGGTGGGCTTCCTTCGACTGCCTGGCTGAGAACCTTGATTTCTGAGTAGCAGAATGAGAGATGTGGAATGGCAGCAAGCCCTGGCAAAACCGGCTGGGGAAAGCTATAAGAGCCCTTGCTCAAGTGCTTCCTGTTCAACATCCTCGTATGGTTCACATTCTATGCATGCAAATGGTGGACCCATTATGAGCTGCTTTGCTAAATAAAAATGGGAGGCAAGGTAGTAGCTAATGATTGGGTGGTCAGAAACTTGTGTAAGGTTCATGATTTGCAAATATAATTGTGGAACGGTTCCTTGTAGTTGGTAAAATTGGATAAAAGGAGATTGGAGAGAGCTCTTCACTGGGGAGGCCACAGAATAGCTGAAGCCTTGCAGCAGGCATAGCCAAAGTGGTGCCCTCTCAATGTTTTGTACTACAACTCCTGTAATCTCTTGACCATTAGCTACACTGGCTGGGGCTGATGGGAGTTGTGTTGCAAAACAATATGCAGAGCACTACATTGGCTAACCCTGCTTTACAGAACGCAGTTGGCCACTGATGGGAACTAATTTCCCCCTTTGATTCCTGATTTGCTTTCCTTTATGTTTCAGGTGATTGGCTTCTGCCTTCATGAGCTATCGCAACACTTGGAGCCTCCTTTGTTGCTGCAGCGTGATCTTCGGTGGTAGTATCAGTCTTCGAGAGGCCTGGCTGTAGCTAGAACACAGTGGTTGTTTAAAGAAAACAATTATTTAATTCACAAATTCTGCTTTTGTTTGTGGTATGACGTGGTTCCCCACACCCCAAAGTGCTCTGTGCCAATTGTAGATATTCAATGCTAGCTCAGCACATAAACTCAGCCTGAATGAGTGAACACAGGCTTCCCTGTACAGTAAATACTAGGTTGTGGGGGATGAACTTTGATTTTTACAATATCTTGTGTACAGCACTTATACAATAAAAGCAAATAAAACTAGTTTGAAATATTGGATCTTGGAGGTGAGGGGGCACATAGTTGCCCTAAGAAAGATTGTGCATCTTTTCTTTGTTAATATTTAACTTTTCCTACAGATGTGGGTAGGTACCCAGAGACCCTTGAAGGCGATGGAACTCCTGCCAGTGCCTTGAACAGGATGCTAATTGTATCACTTGAAGTTCCATGTTTCATTTTTTCCCCAGTCTTTTCATTAGGACTGTGGGTGGGTTAACCATTTCCTCCCCCATTGTGGTCCCTATTAAATTGCCTCTACGCTGCTATGAAGGCCAGTGGCAGCTTTCACCTGGGACTATCATAGTGCAGGAGGAAAGGTTGAACCTTCTTGCAGTCCCCTCCACCTTTTTTTCTTTTAATAAAAATGAAAATGCAATTTCCCCTTCTTTTCTGCTCCTTTTTTCTCCCCATCCCTGTACTGGCCTGTTAATAGTAGAAGAGAGAGAAGACATGAAATTTCAAGGGCTGTGTTTTTCAGTATTACATGTAAGTTGGTCCTTTATATTACATGAACTGCAAGCACTGGTAGAGATCTGGCTTGATGCTACATCATAATGAGTTGTTGATCTTCAGAGATTTAGTGTCTGTAACCGGAGCTAGATGATCACTCTTTTTCAGAATAGAAAGGGCTTGCTGCTTTCAAATGTACAAACACACCCCATTTTTATCTCTGTTAAACAGACTTTTTTCCAAAAAGTACAGACACTTGTGTGCTGCTCTCTGGTTCTGGTATATGCGGTGGGTCCTAAATTCACACACACAGAGAGACAGAGAGAGAGACCTTGAAAATTGCTGGATGTTTTGGAACACTGCTTTATGTTGTTGCAATTATTAATATACTATGCCAGATGATGTAGGATATTTCAGTGTATTTTTATTGCTGCTGTTATTTATTACATATTTCAGTTCATTGTTTTGCAAATAGAATTGCAGTACAACTAGAATATACAAAATAAAAGCAGCAATAAAAATGCAATATCATTATTTAGTGTGATAAATGTGCTGTTTCATGTCTTCAACTACAGATTCACAGACACAATATGGTAACTCCTTCAATCCTGGCCACTGCAAGCTACTGTAGTCTGTATGCTTGTGTATTTACAATGTGGCTTTCTCCTGTACATTATCATGGTTCCTGAACTCCTCGGACAAGAGAACTGCCCCTAAGCAGTTTTGCATTTATCCATTGAGCTAGAAGTCGCACCATCTCAGCCTCTGTATTACTAACTAAACATGACATTGTACTCTCTGCCATCTCAGTGCTACGAAAAGCTAGTTGGAATTTTACCTACAGTTGCAAGCAATGGACCAGTGTAGAATTCAGTCTTTTTCATTTCCTGTGGTAGCCCTCTGAGCCTAAGAGGTAGAATGCTGAACCACATAGTCTTGATACTTTGTCAAACGAAAGTGCTTTCAGCTCCAAGTAAGTGTTAGCTTTGTTGTCTGTGTTTAGTAAGCATCAGAGCAACTGTGTTAAGGCTGTCCCAGTGCAGTTGGTGCCAGATCGTTGCAGAGGTGGGGCAGCCAGGTACACTTACTCTGGGACCAGCTTTTTTTATTCTAGCAAGACTCCTGCCCCAGGCCTCAAACAAGCTCTGCACGGGCCTGGTTGGTGTTTTATCCTTGTGCTAAGTAAGTGTAAGGATGGAAAAGGGTTGCAATGGGTAAGCTTCTACAAATGCTATAAGTTACCTTAGTACTAAGTACACCCAAAGTATTTTTCTATAAACAGTATCTTGCTATAACTGCCCACTTCCATCATGGCTACAGTTACTGTATAGGAAATCATGTGGTAGTCCACCTGTTTACTGGTGAATACAGAAAGAGGAGAGGGTTTTGTCTTTGGCTGGGCATGAAGCCATTTCTGTTAGAGCCAACCACCACTAAAGAATTTCCTTTGCCAGCTAAAAGGCAAGCCTATCAGCTAACTTCATAATGGGATGAAGTAGCTATACTGCTGTAAGAAACCTAGGGTTCTAGTGTTACCAAGTACTAGATCAATAAAGATTAAATCTCGTGTCCAGAATGGCAACAGTTTAGTGGGATCAAATGCTGCTTTATATAAGAAAAGGCTTGACAACAGTATTTGGCAATCTGCAAAGCTAGGGTGGAATAAAATTTCCTTCTACTCTTCCCACCCCCTACACCCCGCTCTGCCCCATATATAAGGCAGATGATCTCTTATTTGTAGATACGAGAAGAGGCAGAGTAGTAATCAAATCCTAGACTAATACAACACATAAAATACTATTGATTTATAAAATGCATTTATGCATACTGTGTAGTGGTTAGAATTTCGGACTAGGATCTGGGAGACCAGCATTCAAATCCCGCCTCTGCCATGAAGCTCACTTCATGGCTGGGCCAGTCACCGTCTCTCTGCCTAACCTACCCTGCAATGTTGTTGGGATTAAATGGGACCATGTATGCCATCTTGAACTCTTTGAAGGAGGGGTTATAAATGCAATAGATAATAAATATACAATGTGCATTATCAGGGGTGCCAACTTGAATAAAATACTGTAGGGGCTCAGGTAAGCCCTGTTGTTGTTGTGTAGTCGTGTCCGCCTCTTCATGACCCCATGGACCAGAGCACGCCAGGCCCTCCTGTCTTCCACTGCCTCCCACAGTTTGGTCAAACTCATGCTGGTAGCTTTGAGAACACTATCCATCCATCTCGTCCTCTGTCCCCTTCTCCTTGTGCCGTCAATCTTTCCCAACATCAGGGTCTTTTCCAGGGAGTCTTCTCTTCTCATGAGGTGGCCAAAGTATTGGAGCCTCAGCTTCACGATCTGTCCTTCCAGTGAGCACTCAGGGCTGATTTCCTTCAGAATGGAGAGGTTTGATCTTCTTGCAGTCCATGGGACTCTCAAGAGTCTCCTCCAGCACCATAATTCAAAAGCCCCGCATAACTGGTCACATGATGCAGTGACAACACTATTTGAATGGGAATGCCTATTAACTGGGTAGGAGTGGCCCCCTCAAATAATTTATTGTGGGGGCCGAAGCCCCCACGTCCCCTAGGAGTTGGCCCCTACGTGCATTATACAAAGTAGCAAAGCGCAGACAAATTTGCACATTCATAAGTTTGTGTGCGCATGTGACAAATTCGGGAGGGGCCATCCCGTTAGATTGTAATGCACTGCTTTTTGGGGGGAGTGGGGAGGAATCCCCCCCTAAACGCCCCACCCTGTCCTGTAATTTACCAGAACCAGGTGGCAACCCTACATGACGGAAGAGGCAGGATCTGTTGCCTCTGCGTGTCTTGACATTGCCTCAAGCAAGCCGCCTTGCGCTCCTTGGAAAAGCAAGGCGGAGCCGGCTGCCCAGCCCCAGGCATGCGTCTACTCGGGAGTAAGCCCCCCGCTCAATTCCACGGAAGCCTAGCGAGGTGGGACCAGGCGTGGGCGAGGAGGATGCCAAGAGGCCACGCCCTGCTCCTCGCTCCCCCGCCCTGATTGGCTGCCCACCTCCGCCCCACTCTCCTCCCCCCTCCTCACTCTTTCCCAGGGGCGGCTCCGGCTCCGCCCCTTTTTCCTCTCCGAGGCTCCGCCCCCTCGTCCTGGCGCCGCCGCGGGCTCCCCTCTCCCCATAAGCCGCCTGTTGCCGCTTCCGGCGGGGCTGTGCGGGAGCCGGAAGTGGCCTCCGCGGGTGGCGGCGGCGGCGGCGGCGACATGGCGTCGGGAGGCTCCCCTGTGGACCGGCTGCCTCCGCCTTTCCCCGCGGCGGAGCCTGCGGGCGTCCCGGAGGCGGGCAGCGACTCGGACGGGGAGGACATTTTCACCGGCAGCTCCGTGAGTGGCTTCCTCGGGGGGGCGCCCTCCCTCCCTCCCTCCCCCTGCTGGGACCCCCACCACCGCCAGAACCCCCGCCTTGTCAGTCGTCGCCCTCCTCCTCCTTCCCCTCAGCGCCGCCTTGAGAAGTTTCTGCGGACTTGGCCACGGGCGAGGAGGGGCCACGGCGGGTCCGGTGCGCCCGTGCATCGTCTCGCCCGAAGCGGAGCCTCGCAGGGTTCAGTGGGGCTTTGCTACCCCGGAAATTGTGTGTGTGTGTGGAGCAGAAAATATTAAAAATAAATTTAAGGAACCGCAGGAAGAGGGAGGGGGAGGGAGTCAATTGACTGCAAATGACTGCAAACTTAATGAAATGCATAAAACTGAAAATCATAATTATATATATATATGAGAAATTATGTGTGTAGGATTGCAAACTTAATGGCAGTGCAAGCTTTCGGAAACGGGCTGCAAACTGCCCACTTCTTTAGTTTCCACGAAGTTGTTCAGCAAGGGTGTGCATGCGAGTGGGAAGGTGCGGTTGGTCTGCTTGTGTTGTTTTCGTCGTGCATTTTGTGTTGTGCTTTTGTGCTGTAAGGCGTTCTGTGACCTTCCAGTGAAAGATGGTGTACGAATTCCATAAAGAATCATGCATGTGGTGCTGGAAGGGCTAAATGGCCAATATCTTACCCATTTCCCCTCCCCCTTCCTGTACCTGCCTTCCGAGGGTAGCCTATTTATGCAGTCTTCCTGTACTCTGTTACTTGAAGATGTGTTATGATAAACCTGGTGGCATTTAAAGTGCCACAAGGTTCTTTATTGGTTTTCCTGCAATAGAGTGGGCATGGCTTCCTCTCAGAATGCTGCAGATTGATTGATTGTAAGGATATGGTGATGGGAAATCAAATCTTGGACTTATGTTATGAATCTGTTGCATGGTGGAGGCTTGGAAGCAGTTTAAATCTAGAACATAAAATCATCTTTGCCCCCTCTTTTGGATGGCTGGAGGTCCCACTGGTGTTGACTGTTTGATCAAAGTTCTAGACTTGGGTTGAGTTCAGGTCTAGGTTTCAATTCAACCACCCTGAGCCTGGGGAGGGCGGGGTATAAATAAATTATTATTATTATTATTATTATTATTATTATTATTATTAATTCCCAGTTTTGTCCATTGCATTAAAGCAGCAGCCTAATATGTTACCTCTCTGTAGCTACTTAATCTATTATCTTTTCTCTGTTTCACAGCCTTTCTTTGCTAATAAGACTTGGCTCTCTAAATCCCATGCTGCATAAGTGCATATATTTTGTATTCTTCCTAAGAGTTGCTGCTACTGCTTGTCTTAAAATGAATTTTGTTCACTTTGAGGCTTGTTTTATGTTACACTTCTGCTGGAATACTAGGTCATACACCTGATTAGTCTTTAAACACTCGTCTGTCACTTTTGCATCCTGAGTCAGTGGTATGTTTTCCACTGAACAGTTATCCTCTCCATTAGTCTGAAAAGACTTGAATTTACTTTATGTTTAATTGCTCAAAAGGAGGATAACTTTAATCTACTGTCCTCAAAAGGAGGATAACTTTAATCTACTGATTCACATTCTTACTGTTGCTGGTAATGACAATTTTTACCTGTTCTTATCAACAACATCCTGAAAAGCCTTTCTTACTGCATGCAAAAAACTGTGCCCATGTTCATTCAACCATCCTTTGACCAGTCCTGGGGATGTTCATCGTGTGATGGAATATAATTGATGTGATGGGAAAAGTTTGGTGCAATTAAGTTTTTAGCAAAATTGTCCTATCCTGATTCCTTTTTTAGAAGATTACTGCTACCAAACTTAAGTTAATGTGAAGGGTACTTGTAAACTGCAAACAGGGCATAGAATTCTGCTTGTGGAGCCCCTTTTTTGCAGTGGATGCCCTATCTTATCTAGATGCAGCTAATTGGCTAAGAGTCATAGTTAGTCAATGTTTACCAGGTCTTATGTTTCCAGAAAGAAATGTTTCTTTCAGGTAACAGTCTGTGGGATAAACTGCAAAACCTAAAAAGTGAATGGTTTTGAGATACCCACATAAAAGGAGATGAACTTGAAATTCAGATTCCTGGCAAGGGGATGAGGAAGAACTCTGTGGCACCAATTGACTGGAAAGAATCAGTAAGCATGATGCCGGAAGTTGCTCAATCTCTGTAGAAATCATGCAAAACTTGCAAAACTTCACCAAAATGACTAGAGCTGTTGGAAAGGCTAGCTTTACTCTGCTCAGTATTGGTAACTTTCTAAGAATTCTCCATGGATAATAGTATATCTACTTCTGATCTAATTCCCCGTCCCCTACAGTACCATATTTCTAGCTCTTACTGATACAGAAATGCAAGTACCAAAGCAGAAGAATGGACTAAGGCTCACAACACTGTATTTTGGGGAACAATACAGCCTTATTTAACTGTAGGGCCGCATGTTGCCATGAGCTGTGCCTTTTCATACAGGATAAAAGAGTGCAGAAACTTGCAGCCTCAAACTTCCAATCAAGTTTCTGCAACTTGGAACTTCAGGGAGCGCATAAAACATAAGAACTTCTTCTGAAGTAGTATGGCTCTGGCAGAGCTGCAGGGGGCTGAAGCCTTCCAAGGATTTGTTTGTCGTCAGCAAGCCTTGCTCCTGCAGCTCATTGCTCTGGCAACAAAGAGTCTGACTTCTAGCCTCAACAGCTCTGTCCATGGTTGTCTCTTGGGTCTGTGACCCCGTTCATGCTGCTATTTTATTTATTTATTTTGAAATTAGCAACTCAGCCGTGCAAACAGTGTCAGTGCTGTCTCCAGATACCAGAGCATTGTGTCTTCAGAAAGCTGTTGGGAAACAGTGGGCCTTTATAAGCCAGCACTACAATGACAGAATAGTGTAAAATGCACCAATGTATGCATTATTAATTCCACCCCAAAGAAGCTTTTTTTTACTTTTATTCTTCATAGCTGCTGAGAAGAAACGTACTTCATGTACTGAAATGGGAAGGTTTTTTTTAAAAAAATAAGGGTTTGAAAAACAATGGGTTTGCAAAATAAGTGTACCTTTGTAAAGTTGGCAGAGCTTTGTGAAACACATGGCATCCATGTGGCTGAAGGCATGCAATGTATTTTTTCAGGCATATACTTCAATAACAGATTTAACTTTGTAACATGTATAATAATTGTTATCTGTTCTTCTTAGAGCAAGCCAATGTCGCCTAAGAAAGAGTCGCCTGTACCAGTAAGAACTACCTCCACAGAAAATGGTGTTCAGGAGGAACAGGATGATCAGGACCTATTCGCAGGTATGTCTTCTTACCAGGTGTGATGGTGTAAGTTCTTAAGAAAGCATGCATTGCTGTGGATTCTCCCGTTGCACAGGAGAAGAGGTGCTTTGTGTTAAGGTGTTACAAAGTTGCTAGAAACAAACACCTTGACTTTGCAAGCAAGCCTGTCTGCTGATATTCTTCTGCTAAAACCCATGTAGCAGTTACAGCAGTCTTTTGCTGTTAACCCTTTTGCAGAAATGGGGCTTTAGATCTCTCCTATAGAAAATCTCTGGACATGAGCTCAAAAGTTGTGCTGTAGTGGCACTACAGATCAAGAAATCTCCAGTTTTAATTTTGCTTTTACCACAAGCTCAAGGAGGTGATCTCAGTCTCCGTGCCCTCATCTGCAACATGGGGTGGGTGGGAAGTAATAATACAGAGTTATCTTACATGGTTGTAAGACTTACAGCATAGCGCACGTGAACATTTGTATGAACATTTATATGAACGCTAAGTAGATAATATTAGACACGTAAATCTGAGCCAAGGAGGATCATTGGAGATTTAAAACCAGGTAGAGTATTTAACTAGCTGAAAGCTAGTTGGAACAAATGTATGGTATTTCTAATTCTGGTAATCTACATGTTCAAATTAGGACAGTTTTGTGATAATTGCATGTTCTCCAAGGAGTGCTTATGCCCAGGCTAGTAGCCGCTCTGTGTTTAGGTTAATTAAAGGAAGTGAAATTAGCAGGCCCTCAAGTCTTTGTACTAAACTATACTTGAAACATGAAAGCTTCCAAACAGGAAACCCAACCACCTCATCTGTCGTACGTGTGCCTAGATATGTCCCTAGGTCCGGACCACAATTTACATGTGTTCCTCTTCTTTTTAAACTGACAACTGGCCATTTGTTTTCAGATAGTTTGGGAACTGATGGGACCTGTTTGCTAACAAGATGAAGTTTATGCAAAATGAAGTTTATTCTTGTTTTGGTATTTTGAAAAGGTCAATAAAATAAGTTCGGAGAAGAAAACAAAGTTTATACATAACCTAAATGACAGCTTTCAGGTGGCTTCTCAGTGCAGTCCTGACCTCTACTGCTGAAGGCTGCATACTTCTGGATGACCGTTGTTTGGACCTGCAGGAGGGGAAATTGCTGTTGCGCTCAGGTCCTGCTTGCAGTCTTCCTTGGGGCACTGTGAAAACAGGATACTGAACTAAACAGACCATTGGCCTGATCCAGGGGGCTGTTATGTTCTTATGGTATGCAGTATGACTTAGGCAATTATTTCACTATAAATCCATCCAGAAAGAGCAGGAATTGGTGTTGTGGCCTAGTACAAAGAAGGAGTGCAGCAGCATTATAGTTGCATATTTATATTCCTTGATCAGATTTGATTGCCAAAGATTACGGCGAATCTCTAACTTGAATGCCTGCCACACAGGCTGGAATTGGGGAGGATAATGTCTAGTAGCTCTTCCTGATACATTTCTTCTGGCCTAGAAAAACTCAACATCTTTCCTGATTCCTAAACCATTCCGGTTCTCTGCCCCCAGTTATAAATCTTATCCACTTTCAGATGCCACTGTAGAATTGTCTCTTGATAGCACACAAAACAACCAGAAGAAAGAGATGGCTACTGTGACCGGCCCTGTCCCTTCTTTAGAGAAAACAGCAAATTTGCCTTCTAAGCCACAGTCAAAAACCTATGAGGAGGTAAGTGTTTCTGTGACTGTCTAGTCATATAAAGGTAAAGGTACCCCTGCCCGTACGGGCCAGTCGTGTCCGACTCTATGGTTGTGCACCTATCTCACTTAAGAGGCCGGGGGCCAGCGCTGTCCGGAGACACTTCCGGGTCACGTGGCCAGCGTGACAAAGCTGCTCTGGCGAGCCAGCACCAGCGCAGCACTCGGAAACACCGTTTACCTTCCCGCTATTTATCTACTTGCACTTAAGGGTGCTTTCGAAATGCTAGGTGGGCAGGAGCTGGGACCGAAAGACGGGAGCTCACCCCGCCGCGGGGATTCGAACCGCTGACCATGCGATCGGCAAGCCCTAGGCACTGAGGTTTTACCCACAGCGCCACCCGCATCCCTCCAAGATTCACCCTTCCCAGGTGAATATACAATATATAACTGACTATATGTCTAGTCATATAGTCAGTTATATATTGTATATTCACCTGGGAACGGTGAATCTTGGTGACTATTGTGAATAGCCTGCTACATCCCTAAGCTAATTTCATACCCACATCTAACAGGTAATATTTAAAATACAGTGGTACCTCGGGTTAAGAACTTAATTCATTCTGGAGGTCTGTTCTTAACCTGAAACTGTTCTTAACCTGAAGCACCACTTTAGCTAATGGGGCCTCCCACTGCTGCCACGCTGCCGGAGCACGATTTCTGTTCTTATCCTGAAGCAAAGTTCTTAACCCGAGGTAATATTTCTGGGTTAGCGGAGTCTGTAACCTGAAGCGTATGTAACCCGAGGTACCACTGTACATATATCCTGCCTTGCAACTTTAAAGCTTACAACATTTACTATTTTGTCAATTATATATAAATATTTGGGGGGGGCCCTATTGAACCTGACAAATAGAAAAGAACTTACAAAAATGAGTTTTTTAGGAGACAATTTTATAGGAAACGGTAGGTTCCATAGAAATGCTTTTGGAGAGGATACTTCAGAGCTGTGGTACTATGTTAGAAATTATGTTTTTATGTATTGAACATGAATGAGCTCTACATGCTGGAGCCTTTAATCTACCCCCTAACTCTTTTAATATTCACACAATATTTAATATACACACAAATCTGAATATTATGTTGTGCCTGATACACGTCGTGACAGAAGTCCCTGGGTTAACTGACTTGAATGTACTTCTCTTACAGTTGGAAGAAGAGGAACAGGAAGACAAATTTGAACTTTCAGTGGAAGTGAGTGATCCTGAGAAAATTGGTGAGTCACTATGAAATGGAAATTACTTGACATAATTAAAGGGGAAAGCTGCATGGGTATGTGTTTTGCCTTCCGGGCTGAGGAAGGCTAGTAATAAAGTTCTGCTTTCGGTGGTGGAGCTCAGAACGGCACTGATTGAACTGTCAACCCCCATCACTTACTGTTATGGATCAGCTTCAATACTTTGCTCTTGCTTCTTGCGTAGAATAGCAGTGCAAGATTCTGCAAAAGCTTCTTGTTTCTGAAGTTTTTCCTGTTGCCAAAAATGTGATAGAATAGTACTGTCAAGGGAAAAACTGCATAAATTGCTGTGTTAACTTCCCACTCCCTTCTGTGCCATTGTGGGTGATAGTCGGCTATTAGCAGCATAAATCACCTGGGTTTCTTAACTTGTATATGTTCAAGTGTAATAAGGCTGTACAGTAGATGCCCATTCTGAAGCTGGATGGTCTCATATATTGTGTTCTTGACCAGAAGCTTAAGGCAATTGTGTTCTGTTACTGCAGGTGCTGAAGTCATTGCTTCAAGCTTATTTTCCAAGCAACAGATGATCCTTTTAAGTTACACTTTGTGTCTGTTGAGTAATTAATAACCTGAATATTTAGTTTTTAATCTGATTCTATAGAGGCTTTTGACTGATGCACAGCTCTATAGAGGGGTGAAGCAGCAGTACAGCAGTTTGTTCAGCATCATCCCTCTCACTCCTGAATTTCTGTGGTGCTCTTTAAACTGCTCAACATTTTTAAAAGGCTTTGTGCTTTAAAAAGCAACTTGGGCCCTGAATACAAGAGCTTGCCTAAAACAATACCTGCACTTCAGCTACTCTTGTGCCCGAATTCCCAAAAATGCTACTTAAATGAGAGACAGCAGTTTGTTGGGAGCTGGTGTACAGGAACCTTAAAATTCAAATGTACAATGTACAGTATGCTGGCTTGCACCTTCCTTGCAGCTGTTGGCTGAATGCACACAACCATTCTCTGAGGTCCTGACTTAATACAACCAACTTCCAATTTACTGGCATTCAAAGCATGTGCACCATTTTCACCTAGCAACACCAGGAGTTGACTTCTTGGAGAGGAATATTTCAAGACCAGCTGAGATGCAGCTATTTTGCATAATAGATAATTTGGCACATATATTTTATTGCAGCTGCACAGATCCTGCAGGTTTTATTACTGGAAAGGATTCTGCAAAAAGAATTCTGTATCTATTTATGCTACTTGCTTTTAGACTTTCTATGCTCTGAAAAGCAAGCCGTGTGCAGTGAAGGGATTCTTTGGCCAGCATCCTGTGTGTGTTCTTTTTTTTAAAAAAAAATGCCTTCAGTGCCGTAACAGCTACTTAATTGTTCAGCCTGGGGCAGATGTGCAGAGCTCTCCCAGATCCTAGCAGTATAACAAGTCACTAATTATTATGTTAGGCTCATCTTTGTAGGAAGTAGAGACAGTACTTGGCACCACTGAGGAGCCACTATTGTGTAAGCTTCAGCTGTCAGCATCCTGTAGCTTGTATGGTTGGATAGCTGAAGGAGACCTCCTGGATCATCTGAACCACCTCCATACATGGGGGATGACTAGCAAGATGGAAAAATACTCAAGTGGGGCTTATTTATTCAGTGAAATGGGAAATGTTCAGAATGTTTCATCCTTGACCGGTTAACTGTTTTCGTCTTTGCTTGCTTACCAGATCTAACACTCTGTTTTAGTAAACTTTATTTACAGTATTACAAACTACCATGCTTTTCTAAAACCTTCATTGCAAACTTGTTTCTGGAGTCTTCTATGGTTCACTGTCCCCTCCACACACACGCTCCACAACAAAATCAGCTGATGCACATATTATTCCAGCAGTAGCCTATTGAATTCCAAATGTTTTTGATATAGGAAACATGAGATGCAGCCCAGAATTCTGCATGCCTTTGTTATAACATCACATGGCTCAGCTTGTGATTCACTCTGCTGCCCAGAAACTTCTCGGCCAGAGCTATTGCTTAACTATCTCACTTTTAAATTGATTCATTGTTTAGTGCTTATAACTTTTCACTTCCTGCCATTTTTAGCTTCACATCCCTTTTTCTATACTTGCTAGTTTGGTAAGTTTACGTTCAGCTTCAGGTAAATTGTGTCACCTTGCTAGGCTGAAATATAGTTGCCCAGCCATTGTGGAAGTGTGAGTTGTTGCAGGTAATGTTGAATTCAATATTGGAGGATTGTCTTCCTGACAGTTTTCTAAAAAGCAAAATTCTAGGGTCTCACCCAGTAGAATAGCATAAGCCATTTGGGAGCTAAGCAGGACTTCTGGGAAGGTGGATACTGGGCTACACTGCCTATTACAGCTTTTTCCAACCCCGCCCCCCCAAAAAACAACCCTGATTCTTAATTTCTCGAGGTCACTTCATGCCTTGAAATGGTGTGGAGTTCAGTATGCTTCAAATGTGCTTTGAGCACATGTAAACACCACGATTGCACTAAGAACCTTGCGTAAGGTACACAGGCTAATCCACAGCCATGTGATAAGATCAAAGCTAGTTTGCAATTCGTGGCATGACCCTCAAACAATCAGCAGAGATTCTTTAGCTATCCTGGGCAACAGCCTCCGTTAATCAGTTTATCAAGAGCCCACTAGGAGGAGGCATCCCCACAGCTTCAGTATGGCAGTTTGCTAGAGACAACTGAATTTTTCCTTCCTTTCTCCTCCTTTCCATAGGAGATGGTATGAATGCCTATGTGGCCTACAAAGTGTCGACACAGGTATGTCTTACACTCTTTCTTGGTAGCACCAAGTCCAATCAATGCAAAGTTCCTTTCAGTTGGCTTTCTGCTTAAATTGCCTTTCCATTGGTATTGCACTGCAAACCTTGGGTAGTCAATGCACTTTTCAATCGATTGATTACACACCAGTCTCTTTTCTTAGGGTAGCACAGTCATTTCCCTTCCTACTCTTCCTATATTGTTTGGTGCTGGCCTTACAAGGAAGCAGCAGAGGAGTCAGACTCCTGTGGCTTCCAGAGAGTACATTCTGAAGGAAAATACAAAAAACACAGTAAGATGCATCAAAAAGTTCAGAGGAAAGGCCTTCTCCTCACCCCAACCCCAACCCCCAGACACACACATCAAAGCATGATATAGAAAAACTGAACTTCTTAATAATAATAAAAATATTTTTGCATGATTGGAAACTATTTTAATAGGGGTGTGGAACCTCTTACACAAGTCTCTTCTTCAGCATGACAACATTCCAGTTAATGGCTAAGAAATAGAACTTAAATACCTAGTTACACCAGCAGACTGTTCAACTACAGCTTTGCTTTGCTCAGCTAAGGCCAACTTAAATTTCTGGAGCTGAGAGTTAAAGGACTTTTTTATGCTCACTTGGTTCTGGGTAAATCTCAGTAAGAGGGAAGCTCCTAACAGAAAGCTTTTCTTAATATTTTCCATGAATATCTCGAAGCGTCCGCTCTGGAATCTTTAGTCACATGCACATCTCATGTACTCAGTTTAGTTGATCAGTTAAAAGACAAGGAGTTGGTGAGTTAAATCTGCTCATCCTTTTGCAGCCCAGCCACAGTGCTGGTGGTTTCTGTTCCTGTGTTTCTCCTGTTCCTGCAAATGAGTTAACATATACTGGGCAGGATCCAAAGAGTTTCATGAGAGTCTTTGCTTCTGAACATAACTTCTTCATGCTGCATGGCAAACCATTTTTACAAGTTTTCTGGGGTGGAGGACAGTTTCATATGGTATACTCAAAGGGAAGCAAAGTGGCATAAACCAGGTCACAGCCTTATCTCAGTAGAATTATTGTATCCTGACCATGCCTGGGAACCTCTGGAGAGCAGCAGCTTCATCTCCATCATTGTCATTTTGTCTGAGTAAAAAATCAAGAAATATATAATTAATAATGTGAACTGTTCATTACCTTTACTATATGTAGTGCCTTTCATATTCTTATGGTACAATCCTAAGTATGTTTTACTCAGAGTTCAGTCCTCTTGTCTTCAAAGCGGTTTACTCCCAGGTACGCACTCAAAGGACTGCAGCATGTAAAATTCATGCTTGCCAATGTTGTGTGTTTTTCAGTTCTTTCAAAAAAAAAAGTGTGTGTGGTGGCAGCGCAGCAGTGGCAAAGAATAGTTTATTTTTATAGCTTCAAGAATTCTGCAAGCAAAGCATCTCTATGTACATGCTTGTGTTTGTAAGATATAACTTGATACAGGATGCTCCATGTTAACGTGATGTCATTGTGTCCTCCTCAGACCACTTTGCCAATGTTCAGGAATAAGCAGTTCTCTGTGAAGAGGAGATTCAGCGACTTCCTGGGCTTGTATGAGAAGCTATCGGAGAAGCACGCACAAAATGGATTCATCGTCCCCCCACCTCCTGAGAAGAGTTTGATAGGTGAGGTTGGTCAGTTGCTCTGCCAGCAACATCTCTGCAGACCTCTGCTCTCTGTTTTCAGTGCATCGTTGTAACTGAGGTGCCCTTGATACTGTGATCTTAAGCTTTCCAAGTTTATCAACACTTAAAACATGTCATTGGAGTTTTAAGAGCATAACACTGCGCAACAAGAAAGCATCATCAGCCCACCTTGTCCTTGTGCGCCTTGTGTGTGTAATTGTTGGTTGCTCTTTGCTTTGCAGAGAGCAATAAACACATAAGGCATACCTGACTTCCTTCCTAATATTGCATCTCTGATACTGGTGAAGTTTCACTGCCTGCTTCAGTTTGCAGTTCTCTACTACTCTGCTCCAATACTCCATGTGCCTCACTCAGCCTCTTGCAGCACTTCTGCCTTTGGGCTCTACACAGAATGTTGTGGCTTTCTATAGAGAGCAATGCCCTTCTGGACACACAGTGTTCATGTGACCTGTGCTGTTGCCTTTCTGGCTCTTTGACTTGCTCTGCAAGCACTGTTGGAGACAGTTGCGCACAGTGCTTGCAGAGTGGAGAGCAGTTGCTGCACCGAGGACATGTTTGTCCTATGAAAGCCACAGCGAGAGCAAGCTGAAGGCGCAGCACAGGTACAGCTGACCATATCGCTTCCTCCTTGTTCCAGGAATGACCAAAGTAAAAGTTGGGAAAGAAGATTCTTCTTCCACAGAATTCCTAGAAAAACGACGAGCTGCCTTGGAAAGGTAATCACTACATGCATGTAACTGTCTGCTGTAGTTGACCGTTGTCAAAGGCCACGGTAAGCTGTTCACTTGGCCTACTCTGCTATGTAAAACTCTTTACCAAGGAAAAACGGCAATATATGGAGTCAGTTCATTGGTCCCTCTAGTATTCTCTGAATGGCAACAGCTCTCCCAATCCCCAAGCAGAGATCGCTCTGAGCCTTCTTAGCCATATGCCTAGGTGGGGGTGATGGAAGTTGCCACCCAAAATATCTGGAGGGCACCAGGTTGGGGAAGGCAGCCATAGAGCTTTAACCCTTCTCCTTTGTGTTGTCAGAGGAGCAAATATTGAAAGCTTTGGAAGAAGTGCCTGAAATAATTCATAATACAAAACACAGCCTCCTTTTCATTCTTGACTTCTGAGGAGAAATCCTCTGACTTCAACCTAATAAAGAAAGTATCTCCTTTGCTTTCAAGCTGATTTTAACAAGGCATGCTTTTTCTTAAAATTCCTCAGGGTCATCATCCTGTGAATTTCCATCAGTTATAAAACATTCTCTGTAACCATACCTTTACAAACAAACAAGCCTCTTCTAGCATGATCCTACTAGCTGAAGTTAAATTCTGATAAAAACAGGGGCTGGCAAAGATAATTAAAATCGAAAGCAGGTTCAGGTATCTCTCATTGGATAGGGAAGTGAGAGAGGAAGCAGGCACCGTTCCAGATCTTGTTCTGCTTTGTTACACTTTTGCTATCAGTGATGCAGACTGCAAAAGGGTCACCTTCCTTTAAGACATCACATGTTTTGCTCTGTTACCTTTCCTTATCTAGGAGTGTGCCTCTCAAATGAGTTGGAGAGCAAACCTGCTAGCCAGCAGTTTTGCAGAGGCTGCACCCCATAGTCTTTCCCTGAATAAGTTACCTCTCTTGATGTTGGGAGTGGAGATGCCTAGAGCTTGGCTTCTGAAATTCAGCTCCAAAATGTCACATCTTGCCTGATGCAGTGCTTTCACCAGCATTGCTGCTCCCCCAGTCTCCTGTCTCCCCCGCCAAGAGCAATCACACAGCTCGACTCCATCACCTGATTCTAAACCCAGAATCCCGCTGCTTGCCGTCTAAAGAGCCGTTTTCAAGCTGAAACAGGCCCCTTGCCCATCATGCCAACCTAAACATCCCTGTCATTCAAGTCTCCTTCTCCATTAACAGCTGCCTGCACACATTCTACACCCTCCTCCCTTGGTTGTGGATCCCAGCAAAATGCAAATTCCACACATTCCAATTGTCCTGAATGTTGTGATGTCAATGTGCATTCCCCGCCCCTTTTAAAAAAAATAAATGCTAAATGAAGAGAGCCTGGCCTCATCCTTTCCTCTCCCACAGGTATCTTCAAAGAACGGTCAACCATCCAACCATGCTACAGGATCCAGATGTCAGGGAATTCTTGGAAAAAGATGAGGTTGGTTTGCTGCCGTACCTGAGTGCGCAACACTTGTCTGCAAAGTGTTTCTGCACTTGGGGCCCTCTTTATTTATCTAACATAGTTTATTTGGTAAAACTCTTGAGGAATTCGTTTTGTAGATGTTCTCAGTTGGAACGAACTTGTACTCTCGGACACATTGGTGAGCTGCAGAAGAGGTAGAAAGGCACTAACCTGCTCACAGCTGCTCTGTCAAAACAGAGAAACCACTTGTGTGTTCTCCCTCTGGTCAGCTGCTCTTGGGCCACTCAGTCTTGCAGCAATTTAGTGAGCGACACGTGAGACCTGATACAGATTGACTGGGACTTACTCCATGCCACTTCAGACTGTTCTTCCTGGAGTGGGGCTGAGGAGTTTCTGATGGCATAGGGATTACTAGATGCGTATAACACTGAGGAGAGGTTGTTGTTGTTTTTAATAGTCTTGTGCTCCAGCCCTAAGCTCTTGAGGTCCCTTCCTTATGCAAGCCTTGTGATTCTTTTTTGTCAGTATTCTTTGGGTGGTATTCAGCAAAGTTAACTTGGAGCAGAGCCATTGAAATGAATGGAGCTAACTTAGTTAACTTTCTCCTTTTGCAGTTGTGTAGGGCTAATATGGGACGCGGGTAGTGCTTTGGGTTAAACCACAGAGCCTAGGGCTTGCTGATCAGAAGGTCGGTGGTTCGAATCCCACGACAGGGTGAGCTCCCGTTGCTTGGTCCCTGCTCCTGCCAACCTAGCAGTTTGAAAACACATCAAAGTGCAAGTAGATAAATAGGTACCGCTCCGGCGGGAAGGTAAACGGCGTTTCTGTGCGCTGCTCTGGTTCGCCAGAAGCAGCTTGGTTATGCTGGCCACATGCTGTATGCTGGCTCCCTTGGCCAATAAAGCAAGATGAGTGCCGCAACCCCAGAGTTGTCCGTGATTGGACCTAATGGTCAGGGGTCCCTTTACCTTTACTAGGGCTAATATTAGACACTTCAATGCATAGCATGGCCACAGCTTCTTCTCTTTGTTGCTCTCTGTAGTTGTAACCAACTTCTCAGCAAATAGGCCTAGTTTCAATCCTCTGGTTTCGTGCTGAGGCATCACGGCTTGTTTCTGCTTTCCTTGCTCACTGGTTCTGGTGTGAAATTAGGCTTTCCAGTCAATGTGTGGTTTTGTGGTGAATTCTCAAAAAGTTGCCTAGTTGTATCATGTTCTCCTTTTTTTAAAAAAGGAAAGCAAGCAAGTTCTAGTTGCTATACACAGTTCACAAATCATAAATAAGTACCCATATGTTCAGGGAACACTTGGAATGTGTTCTAGGAATGGGACTGTAACAATATCCCTCCATTGCTTCCAAGTCATGGGCTTGTATTCCTAGCAGCTCCAGAAGCATAATTTAGAATTAGGTCTACTGGTTTTACTTTTTTCCCCAAAGGCTTCTGGGCCACTTGGTGTTTACCTATATACCTGAAGGAGCATCACCGCTCCATCATTCAGCCTGGACACTGAGGTCCAGCTCCAAGGGCCTTCTGGAGGTTCCATCAATGCAAGAAGTGAAGTTACAGGGAACCAGGCAGAGGGCCTTTTCAGTAGTGGCACCCACCCTATAGAACACCCTCCCATCAGATGTCAAACAGATAAACAAATATACCCATAGACATCTGAAGGCAGCCCTGTATTGGGAAGCTTTTAATGTCTGGTGTATTTTGTGTTCTTTTTTACTCTGTTAGAAGACACCCAGAGTGGCTGGGTCAACCCAGTCAGATGGATGGGGTACAAGTAATTACTATTACTATTATTGTTACTGGGTTGCATGGGTTGTTCACTGAGCAGCCTTATTGGAGGAGGATGCTAATCTTTAGCAGGCGATTGGATCGAATGAGGTCTTGATGCCTTGTACTCTGAGAGGCCTTCTCAGCTGTTGGGCCCAGCTATCATGAAATTGGAAGAGAACAAGATTAGAACCTTATAAGATTTCAAGAGCTACTCCAGTGTCCAGCACAATATGACATGTTAGCAGCTGCACAATAAACCCCTCTTCCCACCTGGTGGTCCATCCCAGCTGACTAGGACGTAGCATGGAAAGAAAACAGCAAGTGGGTCAGGCAGTCTCTTTCCAAAGCAGGGACCCAGTCCTAGGAGGCAGTTTCTATATGGGAAGAAACACCATTCACAATTGATGGGCCTCGGAGCTCCTTTTCTGTTTTACAAGAGGCTTTTCCTAGTGCAGAATACAGGCTGATGCTTCCATTTTCTGAACTGTATGGAACTCAGGGATATTTTCTGCCAAACATTGCTGCCTGCCTCTGTTTGGAATCTGTCTGGTACCCTTTTATACTTCATGCTTCTTTCATGGCCTCTTAATATAAGACTTCAAGTAGCTCAGTTTGTCAGTGCTGTAGATCGGGGTAGGCAATCTAAGGCCCGGGGGCCGGATGCGGCCCAATCACCTTCTCAGTCCGGCCTGTGGACGGTCCAGGAATCAGTGTGTTTTTACATGAGTAGAATGTGTCCTTTTATTTAAAATGCATCTCTGGGTTATTTGTGGGGCATAGGAATTCATTCATTTCCCACCAAAAAAAAAAATACCGTATTTTTCGCTCTATAGGATGCAGTCTTTCCCCTCCAAAAATTGAGGGGAAATGTGTGTGCGTCCTATGGAGCGAATGCAGGCTCCTTGGCTTCAGCGATAGCAACGCTAAGCCTCCGAAGCGCAGAGGGAGCGCTTCCTCTGCACTCCGGAGGCTTCCCGTTGCTTTCGCTGAAGCCTGGAGAGCGAGAGGCGTCGGTGCGCACCAACCCCTCTCGCTCTCCAGGCATCAGGGATAGCCGCCTGAAGGCCTTTGGAGCGCAGTGCAAGTTCCCGCTGCGTTCTGGAGGCTTTAGGTTCCTTTCGCTGAAGCCAGGAGAGTCTTGCTCTCCTGGCTTCAGCAACAGGAACCCGAAGCCTGAGGAGCGCAGTGGGAACTTGCGCTGTGCTCGGAAGGCTTCAGGGATAGCCGCGTGCAACCCCTCTGGCAGGGAGAGGCTGCACGGGGCTAAAGAGGCTTGTGCCATAGCCGTGCGCAACTCCTCCGGCAGGGAGAGGTTGCGCGGGGCTAAAGAGGAAGCCAAAACAGCGAGCGGGATCCATCCCGCTCACTGTCTTGGCTTGGCCTGTGACATACCCGTGCACAACCCCTCCGGAAGGAGAGGTTGCGCGCAGGCTGTACGCTGCTCTTTGGGGCTGGGGGGGGGAAGATTTTTTCCCCCTTTATTTCCCCCTCTAAAAACTAGGTGCGTCCTATGGTCCGGTGCGCCCTATGGCGCAAAAAATACAGTAGTCCGGCCCTCCACAAGGTCTGAGGGACAGTGGACCGGCCCACGGCTGAAAAAGGTGGCTGACCCCTGCTGTAGATGATCAGGCTTTACTCTCCCTACAGTTGCCACGAGCAGTTGGCACTCAGACCCTGAGTGGAGCTGGACTTCTGAAGATGTTCAATAGAGCTACTGATGCCGTCAGCAAAATGACCATCAAGATGAATGAGTCAGACATTGTAAGTTTTTAACAGCTGTATGTTTGACATAAATGTATTTCTTTGGGGAGTGTTTGTGGAAGTGAATACCTATCTCAGGGGTTGCCAACATGGCGGCTTCCAAATGTTGGCGGACCACAACTTGCACCATCCCCAAGTATACCATGCTAACTGGGGCTCATGGGAGTTTAACAGCATCTGGAGGGCACCACACTGGTGTTTCCAGGCCTAGCTGGATGTCGCATTGACTTCCCTTATAATGAGACCTTGGTGGTTTTACCTCTTTCAGTGGTTTGAAGAGAAGCTTCAGGAGGTGGAATGTGAGGAGCAGCGCCTGCGGAAGCTACATGCTGTTGTAGAACTGCTAGTTAATCACAGGAAAGGTAACATCACAATTCGTTGTCATGGACTGGTTGGGCGCAGGTGGGAGGAACCAGTTGGGGAACCACCAAGCAGAGAAGGCTCAAAGCCCGGGGAGTGGTGGTGGGACAATAATGAATGGTCAGAGGGAAGAAGACTGAGAAGAGGTAACAGGATGTGGTGAGCTTGAGAGTCTGTGACAGAGAGCAGTCCAGAATCAGAGGCAGAAGCTGGAGCAGGGGAGGAGGGAGGCCAGGAGGCAGAGATGAGTCAGGCTCAAGAAGAGTCACAGGTGTCTCCCCCTCCTGCTGCAACAAGCTTCCCCCCATCTCCTAGAACCAGAAGAGGCAGGAAAAGGGCAGAGGAGAGGTTGGATTCACACAGGCACAGTCTCCGATTGCTTGGGGGAAACCCTGGAGAGGAGGGCACTTGGGCAGCTGTGAAGAGGTGGGGGCTTTCAGTCTCTGCAACTGACCATAGGGCAAGATCTACCAGGGATGAGCTGCTGTGCTCATGAGGCCTGATGCTCCGCCAAGTTTGTGCAGATCATATTTTTGCTAATAAAGAGTTAACTCCATCTTGCACAGTGTGATTACTGTGGGCTCGCTCCTGGCACCTGCTTTGTAAAGCTGAAAAAATATTGCAAGACTTCTATAGATCTCTGTGCAGCATCTTGAGCATGCAAATCACAGCTCAGCAACCTTTTTCAACCCAAACTTGCACATTCCCTTCTGGGCAACCTTCCAGGGGCTACTGAAGGCAAAGAGCTTCCAAGGGCATGGGAAGCTGCCACGTGGCAAATGGCAACATGCAATTATTGGTATAACATGTGGCAAACTGTAATCCAGGTCCTTACTTTCTGTAGCATCTTCAGTCTCCAGCTGCAGCATATCCCAAAATACCAAACGGTGAGGTGCAAGCCAGTGGATTGTGTAACCAATTGCTGCATCTCCAATGGTGATCTTTGGCTGGCTTAGTTTCTCACGTTTCCTGCTGTGCTTAATGCTTTCTGTTCCACCCACCAGAACTGTCAATGAATACGGGTCAGTTTGCCAAGAGTTTAGCCATGCTGGGGAGTTCAGAGGACAACACCGCCATGTCCCGGGCGCTCTCCCAGCTGGCTGAGGTGGAAGAGAAGATTGAACAGCTGCACCAAGAACAGGCCAACAGTGACTTCTTCCTCCTGGCTGAGCTCCTGAGTGACTACATCCGCCTTCTTTCTGTTGTGAGGGTGAGAATGCTTTGACAAGAAGCTTAAATGTGTTGATGTGTAATGCCTATGTTCCCTGTCATGGGCTTGAGAGCCCTAGGCCTGCTGCATTCAGAATGCTTCCAGGCCTGGCCCCAGAATCTTGAGATACAAACAATAAGTCTGTGCTCTGAATAAACCCAGGTGTGTGTCGCTGTACACAAGTTAGAACCAGGCAGAGGGCCTTCTCGGTAGCGGCACCTGCCCTGTGGAACGCCCTTCCGTCAGATGTCAAAGAAATAAGCAACTATCTGACTTTTAGAAGACATTTGAAGGCAGCCCTGTTTAGGGGAGTTTTTAATGTTTGATTCTATTTTTAATATTATGTTGGGAGCCACCCAAAGTGGCTGGGAAAACCCAGCCAGGTGGGTGGGGTATAAATAATAAATTATTGTTACTGTTAATTAATTAATTAATTAGCTGCCTTTGCAATGCTACTGTTCTTGACTGGGCTGTTCAGCGAGCTAATTTTAGACAAGGGCATTTTAAATTGTCTCTAGCCATTCCCATGATCCCTTCATTCAAATTCCAGAATAGCAATGAGTCTGTGGGTAATCAAAACAACAACTCTCTGCTATTCTGGCATTGATGACTGTGGAACACCCAGGTCTCATCCTGCTGTTCCACTGTCCACAACATGTGTTGGAGGTGGAGGGGGGTGCCAATTTTTAATTTTATTTTTCAAATTTATAATACAAAAGCACCAAATTAAAACTAATTTAATACATTTTTTCCCCCGAAAACCGGCTTTCCATTCTCTCAGGTATTTCCATTATTTCCCCTGTTAAATGCTACTTATTTTCCAGATTTATCTCTAATTAACATCCTTTTTTTAGCGAATTTCTCAACCATCAGCTGTCCCATTACCAACTCCTGCATATAGATAAAACAAAATTATATCAAATAATAAGTGAGGTTATAGTAATTTAAATCTTTCATTTGTCTTTCTAAGTTTCACGTAACTGCATTTTCTTATCCCTGGAAGTTACTGTCCTCTGCCTGCTTGCACAGTCATTCCCACAGAAACTCTTCTTTTCCATCTTAATTTATATGCAAACTCAATTCTTTCCTTTTCAACGTGTTTTCGTTTGAGTTACCAGCCTCCCAAGGCCATTTCTTACATTCCACTGAAGATGCAGCATTTACAGCCGGCCATTGTCTCGGAAGAGTACCATACGTTGGAGGGTCTTTTGATGCTCTGATTTAACTCGTTGTTGTGTGTGGTGTTGCCTGATGGAGGAGAGACCCGTTCTGAAGGTGTGCCCTTCCCTTCCAACAGGGTGCCTTTGACCAGCGGATGAAGACCTGGCAACGCTGGCAGGATGCCCAGATCATGCTGCAGAAGAAACGAGAAACGGAGGCTCGGCTGCTGTGGGCCAACAAACCCGACAAGCTTCAGCAAGCCAAAGAGGAGATCTCAGAGGTGAGAGGGACACCCAAACCTAACAGGTCTCCTCTCTCCATCCCTGTTGGTGTGTGTCTCCCTATCCTAATAAGCCCCGAGGAACTCGGAAGGGTTATATGAACCAAATCTTCATCTGTAAGCAAGGAGATATGGCGTAGTTCTTTCAGAGATGAGCCCCTCCAGTTAGTGGGGAAACCCGATGATTTTAACAAAAGCCTTATCTTTCTATATCTGCTTACATGGCTGTTATAGGGTGTTAAAACGTGTAGTGCCAAGTTGTGTGTAATGAAGATGTACACACACACTTCTGCATCATGACAATCTGTCCTTTTCACATTTCTGCAGTGGGAATCTCGTGTGACGCAATATGAGCGAGACTTTGAACGAATATCTGCAGTTCTCCGGAAGGAGGTGTTGCGGTTTGAGGTATAGAACTTGCATTAAGCGCATTGGAACCCCTTTAACTTGACAGTTTAACACGGCACTGGCAGACCGTGGAACTGGTTTCCTACCACTCTGAACTGAGATATTGCTGGGTGGGGGAAGTTGAGAGGTCTCATAACTAGGTTTGACTTGGATGCTGCTTTCACTGCCCTTAATTTGATAAACTTTGCCCTAAAGCAGATACGCAGTAGTTGGTAGTCTGTGTGTCAAGGAAAGCTAAAGATTTGGATATGACTGAATGCTTTAACATGGAGGTTTCAGTTTCCATTGCAAAGCAGCTCCAGGAAATGCTGGTCAGTCTTCCTGTGATAGCTTGTGAGACTGGCCTGCAGGTATTTAGGTGGCTTCAGAATCTAGCATGAAACAGACCTGTTGGCTTGATTTTGCTGGGCAAAACTGCAACAGGAGTGGGCAGCAGCTAGATGTGAATCTATTGTTGGATCTTTTGGTGATTCTGCAGTAGGTCAGCCAAGGTTTCTGGTGTAAGTTTAGCAGGAGCAACAGCAAAAAGCCTTTTTCTAGATTGGGCTGCTTTAAAAGAACAGCACTGCTTTGGGGAGAAGCTGGTGTAGATGCTGCAGTGTAAGTCCTGAGCTTCAGTACTAGTACTAAAAACCAGTTCCTCTGCAGGCACCCTACTAGTTCTAAGTACATATCTGCCTCCTTATCTAATTGCTATTGCGCACCTGCCTTTGGTGCAAGGTTTTGGCTAGAAATCGGGTAGATCTGCAAACCGTATGCCTGCCTGTTCCTGCTGCTCAAAACAGTTATCACTGTTCCGTTACAGTAAGATAATTTCTGTGGCATCTTGGGGGTTGATTGGTTTTGTGGCATCAATAGGCAAAGCTTTTTTTTTTTTTTTTAATTGGGCATGCAGCTGTCTACAAAGCAGGATGCCTTAGTATCAAGCCAAATCCTAGTGCCTGATGTCTCATAAGAGACTTGCTACAACCTCTTGTTGGGATGGTTAAGTCTTCGTTATTATTATTCTTTTACATCCTTTGTCTACAGAAAGAGAAAACAAAAGATTTCAAAACTCATGTGACCAAATACCTGGAGACGCTGTTACATTCGCAGCAGCAGGTGAGGGAGCAATCAGCCATGTACATCTTCCCTTGACTTTCATCATTTGCTGGCTATTTATCCCAGGAGACACCTTGCCGAACAACGCAACCCAGTGAAATGCTTATCTGTCTCGTTAGAGTTGCCCTGCTTTTGCTCCTATCCAGTGCATAATGCCAGTGGGGTCCCATATGAGAACGAAACCTAGTGGACCACAAAGAATAGCTGCCCTGTGGCCCTTCAGTAGAGACTCTCTCCTGTGTATTACACAAGGCAGAGCACAGCTGTATGTTCTTGCCTAAAGAAAGATGTCCCAGCAGCTTGCAGGGCCATGTTGATTACTCACTTAAAAAAATTAAGGAAGGAAACAAAGCCCTTCAGTGGGTGGTAAAAGGGGGTGGCGTTACTAGATACTTTTAGATGAGCAGTTATGTTTTCCTTTGCTGACATTTCCTCCTCTTTCTTGTGTCCTGTGCAGTTTGTGAAGTACTGGGATGCATTCCTACCGGAGGCAAAGGCCATCTCCTAACCAGGCCAAGCAAACTCATGCAACCTGGACTGATTCTGCCTTTACTACATTATACCTCTTGGCCTTTCAGATGGATCCTGCAGAGCTGATAGACTCCACAAGCAAAGCAGCAGTTTCCCCAGCTAGTAACTCTTCTTCTAACTGTATATTTTTTCATTTAGGTTCATATATATATACACACACACACAAACACACACACATATATATATTTTCCTATTGAAGAGACTAGTCCCCTGCTTAACAAGCCAAGACCCGCTGTAGGGAGCGGAGAATGGGCAGGGGTTATTGTGTATTTTTTGGACTTTGGTATTGGGCCCAGGAATGCTTCCTGTGACTCCTGTGGTGCCATGACGACTATGTAATAAAACTTAAAATCAGGGCTAATCTGTTTCTTATTTCTGCATTGTGGTAGCTCCTGGCAAGGAGGTGCAATGAAACAAATGTTACTATCGACTGAATAGCTGTGTTCTGGGGAAAGCAATCATCTGCCAGAATCTGCCTGTCGCTTGGTGCCACAAGCAAACCCCTGGCATTCTGCAGCAGGAGCTGGCAGGAGCCTTCAAATGGCTCGTGCTTTGTTGATGGTGTGTGTGAATTGTGAATATTCAGCCTTACATACTTTTCAGTCTACCTACACTTTCCCCTTTTCTTTGTATCCACCAGCCTCATTTTATCCCAGGTTGCAAACTCTCCAAACCTTGCATGCAGTTCTAGCGCAAGAGCTGCTTCTGCCTGAGCAGCTTGTTTTGAGAGGCTCACTGTTTGAATCAATCCTGGTGCTTTGGGGAAGAGCCATAGCTCAGTGACAAAACAGATGCCTTGCGTGCAGACGGTCCCCTGGTTCCATCCCCAGTAACATCTCCGGGTAAGGCTGGGAATGTCCTCTTTGGAGATTTGCTGCCAGTCAGTGTAGACATTACTGAGTTAGATTAACCCTATGGTCTTGACTCTGTTTGAATGCAGCTTCCTAGATTCCCTTGATTTGCAGGTGGGGAAGAGAAGATTGCTGGCCAGTCTTTCATCATGCTTAGAAAAACCTGATTTAAATACTAGCAGCCAAACATTGCCTGGTGCTTGCTAATGCTCTGTAGTTTTTAGTTAAGCTGAAAACACTTGATTTCTCGCCTGCTCAGAGTCCTTGGCTTGATTTCGTTCTCCCCCACTCTGAGACATTGGTGCTAAAGATTCAAAATTAGCTTGACCACAACCATGCCCTTAAAAGCCTTGTATGCACTTTTATTTGCCTTCTGCTTTCAGTTCTAATAAGCTGGGGTAGAAGTCTCTGCAAACTAAATATCAACTGATATTAAAGAGGAACCTGAAAGTCCTTTGTTTCTATGTTATCCCATTAAATCTCTATCTGAAAAGATTCCCTGTTCCTTGCTCTTCCACGTAGCCTGCAGAGCAGCAGTGGGTACTTCATCCCTTTTGCGAATATATATTTCTGTTTTGTTCTTGTTGGCATAGACTCAGATTGGGGAAGTGGGTTATAAATCCCGCAGATGTTCTGTGGACTCAGCACAAGAAAGCATGAGGTAGTGTCACTTAAGCCAAAATGATGGGTTTACCAGGGGGTAGGGGAAAACTGTATTGAGCCCCCAAATGTATTTGTTCCAGACTCCTATACCTGAGAGAGGAGAAACTGGAGCAAGAGTTACCCAGAGGTCCTTCTGTTCATTCAGCCACTGACTATCAGTTCCATTCGCAGGCTGTGCAATGTATGGCAAACTGATAAACTGGGTGGCGCCCCTGTACCTACAGGGTGTGGAAAAACAACCACAGATGCTACTGAGCACACTTGCCCAAGTATGTTGTATTTGGGTTGGTCAGCCATGAAGTGTAGTCCTAAATTGGCAGCCTGTCTCAGGGAACCTGTGCTGCTCCAGATGTTGTTAAACTATAATGCCCATCATCCCTAGACCCTGACCATTAGCTATCCCGGTGGGGGCCACACTGTTTCTACCCCAGTGCACAAGAAAAACAGGATACAGGTGTTTGGGGAAGCTTTTAATGTTTGATGTATTACTGTATTTTAACATTTGGTTGGAAGCCGCCCAGGGTGGCTGGGGAAGCCTAGCCAGATGGGCGGGGTATAAATAATAAATTATTATTATTGGTGAGCTAAGCAGATGTGAGGTCAGGAGGAAATAGAACTTTGCCCATGATAAATTGATGTCTTTAGGGGGCTGGAACACTCCTTGTTTTGTAACTGGCAGTGACTCTCCAAGGTCTTGCTGGGCAGAAGCATTTCCTATTGCTCTGTCATCTAATCTGGGAGATGCCAAGGCCAGATTGGGGAGAGGGGTCTCCTCCACCATATAAATATCATTGTTGACTTTATAACTAGTCTATACCATTGGCTCTTGTGGTAAATATTTAAAAGAGGGGAAGTTAAAACAATCCAACCACTGAGTAACTTCTTATCTGTGAAATACCTGAGTATTCAACTGGAAGTCTATAATACATCCCCAATCTTGAGAGAAGATAACAAAGATTTAGGCTGGCTCATTTCAAGTGCCAGATATCTGAATCACACACTGGCAGGCAACTAGGGGCTCATTCATGCTGTTGCTTAGCATGGCTAAGTAAGCTTTCTGTTATTCCATTAATTATCCGTGGTCCATACTATATTCTCTCCAGATTGCAGCTTTCCTGCACATTCCCCTCCCTCTATCCATTATTATTATTATTATTATTATTATTATTATTATTATTATTAAAATTTATATACTGTGCTATACCTGCAGATCTCAGGGCAGTTGCAACATAAAATCACAATATTAAAAAACACAAAATAGACAATAAAAACAAAAACAACCCAATAACCCTCCCCTCCCCAACACATTTTAAAAGAGAATTGGATGTCAACCAACCAAAGAACTGGTTAAAGAGGAACTTTGTCCCCTATGCCTGGGGCCTAAAAGAGTTTAATGAAGGCGCCAGGCAAATCTCCCTGGGGGGAGAGCATTCCTCAAAGGGAGAGCCATTGCAGAAAAGGCCCATTCTCAAGTTGTCACCCTCCAGATCTCTCCTGGAGGAAGAAATATAATAATCTTTTAATCCCCCCCATTTTTTCCTAATATTTCTTGATCATTTAATAAGTTCTCATTTAATCTCCATCTCATTGGGAAATTTTGCCCTGTTCTTAATTCCACAATAATAGAGTTGTGATCTGATAACATTCCGGGTAAAAATTCTACCTTCTTTATCTTAATGTACAAATCTCTATAAAGCCATACGGAGTCCATTCCGCTCGCAGAATGATCTGCGCTAGAAAAAATGTGAATGGTGGAGGAAGAAGAGGGAGCGGGTAAGAGGAAAGTCGGATAGAGGAAAGTTTGGGAAGGAGGAGGGGAGCGGACAAGAGAGAAGTTCGCTCTCCACTTTAAGCGCAGCGCGCACCAGCCCTCCGAAGCGGCGGCGCTTGGGAACTCCGCGGCTGGAGCGCGCAAAGGCGGCGGGACCCGACGGGGCGGGTCCCCGCCGCAGAGGGCGGAGCGGTTTCAACAAGCCCTGAATGAGTCCGCGGGGGCGGCTAGTCTCGGCTCCGAGGAGGCGGCATGCAGCTGCAGGTCGCGGTGCCCTCGGTGGGGCTGCAGCTGTCCGAGGGCGACCAGAGCCCGGAGAAGGCGCGCACGGTGAGTGGCGGCGGCGGCAGCCCGTCGGGTTGCTCCCGGAGCGGGACTTGGGCTTTTTTGCAGCCGCGGGGCCGGGAGGGAGAGCCCGTCCGCCGGTGCCTCTGGCGGGCTGGAGGGGAGAGCGGCTTCGAAGGCAGCGGGTGCCGTCGGTGCCCGTGGCCAGCCTGCAAGCGCCTTTGGCAGGGAGAAAGGGGGCGCTGAACTTGCTGGTGGGGCTTTGCAGAGGCCGGGCGAGCGAGGGAGGGGCTTCTTTGCGGCGCCCACCAAAGGAAATAAAGGAAGGAGCCCGACACGTGTAGCCTGGGGACCCTTCAGAAGTGAGAAGGCATGCGAACAGTCTGCGTCTGGTGAAAAAGAACAAAGCCGAAAGAAGAGACGCTCGGAGGAAGGACGGACCTGAAGACTCCCTTTAGCGATTGAATTACTTGAGTCTGTGTCCTGTGTCCCCCAACAAGCGCGCACCCCACCGCTCAGAAAGGGGGGTTTATTACAGCTTCTGTGGACCAGAGATGTGGGATATGGCAGGTATAGATAGAAAGAAAAATGTTAGCAGTGAGGTCGGAGAAGAATGAAATATAGACCCTGATAATTGTGCCTAAGGTTAAAAGTGTCCCAGACAAGTACAGTGCCCCCATCACATGGCAGAGTTGGTGAGACCACCAGCCTCCTGGCAGAGCCCTAGCTATGGAGCGGGGGGGGGGGCAGCCAGGTTTTTTGCCCCAGGTGAAGCCTCCAGCAGGGCGCTATTGAGGCTCCCAGCCGTGTGTGTGTGTGTGTGTGTGTGTACACAAATGCACATGGGGGAGCATGAAATTGGGTCTTTGACCTGGGTGAAATAAAGCCTAGTTTTGCCTCTGCCTCCTGGCACTGATGAGCTAATGAACAACTGCAGTGCGATTAAAAAAAAAACCTTATCTCAATTCAAGGCCACAGGTGATAGAACCAAACTTCAAAATACTTCCTTCTCTGGGAAGAAAGTGCACACTGTGGAAAGCACTTGATTAAATATATCCTCCTTGTTTCACTGTTTAAGCAGAGTTCCCATTGGCATCATCAGGCAGCAGTTTCTTATAAGATGGGAATCCTGCCACATACACAAACACACACCAGAAGTTGTTTGACTACAATTCCCATCATCGCTGCTGCGGACCATGCTGGCTGGGCCTGATGGAGTCAGTCTCACAACGTCTAGAGGGCCACAGGTTCCGTGTTCCCCAAGAAGGCTTCCAAAAATGGGGTAGCTGGAAACACATTCATTCCATGACGTTTCTCAGTGTCTCTGTTCTGTTAAAAGATAAGAGCTGACATGGGAAGCCTGTCGGCCTCTAGATAATTATGGAGTCCATCAATATCTGGAGAACCAGCCGTTTCCTACCCCTGACTTAAAGTAATGTTTATGCTGCTTGAAATTATACCGGTTGAGACAATAATACACAGAATACGGGAATAATGTGTTTTATTAAAATGATGCATATTGTTCCAGTAACCTGCCCCCCCCCCATGTTTGGGGGGAGGGAACAGCCACTCCTCACACTGTTGCCACAATAACACACACACAAACACACACCTACCCTGTAGGAACGGGCAGAAGGGCAGTTGTCGTGCCTCTGCTCCTTGCAGAACCAGAAGAAACTAGGAGGTTGCTAAGATCTGTAAGGCAAGATCTACTTCACTCACATCCACACACTTTTTAAAAAATCCTTCCAGCCACAAGGAGCCAGAAGGCACCAAGTAACTGCCACCAGTACATTTTGGCACCTGAGGCAGACCCCAAAATTGCACCTCCCCTTCCCGCCAGGAAAGAAGAGGTGCAGCAAGACCTACATCCAGAACAAGGGGGGCGGAGGAAGATTGGCACTGGAATCAGCTGCCCCAGTGGATCCCTTTGCCTGAGTCAGTCACCTCATCTTGCCTCATGGGTGGGCCAGCCTTGAGTGCAGTACTTAGAGATGACAGATTCTCATGTGGCACCACTGTAGGTCATTCTGGGGTACTGGGGGTGGGAAACTAGTTAACCCGAGAGTGGGGTGGGGGTCAGTATGGGGTAGTGGTTAGAGCATCAGATTAGGACTTGGGAGATCGGGGTTCACATCCCAACTCTGCCACGGAGCTCACAAGACAACCTTGAGTCGGTCACAGTCTCTCCATCTGAAATACCTCACAGGGTGGTTAAAAAATGAAGAGACAGGAGAACCATATATAGTGGTACCTTGGGTTACAGACACTTCAGGTTACAGACTCCGCTAACCCAGAAATAGTACCTCGGGTTAAGAACTTTGCTTCAGGATGAGAACAGAAATCGTGCAGCAGCAGCAGGAGGCCCCATTAGCAAAGGTGGTGCTTCAGGTTAAGAACAGTTTCAGGTTAAGAACGGACCTCCAGAACGAATTAAGTTCTTAACCCGAGGTACCACTGTACAGCACTTTGAACTCCTTAGAGGAAAGGTGGGGGCATATATCTAGTAATCAGGGCTGTCCCTCCCACAAAGCAAGGGGAGGCGGCTGCCTCTGGTGGCGGATCCACAGGTGCAGCAGAACCCAGCAGAGATCTTTATTCCCCACTCGTTCATGATGTAGATCCTTCACTCACCCCTTCTTTCCCGGTGGGGAGGTATGCCTCGGGTGCTAAAAGGTCTTGGGATGGTCCTGGTAATAATAAATAAATAAACTCTATTGTGTGGCTATAGAATGACTTGGGCCTTTGGATTCCTCTAGGCCAGTATGATAGACTTTGACTGGCAGCAGAGTTTTTTCCAGCGTCTTGGACAGAGGTGATCCCTTGCCCTAAAATCTGAGATCCTTTTAAACTGGAGGCAGAAGAAGAGCCTGTTGGATCAATTCAATGGCCCATCTAGTCCAGCATACTGTTTTCACATGAACTGGACTAATCCTCTTTTAAAACCATCCAAATTGTTGCCCATCACTGCCTCCTGTGGCAATGAGTTCCATGGTCTAACTCTGCATTGCATGAATAAGTCCTTTCTTCTTCTTTTGCCAATTAATTTTTATTAACATTCCAAATTGTTAACAAATTAACAACAAATTAATTCAATTTAAAAGTTGACTTTCCACCCCACCCTTCCAAGATGCTTCTTTCCCCTCCCTCCTTTGCTGCTAACAATAAAACACTTTATCTTAATTTTGCATCCTTTTGCATCCATTCTCTATTTCCATTGACTGTTTATGCTCAATTCCTGCTTAGGCTTTTATTTACTCTTTTGCCAGCTAATCGAATAGAGTTAATCTTTTATCAAGCCATGTAAATCATTCATCATAATTTTAAATCACATGTCCTCCAATACGACTTATTCATCATGGCTTTCTTTTATCCATCCTGAATCTTCCAACATTCAGCTTCACTTGAATGCCCATGAGTTCTAGGGTCTAGAGATGTGAAGGTTTCAACCTGGGATTTTCTGTGTCCCAAAGCATGTGCTATGGGAAATCTGAGAAGCCCACATAGATCAGATTTCTGTCGTGCATCTAGCAGTGCTAATGCCAAAAAGCCCAAGCCAAATTAAGAGCAGACACTTAAGACAGGATTCTGGTAAAGTGAGACATCAGCTGTGGAATGACCAGCCTTGTTTTCGTGGAGGGAAGTGAACTTAGAGTGGCCTGTCTCCAGCTCACACTGAGCGAAGCATAAACATCAGGCATGGCATCTCTTGGGCACAGAGTTTCCCGGTTTCCTTATTGGTTGGCAATTCTCTCTGTTTAGTTAAGCTGGGTGTGGTGACCGTGGTTCTGTATTCCAGCTGGAAGGAGCTTACTTTGCTTGTGCCTTTATGGGGAAACTATGATTGGAACATAAAATGCCTTATGTGGCAGGATATTTTTGGCCCTAGGAACCTAAGAAACCACCTACCAGCCATTGGTCTTTCCAGCTCAGGCAGCAACTCTCCAAGTCGGAGGTCTCTTCTAGCCCTACGGAGAGATGCTACGTGGAACTGAACATGGGGGAGCTGAACATGTCGGACTCTATCACTCGGCCATGACTTTTCACTAATGAATCCGATTTTTTCCTTTTTAAAAAGCAAGCTTCTAGACCTCATGGGAAGCAATTATAGGCTTGAAGGCACATGATCAGGACCTCGTGCAATTTCAGGAAGCAGAGGAGGAGTGATGCAGCAATCCCACTGGCCAGAGGGTTAGACTTCAGTGCCTTGTATCGCTTCTTCCCTCCCCAACCCTATTCCACGGTTGTGGGAAGGAAAGAGAATAAAGGATATGCATGCATATTGGTTTAAAGTAGATCACAATATGATTTTTTAGTTGCCAAGTGCTCCCACTGCTGGCACAGCCGGGCTCTTGTATGTGTGCCTAGATGAGGAAGAGAAAGCAGCGTATACTAAAAATAGCAGTGTGTGTGTGTACACACACACACACACACACACACACACACACACACACAACCTGCTACTGTCACTACACAAACTTTCTGTGAGTAGACTGCTTTTGACATTCCGGGGGTGCTCCAATTCTATTTTTTATCCTTGTCTTTTCTTCATTTCATTTTAAATTCATATACCATCTTTTTCCATTGCTGACCCCAAGACAGTTTGCAGCCCAAGGTGAGGACTGTAGCATGTGTTTCCTCCCCTCCCCAAAATATTTGGATCTGCTGTGCAGAGGAGAGTCTGTTGCTGCAGCTGCAATTCATGGTGACCAGAAGTGAGTGTTGGATGTGTGAATAGTTGCTTCAGCCGGGTAAACTGAGGCCTGGGCCCAGGGACTTTGGTTTGTTTCCCCCCCAAGGAGCTGGCCCATTTGGTCTCCTTTTCTCTCTCCTGAACAACTAAGTACACAAAACCTGTGTGGCGCCTCTGCTACATCTCTGGAGCATCTGGGCACAAACCCTTCAAGAGGAGATATGCGCTGCATTACAATCTGTGCTTTGCTGGAGTTGTCCGAAGTGTATTCGCCGCACTTCAACTGCACACATTCCTCAGGCCCGACACGGAGTCTTCTGCCGGGTATTCTTTTATGCAGAGCCGAGTTTATTCAGTATCCCTGCCCCTGCCCCCCTGCTCCCATTTGGCACTTTTGAGAAGCGAAGCCAAAGGCTGATTTCAAAGAGGCTTTTGTCAAGCGGTGTTTGCTTTGGGGAGAGACTGGACTGCGGTGCATTGTGGGGGAAGAAAGCAAGATGACCGCCCTGCTATTGCAGAGAGTTAAGACAGATCTCATCTGTTCAGCAGCAGCAGAGCTGTTTTGTGGTGTGGGTGGGGCACGTCCGGGTGAAACTGACGAGCTTGTGCCTAACCTTTCAGGTGTTCAAGGTGGAAATCCTGTGGAATGGGAGGAAACATTGCATTGAGAAGCGCTACAGCGAGTTCCATGCCCTCCATAAAAGGGTAAGGTGGGTGCATGAGAGTCAGGGGGTGGGGTGGGGTGGCGAGCTTGTGGCCCTGCTGGGTGTCATTGGACTACAAATCCCATCATCCTCGACAACTGCCCATGCCGGCTGGGACTGATGGGTGTTGGAGTCCCACCCACTAAAGAAGAATGGAGAAGTAAGGGGATGGATTGTGCAGAACTGGCAAAGTACGTTACGCTAAAATAAGAAAATAAGGTTTTATGGAAGAATGCAAACCCTTTTCGGATTACAGTGGTACCTCTGGTTATGTACTTAATTCGTTCTGGAGGTCTGTACTTAACCTGAAACTGTTCTTAACCTGAAGCACCACTTTAGCTAATGGGGCCTCCTGCTGCTGCCGCGCCGCCGGAGCAAGATTTCTGTTCTCATCCTGAAGCAACGTTATTAACCCGAGGTACTGTTTCTGGGTTAGCGGAGTCTGTAACCTGAAGCGTCTGTAACCTGAAGCATATGTAACCCGAGGTACCACTGTACTTAACCTGAGGTACCACTGTACATGTAACTGTGAACCTGAAATACATCTTAGCTTTTCGGTTTCCTGGAGCGTCACATTAAATTTTGCTGCTTTGGGCATATGTCTCTGCTCAAGGGAAGTGGAAGAACCCTCAGCTTCCATGTTGTGTCTGTTTGTTTTTGGAGGGGGATGGAGGAGTTGAAGAAGGGCGGCCCCATATTACTGCCTATGGCCATAGACACTGCACACACCACACATTTAAAGCACACGCACCCTAAAAAGAATCCTGGGAACTGTAGTTTTCCCCCCAGTTCCCAGCACCCTTAAACTACAGCTCCCAGGAGTGGGTATACAGTTAGATACACGGTTTTCCCAGCCATAGTATCTGTGAGCAAGATTAGAGGGGAATGTAGAAAGGGAAGCCCTGTTTGACTGTTGCTTTCAACAGTGTGTGGCAGGAAATTTCCCACTGCTATCTCTCTTTTTTAAGTTAATTTAGGCACTGTTCATTGGGTGTGCTAAGCTAATGCAAGGAAAGTCTTGCTCAATCACCATGTCTTCCTTGCAAGTGTTCTGATGAAAATAACATGCAAATAAATCTTTGAATTTGCTTGAGTACCATATTTGTGCCATCTTGAGGATGCTCTGCTGAATTCTCTCCCTCCCCCGCCAGTCAATACCTCAGTCTAAATACTTTTAGGGTGGGTGTGGAGGGAGACTTAAAAATATATATATATTTATAAAGTAAAATGAATGCAGTGTGGTTTTTTGCTTACTGAGTATGGGTCAAATAAACATGCCAGATCATATACCCATGGGTTTTGGGCAGTGGCAGCAAACTGGTACCCCTCCAGATGTTGCTGGATTCCAGATGTTGTTGGACTTTCAGGCCAGCAACATCTGGAGGGCAGGCACCATGTTTCAAATGCCTGCCCTTGCTTTTGGGGCAATGGATTTTTCCTCCTGGGCATTGGATAATTCTATATTCCATATTTTCTGTAAAGCCCACATTGCAGGTCTTGACCCAAGACTTCCAGACTTCCAATTGGGGCTGACCCAAACTGCTTGCTACCTTGATTCAGAGGACAAGATGGTTCTCCCTCTATCCATGCCCTGTTAGGGTGGGAGACTGTTTGGGCCCCAACAGGCCAGATCCTTACCTCCCCAAAACCCACTGCCCAACTTGGACAGGTGTGCGATCCACCCATCTGTCAGAGTTGACCCATGTGGGAAAGGATCCGCTTTGCCAACGCATTTCCTGCAGGAAATGCACTGGCAAAGCACTGCCTGGAAGGATTGAGTTCTACTCACCAGCCGATGAACAGAGGGTTCGATCCTGCTCTCTGCTTAGGTCTGCTTCGCCGGCATGTTCCCAACAGGGAACAAAATGACAAAGCAGTACCCAGCAGGATTGCTATCGCCCAGTGACGTTAGCTGATTGCCAGATGGGCGTGGTTTGGGGAAGCAGTTTTGTGGGCTGAATTTGACCCCTGGTGGGACGAGATTGCCCCACAGGCCATAAGTTTCCAACACCCGATGCACAGAAATGGACCCTGCTGGCAGCTGAGCCTGACTTCAACACTCTCAGCGGAGAGCTGGCTAGTTCTGGGGTCGTAGGACAGAGCAGCTCTCCTCCCAGTGCCTCTCTGACATTCAGCATCCACTGCCAGAAGCAGCGGCTTCCCTCTGCCTAACAGTAGGACTGGCCGTGGGCCTGGTGGTTCCTGGAGCTCCTTTGATGTCCACACAGCTTCTCTGCTCTCTCCCAACCCCCACAGATCAAGAAGAGATGCAGAGTCCCAGACTTCCCACCCAGGCGTGTCCCCAACTGGATGACGAAAGTCCTGGAGCAGCGGCGGCAGGGCCTGGAAGCTTACCTCCAGGTAAGGATGCGAGGCTGGCAGCCGAGTTGAAAACAGCCTCCCTTCCTCCCCAGCCTGCTCTCACTGATCTTGGTTCGTCTGTCTCCTGCAGGGCATCTTGCTATGCAATACAGAGCTTCCCAAGGAGCTTCTAGACTTCCTGAAACTCTGGCAGTTTGAGCAGGAGCACAAGGCAGATCTTGGGTGAGTGTTTGGGTGAGCCGGGGGAAGATTGAGCAGGAGCAACACTTTCCCCCTTTGTGCCACTGTCTGGCGCAGGTGGGGAGAACCTTTGGCCCTCCAGATGTTTCTCCAAACACCTCCGTAATCCAAACACCATGATGAGAATGCCAGGGCTAATTACCTCCATATCAGCCCTGAATTACCGGCATGGCTGGGGTCCGGTCATGTGGGAGTCAGTCATTTCCCACCGCCGGAAACAGGAAGCTCCTGGCCCTCCAGATGTTTCTCAACTGCAGTCCCATCTGCTACAGCCAGTGGGTTGTCAGGGCCCAGGGCAAGGCAGGTATTGCGCCCCCCTAACCCATGGTTCCTGCCAGGGCCAGGTGGCAATGGGGGTGGGGAAGGGTCTTACCAGCTGGGAGAGAGAATCTGTGCCAGCGGTCACTTATTTTATTTTTTATTTAATGAAAAATTTACATGGCTTGATTTAAAACAAAACAAAACACACCCTCCAAGCAGTTTTTCTTTTGAAATTTTGCATCCCCCCCAAAAAAAGTTTGTGCAACAACCCCTCTGCCGCCCCATGCTATGCCACTGGCTACAGCAAGTGTGCCCAGGGGCAAGGGGGAGTAGGAATTGTGGTTCATTAACACCTGGAGGGCTGAAGGCTCCCTATACCTGTTAGAACTCGACAGCAGCATAGTAGTTTGAGACTGACTGTAGTTTTGTGATTCTTCCAGGACTACTCTACTTTCTTCTTTACAAAAAGCGCGGGGTATCTCACAATAACAGAATCTGATGCAATGCAAAATATAATGCCCTGATTTTCTTTCTTCATTCTAAGTTATACGTACTGTGCTTTTCTCAAACATCCCTTTCCCTGCAAAATCCAGCGTGGCAGGTAAACTCTTGTTAGAGAGGGATGGGTAGCTGGTCTCTTTTTGACATTGTCCAGGCGCTTTCCTCCCGAAGGAGCTGCAGTCAAAACGCCAACTCACACACACTGCCCTTGTGTTGATTTACAGACTTTTTTGGGGCCTGGGCAATTGACAGCTAAGGCCACATCTGCACTGCACATTTAAAGCACTTGTATTCCACCTTGACAGTCAAAGAATCTTGAGAACTGTAGTTTGTTAAGGGCACGGAGAGTTATCAGGGGACTCTCATTTCTCCTCGCAAAGCTAAAATTCCCAGAGATCTCCAGGGAAGAGGGATTGATTGTTAAACCACTTGTGAGATTTGTAGATCAGTGAGGGAAATTGTTGGGTGGGTGTGTCCTAACAATTCTCAGCACCCTTAACAAACAACAGTTTGTTTTACCATAGAATTGTAGAGTTGGAAGGGACCACGGGGGTCATCTAGTCCAACCCCCTGCAATGCAGGAATATTTTGCCCAACGTGGAGCTCGAACCCACAACCCTGAGATCATGAGCCGCGTGCTCTACCAAGTGAGGTCATGACTGTCAGAGCGCTCTAGGTATGCTTGAAGTGCATGATGTAGGTGCAGTTTGAATCTCAAGTACAGTGGTACCTTGGTTTAAGAACAGCTTAGTTTATGAACAACTTGGATTAAGAACGCTCCAAACCCGGAAGTGTTTTGGTTTGTGAACTTTGCCTCAGAAGCAGAACATGTTTCGCTTCCTGTTGAGTGTGTTCCATTTGTAAATTGAGCCCCCGCTGCTATGGGAAAGCACACCTTGGTTTAAGAACGCTTTGGTTGAAGAACGGACTTACAGAATGGATTAAGTTTGTAAACCAAGGTACCACTGTAGAACCTGGGGTAGATTAGGGTTGTGTTGGTTCCAGCTGCCATCAGCCAGCATGGTCTGGGATGATGGGAGTCCTGCAATATTTGGAGAGCCACAGGTTCCCCAGCCCTGCCTTATAAGCTCCCAGAGCCACCCGTTTCCACACACCAGCTTTTGTATGGAAAGGCTGCCTTTGTTACCACCACTGTTTGTGAACAGCCTGTCCTGCCGCACCCAATGTTCTTCCCGGGGCGACTTTTCCTCGCAGGACACAAGGCAAGTGCTTCACTGCCCCAGTGCTCTGTTTCCACCAGTGGGAGGGAGTCAAAACAGTCCCAACAACAGAAGGGTCCAGCCTTTGTCTGCTTACTCCCCAGGGGATAAATGTGCTCATCCAGCCATGGAGGCTGGCATTTATTTTCTCGCTCCAGGGGAATGGGCACTCCCTGTGGCTTGCTTGCTGCTACAAGCGGCAGGGAATGCTCTCAAAAGGGTCTGCTTTGTGCTCTTGCTGGCCAAGTTGCAAGCGCCTGTTCCTTTTGCAGAGACACAGTGCTCTTCCGGCACTGCAGCATAGTGGTAGAGCAACTGCTTTGTGTACAGATGGTCTCAGGCTCAATCCCCAGGTAGGGTTGGCCTGGAGAGAGGCTGCTGGTAGGCATTACTAAGGCAACTTCCTATGATCCCTTGTTCAGAGCAGCAGCATCTGCCTGATACAGCGTTAGGCCACTGGTCCATTGCCTACACTGATTATTCCAGTGCGGGGAGAAGATCTCCTGTTTATTGCATTTTTAGCTTTCCTCTCCCTCCTTCAAGTTCAGGGTGGCGCATGTTGCTCCTCCCTTCCGCACATGCATTTTATTCTCACAACCACCTTGCGAAGTAGGCTAGGAGCTGAAATTGATTCTAACCCAAATGTCAGGGCTCAATTCTCTCTTTGCAGCCCGGGTTACCTGCTGTCCCACCGGCCGGTCATAAGTTTCCAAAGTGATCCATACATCCTCCCGGTTTCCACAGGTAACGGCTTCCTAGTAAGGTTTTTGGGGTGGTGATGGAGGGGAGCAGAGCTCTGGGCTGGTTAAGGTCTGTTATCAAGCAAGGGTCTGGGGTGCATGTCGACACTTTACCCGATACAGAAACAATTTGTCATGTAGTTTTCAATATGGGTGACAAGAGAGCCAGAGGTCCCTCACCTGCCATCCTGGACTGGCAGGATTGGGGGAGCGGATGGAAAGCAGTTCTTGTTTTGCTGAAAGGCACCTGTGCAAAAACCATTGCAGTGTTAAAGGTAAAGGGACCCCTGACCATTAGGTCCAGTCGTGACCAACTTTGGGGTTGCGGCGCTCATCTCGCTTTATTGGCCAAGGGAGCTGGCGTACACCTTCCGGGTCATGCAGCCGGCATGACTAAGCCGCTTCTGGCGAACCAGAGCAGTGCACGAAAACGCCATTTACCTTCCCGCCGGAGCAGTACCTATTTATCTACTTGCTCTTTGACGTGCTTTCAAACTGCTAGGTTGGCAGGAGCAGGGACCGAGCAACGGGAGCTCACCCCATCATGGGGATTTGAACTGCCGACCTTCTGATTGGCAAGTCCTAGGCTCTGTGGTTTAACCCACAGCGCCACCCGTGTCCCCTTATTGCAGTGTTAGAGATGCCCAAACACTCAGGTTTGGGGTAGTTAAGCAGCGTCTCCTGCTACAGGAGGAAGCGGTGGATGCTGAAAAGACGAAACACAGGATCGCAGAGTCCTAACATGAGCCACTTTTGTGCTCTGGAACTGAACCGTGTGCTAGATCTCATCTGAATGCCAGGTTGAAGATGCCCCTTTGCCCTCTGCTGGGGGCGGCATTGTCCGTCGGCCCATCTCAGGGGGCTTAGCTTCCTAGACCAGAAAGGGAAGACAGGAAGAGGCCTCGGGGGCTGCTTTCTGCTCCCACCTTTTAAGGGTTAATTGAATGGGTTGCCACCGTTAATTCCCTCCTCTCCCTCTCAGACTTGCTTCCCGACGTGATCCTGAGCGGAGTCCTGCAGGGTTTCTATGCACCCCGGACGACCTTCTGCCTGCAGTCAAAGCTCTTTGCGGCTCTGCCACCCACCGACTTGACATCCTCTCCTTTGCAACCGGCCTAGGGAACGCTCAGAGGATCAAGTGCAGCTCTGTTCGTTTGTGGAAAAGCAACCGCCGGCTTCCTCCTTGCGTCGTACGTTGGAAAGAAAGAGGTTGGGGACAAGAAAGAGGTTGGGGGAGCCACTTCTTGAGGCAAGCAGTGGGAAGTAAATGCAGTAGGTTGCTTTGTTAGGCTGCTGAGCTCCAGTAGAGTGCAGCTAACACGGGCAGGGCTTGTTGCCACTTCTGGCAGAGCTGTGGCTCTCAGGTGTTTCCAGGTGACAGCTCTTGTTAGCCCATGTGAGTGAGAAGCAGCTGTGAGTCAGGGAGGTACGCATGCCTTCCTCCAAGCTTCATGGGCTGGAAGCAAGAGCAGCACAACAGCAGCTGGGGGCAGGTACTGACTCAGGTCAGGTGCTGACAATGCAAGATGCTTCTAGTGTTTGTGCGCACAGTGACGCCACATTGATAGTCTCCCAGCCTTCTGTCTAGTCCAAAGGGAGGCAGCAACTGCTCCCTCACCGCAGCGGCAAGAAACCACTGCCAACTTGGCATGGATCTGGTCCAGTTGGCACCTTAATTCAGGTGTAGCCAACGTGGTGCCATCCAGCTGCCAACAGCCCCAACCAGCTGTGGTCTAACAACACCCAGTGTGTACCAGCTTGGGGAAAGCTGCATTGATGGGACACAGGTAGCAGAGCCCTCCCAGAGGAGTCCGGGTTTTTCTACAGCGTGGCGGGAGACCAGCAGCTCCTCTAAGCTATCCCGATAGTTTGGGGTTATTCCTGCTGCAGATTACTGCTTTTTCAATGGGGTAGATGGTCTACTTTAACAAAAATGGCTATGCAATAAAAACACTTCCACTACAAATATTGAGTTGGTTTTGAGGGGGTGGAGGGGAGAAGAAGACAGTTTCTGACATTGCCAGTGGGCTGGTTTGTGGCCAGTGCTTCTTAAACCATGGTTTACTCTTACAGTGAATCAGTATGCTAGTGCTTGGGGGTGGTGGAGCTGAGCCAAATCATGGTTTAGTTGCAAGAGAGGCTTTGATCTTCCTGCTCAGTTTGTGTTTGCGATGGCTTGGAATAAGCCCCTTTATAAACATACCCACCTTTCATGGGATGCTAGGATTGAACAGCCACTTGCCGTTGTGTTCCAAGCAGGGGAGCAAAGAGCTTTCTGAACGAATTTGGCAATGGCTAACAAAGAGAACTTTCCTTGGGGAAGTAGTAAATTTGTGACATTCGCTCCCTAGAATACCCCTCTAAATAAATGCTGGGAATTCATAGTTGGGGTGGGAGGACCTAGCTGTAGCTAATAAAAACAACAACCAGGCAGTGCTACAAAAACACAATGGTCGCGTTTATTGGTCCATGTGCTTTCTTACAAAACGGAATGGGACACCCATTGCCCCCCCCATAGCCACTTGGGTGACCAGCGGCTGATGGAATGAGTTGTTAACAGAATGGAGTCCCCACCCCCCACCCCGAAGCGTGTAGCTGGGGGAAGCGTGGGCAGAAAGGGAGCAGCAGTGGCGGCAGTTCACCTGCTGTGGGACAGTGATGATGCGAGGCCTCCGTGAGTGTGTAGCCCCCTCGCAGCCCTTTGCAAGCCAGAGTCTGACCCTCCATCGGCCACCCGGTTATTCTTTGGCAATGGCAAATGGCTTCTCCACCTCGATGACGTTGCAGTCGGCAATGGTGACATCTTTGAGAGGTTTGTCCCGACTATCGGTCTTTGTGTTCTCCACTTTTCTCACTACATCCTAAGAAAGGGAAGCAGGAATAAGAAGGGAGGAATGTTGGAAGTTAGCCAGGGGGCATTTTGCTTCTGGTGTGGGTCCAACTGCAGCCACATGGAGATCTCTGGATGCCAGGTTCCTGACTGACATCTCCACCTGGCTGGCCCCTCCAGCTTTCTTAAGCAGGTAAGCATAAGAGCTTATTCATTGCATTTAAATCCCACCTTTTCTTCCAAGAAGTACATGGTTCACCCCTCCCCTGGTTAATCTCTACAACAACCCTGTGAGGTAGGTTAAGAGGCTGTGACTGTCCCAAGGTCCCCCAGTGAGCATTTGAACCCTGATCTCCCACGTCCTAGTCCGACACTCTAGCCACTACACCACAATGGCTTCCTACAGTTCTTCTGCTATGGGGCAGCTACATAAATTAAGTAGGTAAATAAAAACGGGGAAAGCAAAATGTCACTGAGAGAAGGTTCTGAAATACTTTCCTCGAAGCCTAAATTTATTTTATTCTAGATTGTTTTATTTGGTGTTTTCATATAGAGTTGGAAGGGACCCGAGGGCCATCTAGTCCAACCCCCTGCAATGCAGGAATCTCGGCTAAAGCATCCATGACAGATGGCCACCCAACCTCTGCTTAAAAACCTCCAAGGAAGGAGAGTCCGCAACCTCCCATTTTAATGTGTTGCAAACTGCCTTGAGATTTTTTTCCCTTTAAAATATAGAGAAATTAAATAGTCATAATGATAAATCTCGTTGGTTTTTTTAAAAGGTGCCTAGACATTCCATTGTGGTGACTATAAGCTAGGTTTAAGGTGCCATTTGGCAATTTGCTTATATATCTGAGTTTCTAGCACTGATGACACGTTATACCCGTGGAGGGCACTTGGCAATGCCCATTGCATGGGCATTTCTAGCTGCCCCATTTTGCCCTGTAATGCAGCCTGGAGAATGGCAATACAGTCATACCTTGGAAGTCGAACAGAATCCATTCCGGAAATCCGTTCGACTTCCAAATCGCGGCTTCTGATTGGCTGCAGGAAGCTCCTGCAGCCAATCGGAACCCCGTCAGACATTTGGCTTCCAAAAGAACATTCAAAAACCTGAACAGTCATTTCCGGGTTTCAATTGTTCGCGAGCCAAAACATCCAAATTCCAGGGCGTTCAACAACCAATGTACAACTGTATGGGGTTCCTGTAGTAAGCTCTTTATATATTCACTCTTAGGCACTAGTTATGCCAATCACTAGGTGCGCAGAGCTGTTTCCCATACACAGAGGGAGGCAAGACGTTGTCAAACTCCCAGCTTCCATCAGCTCCAGGCAGCATAGCGGATGGTCAGGGGTGATGGAAGTTGTGGTCCCTCTTCACTGGGAGGGCCCTCGGTTCTCCACCCCTGCAGTTCAAATGTCAGAATTGGCATTACCAGATAAAAATTCAAGTCCACCACAGAGATCTAAAAAGCCCAGGAAGCTGCACAGATTTGTGCCCGATGTCAAAAGAGACAAAGCACCTGTCAGCACCAAGCAAAACTATTGTTGAGGGACTCCAAAATTGGGCACCACCCCAGAAAAAGCCCCCCTGCCCTTCCTACAGCAGCAGGATCTGGAGAAGAGCCTCCTTAGGTCCATGAACTGCCATGACAACAATCTAGGAGGCAGTGAAATTTTAACATGCTCCATTTGCTTGGTCCTTGTCCGCGGTCAAGTTCCCATTATTTGGAACCAACAACTGCATTAGAAACCCAAGTAAGGGCCCCGATGACGCTATGCACAACACACACACACAAAATTCCGCTCACCATCCCTTCCAGGACTTTGCCGAAGACAACATGCTTGCCATCCAGCCATGACGTCTTGACGGTGGTGATGAAGAACTGAGAGCCGTTGGTGTCCTTGCCGGCGTTGGCCATGCTCACCCAGCCGGGCCCATAGTGCTTCAGCTTGAAGTTCTCATCAGGGAAACGGTCCCCGTAGATGCTTTTACCTGGCAGTTAGCGAAAGGGAGAGAATAACACCGTCTTCCAGCGCCCAGCTTTGTTTTTTGAGGGTTACCGCTGGCCAGAGGAGGATCCCTGTCCAACCCCATCCAGAAGAGACAGAATTGACTCAGCCCTCACCTCCTGTTCCATCTCCCCGGGTGAAGTCTCCTCCCTGGATCATGAAGTCCTTGATCACACGGTGAAACTTGCTGCCTTTGTAGCCAAACCCTTTCTGAAAAGAAAGGGAGTTTGGTAAGAGTGGGGAGAGTTTGCAGCACCACTCTGGGAAAGGCTTGGTTTAAAGTCCTTTCCTGAGCAATCCAGAACCAGACAGTTTCAGAGCATCAGCTGTAACCTCTCCCATCTGTGGGTGGGAAGAGAGTCACGACTGGTGGAAAAGGGACCAAGATACTGGGGAAAGCAGAATACTTTGCTGCTGCAATGCAAGTGAGGCCTCAGCAGTTTCTCCTCCACCCCCCCCCCCCACTGCCTGCAAACCCTAATGGGAGTCCAGATGCTCAGGGCTTTAGCCTCCAGCGGGTTAGCCCATTACCTGAGCAATAAACTTCTTAATGGGCTCAGCTCTTGCAAATCACTAGCAATCCCTTGTGGTTCCAACTACTAAAAGGGCCCCATAATGGGGATCAGCAGGGTTGGGTTTTCCCCCCCTGGGCGGGGACAAATTGAAACACTGAAAGAGGAGAGTGGGCTAGTTTCTCAGGAAGAAAATAAGAACGGTTCCTATTTTGTTGCATTTCAAAGGCAACACAAATGCTGGAAACTTCTAAAATATATAAATGAAAGCTGGGAATCTGGGGTGATGGTACATCCAGATATTTTTTTGAGCAGGGGGAGAACGACTGCCCCAACGTGCCACCCTTCCCTAGTGGAAGCCCAGCGGCCCAATGAAACATCTGGATTCACAACACCTGATCCAGTGCAGAAGCATATGGGAATTCACATAAGTACCGTATTTTTCACCCTATAAGGCGCACTGGCCCATAGGGCGCACCTCGGGTTTTTTGGGGGAAATAAAAAATATATATATATTCCCCCCCCAGCCGCGGGGCTGGGGAAGCCCAAGCTTCCCCCGACCCCAGCCCCGAGAACAGGCTGCTGTCCGCAAGCCTTGCGAGCCCGCGGGAACTCCCACTGGGCTCGCAAGGCTTGCGGACATCTGCGCGAAGCATGGGGCGCGCTCTGGAACGCGCCCGTGCTTCAGGCTACAGGCTGCTGCCCGCAAGCCTGGAGAGCCCGGCGGGCACTCCCACCGGGCTCACAAGGCTTGCGGATAGCTTCCTGAAGCCTGGAGAGCGAGAGGGGTCCCCATAGGACGCACACACATTTCCCCTTCATTTTTGGAGGGAAAAAGTGCGTCCTATAGGGCGAAATATACGGTAACTTGACGGTCATATTTTGAAAGTTAAAAGCAGCAGTGAGAGGGCAGCTGAATCATGGCAGCACCTCATCTTTCTCTGTGCTTAGCTTAGAGAAGAACATTCCCTCTCCAGCAGATCTTCACTCAGTTTCCAAATATTTGTGCAATTCGGCCAGCAGCAGCAGTGAATGGAGTGCACTGGAGGCAAATTCTGACATGCACCCAGTCAGGATTCCTTCTCCCAAGGGCCTGCAAAAGGAAAAGGCTGTAGCACCCAGACTTTGGCCTTAATAGTTTCCAGGCCCTCTCCACACCAAGGCTCTTTAGATGAGCAATATAATTATTTCACTTATTCAAAGTGGGGTAAGCCAGCCCTCCTGCGTTTGGGGGGGCCTTCCTGTTGTGTGGGCCTCTGGAAGCATGCCCCACAGTCCTTGCAGCCACCCCAAATGCCAGCCTTCCTTCTGCGCCCTTGTAAGCAGACTGACCTACTGGGGACTCTGACGCAGCGTTCGAACTCACCTCTCCTGTGGACAAGGCGACAAAATTCTCAACCGTCTTCGGAACTGTCTTTCCAAAAAGGCCGATGACCACTCGCCCCACGTCTTCATCCCCGATCCGCAGATCAAAATACACCTGGTGATCAAAACAGGCTGCATCATGGAACGGCTGCAGAGTGGAGCCCCCTTCCTGTTCTGATATCAGCCTCAATATGCAAGAGTCCAATACCTGCGGGGAGTTAGACTGTCTGCAGCAAGGCTTACCGTATTTTTCGCTCTATAGGACGCACTTTTTCCCCTCCAAAAATTGAGGGGAAATGTGTGTGCATCCTATGGAGCGAATTCAGGCTCCTTGGCTTCAGCGATAGCAACGCTAAGCCTCCGAAGTGCAGAGGTAGCACTCCCTTCGTGCTCCAAAAGCTTCGCGTTGCTTTCACTGAAGCTTGGAGAGCGAGAGGCGTCGGTGCGCACCGACCCCTCACTCTCCAGGCTTCAGGGATAGCCGCGCGCAACCCCTCCGGCAGGGAGAAGCTGCACGGGGCTATGGCTTCTTTAGTCCCGCGCAGCTTCTCCCGGTAGGGAGAGGTTGCGTGGGGCTAAAGACGAAGCCAAAACAGTGAGCGGGATCCATCCCGCTGGATGCCTTGGCTTGTGCCTCCGGCAGGGAGAGGTTGCGCACATCCTGTACACTGCTCTTGGGGCTGGGGGGGGGGGATAAGATTTTTTTTCTTGATTTCCCCCCCTAAAAACTGGGTGTGCCCTATGGTCCGGTGCGCCCTATGGAGCAAAAAATACGGTATATGTAAGGAGCCACCCATGGAACTGTACTGCTAGTTTTATTGGGATCCTCCTCAGGTTATGATCCATTCAAGTAGGAGGGGTAGAACCACATCCTTGGGAGAAAAAGGTGGTGCGTAAATTCAATAAATAAATAAATAGAATATTTGTCTGCCTAGACAGGTATTGTCTTTTCTGACCAGCAGTCCTTCTCTCTCTCTCTCCCCTCAAGGCATAAGCAAAGGTCTCAACCTTGCAATTTGATTCCACCACCCCCAGGCTGCACCCAACCCCAGCAGTGCTCTGAACTCTCCCCAAATGCAATGCATTTCAGACAATGCCTAGTGCTTGCTTGAACTGAAAGGTTTGTGTGCACCAGAAACTTCTGGGTCATATGTGGCTGAGGAATAGCCCACTGTACTAAGTAGAGAGACATATCTATTGCCCCACCCACACCAAAAGTTTTCGGGCTGCACACTCTTCCTCCTCCCTGCTTCTGAAGTGTGGCAAGTGGGCTCTGCCTGACAGTTCATGTTTGCTGGTCTGGAGTGGGATTCTCACTTTTTGCGAGTACATCTTGGGTTAAATTCCCAGACAAGTCCATGCTCCAGAGAGGGGTGGGGGGAATCTTAAAGGGGAAGGTCACTGGTTCAATTCCTCGCACCTGCAGCCTGAAAAGGATCTCCTCCCTGGTACAGAGGAGAGATGCTATCAGCTGCATTAGGAAACATCCTCAATCCCTTCCCAGGAGTTTGAGGAAGGGAAGGGGCCAGAATGCACAGACAGAGAACACTTTGTATGTCTGCGGTTCCAGGCAGAGTCTCTGGCATCTCCAGCTGAAAGGCTCTTGAGCAGCAACAGCTAGTGGTGCTGTCAGGACAAGTCTTTGGGTTCGGCCAAAGGAGGGAGGGACCTCAAACACAGGAGGGCTTTTAAAGGAAGCAAAATAGTACAAACTGTTTTGGTGCACATGAGGACCATTAAGTCCAGAGCCTAAAATTTCCCACTGGCTCCACCTCTCTGGAATGCATTGCCGAGAGCCCAAAACCCACCTGCAGTGTTCTAAACTCCCATTGTTCTAGGCACATTTTGCGACAGGGAATTTCATTAGTTCAAGCAGTTTCTGAGCTCTGGGCACAGTACTGCGCCTGAGATTTCAGATATAAACTGCAGATTGGAAGGAAAGGAGGACCTTTTTCTGCCTCCCCACTTCCAGCTACTCTCTGAAGACTGGAGAAGAGACCCTCTTAAGAATATTAGGAGGGGGGTGGGCAGGGGGAAGGCTAGACCATGTGAAAAATGAATTATTTTAGCAGCAGTTCATTCATTTTCAGCTTTGTGTTCTTGTTATAAAAAAGTGCACCTAGACATTCCGTTGTTGCGTCCATAGCCGAGGTTTAAGGTGACATTTAGCTCCTAGCCTTCATATCTCAGTTTCTAACACTGCCCATCTGCTCTCACTGGCCTTTGCTTCAGATCACACATTGCTTTGTAAGGTTTTTATTTTAGTTTTCAGCCGGCCAGCCATTTTTCTTTCATTTTATCCTTTGGTGTCTGTAATATTGCAAGCTGTCTTGGGAGGGTTCTTGCTCTGAAAGACAGCCAGAACGATTTTTTTAAGCCAAGAAACTCAAACAACAAAGCGTTTACTGGCACCATCAGATTCCTTGTGGCGTAAGAATGCATGTTAGTCTCTAAAGTTGCCACAAGACTCTGCTACTTTTGGAAGTTGTCCGATAAAATGATACAGGAATAGAAAGAAACCAAAAGTCTGACTCAGCATAAGGCTCCTTTGTAGAATGTGAGATTTCTTATGCTGGCCAAGGCTGAGTCACAAAACCTAACCCTTTCTGCAGACATCTCTTTTCAATATGCATGACAACTGTCCTAATTTACCAGGGGCAGCCCCTAATTTCTGACCCTCCCTAAATCTCTCTCCTTTCCTAGCCCTGTGCCTATGAATACTTTATCACTTTGGGACCCCCCCCCCAAGTCAAGGCTCCTAATACCTAAGTCTAAGCACACATACCAGGAAGTTCTATTACGCTCAGTTGTACTTCCTATTGAGTAATAACACAGCAGATGCAACAAAAGCACATCCTGTGTTAAACTTGTTGGCCTTTAAAGGAGCCGTAAGATATTTCTGCAGTGCAAGACAAGACATGGCTGCCCCACTGGGGCCTCCAAGTGATAACCACCATGCTTGGAATCAAGCATGTTAAGAATGAACAACTGTTTAATTTTTATTTGCTGATGTTTTGAGAGTTAATTCTGTTGTGTACTATTCTAATAGATTGCTGAATATTACTTTACTTGATATAAGTGGCTCCATTTTAAAGTTACGTTTTAGTATGAATTTTTGACCTGGATCTGATCATTATAAGGCGCGTGTTCCTTGCTGCGTATTTTTTTTGCTGCAAATCGCCTTGCTTATAGCAACATAGAAAGGCGGCATAGAAATTAAAAGCCAAATGAAATGAAGCCGTGCATCCTCGGAAGGGTCTCTCCATCGCGCATGACTTTATCGCCTGGCCAGCTAAGACCCCACCCGGTGCCTAAGCCTCCCAATGCTTCTTTTCACCCCTCCTTGCACACCACATCCCGATATAAAACAAGACCGTGGTCCATTGAAGCCTTCGCCGTATAGTCTTTCAAGGAGCACACGCTGGGGACGGGGTTTAGCTTTGAACGGCTTGCTAAGAGAAGAAAAATCACCTCCCCGCTCCCTGGGTGCACTGGCCATAAATCGCCTTTTAGGCTTTTCCAGCAATTATCATGTTAAGAAAAATCAAATAAATTATTATTATTATTGCACAGAATCGGGCTAGAGGGCTTCTGCTGCTGCAGAATAGAGGGGTGCAAGCGCAACAGGGGGGCGCCCACCCTGCAGAGAAGTGCAAGGGGGAGGGGGCTGCGCAGAAGCCCCCCCCTTCCCCGCCCCCGCTCACCTTGGCCGTGACCTTGGGCCCCTTCTTGCGCTCCTCCGCGTGAGTAGCCGGGAAGAGCAGCAGCAGCAGAGAGCCGCCCAGGCCCAGCAAGGCCGCGGCCGCCAGCAGCTTCATCTTCCTCCGCTCGCAGCCCCAGCAGCGCCAACCCGGCCCCAGAGCCCGCATCCGCCCCCTTCCCCTCTCGCTCGTCCTCCCCTCCCGCCTCCCCCGTGCGCAATGGTACAGCCCCGAGCCGGGCGGAGCGGAGCCCTGGGCGAGAGGGATTGGCCGGTTCCATCTCAGGAGAGGGGGAGGGAGGCCGTTCCCCACCCCCACCCCGGGGGGCGTCAGCGGCTCCTGCGACAAAGGAATGCCACGTTTCCAGCCTCCGATTGGGCGGCGAGCTCGGCCAATGGGAAGCGGGCACGAGAGGCGGCGGCGGCGGCGGCTGCGCGCCGGTTGGGCCAAGCGGCAGACAAAGGAGAGGAAGGACGCGCGGGGCGGGGACTACATTACCCAGCGAGCAGTGCGCGGCCGGCGGCGTCGTGCTCTTCGCTGAAGTTGCCGCCCTTCGCCTGTAGGGGGCAGTACAACTATCTGGATAGGATGGAGGATGTTCTGTTTGTAGCCCTTTGGGAAAATGGTTGCGTGTTAAAGGATCAGACGTGTATAATTCCCATCCATAGCCAGATTTCCAGGGATCTGGCCCTCTTATGCTGCAGTCTTGTACACACTTTGTTGTAGTTGTTTAGTCGTTTAGTCGTGACCCCCTGGACCAGAGCACGCCAGGCACTCCTGTCTTCCACTGCCTCCCGCAGTTTGGTCAAACTCATGCTGGTAGCTTCGAGAACACTGTCCAGCCATCTCGTCCTCCGTCATCCCCTTCTCCTTGTGCCCTCCATCTTTCCCAACATCAGGGTCTTTCCCAGGGAGTCTTCTCATGAGGTGGCCAAAGTATTGGAGCCTCAGTTTCAGGATTTGTCCTTCCAGTGAGCACTCAGGGCTGATTTCCTTCAGAATGGAGAGGTTTGATCTTCTTGCAGTTCATGGGACTCTCAAGAGTCTCCTCCAGCACCATAATTCAAAAGCATCAATTCTTTGGGGATCAGCCTTCTTTATGGTCCAGCTCTCACTTCCATACATCACTACTGGCAAAAAAACATAGCTTTAACTATACGGGCCTTTGTTGTACACACTTACCTGCTGCTTAGTGTGGCGTACTGCTACACACACAACGTATTTGCTCAATTCGGTGCAAACAGAGAAGCACGGGGCTATTAGATGCAAACTGGGTTTATGACTTACTTTGGCTTAAGACACTTGGCACATTGAGAAAGCAAAGCTATTAAAAAGCAAAGCAAAACATCTCAAAGATCCAGCTTATAAAAGTGTAAAGGGACCCCTGACCATTAGGTCCAGTCATGGCCGACTCTGGGGTTACGGCGCTCATCTCGCTTTATTGGCCGAGGGAGCCGGCGTACAGCTTCCGGGTCATGTGGCCAGCATGACTAAGCCGCTTCTGGCGAACCAGAGCAGCGCACGGAAACGCTGTTTACCTTCCCGCCAGAGCAGTACCTATTTATCTACTTGCACTTTGACGTGCTTTCAAACAGCTAGGTTGGCAGGAGCAGGGACAGAGCAATCACGGGGATTCGAACTGCCAACCTTCTGATCAGCAAGTCCTAGGCTCTGTGGTTTAACCCACAGCGCCACCCGCGTCCCTTCTTATAAAAGGTCATGCCCTAATAAAATCTGCCATAGTTATCCCTCAGGACTTGGAACAGGTTCAGACTTCAGAGGATACGCCAGTCGTCCTTAATTTAGCAACAAAAATAAATAAATGGCCGCATGATCCTGACACAAACCCCCACTCACTAACACTAGGCAACAGAACGAAAGAACCATGTTCCCCATCTCTCCTTTTTTCCCCAGCAACAAGGTGTCTATGACAAAAGTGTCTCTCACTAAATGTAAACCAACTGAAGAACTGTGAATCTGAAGAAGTGTGCATGCACACGAAAGCTCATACCAATAACAAACTTAGTTGGTCTCTAAGGTGCTACTGGAAGGAATTTTTTATTTTTTATTTTGTTTTAAACGAACTGTGAAAGACTACAAATTGAAAGTGGAGGTGATAGGTGTACCTTTCCCGTGTTTATCTGTTTCGTAACACAAAAAATCCTAAATGAAAACTATTTTTAAAAAATCTTAGTGCGTTTAAGCTGTTTTGAGCTACACCTTTTGTCAGCCCCAAGTACTGGAATCATGTTTATAGCACAGAAAGTTGGCATTTTGAGAGTTATGGAGTGACCTTTTTGTAAACATGACTAAATTTTGACTAGCAGCAATGATGAATTGATCCGTCTATTTTTCTAGTATTGCTTTTGCACACATTCACTCATAACTGTTCCAGACAATTTCTGCATGAATCTGCAAATTGTTTTTTTAAATGCAGTGTCTCATCACAGGAGTAGCATCCTCTTTGTTTTCAAGATGCTAAGTGTGATGGGACATGGCACCCAAGAGAAAATAAAAAGGACTACACAGATGTGAACAGAGCAAATTTGATGTTTTATTTTACATTAAAAGGGTGCAAATAGGGGAAAGGGGGGTATTTAAGGTACACAACATTTCTTGCAATGTCCCATTAAAAACAGGCACATCAGAAAAGATCAGTAGCAGGACCCAATTCCTGGCAAAGTGAAATCCAACTAGTGCCAGAGGAGCCTCCTGCACATCGTGTTTGTGAGCCCTTATCCTGAACCGTTTCAAATGCATTTGAAATTGACATTCATGTTAAAAAATACTACGCTTCATGTTCACTGCCAAGTTCCAAGAGCAGTGCCAGGATTATATGAATAAAACATTGCATTACACATTTAAAATAAAAAGATTAAAAATCAAAAGGCATTTCAACAAGAATCAGACATGTGCACACAATACTTTAAAAAAGATTTTTCACAGCTGATTTTTCTTTACAGTAACAAGAGTTGCACTCATTATCCCAATCATCCCATTTTTAAAAGCACAAAAGGCCTACATTAAAGAAACAGACTTAATAAATTATACATCACAAAATTTCCAATGGGAACAAGCCACTTAACTGTGGTTTCCCTGTTTGGGGAAGATGCAATATTTGGTATGGTCCACCCTGCCCCCAAATGATAATTCTCTTCTCTGCTTGGTAATTGCAAAGACAGACTTATCACTATCAAGTTGCTTTTCTAACTGGAGAAGATTAACCTGTTCCCAAGTTCCACAAGGTAGCCTATACAGTTATGCAGCAGTTATGCAGTTGGGAAAAGCATTTCTTAGAAAAAGTGATCATTTTCCTGAGACAGTCTTAAGAGGATGAGAGAGGCTATTTAAAGCCATTTTCCTGCCTGTGTTTGATTGGCATGCACCTGTCATTTCGGGGGGGGGGGGGAGGATACTGAACTCAGAGCAGGCACTGGAACCAGGTGCTCAATGTAAGAGTGTCCCAGTCCCTCTCAGAAACCACACCCTCCATAGGAGCAGTATTCTGAGGCAACAACTCCAGAACTAAATCCCCATGAGGTGCTGAAGTGGAGGTTCCTACTACATCACTAAGCTGAGGCAAGGGCATCCTGGTCAGAGACTGAGGTTTCCTCGCAATTAAGAAGTTTGGTAATAAAGCATGCAGACTAAGCTGCAGCTCATCCTCAGACCCAAGGCCTGCTGCATAACAAATACTGAAGTAAAGATCTGCACCCCCCTCCAGACATTCACACAGCAGAGAGTAATTCCTATAGTGGTTCATCTACAGCACAGATAGGAAGCCTGTGGCCCTCCAGATGTTGTTGGATTCCAGCTTCCGTTGGTCCCCGCCAGCATGGTCAGTGATTAGGGATTATGGATTATGGGAGTTGTAGTCCAACAACATCTAGAGGGCTAGAGCTACCCCACCCGAGACCTGCAGTAAAACTATTAAGGGCGGCTTGAGAAATCAGTTCCCTTCCAGTCACTTACTGGGATATGCATAATACAAACACGGCACTGAGAACTGCCAAGGCAAGCAAAGCAGCCTGGCATTCTTAGGCCCTTTAACTGCTACACATCATGCCAACATCAAGACCTGCAAAAAGAAAAGGAAGCTCAATCAGTGAGGCTCAAAACCAATGGGAAAAACTAGCCTTCCAAGCCAAACAATGGGTACTTCCTTTAAGGCCTGATAAGCAATGCAGAAAGCACATTTTCCCTCTTCCCCCATCTTTAGTATTTTGAGAAAACGGGGCTTATGGCTTTGTATTTATAGGGAGGTGCATATTTGGCAGTTCACACCCAGCAATACAACACCATCTTCAGACTACATACAAAGAAATGCTCACCATGGCAGTTTACCTTCCACAAAGCATCACTCATAACAGCTCTTGGGAGAGCATGCAAGTTCCATTCGTCAAGGAGCAATATACATTTTGTTCCTCCATCCTGCAAGCCATTATAAACCACGGATGTGGAAAGATTTAAGTCATGCATGCCTGTTTTGGACTACAGGGGCACTGGGCAGGTCATTTTGAAGAACAAGTGTCCCAGGAAGCAATAGTTTTTGAAGATAAGCTCATGGCGTGTGTTTTAAAATATAAGATTAAAGCCTGAAAATTGAAAGGGAGAAAGAAATTCAAACCAGCCCCAAGGAAAAGAATTTTCTAATTCTGCCACTGGCAATTTTCAGAGTGATATATTCATTACATCACAAGAAAGCTGCTTTTATAGAGACTAATGCAGATTAGCTATTTTAATTTCTTCCACCCTAAAAAGAAAGGCAACTGTTTGGTAGCAAAGTCATGATCATGACTATTTAAAATTCAAGAGGGTGGAGGGATCTACAAAGGATTACCAGTCCATTTTACAGACACCTGCCTTTCCAAGCGACAAAACTGAAGGTAGATTTTGAATGAGCACTTGGAAGAACTACCCATGTCTTTTTTTAAGACTATGTGCTGACATGTTATTCTCCGAGACCCAGAGAACATTAGAGGCCAGCTAGTCAGCTCCTGAAGCAAGGCAATCCTCGCAATTAAGCAGATTTGGCCTTTAATAATTGGAAAGACACACATCCAGTGATGAGAGGGAAGGGAGACCTATATAATCTTACTCATTCCTATTCACTAGCTCCTGACCGTTTGTTTCAAGACAATACCATCAGCTTTGTTTTGCAAAGGATGGCGCTGATTTAGAACTGGAAGCTTAGAGAGAAGGCTGTAGTAATTAGCTGTAGTATTATTGATGATCATCATAGTATTCTCTTCAAAGCAGCTAAGATTGAATAGTTAAGAATGAAGGGGGAGAAAGTCATTTTTACCACTGACTGTTCTCTGGAAAAAATTAGCACATTTCAGAAACGGAGAAGAATACTTGAAGACTGCTTCGGCTCCATGTTGCTTCATTGGAAATGGGAGGCTGCAGAAACGGCCCTGATATGAAGACACTGTATGGAAGCACTGGGAAACTGGGAGACTGTTTTGATAAAATGGGCCAGCACTTTGCATACATTCTCCCATAAAGATGCTTAACAACTGAAATGTTCACTTGCAGTAGAAGAGGGTCCTACAAGTAATCCAGACCAAGTTAGTTTCTCTTGCTCCTTACCACTAAATCCAGACCTTTACTCAAGTATCCCTACTGTGAGACATTTCTTACAGTTTGGTTTCCAAAGAGCTTCAGTATTTGACCAGAATGCAAAATCGAGTTTGGATATTAACCTGCTTCAAGAGCACATGTTCCCTATATGCATACAAATATTTTCATTCAGAAGGAAGCTAGATCTCCTGCGCAATGGAGCAGAGAAGCAAAAGCAAGATGGACTTCAACCATCAGACATTAAAAATAATGAAGACTTCTAAAGAAAAACAATTTGGGGGGGGGAACTGTTTATTGTGTATTTGCAAACTGTCCATTTGTCCAAATTGTCCATATTGTCCACTTGCAAATTCTAAGATGCTCCTCAGTGGAAGAGAACTAGACTGCAAAAGGACAGATGCATGTGGTGCAGCTGAGAGCACAAAGGTCAAGTTTTCATGAAATCTTACATCTCATATTTGATATTTCCCATGCCAAGAGCGGGAAACAAGGCTCATTTTAGCAGGTGGCCTTAGAAACATTTAAAGAGAGTGTTAGTAGTCAGGAGGAATGGGCTGAGAAGTTTAAAAGGTCTTCTAAAAAAAGCAAACCCTTCTAATCAATGACTGATGGTGAAGAGTTCACTCCTCTTATCTGCATTTTAAATGCAATAAAAAGGCAATTGGCCACACTCAGAAAATGGATGCACAACTTTCTAGGATGGACAGTTCATGAGCAAAAAACAAGTCTACCTTTTGGCTTAAGGGATGAAGTAATGTTGGGGGAACCAGGGAGAGGAAGGCAGTCCAAAGCTCAGCCAAGCAAAACTAAAAATGAGGCTTTTAGATTAAGAAGAATACTCAAGAAATTGACGGGAACCAAAGGAGTTACTGCAGAGAGAGTTGCTTCTTCTCCCTGAGCAGGTTTCTCCTGTCTGTAGTCAAGGAGCTCCCAGAGTTTTCCCCAACAAGTGAAGAGGGTTATGATCATGAGATAACTCCCTCCCCAAGGATTACTGACTGAACTACAGCATTGTGGTGCCACCTGATAGGGAAGATGAGACACAAGATTTCAGGCATCAAATTTCTGAAAAGGAAACATTTTCAGTTCACTTCAAGGCAGTAGGCAGAGGGCACATGGTATGTCCTGGCCTTTGGGGCCAACTCCCTCAAATTTCCAGTTATTTGTCTCAAGCCACATCCACAGAAGATCTGCAGGAGTTCACAATCTCTGCCTTGGAGCACACTGAATGCGGAGCGGCCAATCCCATTTGGAAAGTCAGAATAAAACAAAGTTATCCAATTGCCTGGGGCATGTTAATAAGGAGCCCTGACTGCATAACAGAAAGAATCATAGGTAATACACAGACTGCTCTGCTGGAAGCCACATGCTATTCTAGTCTGTATAGATGGCCTTGAACCTCTAAAAGGCCTGATAAAATATGTCATCTAAGGCAGTGGCAGTGTCCTCTCGCTGATGAAATAGCTTTGCTCCCTTTAAATGGCCAAACTGCCTCATCCTTTCCACTTTCGGTTACAGTAGTCTGCATTTGCATTTCTGTGACCTGCCCAGAATTCAGCCCAGCTGACTTTTCTCCTTCCTGCCAGCAGAAAGACTTCCAATTCCAAGCAGGTTATGTCAGGCACCATGGAGAAAAACCACAAGAGGGGTGTTCACTGACAGCTGGAAAGGGCAGCTGAAAATTCAAGTAAGCTTCAGTGCACAACCAACAGTGGGGTATGAAAACCCCTGAATAGTCCCAGGGGATTCCAAATGTGGTGGACAGACTAAGTCAAAGGGAGGCTTTGCACTCAAATACAAGCTGAACATGTGTGCTGGCATCATTCACACCCACAAGGGGGGGAAAAACACACAAGTACAGCATACGCATACATAATGCTAAAAATAATTAAAAGTGCAACAACGTAAGTTCCTTTAGAACAACTGACACTTCTCTGTAACCATTCTGAGAAGGGAGATGCCACAGAAACCAGTAAATCAAGGCAACTGGAAATGTAGATTGCAGTTCTCTCGCCATTGGCTTACTATCATGGAATTCGTTGGAGTGCGATTAAGAAGGATCAGGTCTAAGCTGCCAGTGTAGTCAAAACTAAGCCGTTCGCAGCAAGAAGAGCTGGGTCCTCTTGAGAGCATCCTCTCTTCACCACCATCTTGACCCCGCAGTTCATAAAGCCCCCCGCAGTTGGTGGAGGGGGGGAAAGCATGTCGAGAACAAAAGAGAAAGGGAGCAGGAACAAAAGCACATCCACCAGGAACGCCCTCTTTGCTGAACTGCTGTACAGACAGGAAGGTAGCCAGCCAACCTTCCAACAAGGGCAACGAGTGCTGGAAAGGATGCAATCCTGATTCCAAAAGGAGCTTCAAGCGTGGAGTGAGCAAGCGAGACCATTTAGGGAATCCACCTGAATGTTTATTTTGGAATTTTTTCCCCTTCCTCTCTTTTTGGTTTAATATGTCCCTTGTTTGTTGTCCTCTCCCCAAGAGAAGCCCCATTCAATAAGACGTGGCAGGAACAGCAGGTAAACAAAGTCCCCCAAAGACCTCAAGGAGACGCCTGTCATTTCTGGCGTTGGGAAGACTTCTTTCTTTTCCTCTTATAGAAGCAGCAGCACCTGGAGCACAAAGAACACAGCAAATCAATAGAGAGTACCGGGACCTCCAGCAAGCCCTCTCCTTCCAACACAATGCATGTGATGTGGCCAACTTCTTCACTCTCAGAAACACACAACACACATGCTCCCAACACCCACCCTTCTCCTGCAACAACAAATAAACTCAAGACATTCAAAGCATCAAAGTAGTCCAATAATCACCACCAGGAATCGCCACCATGCTCTGGGGACCCATGTGATTTTTCAAGGGCTGTAATAACTTGAGGGTTACCATGACCAGTTCTAGCCTCTAGCTTTGGCATTATTTTCCAAACCAACATCATTTGCAGCTAACGGGGAACGTGAACATGGCCGATTCCGTCTGAAAGGCACACAACTCAGAATTGCCACCCCCACCGCTGGCAGAAAGCTGCAAGAACACACACTTTTAACCAAGTTGCTTTCACCAACACAGATGATACATTTACTATACAAGAAACTATGAACAAACAGGATGCTTTTAGAGTGGAACCGTGGCTAACAACTCATAAGATAATTCTGAGACATGAAGAACCCTGGCATGGGATGCTGCTGACACAGATGGACCTATGTAGTATAAGATGAGAAAATCCACCTCTGCTGCCTAAAAATACAAGAGGGATTGAAAAGAAGTGTGGAAGAATTACTTAAACAACACGGGTTGGAATTCAACTGCTAAACACAAAGTGGTCCTGATCTGAAGTTTCCAAAACACTTGAAGTAGAATTCTAGAACAGTGACTTGAACAAGAAATCACCCTTGCTATAAAAACAGATGGAAAAAACATGCTTTATAGGGAAGTGGATTTCAAGCAATCAATTTAATCTATGATTAATCAGAAATTAAAGTTGTAGTCATGACGATTTGTAGAAGATAATTTTATCAATTAAAAAAAAAATCAGTTATACAGGGTACCCAGATTTGTGTGCTTCCTCTTCTCTGTGTCAAGCTTGATGGGAAAAGGTACATTTTCTCCCAAGGTTAGCAGGTATTTTTTGCCTTACACCACAGATTTCCTTCTAGCATTAAAAACCACAGGAAACTGAAACTTACGGTTGGATTCAATGCAAGTAAGTCTTTTAATTCTGTATTATCTTAAATGCTGGTGGGGTATGAAATTGTTCAAATCTTGAAGCCATTTTTAGTCTGGTGTGATTGCCCATAATATCCTATAATCCCAACTCTCAAAATGATACAAATAAAGATGTTTTTCGCCACTTTAAAAATGAGTGATAGGTTTTATCTGTTATTTGCTGTCTCATATTGAAGAGGAACAGTGTCTTTCTGCCAAAATCCCCACCACCAATACATACCCCCAAATTTTGGTAATATGGAAATTTAATTGATTAAAAGCCAAGGTAGGATCAATTATTTTTTAAAGCACAGTTTATAACTGATAAGGCAACAAAGATAAAGCAGGTGGATTTAACAACACGCTTAGAGTAGATATTTTTGCTCTGAAGTAAAATCTATCTGGCATATGAATGAAAGCTGGATAAAATCTAGGCTTGGCTAAGCATGATCTGCAGTTTTAAAGGTGGACAGGCTTCATGACTTGTGAGGTTACGTGGTTCTTTACCAGAACCCCAAGATCTACTAACCAGAGCCAGGTGCCAAAGACAGAAACATAGAATTAAAAAATTATGAGACCAGACATTTACATGTGTTTTTTCTTTCTTTTGGAGTACCAGAATGAAATGAAGTGTATAAGTCATTCAATATAAAAGCCCACTTAAGGCATTGTCCAAATTATATGCCTCCATTATTTGATAATAATGGAGCCAATCTCGCACTTTATTTTTCAAGTTTTCAAAGCTCTGCAATTTTAGTCTGTCTCCCTCTTGTTCCAGAATTTCCCAATATTTCGGCCATTTGGCCTCCATATTGAGTTTTTTCTGTGCCTTCGCTTCCATTGGTGACAACCATCTTGGGGTTTTCTTTTCTAACAAATCTTTATATCTTATCCATGCCGTAAGAGAAAACTTAATGAAAATGATTTATAGGTGGTACATGACACCAGTCAAGCTTGCAAAAATTTACCATTTGCCCGAAAATAAATGTTGGAAATGTAATGAGACTGAAGGTACATTCTTTCACCTTTGGTGGACATGCCCAAGGATTAAGACATTCTGGGAGATGATTTATAATGAAAGAGAAAGGTATTCAAATATACCTTTCTGGAAAAACCAGAGGCCTTTCTCCTGGGCATGGTTGGCCAATTGGTGCTAAAGAAGGATAGAACTTTTTTTATGTATGCTACAACAGCAGCAAGAATACTCATCGCGAAGTATTGGAAGACACAAGATTTACCCACCCGGGAAGAATGGCAGATGAAGTTGATGGACTATATGGAATTGGCGGAAATGACTGGCAGAATCCGAGACCAGGGAGAAGAGTCGGTGGAAGAAGATTGGCAAAAGTTTAAAGACTATTTACAGAAATATTGTAAAATTAATGAATGTTAGAAAAATGTTGGAATGAAGTTACATGGCTTCAGCAGAAACGTTATAAGGAATTAAGTATAAATAGATTAATAGAGAATTAAAGGGAAAAATAAGGTTAAAATGTGTTAAGATAATTATAGGATAGAAAGCAGAGGAAGATGGAAAGGAATTGCTGAAACAACTAATAGAAGTGGAATACAAAAAGGGAGGTGTGAGGAGGTCATGGAAATAAGTGAATGAAAGATTGAAATTATTTGATGTGTTTTAAATTGTTTTTGTTTTGTTTTAAATTGTTTTTGTTAGTTTAGTGTTAGGTATTGTTTTTGTATTGTATTGCATTGTCTATTTTCTTTTTTTATGTAATGTCTAAATTGTTGGAAAGTAATAAATATCATTTAAAAAACAACAACAATATAAAAGCCCACTCCAGGTTATCATTTCAGCTGCATAATCTAGATCAAGAGAGTGTCATTTTGTTGTTAGTATGGTTAAACAATTGGGAATCAGAAATCCTTGCAATCGACCTTCTTCCCAACACCACCCTACAAGATTTTAGGAGATTATTTTTACGAATATCTTGAGAGACCAATAAAGACACAAGCAGTGAGGCAAGGCATTCCCATACTTCAGCGGCTAGGAAGTTAAGCATATAATTACTAAATTAATAGTAAAATACAGTTCACAAAGAGGGTGAAAAAATCTGAAATTCTGATCTCCATTAACTTAAACTTTAAGTTAAATTTATAGCATGGTGGTAAGTTTGCATTCAACAGGACATTTCTCTCAGATAACCAACATGGAAATTCCACAGATAATAGAGCCCACTCCATGTATACATATTGTGAACAGTTTTATATAAACTGTATTTGAGCAGTAACTGGCACTCAAACTTATGCTCAAACACAAAATGAGTATTGTAGGGTAACTCCAATGGATTTCTCAACACTTTCAGTTATACCCCCAAAATAATAAATTATTGAATCTCTATTATAGCTGGGGGGTTTTTTATAATAAAAAAAACCACACAGGCAGCAGTTAGTCAATGAACTGATTGGTCATCTTCCTAGGATTTGTATAGTCTCAAGATTACACATTTATTAACAGCAACACAATTGGCTATTAGTCATAAATGAAAGAAAATTAACTTGCCCTCTATTGACCGCTGGTGCTTGAGGGTATGGGCATGGCTTATTCAATTAAACTCATAAACGAGGTAACGGGAGGAAAGCAGCAAAGTGATTTATTGAAAGATTGAAGGTTCCCTCGCCCCTCAATACTGGAATAATGAAGTCTATGAAAGATTGAACTTTTCAGTCCCACTACATTCTGGGAATAAGTTGACCGACAGATAAATATCTGAATTAGTTAACTAAAAGCAAGTTAATACTGTTTTGATCATGATTTATTGTTATTAGATTTAATTAATATTTTTGTCTTCATTTGTTATTTATGTGTAATGTATAATTATTGTGGAATAACTGCTTACATAATACTTAGTAGAAATAGTATTTTTTCAAAAAATTGCCGTGTTAGCAATTTATAGCCTAGAAGTCCTTCCCTGATAAGTCTCCTGCCATTTGTGGTCCAAAGGGAATCACCCATTGCCTTCTCACAAATTAGATTATCCTCCAGGAGATTTTCCTCCTTCCTTGTAGCATGTTGCTTGCCTTCTTACCTGAGCCACTTGGATTTGCCTGACAAAGTTTACTGGACAGAAGCAGCTTTCAACATGCGTCTTATCACCCTTGTACTCCCTCTTTCAACAACTCAAGGAGAAAACTATTAGTCATCCGAGCATAATGAAGCAGAACAAGGACAGATGACTTTTGAATGTTGCCCATTTTCATCCCTGGAACAGGGATGAGAGAGGAAACTTTGCCCACATGTGACCATGAGGAGCTCTCCATGGTTTGGAGAGACACCACAATAAATAGCCCATGCAAAGCAATAAGCCATTGCGTTGGTCTCACAGAGCTGTGAATGATGGGGAAGAAGGGAGAGGAAAAGAAAAGGCAGAGAACTCACTGTGTTGCACTGAGCTACAATCAAAGTTAACATTAGCATCTGGTCACCCATTGCAATATCAAATGCCTATAGTGCATGGCCTGCCGCATTAGAACAGAGCTACAGGCACTGCTAGCATCAGCATAACTTTGTTTCTCCCACTCTCAGCTTCTGGATCAGTTACAATCTATTGTACAATGTGTGTGTTTTTAAAGGAGACTCAACCAATTTGGGAGAATATCGCATGTTGGCAAAATGCTCATCAGTACAAATGGACTGTATGTATCCTTCCCTTTCCAGAGAAGTGAATGGTTTTTCCACTAACAATATTTAGAGTTACGGATTCCACTACCTTCTACAATAGTAATCAAAGCAGCTGCAATTGGAGACATTGCAGGGAGTGGACAAAACTTTATCTCCTCCTTGGGCGCTGGCAATCCCTACAGAGCCTCCTATGGTCCATCTCATGGATGAAAAGAACCCCATAGCCCCAACCTTGCTTGGAGCAAAGAAGAAAGGGCAAGGCAGTCCTTAGAAGTACAACTGGTTCTTGCATAAACTTCCACTCCACAAATAAGAACTGTTTACCTAACTGAAATTTCTGTAACACAGACCTTACTAGAAAATTATTATTCACAGAAAATCTGCATCTTGAGAGATCGAGCTAACTTAACCTGCTAGAGAGAGTTGCTTATTTTCCATAATTAATTTTAGGTGTAAAATCTGAATGCTTGAGTACACAATTTGATTTACTTTGCATAGGTAGCCCCATATAAGGCATGTGATCTCATTAGTGGACAAAACCTCAGAGAGAAAAGACAACTCTATAATAAAACAGGAAGGTGACATATCTAGGTTTTGACATGGTGTATTTTAATCAATGATAAAATGAACAACATAAGTGAAGGAAGTTGATCTGTAAAACCTGGGAGGCATGCATGAAGCTAGGGTGACTTATGCTGCACAGATGGCTTCCATTACAGATGACACAGGCTGGATGGTTGACAGAACCAGACAAACCAGTCTCTTATGAGAAGCCTGGAGTGGATACTGGGTGGCCTTCACCTATGAAATTAATTCACTATGAAATGAAGCAGAGACAGAGAGAGAGAGTCACAAAGACTGATGGAATACGCGATATAGTCCTTAAAAACACCTATTTCCCACATATATTGTTTCCATCTATACAAAAAAGTGGCAGAAGTAGATATGCTAGTGATTACTTCTAATGTTCCCAACACCTCAAATTTCTAAGGTGGAAGAGTTGTCATAAAATGGTTTCCCCTCCCAATAGCCACATGGCAAAAGTGTCTTGTGAAATTCACTATGCTGTATAATTTCTGGCTAACCACGTCCTGAACATGGTTTTTCAGAAATAATACAAGGAGATTCACCCCAGTTCTGACTTTCCCACTTAAGAAAATGGGTATGTGTATCAGCTCTTAATGCAATGCAAATGATTCCATAAATGCTAATAAATAACAATGGCCTACCACTCATGTCAATGGAAGATGTACACTTTTGAAATATGCAGCTTGTCCAGTCCAACCGAAAGATTATGACTGAGCATGGTACATACAAAAACACACAGAAGTTGAATAAAATGCACCAATTATGCTAGAAGGCCAGCATCATAATGCAAAGCCATTTGCATGTTGCACACACTACTACCCAGATAGATAATGATGTTGCAATGCTGCCAGACAGCACAAATATTCTGCAATTGCTTCCAGCAAAAGACTTCACTAACTTCTCTGGTTTGCTCTGAGCAAAATTTAAAGTGCTGGTTTTGACCTATCAAGACCTAAACAGCCTAGGACTTTTAACTGCTTGGTGAAAATTATTATTCAGCAAAACTTTGGAATGGGTTTAATTATTGGGGCTTCCAGATGCCCAACTGCTTAAGTTACACTGTGTTGGGGGGGGGGTTATATTTGAATTTATTTTTTAGGTTTGTAAGCCAACTTGTTCCTAAACAGTAACAGAAGCAGAGGATAATATTTTGAAGAGAGTAAATACAGGCCGGCAGACAGATTGCTTGTTAAGGTATTTTAGCATTTTAAATGCTGCCCAAATATGAGGGTCAAATGCCTCCAAGGGATATAAACTACAAAATAAGGTAGGGCAGTAGGGGACACCACCAACAGGATAGCCTTGGATTTTTAGTCCCATAGTCTATTGAAGCCTTTCCCAACTTGGGGTCTTGCAGCTGCTTTGAACTACAACTCCCACCAGCCCCAGCCAAATGGGAGTTGTAGTCCAAAACAGGTGAGGGGGGGGCCTATTGTACATGTTTGGTTGGTAGCAAACAGATACTTAACATAGTTTTCTCTCTTTTAAAGGATCAGACAATGTTACAAAAGGATGATCTAAGACTAAATTCTTGAACTGTGGGTAAAATTCCCTGGGACAGTGAGACTAGTGATCCACCATTGCCAAGTGTCAAGTTCTCCACTGCCCAGAAACAAATGGACAGAATCATATACTCTGACCCCAGCAAGAACTCAGCAAACAAAGCCAGGGGAGGAAGCTACTTAGTTTGTAGGGAATGCAGGTTGGCCCTAATCCGAGATAATCTCACAAGTGTAAGAGATGCACTCTTGCTGAAATCTCCAACATCACACACTCTGTCCTGCTACAGGCAGACACCAGGCACAGGGTTAAGAGAAGTTCCCCCAGGCAGCTTATGTTTAGAAGGGGAGACCCCTAAGAAGCACACACAGAGTATTTATGATATTTTATTTTTTGTGTAAACCACTTACGATATTTTGGTTTGAAGAAGTAGGCAAATAAGAAATAAATAAAGTGCCCTTCCTACAGCTACAGTGGGGAGCTATTCCAAAAGTAACAGCACATGATGTGGCTCAAAAGACTGCAGATACATACTCAGGAATTCTGAACTCTTAAAACACACATATACATATACATATACATATACATATACATATACATATACATATACATATACACATACACACACACACACACACACACACACAACCCCCCTAAAGAGTCAGGTATGGCCAAGTATGTCTTAAGACTACAGAACTGCTGATAACCATGGACTTTATGGGACACCTTATGGTGCACATCTATTGCTAGCTATACCTCTTTAGGGAAAATATATATATATACACACGGGGTTGTATGAAATGCAATGCCAAGTTAAAGTCACTAAGCAGGACACTTGCCCTGCTGATGAAATGTTTTGCACCAGCAGAATGTTGTTGAACCAGAGAATGCATACGCAGGCCTTTGGTAACTTCGCTGCGTGACAGACAGCACAATATGTTGTGCAATGAATTTCCACCTGTGCAATTACTGTATGGGATTCACCTGTTGTGCAACATTAAAACTCATCCTTGAGCTGGCAGACAGAGAATGCTGGATATAGACTATTGTATTTTATGAGCCCGCTTGTTTGTACAGTTTATATTTAAAACAAAAAGATAGCTACAGATAGAAATGAATGAATATGCATGGATATAAAAGCCTACAGTTTAATCAGGAGCCCTCTGCAATAGTCAGATCAGGAAGGAAAAAAATAAGCATCAGCATTTCCAAACTACCCATGTTCCATTCGGCCAACCAGACTTCCAGATCGGACTAATCCACAATCATAGTCCAAATATGACTATTTGGTCAAACTACTTTCACACCGATGACAGAGTAAACATTTGGCATATATATAGTCCAGGTCTGAAAATAACTTCAAGAAGGGGCAATGGTACACAAGGAATATACCCATGAAAAGGTAAAGTAAAACACACACAGCCTAAAACACCCCAATTACTGGAAAATTCATGCCTAGTAGTGAATTCACTAGGCATGTTTATCCTAGCCTGTTTATCCTAGCCGTATGTTTAAGAATTTGCCTGTGATAATGAATTTTATAGAGTGAGTGTGCACCTGGTAGAGAAGGGACTGAATGCTACATCCCTCCATTGCTAGCTCACTGTGTTTCCATATACTTTCCTCTGCAGCCACCACAGAAATACAATCAAGCAGAAACAAGACTGGTGTATCACATAAAATGGGGGGTAAGCACTCCCAACATAGAACAAGCAAAACCTCAGAAAAAATAACATTAAGCTCTGCAAGCGCCATGGTTCCTTCCTAAAAAGCCTTACAGGAATAAATATAAACGCCCCACCACATAAATTGAATTCTCTAGTCTTTTGTAGGAAGATGCTCCACAGACATAATGATACCAGTCCTGTTGGACAGGAACAAACAATTTTGTTTGCTAGGCTGGGATAATTATGCCTGAATCAGGCCATACATTTGTGCCTGAAACTCATGGGCTCACAGTGCCGTGGTACTGGACGTTACGTAGAAAGCTAAGATTTGCTATGCGTTCAGTTCAAGACACTCTAGGTCCTAAAGTGGGGACACTTGTGCAACTCTCTAAGAATAGAGGCCATGAAGCATAGCCCAAAATAGTTAGAAGTACTTGCATACCACCCAGAAGTAGAAATTTGGTATGCATACAGATGCCCCAATTACAGTCGTACCTTAGAAGTCAAACTGAATCCATTCTGGAAATCTGTTTGACTTCCAAAACGTTCAAAAACCAAATCGTGGCTTCTGATGAGAAGCCGCGTAAGCCCCGTTGGACGTTCGGGTTCCAAAATAACGTTCACAAACCGGGACAATCGCTTCCGGGTTTGCGGCATTCGGGAGCCAAAACATCCAAGTTCCAGGGTGTTCGACAACCAAGGTACGACTGTACTAGGAAAGTCTGAAGGAGGACCATTTAACACCCAACAGTCAAAACTCAAGAATGGCATTTGTTCTCCAGGACAGAACACACAAAGGACTGAATGCTGGGTTGTGAGATTCTGTTGTTCTTTCACACACTCCAATAATTAACTTATTTTGTTGTGGGAGGAGGAATCATTACCAGTAGAAGCCGGAGACAAGCAATCCATTATTGCAGAATGTAAGCTGCATTAGTAAGATTTGCCTCTTGCAATGAATACATGTTCAGAAGCAAAGGTACTCCAAAGCAGCAGGAACCTGAGCTAAAACATGACTCTACTCTACTTTTCACTCTAACAATCTCAATCTTCTCTCTCTCCAGTGCCATCAACACAGATGCAATTCACAAAAGCAATTACAACAGGCTGTGTTTTCAACAGAGATTACAGGCAAATGAGACTTCCTTTACTACCATTTTTCTCCACTACAAGGTATACAACAGTTATCTGCCCTTTCTTTCAGCTACAACAGTAGCAGGTCCTTATAAGTAAGAAACATGTGTGCAAAAGACATGTAAGCTGGGGAAAGAACAGAGCAGCCAAAATATTCTCAGGGCTCTAGATTTCATGGGTTGGAACAGTAATTTCTTCCCCTGGTGGAAGTGCCTCATTAACCTTAACTTTTTAACTTTGAATTTGATGTTCTATGCAATAACCTATATAGTTTCTTTTGACAATATCACAGAATCATAGAATTGTAGAGTTGGAAGGGACCACAAAGATCATCTAGTCTAACCCCCTGCAATGCAGGAACCCACAGCTCTGGGATTAAGAGTTGCATGCTCTACAGACTGAATTAGCCATCTTCCTTTGGCTGCCTTTGTTCCATATACAGTGGTACCTCGGGTTACAGACCCTTCAGGTTACAGACACTGCTAACCCAGAAATAGTACCTCGGGTTAAGAACTTTGCTTCAGGATGAGAACAGAAATCGTGCGGCGGCACAGCAGCAGCGGGAGGCCCAATTAGCTAAAGTGGTACCTCAGGTTAAGAACAGTTTCAGGTTAAGTACGGACCTCCAGAACGAATTGAGTTCTTAACCCAAGGTACCACTGTATAGCCAGAGGAGGAAGAAACTCAAGGGCTGCAGCAGACCCTATAAGGGACTCATTACAGAATCTTCATAGGCAGCTGGTTCCTTAAAAACACTCCGCTTTCCACACATTTCAGACATCTCAAGCTTCTCACCTGCTTTTAAAGAGTCCAGTTGTCAGGAAAAACATTCCCATTTCATAAAAAAATGCATCCCTTCCTCTACAAAGCCCCAGAGAAGAGGGAGGCACTAATTTACGTTACCATCTAGAAGTCACCCTCTGGGAGTGTCCCCCGCCCATTTGGTGAGCAGGACACCCAACACCACACAGATTCCTCTCCACTGCAGTTTTCAAGCAGAAAAGAAAGAGCAGGACTCCTACTTTCTCCATATCCCACACAATAAGAGAAGGCAGAAAATACAAGAGTGGGATTGGTGGCGACTATAAACTTTGTGGACCCTAGCCCCAAATCACACATCATTGCTCAGAAAGGTAACAATTTGTTTAGCCATTTGCAGTAGCATTACAGACCTCACTGCAATAAAATCTTAAGGTTATCATTTCTTCATGAGAGAGTTCAGGTTAAAATGTATGAGGGTGACACCTCTTACACAGAAAGGAGCATGTAGTGTTTTACAACTATGAGAGCCCAGCTAGAAAGGAAGAAGGGCAGAGTTGGTAAGCTTGGTGCATCAGGACAGGTAGGGGAGGTTTTGCCCCTTGTTGCCGTGGCTAAGTGACCCTCAAAACTAGCCAGAAAGCAAGTAAACCTATCTCCATAGCCATTCAGCTGTGACTCTTGGTTTCTGCAGCTCGGACAAGGAAACTTTTGCTTATTCTGGCCCCATCAGGGCTCAAAATAGGTGTAGGACAGAATTGTAAAAATGTTTGTACCCTAGCTTGCCTTTCCTCTGTTGGGGAACGACACATGGTGACACACATGAGAATCCCAGGTGGTCATCCATACAGGAACTGACCAGACCCAGACCGCTTAGCTTCAGCAAGGGAGTGGACTCATGTGCATTCAAGGTTATACTCTGGCATGAAACATTATGGATTCCTTTTGTTCACATACTGTTTGAGAGAACAGCTGCAGTTTGGGGCACACATAAAAACAAGTATCAGTGATAATCACAATGGTGAGAGTAGTAGCTTTTCTCCAACTTGTAAACAACCCTCATCACATAGGTTGCCTCCTTGTCCTATCCTCACCCTCTACAACAAAATATGAAGCTCTAACCCACCTTCCGCAACCTGGTGCCCTCCAGACGTTTCAGAATACAGTATGACCATTGGCCGACAGACATCTGAGTTCAAAACACCTGGAGGGCACCATTTTACAAGCTGAAGCTATAAACTAACTCTTCCCTACAAACTGCAGGAAGCCACAGGAAGTCAAGTACTTTGACCTGTGCCTGGTATAAGCAGCCTAGATGTAGTTCAGAAAATAGTTTATTGGTTCCCAGTCCAGAATAAATACTATTTTCTTACTGTAGGAGCCTAGCTCTGGAAATACCAAGCAAAGGGCAACACCCACCCAAGCCACATTTTTACCATGAAGCTGCTGACAGAAATCAGGATTGAAAGGAGCAGAACTCTAGCTCTGTAGCAAGTGCAATGCTTTCAGGACAGTTGTGCCTCTGCCACAAAAATCTGACAACTGACAAAAGTGTGCAAGTAGAGAGAAAATTGCGTAGGAAATTTATTGCCTCTAGCTCTAAGCACTTCCTAACTTCAAGTATTTGTTCACCCAAGTAAAACTTAAAAGACAAGTGTTTGGTGTGTTAGGGATGACAGTCCAAGGACTCTGAGCAGCTCACCCACCCCTTCCGTTTATTTCATTTTGATTTGGCCAATCATGGCCTAGTCTGGTTCACGCCCCCTTGTATGTGAACCAGAGAGAGTGACTCACCACAAGTTGAGCATTTTCAGGCAGCTACAATAGACAGTGTGAGGAGAAAGAAAGAAAGAAAGACAAATAAAAACACAGAAAGGTAGGGAGACATTAGTTCAGAGGCGAGATGGAAGCATGTCATGGCAAGTCATGCAAACATGCAGTGCAGATCTGTGATACACACGACGTCTACCTGCCTTGTCAAACCTGGTTCCACCTGAACCTTCTGCAACTAACCAGGAAAGAGCTATCACAAGGGATTGTTGCTTTGAGACAAAGTTTTCACAACTGTCTGAGACAACTATGTTAGAGCATCAGAAAATCATCATTGACGGGAATGTGCTCTAGAGGACTTTGGCAGATAGGAGCAAGAAGGTTTCTGAACTTTTTAAGTTGCAAGGAAACTCTAGAGATAGCTGGCTAAAAAGGCTCAAATGCAAATACCTTAAGTGCTTTGATGGAACATGGCAAGTGATCAAAACAATACCCCTACATTTCCTTAACTTCATTTATCATTTTGAGGAGGAGTTAGTCTCCCTACATGCCTTGGAAATAAATTATTATTACCACCACCACTACTGTGTTATTTAAGTTTCTGCATGTGCTGGAGAAAGCAGAAGTAACACTTCTGGCACAAAGGATTTACAGTCTAACTTAGGCAGAACATAGGTGACAGTGGAAAATGTGGAAGAAAAACCAAAATAGATGGGACAACATCAAATGAGCTTATGGTCTGGAGGAAAATAATGGAGAGCCTTTAAATTTAAAGGCTACAAAAGACAAAGCTGGTGTGGAAAGTGACAAAGAAAGCTGGAAAAGAGATTTAAGACAATGGGTGACTTTCAGCTATGGTAGCCAGCAAAAAGAGGATGCAATACCATGGATGATGGTTTAAAACAGTTTTAGAGGTGGAAACAGTAGCAGTATTAAGACAACAAGAAAGGGAAGTATTCCATGTCCGCAAGTTTGCAGTCTTGGGAGATTGGGAAAATATCAAATTTCTGCCAGCAACAGAAGTAGGGACAGGTAGTCAGGAGAGGAAGTATCTGAGTGAAAAGATCCTACCTCTGAGAATCAGAGGCAATATACCTCTGAATACTAGCTGTTGAAAAACAACAGCAGGAAAAGACTATTGCCTGCATGTCCTACTTGTGGACTTCCCATAAACGTCTCATTGGCTACTATGAGAAACTGGATGCTAGACTGCATAGGTCTTTGTTTTGATCCAGTAGGGATCTTCTTAGGTTGATATCTGAATTCTTACCATGTTGTTTAGTTTGGGATACAGGAGTTGTTAGCAATGCAATCAGAATAAAAGAATTTATTAGAAGTTGATTATCACGAGTTTTAAAAAGGGAGAATTTTTATCTGTATAAGTGTAGTAAGCACAAGCAATGAGAGCTAAATGCAAGCAACCAGAGGCAAATGGCTACATTTTGAATGGAAGTAGAGCATATTATGGGACGCGGGTGGCGCTGTGGGTAAAACCTCAGTGCCTAGGACTTGCCGATCGCATGGTCGGCGGTTCGAATCCCCGCGGCGGGGTGCGCTCCCGTCGTTTGGTCCCAGCGCCTGCCAACCTAGCAGTTCGAAAGCACCCCCGGGTGCAAGTAGATAAATAGGGACCGCTTACCAGCGGGAAGGTAAACGGCGTTCCGTGTGCTGCTCTGGCTCGCCAGATGCAGCTTGTCACGCTGGCCACGTGACCCGGAAGTGTCTGCGGACAGAGCTGGCTCCCGGCCTATAGAGTGAGATGAGCGCACAACCCTAGAGTCTGGCAAGACTGGCCCGTACGGAAAGGGGTACCTTTAAACCTTTAGAGCATATTATGAGCCAGGGAATGAAATAAAGGAAAAGGAAAAAAGAAGTTAAAGAGGATCAAGAACGGCAAAAACAATATATTTAACGGAAAGTTGACATGATTGAAAGTACCAGATTGTTTAATTAGAATGCAAGCTACTCTAAGGTTTGGCCAGAAGAAGGTATTGAAAACTTTGGTAAAAGCAGTTTCAGTGTAGTTAATCTAGCAAAAATCAGATTGAAAAGAGTAAAGGAAGGAGTTGGGAGGTCAAAAGATAAACAGGATCATACGAAATGCTCAACAAATTCTGCACTGAAAGGTACTGGATGACAGCTGAAAGGGGGAAGTATGAATATAAGGAGGAAATAAGGACTGAGAAATATTTGTATGTCTGAAAGCCCACGATAAGGAACTAGGCAGCACAGAACAAATGAAGATAGCTAGAGGGAGAAATCAGAGGTAGGAAAGGATGGATCAAGAGATCAGGTTGCATGATTGAAGGTAGTGAGCATCTTTCATATATATATGAAGGATAGAGAAACTGATTAATGACAAAACTAGGGAATTCTGCATATGGAGGGAAATGAAAAAAGGTCTGGATAGAAATTCACAGAGAGATCTTATATTCTTTGAGCAGGAGGTTCACAGCAAGAAAAAAAAAAGAGCAGACAGAAAGGCTTCACTAGCAAGAAAAAGTCTGGAGACACACAGACACAGCAGGCTTAAAAAATGACGAAGTCACACAGCTTGAGGTAGACAACATTTGAATGGTCTGTTAGAAGTTGATGGCTTAATAAGTAAATAAAGATCATCCATGGCTGGGAGATGAACAGGCAGAAAGGAAGAGTAAAAGGCAGAGCGAGGAAAGAGAAGCGACAGCATCTTGTCTAGAGGAAAGTAAAACTGAAACGCCTTTTTCAGCTTTCCAAATTTTACTATACAAGTTAAACACACACACACACACACACACACACACACACACAACCTCACCCATCACTTCTAAGCATAATTAATTGCCCCTAAGCCCTATGAAATTAATAAGACTGTGGTATCAGTCATTTCCTTTGAATAGCTGTACTTTTCAACTGAAGTATCATATTGACTAGAAGTCTGTGTGAATTCAAATGTCTTGGAAACTTTTAGCATACCCAGGAAATTGTGGATAAAGCTTGAATGTGCAATTTCCATGGAAAGATCAAGTGCAGAGGAGATATGGTACACCGTGTTGTAACCACAGGACCTTCCCCAATTCCACCGTCAACATTAAATGTCCCTAACTTCCTTATTTACTGCAGAAGAAAACAATTCTTCACATAGCTCAGTTGTAAAATCAAAGTCAGTAATGGTATTTTATTGGCATCTCCCACTAAGGAGGCAATCCTAAGCACGCTTACTAGGGAGTAAAAAAACTCAATGAATGTACTGTGATTTATTTTCAAGTTAACATGCAGAGATATTGCTGTTGTCACAGCTGCAGCAACAAGTCCACCACAGGAGAGTATGTCCTTGCGGACATTTTGGAGTCTTAATTTTTAGGCTCCATGGACATGGCCTAACTTAACTTAGCTGATGCTACAGCACCAAAGCAAAGGCTGTCTTGCACAGAGCAACAAGCTGAACAATTTATTGAAAGCTAGCATCCAAAGCGAAGTACAAGTACCGAAGCCCAGTTCACTTGAGCAGCACTTGGTGGAAGCTAGTCTGCTGTCAAAAGAAACTCAGGCAGACAGCTCTGTATCATATAACAATATCCAAAGTAGTCAATATCTCATCCCACCCCCATCTGCTGAAATATATTGTTCCCCTGCAGAGGAACAGAGGCTCAGCTGGGAATGGAACACACAATTATTAAGTTTGCCACAAGGACCACTCAATTTTATTTAAATACATTCAAATCCTGAATTTCCTGCAGCTATAAAGCTCTCCTTATGGCTGAAGACAGAAATGTTCGCAGAACGATAACACATTTCTTGGGTAATGGAGTGCTTGGCGATTACTTCTCAGCTGAAGATTCACACCTGAAGCACAATTAGAGGTATTGCATACACTTGCTTTTCTCACAAGCAATTTTAGGCTATTCCCAGCCTAGGAAATAAAGAATCACAATGCTTGCCAAGAAGCCTATGCTGAGACATTCAGTAGCCACAAGGCAAGTCAGTCAATCTGCTATGCCTTGATCTATGAAGCCTTTGTGGAACCTCCTTCCCATAATGCATTAGGTATGTGCTGACTTCATTTATAAAGAAAAGAGGACTGCTGATTACCTAGAGAAGATTCCACATCATGGTTCATGTAATGGTAGAAGATCATGCAAAGTGCCACCAGATGGTGGAGATGGAAAAACAGCCAAGGCATTATTCCCTCAACAAAATACCTTGCAACTCTCAGCAGGCAGCTTATAAAGTTACCTTACATGTTTCCATAGCAAAAAAAGGAGTTACTCGCAGTCTGACAGGTTAACCTAAAATTGCATAGGCTCAGATTTCAAGAATGAGGGATAAAGAGGGACTCTGACTTCGGCATCCCCAGCGCTAGTTATGCGCATACAGTTTGACAAACAGAAACTACAGCCCTAACTCAGAGGACGTTTACTATACATGCCACTTGCAAATTCTTCTGAAATACTGATTTGCAATGCATGCTCTGGCCAACAGCAACATTACCTGGGCAGTGCAAGTGAAAAGAAGCTGTACCATCAGCAGCAGCACTAAGGATAACATGCAAAAACAAAGCATCTGATAGCAGGTTATGGATATAGGCATCAAACACAAGAACACACAAACTGATTTGACACACAAATGATGCGGGAGGGAAATTGCTTTCACAGCAAACATACTTAGCTTCCTCCACTACTTCCACCTCAGTACGTGCTGCAATTTGTACATTGGAAGGTGCTCCTGTTGGTTCATCGATGTTCAACTCACCATTGGTCGAGCTTACCACCTTAAAAAAATAGAAACAAAGCCCTGACATTAATATGAAAACATAGCCCCAGTTTGTGTCACACGCATTGGCACATTAAATTAAGTGAAAAGGAAACTTGGTGCTCAGAAAGGAAGTTCTCTGCAAACATTCCAGCAGTTTTTGTTTTTTTCTGATTAGGATATACTTAAAAAATGTGTGAGACATAGAATGAATTCTGCAGAGTACTAGTTTATGAATCTTAAGGCATTAATTTTTATACCTCTAGCCTAATTTGGGATCAAGAGGGTTCCAATGACAGAGAAGATCCACAGTGCTCTGAAATAATCAGTGGACGCATCATCAAAAAGAAAGAAAGCAGTGCAGGTGGTCAAAATATACATATAGTGTGCATGACCAAAGTTTGCCTGTATAAAACTGTCTGAGGAGTGATGGCTTCTCTCTCTCTCTCTCTCTCTCTCTCTCTCTCTCTACTATGTAGAAACTACAGAGTGAAATAACGATTGAAGCTGGGACCTACATGTGAAGCACATGGTCTGTCCACAAGTTTTGCTCTGCTTAGAAAGAGGGGTTTGTTTTTTAGGGGTTTTGCTTTGCTTTGCTTTTTTCACATGTATGAAGGTAAATGGACTACTAAGAATCTGTGGGCTATTAGTTTTGTTTGCTTATTTTCAACACTACCTTGGAAGCATTGATTTCTCTTTACCAAATGTTCAAGCAATTCTGGTTGGTGAGGGGAGGAAGCAGATATCAGGGTAGCTGTAGCCAGATACCAGACAGCAGCAGCCTCCTTGTATACTCTCCACAAAAACTCATCTATTTCCTTATTGCCTATTTCAACTTACTTCTATTATCCTGACCACTTTCAGATTTCTTGTCTCTCAGTTCTAAAACAGACTTTGCATACTCATGTATTTATTTATTGCAGGGAGGTTGTCATGCAATTCCACTGAAGTCTCAGAACAACTGCCTTCCTGTTTGAGATTCTGGGTCCTCTGGTCTGAAACTTTTTGCTCCCAAGGTTTGAGGCTTTTTAGTTTACTTTTTAAAAAGTGAGTAAGTGGGTGGGGAAATCACAAAGTTGTATAAAATCATGCATGGCATGGAGAAAGTGAGTGAGATGAACACTAGGGATCAACCAAGGAAGTTGTCAACAATAAATGAACAGTCAACAATAAATAAAGTTCCTGGTACAGAATAATAGAATACAAGAAAGAGTAAATCCTATTGTGCTATTGAGTGAAATTTAACTCTTAAGAAAATAAAGGTAATAGCTTTATGAATAGTTCTAAACTTCTACTTTCCTCTTTCTCCCCCTTTCTAGCTACATAAATTATTTTTTCTTTAATGATAATTACACCTTATTTATAACTTTGTTCTACCCGATACATGTATTTATAGCATTTGTTTCTAAGACACTGTGGAAAAACCATAAGCACGGTAATATTAGTTACAAAATAAAAGTATCTGGAAGACACTAAAACAAAATCTGGAAAAAAAGAAACAAACTCTGTCTAAAGAATCAACATAGACAAATGGTGACATCACACTTGCCTACCAAACACTCTCATACAACACCAAACTGAGGAAATCTGTGTCCCGGAGATATTCTGAGTACAGACAAAGTTCTCATACTGTGCTGCCTTATACCTTGTGACAGGCAATTCACACATTTTAGCTGAAGCATCAAGTTAACCAAATATGCACCAGAATGTGGTGCATATGAACGTTACAAGGAAGTGACTGCGGTAGAAAAGATGTGTGGAACAGAGAAGGACAATACCTGTACTGATCCCCCATGCCGATCTGAAGTTAAGTGAGATTGCAGAAACAAAGCATTGGCTTGTCGCATTGGTGCCATTTCCCATTCTCCGCGACGTTCTGATGCAGACTGCATAGGCATTTGCAAGCACAGAGCAAAAAGACAGGAGGGAAGGCAAAGGTAAACCAGAGCAAAGCAATGCTTTATTTTAAAAAGCACATGGTCAGCTCGCTGTAGGGTGGGCACCGAGAAGCAAAGCAATGAAGAAGTATTCATTCTGACAAGTCTACTCCCAACCGTTTGCACAGAAGCCAAAAGCAGTAAATACCAAAGTGGACTTCCTATTGTGTGTGGGGGGGGGGATCCAGGGCAAGTCTCTGTTATCAAACATTTTAAAGGTTAGCCAAGCCTACTGGCAGTCACACAATCTCTCACACATGTGTACATAGTTTATAGATATATACACACGCATCATAGGTCCAAGTATAAACCTCTCTTCTCAGCCTGCAGTGGAAATGCAGATCACTGCATTACAGCGATGGGTAGAGAGATTTAAAGCCATCCTAATACTGCAATGGGGAATAAAGTCCTATCTTGCAAAAAGAGTCTCTCCTTTCTTCAAAGCCTGACATTCACCATTATATATCACTCATTTCAAAAATACAGTAAAGCAGATTAACAGGAAAGATTCCTAAATACAGGATAATATTAATTAATCAGCCTTCCTACCACCCCAATCACTCAAGAAACAGAATTAACAGTCTTTTCTCTGTATGTCCCTCTTTATAAATTAAGGTTTCAGTAATGATTTGAGTGGAAAGTTATAGCTGAAACAATGTTATGCTAACAAACCTGATTTCGGAGAGGCTGCATCGATGATCGATCCCTATGTGCATGGATGTCTCTTGTTACAGATGGTCCAGACTCCACATGCATGGGCCCCACTGGAGTGGGCTGGAAAAGAAACACACATACAAAAAGAATTGACCCACCAGGTGACTCTCAAACAATCTGTTGACTTAACAACTAGAGCAGATATTTTTTGAGTAGAGACCAAACAGATGCTGTCCCCCATCTTCAATTAATGATCTTGCTGCTTTCAGCCAGTGGCCTACAGCTTCTTCAAGACAAAGAGCCACACCTGAAATCTCATGCTATCCAGCTGGCCACAAAAATGCACGTGTTTAACATCTACATGAATGTGGTAGATGCCACACTGCTGTTCTGAACTTCTCCTCGTTCTGGACACTCCCCCACCTTCCTGGAGGTTTAATCTTCCCCCGATAATGATGGACAAATGTCTCTTCAGAACATTTGAGGTTTGCTCTTCGACTCCCTCTTGGTCCGAGAGGAGAGTCTGGCAGTCAGATTGATTCACCCACCCTCACCCACTGGTCACATTTGACCCTCTAAAGGTTGGGGAGATAACAATCTGCCTGCAGGCTGGAAAAGTTCCTCAATGCTGCCACACATGGCTGAAGGCAGGGAACAGATATGTAACATGAAAATAAGCTTATGGAGAATTTAGTTGATAAGGGAAAGGAGAAAAGGCAACTAAGTCATACTAATAAAGAAGCAGAAATGAGCACAAACAGTTACAATCGGTCATATCTGACAATCTACGGTTCTGGAGGAGAGCCAAGAAAATATGCATTCTGTCATCCCTCCAGTCACAATGCAAGAGCACCAATTGCATGTACATTACAATACTACTTGTTCGGAAATACACATTTAGTAACTTGAAGAAATAAAAATGTTTGGAGCCTCGAACACGTATATGGCTTTGCAGTAAAGTTTTCAATGTACAGCAAAAAGGTCATCTTGTGTTCTCAGCTCATCATGAAGTGATTACTTGCAATGTAACTGGCATTTAAAAGGGACATTATAGAAAGAGCAACAGTCAAGAAAAAAAGGAACATGTCACTCAGCTCCAACATACAATTGGCCTGCCAACCCAGTCGTAGGCGTAATCAAAGGTGAATCCTCTCTTTTCAAATAACTCTGTGAAGATTGTTCGTAGATAATCATAGTCTGGTCTCTCGAAGAAGTCTAATCGTCTGACATAACGAAGATAAGCTGCCATCTCCTCTGTTAAAGGGAATTAGGAAGAAGCAACATCAGATAATCTGTTCAGAAAGAAGTAGAAGCAGAATACATTTCAACATTACCTACTGGTCGGATTAATCCCCTAAGATATAAACCTACAAAAGTAGATGAGGGAGTCAACAAACCTGTACCACTGGTAGGATGATATGCAGTCACAATTTCCAAATGGTTCTCCTTAGTACACTTGAGGCCATTTAGACATATGAAAAGGCAAACTTTCAGGTAGCAAAAATACATACTGAAGAGCGGTTTAGAGAGGAGGAAGCATTTACACCAGACCTCCCAATTCTCTCAGTGGACATCAACATAAAAATACACATTTTTTCAAGTGTACTACCTCAACAGTTCTGGGTAGGTTAAAGCATGTTTATATTAAATAGATGGGCTCCTGTCTTCAAAACAAGGGCCCACAAGCCAAGTTACAAAGAGAGACAAAAGCAAATGAAAATAATGAAGAATAGCTGCATTTTAAGAGCTATTTGAGTCTAGGTCCTTGCCACAACGTTCTGTTGATGTCAGTGTGCTATAATCAGATGCAGGGAACAGAGCCTACACTGCTAATCTGGAGTCAGTAATAACCCAAACAAGGCCACAAATGTTTTGAACAATAGCTCAACATACTGTATTCTTCTGTGTATAAGACGCTATTTTTTCCCTATTTTTTCAAGTTTAAAAATGGGGGTCGTCTTATACACAGATAGTGCATATGGGGGATGTCTTTATTTGGAGTTCCAAAAAATGGGGGTCTTGTTATACACGGGGGCATGTTATACACAGAAAAATATGGTATGCTGCTCAGAAGTTTAAAGGGCTACTTGATTTAAATCAGTCACAACCTGCTGGTCTTGAATGTTCTTTGAGGTACAGCACCTCTGCTGACCTACATATGTATAATGACGAGCAATATGACAGCTATCAAACAGCAAAGAGGTATTTCTTCCCATTGTTAATTATGTTGCACTTGCATGCTTGACTAAAAGAAAGAGTGGGTGCAGGTAATTCTCTCCCCGACCCTCCCCGATGACATCAATAGCAATCAGATTGTTTGAAGTCCACACAAGTCTAAAATAGAGTATCTTCAGGTTCATCACACTTATCCAATGACTCACAGACTTAAGAAGCCTATTCAGAGCCTCTACTGCCTCCCTAGGATTCAGTGAAAATGAGACAGAGTTGGGTGCTAGTGTGCTAACAACACCACACACCTAGTCTCCTAAGAACCCAAGGAGGACTGGAACCACCAAAGGCAATGCCCATGAGGTCCACATTGGAAGATGTCCCAGATGGACCCCATTCACAGTCCATGATATTGGATGTTACCACTGAGAGTTCTAGAAGAAACAGTGAAGAAAAACATTCCTCCCAATTCATTTTCCAGCAATCAAGACACTTTCTATCCTTGAAATGGGTCAACAACCATGTTTGCTAACTTGTCACTCAGCTACTCACATCACCATTCTAGGGCCCTACCTATCAGAAATAATCAATTCCAAAGAAGCGCATGGAGGACTGTAGCCATATGCAGGCTACAAAAGAAAGCAGGCTCTCTAGTACATAGCAGAGTTGTTGTGAACTTGACCAGACTGATTTACTCAATGCTAGGACTGGCACTTATCATTAGCCAGGTGGCTGCAAGCAATCATTTAAAACCAGGGAAGGGTAACCTGTGGCTCTCTGGATGTTAATGGACTCCAACTCCCAGAAGTCACAGCCATTATGGTCAATGGTCAGGAATGATCAAAATAGTTACCCAACAACACTTGGAGAGTCACAGGTTAAACACAAGTATCACTGAAATTTATAGCCAACTCTGATGTTAGCCATACATTGAACAAAGAATCCAAGCATACCAGTAGGAACACATTTGTTCCAACACTTGAAATGCTGCTTTAACAAGAGCCTGGTTCCTATTTTCAGAAGGCACCTTGCACAGAAGATACACCACCCACTATGAAACTTACCTGGGAAGTTCTCACAGAGAACATCAATTGGAGTGTTCCTCTTTGTGTCCCCAATCTTCTGGTATCTCTCTTTTAATGTATCAGCCTGTGTAAGGCAAATATATATTTTAAGAGGGTTAGGCTACGCAGTAAGGCAAGCCACTCTTTTCCTCTCTCTGCCTCCCATGTGCAACATGGTGATAATATTGACCTATTTTATCAAGTTGTTGCAAACTAAGATTATGCAAAGCCATTTGAGCACTATAAAGTGCCATATACACATTACTTGTTACTACTATTGCATGAACAGGTCTGCATGTGCAAGCTCGCACAACATGGCTTTCCTGCCAGCTCCTTGACCCATTACAGCCAGTCTGCACCCTCTCCAAAGCTCCTCTTTCTACACAGCCCAGAAAAGGGGTGTTTGAAGTTATATAAATGCTCTTTACAAGAACATTTACTCTAAGACCATTACTATCTATAATGCATGATAATCAGCAAGTTGAGAGCGACTCTACTAAACTAATTATCTCCTTCACCCATTAACTCTCTAACCCTTTGCTGTATTCATCCTGACAAAGGACTTCCATCTGCACCACAGCACAGCTCATCAAGCATCTGTTTACAACAGAAGATCTAAAAAGGATGGGAGCCTGATCCTTCCCACCCAATAAAAGCCTATTCCAGATTTTTCTCCTTTATTTGCACACTAGACCTCTTTTTTGTTACTGTTCCTTAATGAGGTTCCAAGAACAAAACAAGGGGAGTTGATGCTAAACCTCTGTGTGGGAGGCCTCCTCCTTTGTGGGCTGACAAATTGGATGTGAGGGACTCCAGCTGTGAAGTGGACAGGAGGGGCTAGGCAGATGAAGAAGGACTATACAGAGAAAAATCAGGCAAAATGAAAACGGGAACTAAAGGGAAGCTTGAAAATGCAGGTAGGTAGCTGTGTTGATTTGCCGTAGTCGAAACAAAATAAAAAAAACCCCTTCCAGTAGCACCTTAGAGACCAACTAAGTTTTTTATTGGTATGAGCTTTCATGCGCATGCACACTTCTTCAGATACCTGAAGAATATTTGGTCTGTAAGGTGCTACTGGAAGGATTTTTTAAATTTTGTTTTGAAAATGCAGTTGATCTGCACTGGGGCAAAATGAGGACAAGAGATGCAGCAGGAGAAGCATGTCTTGCAGTCATATTTAGCTGCTCAGTAAGGAATATGTCAGCAATTAAAAACAAAAGGGCAAGACATGCAACTTCCCCTGGCTGACTATCAGGATTAAATTCAAAGTTGACTAGCAAACTGAAGAGTATCATAGTGAGTGGAGCTTGGGCAATGAACCAATCAGAGCCAGCTTGCCCATGAAGACGGGTGAAATGCCCGCCTCAGGTGGCAGAAATGCATGAGGTGGCGCCCCACCACTTCCACTGCCATAAGGGAGACGTTCTAGCATCCAAACATTGCCTCTCATCTTCCCCGCACCTCTGGGGAGGGAGAAGCCAAGCAGTAATGCTTTGAGGGGTGCCCTGGTTCCTGCCAAGTTTGGCAAGTTCAAAGACATTTCTGTGTGACATGCTGCCACTTGGCTCCCACTTCCCCAATGGGGGGTGGGGTGGGAGAAGCCAAATGACAACATTTTGAGGAGTGCCCCAGCCCCTGCAAAGTTCAGTAAAATCCAAGGCGCAGAAGTAGTAGTGTTGGGGGGTAAGGAGTGAAGACAGGAGGTGGGATATCCTATTTTGCCTCAGGTGGTGAAACAGGAAGAGCCACCCCTGCCACCAGTTATCACTGCCCAAAGCCATGTTTTCTTAAAAACTGTATAGTCGTACCTTGGTTGACGAACGTCTTGCGAGTCAAAAGTTTTAGCTCCCAAACACCACAAACTCGGAAGTGAGTGTTCCAGTTTGCTAACGTTCTTTGGAACCTGAACATCCGACACGGCTGACGCTGCAGCCAATCGGAAGTCGCGCCTTGGTTTCCGAATGTTTTGGAAGTCGAACAGATTTCCAGAACGGATTCCATTCGACTTCCAAGGTACCACTGTACAGGTAAAGCTCTACATCAAACAGGAAGTATCTGCCGGCAGCTATTATACTGAGCAACACACTTTAGCAAATACCTTAAGGCCTTGCCAGGGCAAACTGCCTCGAAGGAAATACATGAACATATGTCCAAGGGCTTCCAAGTCATCTCGACGACTTTGCTCTGAAAAGATGTAAGAAAATGCACCACTGCTTTATCCGCTCTATCAGAAATGCCTACTAAATTACATTCCTAGCTCTGGCACAATGTGGAAAACATTTGTAGGCATCAGGGAGCACACAAGGGGATATTTGTCAAAGACTCCTGATTGGCCATGAAGTCTTAGTGTAGATTTATTCTCTATTTACAAAAAGACATCCCTGCTTCATGCTCTATGGATGAACTGGCTCCAAATCTAGATACAGCTATTTCATTAAAGTGGTCTTTAGCTTATTGCAAGTCAGGAATAAAAACCCCAGGACTATGGTAAAAATAGGATTTACAGTGGTACCTCGGGTTAAGTAGTTAATTCATTCTGGAGGTCCGTTCTTAACCTGAAACTGTTCTTAGCCCGAAGCACCACTTTAGCTAATGGGGCCTCCTGGGGCTGCTGCGCCGCCGGAGCACGATTTCTGTTCTCATCCTGAAGCAAAGATCTTAACCTGAGGTACTATTTCTGGGTTGGCAGAGTCTGTAACCTGAAGCGTATGTAACCTGAGGTACCACTGTATAGGGTTGCTTATGCAACCTCTACAAGATGGATAAATGTGTCCTTTCAAGTATGACATAGCCTATGCTGTGAAGCTTCCAAGATATTCAACGGAGTACAGTGCACTCTACTAGTGTGAGGACAAAGTATTACAGGGAATGAGAAGTCAAGATTGCAAGGACAGTAAAACAGCAAAAGCTCCAAAGAAGCCCATGTGGATCACGCAAGTGCAACTAAGGCATTTACATAAGTAGCCAAACAAGAAGCACTCTGGAAGCTAAATAATGCTTTGGGTGTTTTCTGCTAGAGCTGGCTTACAGGTTGACATAAAACAACACAAACACTGATTTGCTAAAAATCTATTTCAGAGTTTCAAAAAGCTATCAATACCAAAACAGCTAAGGACAAAACTGTGTGTATATGGGCAAGAGCAAAATCCAAATGGAACTAAAAAAGTGCAAGGAAACTATTGAAGAGCTAATCAGATGAAAGCCATTAATGGACAAAATGAAAAGCTACTGCTGTTGGTAGGTTTTCATTTGGTCTGGTAAAGGCTATTTTATGTATATTATTTGTAATCAACATACCGTATTTTTTTGTGTATAAGATTATATTTTTTCCTAAATTTTTGAAGTTTAAAATAAGGGATCGCCTTATACATGGATAGTGCATAGTGCATTTTCTTAATTTTGAGTCCCCCAAAATAGCGGGTGTCTTATACACGGAGGCATCTTATACACTGAAAAAGACGGTATTTATTAATATTCTTAATAATGAAATTTAAATATATTTGTATAAAAAGGTGCTACTGACAGGTAGGCATGCAAAATTATGCAACAGTAGCAACAAAATGTCTTTCAAATTGTAAGCCTGAGGACAGAGTCTTCTTCCACTTAAGAGCAGGATAAAAATGCTTTGAAAACACACAAAGAGCATTCAAATGTCTCATTTTTTATAACATCTGAAAATGTTTTAATGGCATAAGTTCTGTAGAAAAGAGCCTGAGCTCTTCCGCTAATACAGATGAAGTAATACATAATACAGATGAAGTAAGATACAAAGGTATCGTAACAAACCTTTGCCAAGATGGGTGTTGATGGACATATATCTGGCTGTTCCAGTTAGACTCTTGTGTTCCCTGTAAGGTATGTGTTTTTGGGTTTCAGGATCAATGTACTCCTTGGCCAGTCCAAAGTCTATTATGTGGATGATGTGTTCTTTCTTATTTCCTTGTCGTCCAATAAGGAAGTTTTCTGGCTTGACATCTCGATAAATGAGATTCTTTGAGTGCACAAATTCCATTCGAGAGATCTGTAAGACCAGACAGTATTAAAATGCCTTTAATTACAAAACTGTCAAGAGTGTGTCAATTATTCAAGAGCTAGTGTACATTAAAGTGTAAGTTAACATCATTCCCAGATGTTAAAATACCTTAATAGAAAAGAAATAATGCAGTGTTTTTTATAGAAGAAAACCATCTGCCAAGGAACCCTCAAGGTGTTCCAGAAGATTCTGAAGTATGATCTACATAAGAGAATCAGTTCATGAATGGCTCTGAGCACGCCGGTTGTCATTGTTGCCCCACATGAACAGACAGGCAGAACATCCTCAACATCCCAAGGAATAGGAAGCTTGACAGCAATTGGTAGCAAGCCAACTTCTAGGAGCCTTGTTCATCATTACTCATCTGACTGATAACACCTCTTATAAGCTTCAAGAAATCCCAGAGTTCCATACAAGTTTGAATGCCACTTCTCTAATCCATGTTCTGCTTTCCATCATCATCAGACTCTTGAATACTAGAAGTTATCTAGTGCAACCTACTCTTCAACTCGTACACATTTAACATGATGCACTTGTAATCAATCTGACCAGCTTGACACGTTCCACCATTTGAAAGTGCCCAAACTGTATTTTGGGAACCAAACCTTACATACAGGACCAGCTAACTTTCATTTCCTTGTCTGCCACCAGGCCTGGTAATATAACTGTAGTCCATGCGGTTGTAACCTCAAGGCTGGAATACTGCAATGCACTCTTATGTGGAGCTCCCTTTGGCCTGGCTCAGAAACTCCAACTGGTGCAGAATGTGGCAGTAGGACTGCAGATAAGCACCTGACATGTGATACCATTACTAAAACCTCTACACTGGCTGCCCATTACTACTGAGCCAGGCTAAAGGCCCGTGTTTTAGTTTACAAAGCTCTTAACTATTTAATTCCAGGGTATCTTTGGGACTGCCTGATCCCTTACATCCCAGCTTGATCACTGACACATGAAGAGGAGTTGTTGGTCAATCCCCAAGTTTGTGAGGCTCATTTGACTGCAATAAGAAACCAAGCCTTTAATACAGGGTTTGGCAAACTACGGCCCCTGGGCCGGATCAGGTCCACCTGGGTCCTAAATCCGGCCCACACTGCAAAGCCAGAACCCACTGCAAAGCCAAGACTCCCAGCGATGGTGACGGGAAGAAGAGGCCGAGCGGTGGCGGCTCTGCCAATCAAACACTGTGCTTGGTTTACCTCAATGCAGCGACATCTCTGCCAATCAAACGCCGCACCTGGTTTACCTCAGCGGCATTTGACTGGCAGAGACGTCCCTGCGCCGCACTGAGGTAAACCAGGCACAGTGTTTGATTGGCAGAGCCGCCGCCGCCTGGCTTCTTCCTCCCGTTGCCGCCCTGGTGCTCCTGTGGGCCAGAGAGTGGTGAGGACAAGCTCACTCTGCCTACCCACTTCACAAGAAGCAGACGCAGCGGCAACGGCGGTGGTGGCGGTGGCAGCCCCCTCTGGGAAGGTAAGCGCAGAGCCTTCTTTCTCTGGGCGGGGAGGAAGCCCGTTTCGCACCACTGCTGCCAGCCCTTCAGCGAATGAGGCAGGCGGCAAACCGAGGTGGCTGGGGCTGGGGCGGGGAGGAGGACTACTGACCCCCCTTGCAGTGTGGATATATAGTCCAGCTCTCCACAAAGTCTGAGGGACAGTGGACCAGCCCCCTACAGAAAAAGTTTGCTGACCCCTGCTTTAGTAACTATCACCAGCCCAGTCTTGTGGAATACTCTGCCAACAGATTCAGCAGGCACCTTTCATTTCACCTTTTGAACACCTGTTGAAAACTTTTCTATTCTGTCAAGCTGAAATAGACGATTATGAATATATCTTTCCATAATACATAGCTGATTTCTAATTTTTATATTTTAAATGGTCTTTTTGTATATACTGTTGTAAACCACTGATATTTTTCACAACCACCAGATATGCTGGCTGGGGTTGATGGAATCTGGAGACCAATGATATCTGAAGGGCCACAGGTTCACTAGCACGACATATGCAATCAATAATCCTTTCTAAACATCAACAAGAACATAAATCATTCCATTCAGTTCTTGATATGTTCTTGATATGTTCAAATCTTGCTGTCTAAAGTGAACAAAGCATAGTAAACAAACCATTTATACTTACTGAGTTACTGAAGATTAACTCAACTAAGTAAAACTAAGAAGCAAGAAAAAAACCCAGGGAACTAAACAAATAAATCACACACAAACACTTACTTTTCTTGAAAACTGAAAGTTAGCATAGTGCAAGGGAAGCCTGTTCCCATCAGCCCAAGTCAGCACAGCCAATGGTCAAAGATGATGGGAGCTATAATCCAACAACATCTGGAGACACTCTGTTGGCTACTCCCCATGTAAGGGTTAATATGTAGTTTCCTGAACCATTTGTTAATATTAGGAAATCATGTAAAATTGTAAGCCAAAGACTGCGAAATCAGCACAAACTATTCTTTTACTCACCAGCTGGATTGCTATCATTAAGACTGTCTTCAGAGTGAATGTTCTATCACAAAGGTCAAATAAGTCCTCCAAACTTGGACCAAGGAGCTCAAGTACCATGGCATTGTACTTTCCACACGGCCCATAGTAAAACACCTGGGGGAAGCCTTCAACTGAAAGTATACAAAACATACTTTTGGAATACATCCAGATGGTTGCAGTAGCATCATTACTATTGTATGAAAACTACCAAAGCCAACAGATTTTACTTATGCCAGTCAAATTCTGTCACAAAAATGGTTCTGAAATTTATCTATCAATTGTTCTCCCCACCACACCACATGAAACCCTTTCAATTAATTTGTGAAGAAGTGGTGGTGGTTGTGTGTTGCTTTTTTGTAGAGCTGGTGTGCAGTAGGACAGTAATAATCACAATCCATCAAACTTTACAGCTGGTATCTAAGAGCTACTTGGATGGGTGCAACGGTTTCTTCATGCTGACCAGGATATTTTACCCTTTTTTATTTAAGCAAACCATATGACATCACAAAACTGCTTTTCAAACTCCCCCACAAATTTCACTTTCAGAAATGGCTCACAGAGCATGGGAAGATGCTATCTGAGACATCAAAAGTTTAAAGCTCCCTTGGGCATACAGAACTGACTGATCCTAACTAGTACAGTCATATCTTGGTTCTCGAACAGAATGCGTTCCAGGAATCCGTTCGACTTCCAGAACTGTTTGAAAACCAAGACGTTTTCAATCAGAAGCCGTGGAAGCCACATTGGATGTTCGGCTTCTGAAAAACATTTGAAAACCAGAATACTCCCGGTTCATTTCGGAGCCGAAACATAAGAGTTCTGGGGTATTACAGAACCAAGGTACAACTGTATCTCTGTTACAAGAACAAAAGAGTCACGCTGGATCAGACCAAAGCCCAACTATTCCAGCATCCTGTATCCCACAGTGGTTTATCAGATGCCTGCTGGAAGCCCACATGTCCTCAGGACATGAGGACAATAGTACTGTATTTTTCGCTCTATAGGATGCACCGGCCCATAGGACGCACTGCACCATAGGAGGGGGAGAACAGGGGGGGAAATTTTTTTTCTTGTTCTCCCCCTCTAAAACAAGGTGCGTTCAAGGTGCATTCACTCAAAGCCTCCGGAGCGCAGCGGGAGTTCCCGCTGCGCTCTGGAGGCTTCAGGCGGCTACCATCCCCAAGCTAGAACAGCGAGACCGTCTCACTGTTCTGGCTTCCGGGACAGCCTTTCTAGCCTCTGCGGGGCAGCGGGGTGAAGGCACCTCGCTGCCCTGCAGAGGCTTTGCGTGCAGCCATCCCCAAGCTAGAAGAGTGAGACGGAGCGCTCCGCAGCACTCCGTCTCCCTGTTCTGGCTTTGGGCTTAGCCGCGCAGCCTGCATTTGCTCTATAGGACGCACACACATTTCCCCTTAATTTTTGGAGGGGAAAAAGTGCGTCCTATAGAGCGAAAAATACGGTACTTGCTCACTGTTGTTTCTCAGTGACTGGTATTCAGAGACAAGCTCTCTCTAATCCTGGAGGTAGAACATAGTCATGGTTAACAGCGGTTGGCTGATACTTTATCCTCCAAGAATTTATCTAGCCCATTTCAAAGCGACCCAAGTTCTGTTTCATGGACCAATTCTCAGCCATAAAATACTATCCCCAAGCAAAGCTTCCAGACAATAGGTTTCCAGTCCTGGAAGTCAATGCCACACGTAAATTTAGTATCTACTGCTCTGTTCTTTGGCTGGGCTGTGAAGATCAAGTAGCATTTTCTTTATTTTGATGCCTACCCTACCCTACATAACAGACATCTTATGTCTTCAAAGAGCATGCCTGGTCAAACAAAGGAATTTATGCAGCAAGATGAAGTGGCGTCCATTGGCTTAGATGGCTTTAAAAAGAGGGCTGGGCAAACTCATGAAGCATAGCACTATCGATGGCTACTAGTCATAGTGGCTCTATGCTACCCTCCAGGATCAGAGGCAGTATAATATCCTGCTTCTAGGAAGCCATCTGGTTGACCACATTTGGAAACCAGGTGTTGGGACTAGAGATGTTCTGATCCAGCAGGACTGTTCTGGGTGTATCGTGTATCACACATGTGTTATGGCAATCACATCTGTTTTCCAGTATACCAGCTACAACCCTTAAGTCAGATCTATTATACGTGCCTTCTACATATATTTTCTCAAAGTTACCTACTAACAGAAAAAAAGAGTTCCCTTTATGCTTGGGATACAAAGGTAAACAAATCTTGAGGACTGTGGTAGTGCATCAAAATTGCAATTGTCAGATCAGCCAAGGACAAACAGTGGTCTCCAGGAATGATATTAATGGGGTTTCAAATACCATATTTTTTGCTCTATAAGACTCACTTTTTCCCTCCTAAAAAGTAAGGGGAAATGTTTGTGCGTCTTATGGAGCGAATACAGGCTGTGCAGCTATCCCAGAACCCAGAACAGCAAGAGGGATCACTGCTTTTGCTGCGCAGCAATCCCTCTTGCTGTTCTGGCTTCTGGGATTCAGAATATTTTTTTTTCTTGTTTTCCTTCTTCAAAAACTAGGTGTGTCTTATGGTCTGGTGCGTCTTATAGAGCGAAAAATATGGTACATCAACTACAAGTTAAATACTCTCCTTTTATTATCATTTCTAGCGATGAGATTACTTACCTGTGCAGCCAATGTGTTTATAAAACCTATACTCTAAATGCAGCTGTGGGGCACGAGATTTTAATGGCTCCTACAAAAACAGAATGAAAAAATAGTCAAATTAAATGGAACTCTATGGCAGCCTTAGCATCTCTCAAACTTGGAAAACCACCTAGGACTAGGATTTAATTTGACTGGCTTTGAAGAACTGCTATTAAATCCTTGCCCTTTGAATTTCCAACACAAAATATCAGGTGTGAATTCATGAGAGGCCAACTTCAATGTAGGCAAAAACTGAAGATAAGCAGCTACATGGTCACAATGTCAGATAGGAAGGAGCCTAATATTAAGCATCTGTCAAAGAACTTAATTTGGGTCATTAATCTGAATTACATACATGATATTTCATATATGTATGTATGTATGTTACCTGCCTTAAAATCTGCGGATGAAGGGAAGGATATAAGTTAAACAAATAAATAAGTTAGAAAGAAGTGACCATTCACTAAAAAATATTATTAAGATACATGGCAGGTTAATAACAAAACAGCTTTCCAAATCTCTTTATGGAAGCATTTCATGAATGTGTTTACAACAGGGAAGTGTTCTACCAAGAATTTAAAAGACAACAGTTTACAGAGATGTCCAGGAAAGCATAGTCTAGATCAACGGGAGAATAATCTAAACTCCTAGTTTGCTTAACACTCAGAATTTCAGAAATGTTTAAAAATTGTACATCTACTCACCAGTTTGATTGCTACGTATTCATTTGTATAAAGATTTTTGCCTGCAATGGAAACAGAGACACAATAAACATCACAATGGTGACAGGTAAGTCAGTATTGCTAGTTTTTCAGGTTTCCAGAATGAAAAGAGGTTTACTCCAGTCTTCACCAACCTGGTCTCTCCAGATATTAGGGCTACAAGTACCATCAGCCCCAGTCAATACGGCTGTGCTGGCTGGCACTGATGGCAGTTGTAGTTCAAAACATCTAGTCTGCTGTATAACTGAATCAATTAAATCTGACTACAGTCATATTTTGGAAGTCAAATGGAATCCGTTCCAGAAGTCCGTTCAACTTCCAAAATGTTTGAAAACCAAATTGCGGCTTCTGATTGGCTGCAGGAAGCTCCTGCAGCCAATCAGAAGTCACAGAAGCCCCGTTGGACATTTGGCTTCCAAAAATAGTTCACAGACTGGGACACTCGCTTCTGGATTTGTGATGTTTGGGAGCCAAAACATTTGGGAACTAAGCTGTTCAAAAACCAAGATGTGACTGTATGTTATTATGAGTATGTTGTTTATGTGCCAAAAATAATTATATACAATATTAGAGGGGCTAATGTGCAATTCACCTATTCTTTATCACCCATTGTTTTAGAACATAAATTCTTCAATGTTTTAATGTTTCTTTTATATACATTTAATAATACAAAACTATTCAGAGAAAAGTATGGCCAAGAATGTCCCTATGTAGGGGGGGAGGGAACCAAACAAAAATGTTTTTTTAAAGAAAACTGAGCCTAAACAAACTTAAACAAACCCAAGTTTCACATAAGCACAAAGGTCTTGAAACTGTCAGCTAGATTGCCTACTTCATTTATATACTATTGCTAGTTTAAAGTGTATGCATGACAGTCAATTAAAATATAATTTATATCCAACTTTTATATGAACTACCTCATGCTTATACTTTTCTTCAGAAGCATAACTGAAATTTGAGTTTAAATAAAATTCCTCATTCTTTTGAGGCTCAAATAAAATCACGATAAATGAAACCCTAGTGAGGTTTATTTTACTCCCCAACTAAAACTTGCTGTAAAGTCTTTCCCAAGTAGTGTATCAGCTACAGAGTAAACACAAAGTCCAACCTCTTTGGGGCGAGGGGAGAAAGGTGAAGAAAGAGCATTCATGTTACGAGGAAGCAACAGTCAAAATTAGGAGCTGCCTACCTGCCCTTTGGTGTTTGGGGCAGGAGAAAAATTAAGGGTCCTGGACAGAGGAGGAAAATATAGGCATGTGTCTTGAATTCAGAATATAAGATTTAAGTTGACTGAACAAGCAAACCACTGATTAGATGTGCAAATCAAACAAGTTATTGATTAGATTTGCATATGGGTAAAAGTATATCAGAAGAAGCACAATTCATTTATTTTTAGATGATGCACATGTGTCATAGCAGAAACCTTAGCATTTCTTTTATGTGTGAGAAAACAGAGAATGTATGGGATTATGGCTGGACAAACTGCCTCATTAGCATTGAGAATTTCAGAGAATTGTGGATGAAATAGTATCTGCATGCATTATAGCTACCTAAGATGTTTTATATGGTGAGTAGCAGGTGCTGTTGGTGTGGACAGGGGAAGGCTGACTTTGTCCTTAGCTGGTGGTTTTACCCAGAAGCAAGAAAGTTTAGGAATAATATTGTACACACGGATCCCGCTATCAAAACACTTGTTATGTGAAATCTCAGTTATCTGAACACAAAGAATTATACGCAAACTTCACTACATAAGGCTGGCTCAGATATCCGAACAACTGGAGTTTGCCTACCTTCTTACTTGTTTGTGTTTTGCTGGTTGGAGGAAGCAATTTTAGGCAGAAACCATGTGGGGGAGGGGGAGGGAGAGAGATCAGACAAATCAGTTTTTCCTTTGTTTGCCTTTAGCTGATTGGCTGCTGCAGTTTCAGGCAGAGTGGAGGGAGGTAGCAGGAAATGGAAATGTTCAGGAAATGTTCCCATAGGAAATAATGGATATCATCATCTCATTTTAAGAAACAGCATTCTGCAGCAACCAGTTAAACCAGTACAAACTGGTGGGTATTATACTGGGCTTTAATTATTTTATCTGCTCTAAAAAATAAAAGCAAAATAACTGCTTGTTTATATGGGAAAATTTCATTTAGCAGTATTATGGAACAGAAAATTATATACTGTAGAATTCTGAAAAACAGCCGCTCAACAAAGAACTGCATTAAGCATTGTTTATAAATTTACATAAGCTTCATCATTTTCTGTATATATGGAAATTATTTAGCTAAACCAAGTTATGTATAGTAAAAAATAGCATATTAAAAATTCCTGAGCAGAAAAAAGGGGGGGGGAAAGAAAGATGTCACCCAAGTAAAGAAGTGTTAATTATAAGTTTCATATGAAACAATATGAAAAACATACGTTTTGGATGAGGTATGTATATACTGCAGCAAAAACTGCCTTAGAAAGGGCATCCCCCTTACACAGGAGACAGGGAAATGCCTTTCCTAAGGTGACACCTGCTATCTGAAGTTTTGACATGTACTGTACATTAATTGCACAATTAGGGACACCTTTTTAGCTGATCAAAAGATTTTAACTAAATAGTGTAGCCCTGTTTACAACCTGTGAAAGTTATATGCTCTTACCTAGCCTGAGCTCTCCGAAATTTCCACTGCCTATCTTCTTGCCAACTCTGAAATTGGGCCCAACCATAAGAACACCAGAGGCTGAAGTGGAACTTGATGCTCGGGAACTGTGTGAACTTCTTGCTGGATTTCCTTTTCCGGTTCGCCTTTCATCTTTCTCCCTAGTAAGATGGTCCATGATCTTAAAATAAAAATATCTTCCAGTGAGCAGGATTTGGACTTTGCACTTATTCTTGAAGAGAGAAATATATATCCAGAAGAATCATTGGGTCAAACTATAAAATCATTTGGAGATCTTTTGGCACCATATCCAGGTTATTCGTGTTCTTCCACCGAACATTCGATGGGCAACTCCAGAGTCCTCCACAAGGTAGGGGAGAATCTTATATAACCTACAACAGAAAAAAGGGCAATTGTAAGATCAAAATCCTATTTATAAAAGAACAAGCTGTTCACTAAAATAGAATTCAATGATAGCTATTTTGGAATCAGCATTTTCATCAGGTTGCCAGTGTCAGTGTAACCATTTGTTGTTTCTCACTGTGGAAAATATAAACTTGAATAGAGATGGACACTACCCATAGCCATTCCCAGCTATGGAAACGGCAGTTTTCCTCCATTCCAAAAGTCTCACACTTTTCAATCTAAGATATTAGAAGAATATCTTAGCTTTATATCAGGTAACAAAGAAGTGGATCTGGCTACACTTATGAACAATGTTCATGAGTCTAGATGAACAGAACAAAGGGACAAATAACGCTTGACAGAAATAACGCCCAAGAACACAAATGCATTCGTACATCATACAAATCACACAGTTTGTCAGCTAATGCTTTGGGTAAAGTAAGGGTAGCCAGAGTTTAATTTTTAGGTTTGTTATATGCAAGGCTTTTGCATTTCTGCATTATGAATACAATTTCAACATTATATTTTACAAAATTAAGATTACGAATTTTAAACATTATATGTGCTATGTAGAATTCTACAAGGCAATCTCAGTCAAACCCCAGAGTTCTCTTAAAGTTTGTTAAATCTGTCTTAATGCAGAAGTGGTTGCTGCTATGTTTTGTAGCATTTTAAATAGTACTTAAAACAAAGTAAGTATAAATACAATTTAAAATGCTACAAAACATAGCAGCAATTGCTTCTGCATTAAAACAGATTTAAAAGACTTTAAATTCTATATTGTAAGCAGCCCCAGAAGTTTTCAAACTGAAGATGGGGTATGAAATGTTTAACATAAACTTGGTTTCAAAAGCAGACATGATAAAATTCTTCAACCTAATGCTGATTATATTAAGCATTGTCACTGCTTCAGTTTTTAAATGTTAGAAGGAAAGTCAATTTTACTCACACACACACACTCCAACACTTTTAAATGCCTTATTCATCAAACTGGCATGAGAGGCAATACTTCTTTGCCTAACAGTGTACCCTTCACACTTAGCCCCACTAATCATGAAACAAATTTAAAGTCTGTCATTACCGATGGTTACTTGCCCAATCCCCAGCCAAGAACACAAAAGGTAAGTCCTCAGATTCTGGAGACATCACAGACCCAAAACATAATGTCTATTACTGCCAGCTCTAGAGATAGTTGTAAACATTCTCGGTAAATGTATCTCACTAAGAAATAGTTCATATCCATGTACTTTTAAATTTTTCAGCCACATATCAAGTTCTCTGTATCACTATTGCCTAACATTTAAGAATTGTTGTCTGCTTGATATAAAATACTTCCTTTGAGGGAGATTTATAACAGAAAAGTAAAAAAATTAATTAAAATAGTTCCTTAACAGGCTGGGATACTTTTATCTTTAGACTGACCAATTATACTTGCACTTTGACATTAATATGCACATTCAAAGAAAGACAGAGCCTTGTTGACTTAATTTGAATACACCATAGGAATCAGACTTCATTGAAGTTGTGCAGCTTATTTCATATAAGTCAATTTATAAAACAAAACATTAGAAATGACAAGGTTTTATCTTCCTAGGGGCCTGATAACAGCCTATTACCATGAGTTTGGATTGCTTCCCTATTATAAAATTCCCTAATCCTTCTCGTGTATTAAAGCTGTACATTCAGTTTGACTCAAATTACTCTGATTGCATTAACTTGTATTCCTAATTATATGTACTTTTCTGCTCATCACAGCGCCTCTTCTGCAATACAGTCCTGAAGATTGTCAGAAACTTTTAAGATACAAATAAACTGAGGCTGCATAATAAAGACAAGACAACCTAGTGTCCATGCACTAAACTAACATTACCGTATGGGAACAGTTCTGCTCTAAAACATAATCTCAAACAATAGCCATATCCAAATGCATTTTTAAAAAATGAAATAGAAATAGTTACTAATATTGTATTCTGTTATCCTAACTTTTTACTTGCCATATTCTGCTGTTTGACAACCCTAGAATGTATTTTCAGAGCTCCTGAAACCTTTACTTAGTTCAGTCACTCTTTAACTTGCTTAAAAACAGGTAGAGATGGGGGGTTTTAAGTCTGGTACCCGACATTTTCCCTAAAGGATAAACTATGTTATATGAACAAAAGAAGCTGTCATATACCAAGTCCGAATATTGGTCCATCTTGCCTAGCCTTGTCCGCTCTGACCAACAGTTTTCCCCAGCTCTACTACCCAAAAGCTAAAAACTGATACTGAACCAAAGAACTGATTCATGCAAAGCATTTAGCCTTCCAACAGCGGGACGGAGAGGAAAGAACTGGGGGAGAACCCATATGAACCATTTTCTCTTTTAGAATAAATAATTTGTGAAATGCTTTTTAATAAAGAGTTTTAAAGTATTGTTTTAACAGTACTTTATTCAATCAAAAATAATGTAATACCTTTGTAACACTCTAACAGTATTAGGCAATTACCATTCTCAGCATCGGATTTAGGGAAGTTTAGACAGTTCCCCCCAAAAAGGTGCCGAGCCGAAGGGGTGCATAACAACAATAACAATAACAACAACAACAACAACCACTTATATTTACACAAGTACCTACTCAAACTTAAGGGGGGCATCACATTGCTTAAAGGTAAAGGGACCCCTGACCATTAGGTCCAGTTGTGACAGACTCTGGGGTTGCGGTGCTCATTTCGCTTTATTGGCCAAGGGAGCCGGCGTACAGCTTCCGGGTCCTGTGGCCATCATGACAAAGTCGCTTCTGGCGAACCAGAGCAGCGCACGGAAACGCCATTTAACTTCCCGCCGGAGCGGTATCTATTTATCTACTTGCACTTTGACGTGCTTTCGAACTGCTAGGTTGGCAGGAGCAGGGACCGAGCAACGGGAGCTCACCCCATCACGGGGATTCGGACCGCCGAACTTCTGATCAGAAAGTCCTAGGCTCTGTGGTTTAACCCTTGCTTAGGGCACCATATTACCAAAGCCAGCCTCTGACTCTGTACACTGTAGACATGTACAACTCAAAGCTATTTCTGTTAAGATGAGAAAGCCTACTGTTTTCCCCACAAGAAAATTCCACATCTGTTGAGGGAACAGCACTTTTGCTAGAACAAACTTCCATATACATTCATTCCACTTAATAGATTTTTGTACACAGCCACTAGATATGTCACTGCACATGAGAATCTCCTCACGCTCACCCACTAAAAGATAGTAGTTGTTGCTGGGCAAGGCAGTGGTGGTGACAGCAGCTCAGATAACTTAAGATGCCTCCACAAGTTCAAAATATGCAAGACAAACTAGCTTAAAATATTGGTTAATGGCCATTCAAGCTCACCAATCAGTTGGCATTTTACTGTCCAGTCCATATGTGGATATTGCACCATACGAAGTGTAAGGTGGCTTTGTGATCTCATTTGGATGGAACTGAGAGGCCACTGCCAGTCAGAGTAGACAATACTTCACAAGATGGATCAACTGTCTGACCTGGTATAAGGCGGCTTCCTATGTAAATTAGGTATAAAGGTAAAAGGTAAAGGTACCCCTGCCCGTACGGGCCAGTCTTGACAGACTCTAGGGTTGTGCGCTCATCTCACTCTAGAAGCCGGGAGCCAGCGCTGTCCGCAGACACTTCCAGGTCACGTGGCCAGTGTGACGAAGCTGCTCTGGCGAACCGGCAGCAGAGCAGCACACGGAAACGCCGTTTACCTTCCCGCTATAAAGCGGTACCTATTTATCTACTTGCACTTAAGGGTGCTTTCGAACTGCTAGGTGGGCAGGAGCTGGGACCGAACGACGGGAGCTCACCCCGCTGCGGGGATTCAAGCCACCGACCATGCGAGCGGCAAATCCTAGGCGCTGAGGTTTTACCCACAGTGCCACCCGCGTCCCTGAAATTATGTATACCAGGCTGCAAAAGATAAAAAGCCCAAGTAGAAAATACAAAAGAAACAGAATTCCAATTTGCTTCATTTCTGTCTAGGAAAAAGGTAATGTCAGATGTAGTACTGTAATGCAGATATGTTTGAAAAACTGTATGATCTGATTTTGTGAAAATTTAAGGCAATATCTAATTTTCCGTATTTTTTTAATGGCTGCTATAATAGGCTATTTTTCTAACTACTATCCTCTTAGACTCCCCAGTAACCTAATTATTTTGACATACCTGGCTCAGAAAGGATAGGTACAATAGCATTTTGTCGTTTAACCCAAGAAAAATCTTTATGTTCCAAGTTACATGTCTTCTGTAAAACCCAATTGGCCGGTTGATGTTGAGAAGCTGCATCACCCTAGAATGTGAGAGACTCATAGAACTTAGGTGGCTGTGATAACATAATGCTGTTCAAGTGTTATTCAGCGAGTATAATCACAACCGTTAGGAAGGCAAGGAATCCTCACGTTGAATAATATTTTGCCGTTTAAAAATAGTAAGTAATAATCGAAAAGTCACGTGTATTATTTTGAAGTCATGTGTATTACACTTAGAATTTACTGAGCACTTTAAAAACTATGGGTTGTATCCAGCTAAGTTCTACCCTGAGTAGACACACTGAAATTAAGATCTCTATATTAGTCACATCCATTAATTTTAGTAGTGAGCATGACTAAAATTGGATACAATTCTATTATGCACAGCACTGACTCTGTGCAACAAGATTTATAAATCAATACATACTGGAATTATTCTCTTTCTGCAAGTTCTTTAGCACTTAAAAGAGCTCTGTGAAGGAAGAATAACCCTAATATTTCATATGTCTACTTTGTGTATATGACCAACCAACCAACAGCTCCTCTTTCTGGTCTGTAGAAACAGATATCTTTCTGCTCATATTCAGGCATGAAAAGACAGAACACAAAACTATTAATGTTTAGCCCAGAATAAAACAGTTTAATCACTTGGTGTCAAGAATGAATGAGAAGTATGTCTACTGGGGCTGGAGAGGTATTTGGAGCCATGCTTTATCTATAGCTGCATAAAAAGCTGGGACCAGAGCAATATTCCAAAAGTTTCAGCAATGACAAGCAAGTCTTCACCAGAGGTACTCAATACCGTGTTAGAAACTCAGATATGTAAGCTATTCACTAAATGGCTCCTTAAACCTAGACTATGGGCGCAACAACAGAATGTCTAGTCACCACCAGGAGGGGGGGGAGATTGTGTATATTGTCAATGTTAATATATTTTACAATTCAGTCACACATTTTAACAATTACGGTAATCTTTTTTTCAAAACAAGTGAACTAATATACAATTCACATCAATGACTCATTTTTAATAACACATTTTTCATGGCAATTATTAACGGACCACCAGAAACATTAATGGGGGTTAGCCTCAGCAGTAGTGGACAATCATAAGTCATTTGAACAATTAATATTTATAAATACGGGTATGTACAGAGATACTCTTAACCAAATATATTAAGTCGCAGGTTCATCAAGTACTGCAGTCACAGTTAAATATGTTTGTTATATCAGAATTCTTGGAAGAACAGGCCTAACCGCAGAATCCTAAACATTTCAACACAGAAATAGATGCTACTGAATTCAAAAGAGGCTGCTCTCAGGCAAATGGGATTGGGATCACAACCTAATTCATTATTTTTCAGCAGTACCTCTATAATAGCATGTTTATGAATACTCCATTCGCAAGATAACATGTTTTGCAGGACTGCCTGTACAGCTGAGTCTTCAGAATCTTGTTACCTAAAAGGTTTTGGGTACTTGGGATGCCCCATTTCTTGTGGCATGTAAGCTCAGAGACCAGAGGCGGTGGTGGCTGTTGTCCAGTGGACTCCCACAGAGAGAGGAGAGAAGAGGAGGCCGAGGGAACACTTCACAAGGGAGGGTGTTCAAAAAGAGGTGAGGGGCTGCCCGCAGGCAACAGGGGAGCTGCAGAAAGAATGGTTGGTCAAGGGAGCAGTGGACTCAGAAAGGTTGAAAACCTCTGGTGTACATGATCAACATCCAGCTCAATTGTCTACCAGCTTGCACTGCTCAGATTAGAACTCTAACACATATGTTACTATTATTATAGTTGTTGTTTTTGTTGCTGTGGTAATTTTCAGCAAAGTTCCATGATTCCTACTGGGGCAAAACCCTAGCGTGTGCAAGCTTGACTCAACAACAGATGGCAACATTCTTTCTTTAGAATTTAGGCAGCAACCCTATGGAAAACTTCACACATATATTTTAAAATCAGCTAAGACTGCCATCCTCAGTCCACTTATCTGTAAATAAGCTTCAATGAATTCAATGGGATTAGCTTGAGTAGGCATGTATAGGATTGCATTGTAAATGTATCTATACTGGGGAGGTAAAATAATTGGGAGCTGAGTCCTGTGGTATGGAGTACGATGAAATACTTCCACCTTTTCCTCTCTGTATCCATACTGAATGAACTCTGATTTCAGTAAGCAGCACTGTATAGTGCTAAAGTTAGGGGGCTAAGTGGCACTGGTACACTCAAAATATAAAACAATAATTATCATAAGTCTTTCTTTTTCAGAAAACAAATAACAAATGTATCATGGCAGGAGCTTTCATGGACCACTGTTCAATCCAGATGCATGAAGTTTTTATCCCAGGTTGTAAGTAAATGTGCGTGGCATGGTATACTTGTATACAGACATATACACGTTAGGTAGGTGGAGTGTAAACAGTGAGATTAAATGGAAAAACTAAATCCAGATTTTCCACATTTCATTTCCCTCTGATTTCACTGCTTACAATAAGCACCTGATAAATTTTGGGGTAATACTAATATTAACAGTCTTCCAACATTTATAACAGGCCTCTGTCTCCTCAGAAGTAATCCTCTCTGGGCTCTAGAGGACTTACTCTCAAGGACCGAAGTCTTATTTTACTAATCCTGAGGGAAAGAAGAAACTTTACAACTTCTATAATGAAAGGAGAGTCAAGCCCAAATTCTTAAAGAAGGAAAGTAGGCAATGGAGGTGGGAGGAACAAAAGCTTGCATAATCTCCCCTCTTTCTTCCAAATGTCCTCACCAGCTGCTATTTCTGACAACAGAACAAGGGGGCAACAAAATATATTATTTGGGGGACAAGTTGGTGATGGTAACCCACCTTCCCCTTCCATGTTGTCCTCTGCTCAGTTTTCAAAAATTAATTTGATAAACACACTCACTGACATGATCTTTCTGATGTTTGGCAGCACTTCATCTTCAAGTCCACCAAGCCTACCCCTCTCTCTCAACTCACAAACCTTTCAGGCAAAGCAATAAAAATATTATAAAGGCAAGCTATAGCCTGCCACACTCACACTCTTAATGTAGCTCCTCTGCTCTCTGAATGAATAAAAGATAAAGATTGGAAAATGCTGCAAACTGGATTGGTTGGAGGCATTGATTGGGACCACCCTTTCTCAACGGTATATTGCTCTGTCCTGAAGGCCTGCTGAATGTTGGGAGGGAGGGTTAATAGAGGGGTGCTCCATCCCAATGCCCTCCCTCAGGTTTTTCTGTGTATGAAGGAAAGAGCTGATATGGGGGGAATTGTCCCCACCACAGCAAACAGGGGTGAGACCTAGCAACACATCATATAGCGATTGTTCAATGGATGCATGCATGCTGAGGCTTGTAGCTGCCTGGCCTTCAGAGGAAGACTGAAAATGGAGTCCAGAGAGATTGAGAGAGTAATTTGGTGAAGGCCGGGTGGGGGCAAAGAGTGGAGCTCTGATGGGGGCAATCATCATAATCTAAAGTGAAATCCCCCTTGAGAGATGGATTAATGAGTGTGTGTTGCAGGGAGAATAGCAGAGACTGGGTTCTTCTGGCTTTAAGAGTTCTGGAATTATTGGGAGAGCAATGCTCCACTTGTGCAAACTCACCGTCATCCCCAACACTCTAAACCAGAAGAACAAAGCAGAAGCAGAGCTTAGAATTTGACTGGGGTTTGGAGTCTTGCTCTGAAAATGAACAAGCCAAGATGAGTTCCACTTCTCTGGACAGGCAAGCAAATGCCATGACCTAAATTTACCAACCCACCATATACAGTGGTACCTCAGGTTAAGAACTTAATTTGTTCTGAAGTTCCATTCTTAACCTGAAACTGTTCTTAACCTGAGGTACCACTTTAGCTAATGGGGCCTCCCACTGCTGCCACACCGCCACCGCCCAATCTCTGTTCTCATCCTGAAGCAAAGTTCTTAACCTGAGGTACTATTTCTGGGTTAGAGGAGTCGGTAACCTGAAGCGTCTGTAACCTGAAGCATCTGTAACCCGAGGTACCACTGTATATCAATGTCTATAAACATTTTGAATAAATCTGCATAGTTTAGCCACTTATTTGTAGTTCAGTCAACAGCTAAAAGTGGTTACCATGGATGCAGTTCACAGTTGTACCCACGCATCAGTGCTGAGAAACTGAACAAGTAGGTGGCTACAGGATATCTGAACCCTGATAGCGCAAAGAGGCTGGATTTTTTCTGCAGCAATAAGCTCTACTGCACCCATAAATCATAGGTTGGAATAAATTATCTTAATAGTTATGCTCTCTCCAGGTTACATAAGTTTCCCAGTAATGAAAAGCAGCGTAATAGCAAATGCCACACAGACGTTCTACCATGGCAGGCATCATTGCTCAGTCATTTTGTGTTTATAAAGCACCTACAATAAGATGTATATAATAACTAGGTAAAATGGTAACCAAGGCCTTGCCCACCTATTTATCATAAAAGTGTTCAGAAGACAGCACCAAATGAAGCTTACTGTTTTTTAACATGAAACAAAAGCTTCAACTATTTTAACTGGTCTTAGACCCCACATACAGTATATGGAAACCTAATACATACTCATCTGTACTGTAATCCAAACCAAGGCTACTAACATATCTAAAAGCATGCCTAACAGAAATGTTACACAGCCTCTAGATTGAGTTCAAAGCATTTCCCTGGGTTATCCATTCCAATGAATAATAATAATAATAATAATAATTTATTTGTACCCCGTCCATCTGACTGGGTTGCTCCAGCCACTCTGGGAGGCTTCCAAACTATATCAAAACATAATAAAACATTTAAAAGCTTCCCTTTACATAATAATAACAATAATTTATTATTATGAGCAGATGACCACCTTGAAAGGAGGCTCCCACTGCAGTTCCCTAACGTTTTCTCGATCTGCATGTGGGTTGGTAGCTGTTCAAGGTACAGTTGAGTTTACATTTGCAAGGCCTGTGCCATAAACAGCTTTATAAAAACAAATACAGTCACTTTGAACTAGTCCCAGAAGTTAATACGGAACCAATGTAATGCTGCAACACTGGTAGGACCAATTTCCTCTTCCCAGTATCAGTTAGGTAGGGCAGGATGCAGCATTTTGAACCAGATGTTCCAAACCACGCACAGGCAAACTCAGCCCTCCAGATGTTTTGGGACTACAACTTCCATCATCCCTAGCTAACAGGATTAGTGGTCAGGGATGATGGGAATCCCAAAACATCTGGAGGGCCGAGTTTGCCTATGCCTGTTCCAAACCATTTTCAATAGTAACTCCACGTTAACCACAATGTAGCAGTCAATCCTATAAATTGCACAATGAATAAAGACTACTGCAAACAAAGTGTCAAAAAGATAAGAAAGATTCAAGATTCAGTACAGTGGTACCTCGGGTTACATACACTTCAGGTTACATACGCTTCAGGTTACAGACTCCGCTAACCCAGAAATATTACCTCGGGTTAAGAACTTTGCTTCAGGATGAGAACAGAAATCATGCTCCAGCGGCGCGGTGGCAGCAGGAGGCCCCATTAGCTAAAGTGGTGCTTCAGGTTAAGAACAGTTTCAGGTTAAGAACGGACCTCTGGAACAAATTAAGTACTTAACCCAAAGTACCACTATACAAAGAAACCTCTACGTGGCACATACCCTGCATACACACCCCAACACCCCTGTCACTGCTGGATTCACTTTCACTATTCCCTCAAAAATAGCTACCAGGCATTAGTTTAGAACTGGCACCACTATTCTATCTTGTACTTTAAAAATGACAAATTGAACTTAAGTGAGTTATTGAATGATCCTGAATTCTAAATCCCCAGTGCCTCTATATAGATACTGAACAACAAAATCACCTTTCTGAAATGTGCTGGATTCTATTAAAGACAACTAATTTAAGTATAAAAATCTGTCATTTTCAGCTACCAGGTGTATACTGCAGGCAGAAGTTTGGAAGTTTGCAAATCACATGGGAAGAACACCCTTATTACACAAGTAGAGCAGGTAAGTCTAAGCAACATCAATCCCATAAATTAGCCATGGCTCCAGTAATTTATGAACCTAACATGTTTGATAAATCAACACTAGTACCACACACTGCTAAAAGAATTTAGTCACATTCCAGTACAGCGGTACCTTGGTTTGCAACCGCTTTGGTTTACAACCGTTTTCTATTACAACCACGTCAAACCCGGAAGTGTGTGTCCCTTTTTTTGGATTACAACCAATTTTTTGGGGGGAGGCCCCATTGCCGAAAACACGCCTTGGGTTACAACCTGTTTTGGTTTACAACCAGACCTCCAGAACGGATTATGGTTGTAAACCAAGGTACCACTGTAATATCAATGATGCTAACTCCTAGATGTGTACTTAAACGTCAGGCTACCAGAATAAAAATTGCTAAAATTTTATTTTTCCTTGTGTCTGTGAAATTTGCTCTATTTCTGAATCATGCAGCCTTCAGTTTTAGTAACAATTTTTAAAAAATCTATTCTACAGCTTTCTAACAGGAAGACAGTGACCATTTTAGGAGCGCCCAATGTTTGTAGCTGCTCACGCGCACATTGCATCAAACCCGGAAGTGACCCAAAAACATTACAAAAAGAGGTGGAACAGGTTGGGGCATTTGCAGGCTTTTTCAATGGTGTTTCAAATATACACAATGTGTGGTGCCTTGGAACGAAACCCTGCATAAATTGGGAGTTTTCTGAAGGTGCAGAGTGACAGGTCACCCACGGTAGTGGAGATCGAAACATCTTCTGGTAATATACTTCATATACCACATATAAGATTCACTCAGGTCCTAACAAAGAATTAAACAAACTTGCTCCCCCCCCCGAAATAAACAAGTTGTATTTTATAAATAATGTAGTGCAGAAGCATATGCAGGCATTCCATCTGCACTACAATAAGACAGCCAAACTTTAAGCATGACTTGAGAGACTGATTTAACAAGACTTAGTTTCAAGTAACTGTGTTTAAGATTACCTCTGGTTTTCAGCTGCATATTTTTAACAAACACAGAGATACACTAGTATAATCCTTGGACACCATATGAATCTTGCACACATGGTAGTATCAACTGGACAAACACCAAATAAACTATTTTTAAAAAAATTACAAGCTAATACAATCCGAACAGCAAATTATTTTTCTTCATACAAACAATCCTCTTTCAGCCCCAAAACTAGTAAACTGCAGAAACAAGGCATATTAAGAAGCACAGCAACAGATCAGCATTTGTTTAGATCTCTACATAGAGGGTAATAACAATAAACTGCTGCATTTTGTCTATGGAATCATCAAGGCTTAGAGAAGAAAAACAATATGCTCAAAAGGCCCATAGCAGAAAGAACGCAGAAAAACTTCCAAGTTCCTTTAATGGAGTCACATCCTTACTCTTCCTAAATTGTTTAGCTTGGCTTCCTACACAGAGGAGCAAAAGGCTGCATGCTCCGGATATGAAGGATCTGACCTACAGAGCATTTCAAAATTGCCAGAAACTTGACTCATAAACACTATGTGTGACCCCCCCAACAGGTTTAAAGGAAAAAAGACAAACCATGTTTTCCACACCATGTGCAGCTGCTAGCCAGTGGAAGTGTGTTTCACGGGATTTGTGCGTCACAACCCTGTATCAGAAATATCCTTTTAAAAAAGACTGACAACCAAACATACGATTTCCTAATCTTTGGCAGCATTATTTTGTATAGTGCTCCTTAATTTACCAATACCGCCCCAATATGACCAAATCTTGTAGACAAAAGGCTGACCTAGACAGACCGTTGGCCTGAACCCCTAACAGCAATTTGGTCTCCTTTGACGGTAGGAAGCATCATAGCAGCAGCACTATTGTCTTCTCCAAAGGCAGGGCAAAACCTGGAAGCTACGAAACTAGGAGGCTCTCTCTCACACACACGCGCGCGAACTTTTTGATGAAATACCCCTTAGGAGCCAGTCCTTCGTGGTGAGCAGCAGCTCAGCATTTTGCTAGAGTACATCGAGTTAGGGCATCTACAATCACCATTATTATTCTGAAAACAGGTTGCAGCGGAAAAGCAACACACACACAAACAACCCTGGAAACACCTGCGCAAAAGCTCCTGCATGGCTGAAAAGGCTCCGTTCTTCAGCATGGAGGGAGAAAGGCGAAACTCTGCTCCAGGCATCCCCCCCCCCAAAAAACGGGGCACACGAAGCCTCCACTTTGGGCAACCACAGCATAAGCGCTTCACGCCAGGCGCGCCAAGTGTTATCAGGGAAGCGAGGCCTGGGCAAGTCAGAACATGCCTGAGCCGAGGGAGCGCCCCCTCCCCAAATCCCCTCTTCCGCTCGCCCTGCCTCGCAACGGCAGGCCCCGTCGACCGCCGTTACTGGCACAGAGAGACGCCCCCCGCGCCGCCCTCCTCGGAGGTAAAGCAGCAGCTTGAGGCGCCTCTGCGCTGAGGGAAAAGTCAACGCCGCAAACGAGCGCTCTGTAACGCCGGTACCCGCCCTGACCTCCTACCGTCCTGAGGAAAGGCCGCTCCTCCCGGGGTGGGGGTGGGGGCAGGGGGGGCGCGGGAGGGGGCGCGTACCCCGAGCCACTGCCCCCTCCTTCGTTGAAGCACTCTCAGGAGGGGGGGGGGAGAGCGGGACACCCCGGAAGCTCTTGCTGCGGGCTCACGCCCTACGCCCAGCCGGCGCCCTATCGGAGGGAAGCCAGCCGGCCCGAGGCGCCGACACAAAAACTGCTTCCGGGTCGCGGGCTCGGCGGACGCGCCTTAGCAACCGCGTTCGGTTACCAAGCGGAAGCTGGAGGGGATTTTGTGGCGAGAGGGAGGTCACGTGACTCAGAGACGGGGGGGAGGAGGAGGAGTCGTCCACCCAGCGGAGCAGCCGCTGATTGTGTGGATGTGGAGGAGCTAGACACGTGGATTAAAAGGAACCGGAGGGGTTAGGCGACGCATTCGTTCCAGAGAAGTAGCCGAGTTAATGTTTCCAACAATAGGGTTGGGTGGGGAGCTGGAAGCAGAACTGCTATGTCTACTCTAGTGCAAGCCCCATTCAGTTCAGTTCCCTGGCCTGCTCCTGGGAAAGTAGGCGTAGGGTTGCAGCCTAAAATAAATAATAATAATAAAAATAAATAAACAATTTTATTTATACCCCGCCCTCCCCAGCCAAGGCCAGGCTCAGGGCGGCTAACAACCAATAATAAAAACAAGTTGAATGAATACAAGATTAAAATACAAGATTTAAAAACAAGATTAAAATACAACATTAAAACAATAAAATGCAGCCTCATCACAGGAAGAGAAAGGAAAAAAGAAAGAGGGGGAGGGAATCAAATTGACTCCAAGCCAAAGTCCAGGTGGGACAAGAAATCAGATCCTGCAGGGCCCTGGTCTCATGAGGCAGAGCGTTCCACCAGGCCGGAGCCAGTGTTGAAAAGGCCCTAGCTCTGATTGAAGCTAATCTAACTTCCTTAGGGCCCGGGACCTCTAGGGTGTTGCTATTTATGGACCTTGAGGCTCTCCGTGGGGCATACCGGGAGAGGTGGTCCCGTAGGTACGAGGGTCCTAGGCCGTGAAGGGCTTTAAAGGTCAAAAGCAGCACCTTAAATCTGACCCTGTACTCCACCGGGAGCCAGTGCAGCTGGAAAATCACTGGGTGAATATGCTCCCATGGCAGAGATCCTGTGAGGAGCCTCGCTGCAGCATTCTGCACCCGCTGGAGTTTCTGGGACAGCTTCAAGGGCAGCAAATTACAGTAGTCAAGCCTGGAGGTGACCGTCGCATGGATCACTGTGGCCAGGGCAGGGCGGAAAAGGTAAGGGACCAACTGCTTGAAGCTCCCCCGCCTGCGTGCTTCATCGCCTTCATCTTCCCCTTCCTCATTTAAGGCAATGCCAGCTGCCCTCTTGAACAGACTTGAAGAGTTGGAAGGGACCCCAAGGGTCATCTAGTCCAACCCGCTGCCATGCAGGAAACTCGTTTAAAGCACCCATGACAGAGGGCTGGCCAGCTCTGCTTAAAAACCTTAAGGAGAGTTCATTCACAACCTCCCGAGGGAGACCGTCCCACTTAGCTGCGGATTTATCTGACTCTTCTTTCTGCTTGAAGCTCAGAAAAATCCTTATTTGCATCAGTCACTAGCTGTAGCCAATGCTTTTTTTCTGGGGGGGGAATGCATGCCGCTAAACATTCTGTGAACCAAATTTGGCCTCATTGAGTGGCAGTATTTCAATATGTGTAGGAGAGTGAGAGTACCCCTAAACAATTTTTTAGGGAGGGAAAAGCACTGGCCGTAGCAATAAAATAAAACATACTGAAGATAGAGATAAAAACTTTAACTATACAAAATACATTTTGGAGGCTTACATCAATAATCAAATCATTTTATTACTTATTACACTTATTTACCACCTTTTCTTCCAGGGAGCTCAAAGTGGTGTATTTTCCTCCCCAGTTCATCCTCACGAGCCTGTGAGGTAGGTTGGGGTGGTGACTGGCGGAAGGTCACCCCGTGAGTTTCATGGCTGAGTGGGGATTCAAACCCTAGTCTCCCAGGTCATGGTCCAACACACTAACAATTTCAATACACTGGCTCTCAAAAATGCATTCTCTGTCCCTTTGGCAAAGGCCCCGCAGTCACTGCTCATTTCTCACCTAGTGTGAGCTGTTCTTTTCTATCTTCTATCCCCCATGCCTATCCAGCTTTCTGCTGCCATAACTATTCATGACACCCCTGCTTAGATCCCTACACTGGTTCTCCTCTCCCTCCTGCTTCCAGGTGTATCACAGCCGCCCTAAGCCTTCTATCTATCTATCTATCTATCTATCTATCTATCTATTGTTGTAAATAAAAATTGCCCTTTTCCCTTATGGGGTATCCAAGAGCCCATATAGAGTCCTTACATAGGTTCCCTATTGGTAGGAGAGAATAACAGAGGCCAACCAGAGAATATTGAGAAGCAAAGCAGCTAGTAAGCTTGATCTTTATTGATCTGTTGCAACAGGGTCCTCCCCTCACCTGCAGGAGAGAGGAGGGACCCAGAAAAATGGCGCGCAAGGCCTTATAAAGACTTTTGAAATTGCCACCCTGTAGATCAAGACCACCCCCAGAAACATCATACATACATCACAGAAGGGGTGTAACCTAAGACCACCCCCCAGATACATCATAACTACATCACAGAAAAGGTGGTCTAAAACAGAAATTTGAATATTGTTTTTCTCCTGTTGTTTATCTCCTGTCTGGCAGGGTAAAGGTAAAGGTACCCCTGCCCATACGGGCCAGTCTTGACAGACTCTATGGTTGTGCGCCCATCTCACTCAAGAGGCCGGGGGCCAGCGCTGTCCGGAGACACTTCCGGGTCACGTGGGCAGCGTGACGAAGCTGCTCTGGCGAACAAGAGCAGCGCACGGAAACGCCGTTTACCTTCCCGCTAGTAAGCGGTCCCTATTTATCTACTTGCACCTGAGGGTGCTTTCGAACTGCTAGGTTGGCAGGCGCTGGGACCAAGCAACAGGAGCGCACCCCGCCACGGGGATTCGAACCGCCGACCATGCAATCGGCAAGTCCTAGGCGCTGAGGTTTTACCCACAGCACCACCCGCGTCCCTGTCTGGCAGGTGTGAGCCTGTGACCTGTCCCAGGAACTAAGTATTTATCACTACAAAAGAATGGCCAGGCTCCCCAATCAAGTAACCTAATAAGTCTGGCAGGTTACTTGATTGGATTGCCTGGGGAGCCTGGCCATTCTTTTGTAGTGATAAATACTTAGTTCCTGGGACAGGTCACAGGCTCACACCCTATTCATATCTTAAATGTGTCCTTAAGACAGGATTTGTAAGGAAAGAGACAATGGGGAGGTTTCCCACTTTGACCTTGCAGAGAAAACATTTGGTCAGTTTAGGAATCAAAATGGTTCCAGGTCGGTCTTCCTGTGCTGATCTATGTACGTGTGGTTATGAACATTACCATATATCTAAGACCTCAAAATTCCTATCACACTATCTATTTTAAAGATTTCTTGGTTTACAAAAGTATGTGCAACGTCTTTTTTTTCAAGTTACATTTTCTACAGGTCAGTTTCATTTGTTGAGACTCTTCTGAGCCCTCCGCTGGCCTTTCCCTATCTCTTCTCTCACTTTGCTTTCATGAGCTTCACTTCTCCACCTTCACTGTCATCTACTGCCTCATGGGTTCCTGCTCTCTGATTGTTCCTTACGGATTTCTTGATTTCCTCCCTATTACCTTGTATGTTTAAAACTGCTCTCCAAAATAATTGCCTTCCAAAATATATTCAGGATACCACCTCTTCCTTCAAAGCCAATCTGTTTCATGAAATCTTGGACACAATCCTATTTCCATACAAAATACTTCTGACTGAAATAAGCATTCTTTCTGTTTATTCCCATTACTGCTTGCCTCAAAGCGCCACATTTTAGACTGCAAATTCCTCAGTGCAGAGAGATATCCTTTTGTACAGTTCAGCTATTAGAACACGAGTGTCTTTAATTTCAGGGTGGTGGGTTCGAGCCCCATGTTGGGCAAAAAGATTCCTGTATTGCAGTGGTCTCTTCCAATTCTACGATTCTGTGAAACACCAAGCATACTGATGGCACTGCATAAATAATAACTCTCAGTTCAAATGGGACCTATCGGTAATTGTGTTTTGCATATTAGCTTTATTATGACAGCTTTCATGGATTAGAGCCCACTCCACATTAGCAGCTAAAGCATTATTCTCACTCAGCAGATGTTATATGCAAGTACAGAGACCAAAGGCCGTAACACACTGGTGGCATTTGTGCCCTTCGTATAGTTATCATATGTATACGATATAAGGTGTCGTATCAATAGCTGCCAAGCACAGCTAATGTGTAGGTTTAAAGATTGGTGAACATGCAAATATACCCTTAAGTCAACTGAAACTGCTGGATTATGAAATTGACGTTTTAGCTAAACTTTAAGGATGGGATTCAGCTAAGATTTACTCAAAACAAACCCACTGAAATTAAAGGATCTAACATTTATCCTCATTATTTCACTTGGTCTACTGTGAATAAAAGGTAGCTGAATACCACCCCTAGAGCAGGAGTGGCAAATCCACAACCGTTTGAAGTCTGCCATTTGAAGTCTGTGTTAAAGCATAAGAACTAGAACACTGACATAAGTCCCAGTATGCAAATAAGCAAAGTATATCCTGAAAGTGCAGGGAGGGAATACACAATGAAAGAATTTGAATATAATTTGTTTCAGTGGCATTTCCATTATATCCCTGATATTATCACTAGTGCCATTATTGACATACACTACTGCCTCTGGACCACACTCTGGCTCTGCCAGAATAAAAATGCACAATATAGAAAACTCAGGAAGTTATTTTATTACAAATTATTTTATTACAAATTATGCTTTTTGGTGTTCCCAGTTTAAATAGCTGGAGTTTCAGTTTCACCCTTCTCGAACACTCAGAAAGAGAGGCCAAGTCATATCAACTCAAGGTAATGAATTGCATCAAAATACAAACATAGGTTTTTTAAAAAGGTAATACAGTCATTTCAACACTCATATGGCACAGAACTTTAGGGAGTGCAGAAAGACATAAACCACACCATTCAACACAAACCCCATGATTACTACTTACTCAACACTGCAATGCTCGATTGGTAGCTAAGCTCCCACAAAATACTAGTTTTCTCAATTCCCTTAGAGTCATTCAAGTTTTAGGTTATTTTAGTAAACAAAACAGCATGCTAGGCTTTTAGAGACCTGTACTCAAACCAAAACACATGCAATATATACAGATTTACACACAAAGCTGCCACAAACATTGAGCATGGCAAGATCTGTCAGAAGAAGAGGCAAGGCATCTGATCACATCTGATCATCTTCAGAAGGTGATCCGTCTTCAGCAGGATGAGGAGACAATGGGCGAGCTCTGTGGAGAGGAGGGATTTTTATCATCAAAAAATCAACCGTACAGTGGTTTATTTATATATTAGATAAGTATATATGGAATTGTTAACTCCTATAGTGATATACCTTTTTTCTTTTTATTAAAAACAATTAAACAATTTAAAGGGTTTTAAAAAACTTATTTTCAAAGTTTTTCATTTCGTATAACATGGAAAAATATATATTAACATGATAAGTCCAGGCATGAATAAATGATCAAGATTACCAAGGAGTCACAACCTCAAATTATTTAAGAGATTGTAATATTGATGACCACACTGCAGATGTTTCCTATCAGAACTATTAAAAATCAACACAATAATGTTTTATCTGTTGTTAATGTACCACTACATATTGGAGAAAACAAACATTGTGGCGACAAAGATTTCTGTGCTCTGGATGAGATAGGTAATTCTGCCCAACTGCCAGCCAGAACGTTTTGCCTGATGCAGTATGTCTGCTGAGATAATAATAATAATAATAATAAAAATTGTACCTGTCCATCTGACTTACAGCACATATAAAAACATAGTAAAAATGTTATAGGGAATCCACAAGTCCTGGCACTTTTGCAAACATTTAAGTTTATACCCCAGGTTATTTTTGAAATAGGCTAGACAGAACAATTCATGGCCTGCATTCTCAGCATCCCAGTACCAAAACATTGTGAATGCAAATAGATGGGGCCATGCAAAGCATTGGAGATTTTATGAACAGTTTCCTGTATCAGTTGCTACATTCTACATCTCCAGCTACCAATACCAATTGCCCCCATCTATTTAGAACAAGTTATTCATGTTTCATGTTTCTCATTTATTAAAATACCATACATCCAAGTCAGCTATATTTAGGAAGCTAGTGCCCTTTAGCAGGGATTAAAGTATCCTAACGCAGGGTGCTCAGCCCCTGGAATCTAGATTCTAACTGAAGATAACAAAATAGTTTAACAAGATTATTCAACAGCCCTCCTTTTGTAATAGAATGGATACTGATGATCATGATCATCATGACAATGGACTCAGAAAGTGACTGCCAAAGGCTTCTTCCCTAGTATGGAATCATTTAAATCAAACTCAGCCCAGTTCTGCATAAAAGGCTGCCTTTCTTAAATTCTGCTGGGAAACTATGACTGTGTTTTTAAGAGCAATACATAAAAAGCAACAAAGCAAAATTTATGTGTATTTTATATGTGGAGTAACTTAAAAACCTAAAATTTTGCTCTATTCTCCATGATTCCCAACAGCTTTTACCAAATGGTCATGCTGAGGAAGGGAGTTTAATTAGGACAAAGATCTAGTTTAACTAATGGTCCTTCTTGCTATGGGTAATAGGGAACCTAAAACTAAACCTCTTATCTGTGGGTGGAAGCAGAAGTCTCTGCAAGTGAGCAACTTGGGAATGCTCGTTTCAGAAACGAGCAGATTCAGATGAAAATTGCAAACTTTATATCAGCTCAGGGCCAGCCTGTCCTGGAGGCAGACTGAGGCAGCTGCCTCAGGCAGCAGAATCCAAGGGGCGCCGCCACAAGTAGACTCCCCCAGCACCACCAGAGAAGTGGCTGCAGCAGCTTCCTGCGAGATCATAGGAGAGCGGCACAAAATTGAGCAGAGGCCTTGTACGATCTCACCGGAAACCACAATCGCACAACCTTAATAAGCGAGACTTCAGCAGGGACAAAGGGAGGTGGGTGCTGTGCAAGGCAGCCCCTTCGCGTTTCACCCCAGGCAGCCCCTGTTTCAGCTTGTTCAACAGCTAAATTTGAAATGGGTTCTTCAATCCCCATAGGAATGTTTCACAGCTCAATAGAATACATGGCTTATCACATTGCACTTTCCAGCTACAGTATTATTTTATTTTTTGCAGATCTCCCGTCTTACTTTCTTCTGTGCTTTCCTATTCCACTGCATCCCGGCTCCTCAGGGACCTGGTTCTCCTTCTCCAAATGCTTTGGGGACTGTGTGAAGAACTCCCCAATTCCTTTTTGCCATGGCGGTGTTGGCCTCACACACACTGGGTTGCCACCAGCATATTTACTTTCAGCTGCAAAATGTGGTTAAAAATACTTCAGCGCTGAACAATCATAAAGAACTCAACACACCCAAGATCATTAACTGCAAAAGCTTCAATCCAAAAATGAAATCTGCATAAAAGACAGGAAACCTAGGGCATGAGGAATAAGCTGCCAGGTGGTTTTACCCATCTTCAGTGAAGTCTTAATGAAAGAGCACTGATTAATGTGCCTATTTGCCAGATTCTAACATGTTTGTCAGAAGCAAAACTCAAATGATTTGAACTGCATAATCTCATAAAAGTTTAGTCACTAAATGCCACAGTTCACAGTACTGCAGTCTGTCTTTTGCTCAAGTGCCTTAGGACTGCAGCCTAGATCTCAAACCGCAATGGATTCCTTGGGTTCAGTGCGTACTTGGGTGGATGGTACACATCAGATACAAACTATTCAAGAAGTAACAGTCAAAGGGGAAGAAATGCAACTCATCAGCTTAACGTTGTAGACACAGCACCAAAGTTTCTCAAGCTACTATGCTTTTGAAACGGCCAATCTTGTATTATTCTGTATTTGCAGTTGGCATCAATTCACTGCTGCTAATGAACTTACAAAAGGGAACTTTTTGTATGGAAAAATGCAACACTGGAAAATCAGTTACGGAAAGTAGTGCATGAAAATGTTCCGCTTCACTTCACTAATTAAAATTATGCAAGGCCAGAGCACGGAAAACACAAAATCAGCTTCTTCTGTAGTTGGAGAATTCAAGCACACTGGAGCCTTCCTTTAACTTATTGCAGCACTCTTGCATCATGACAAATGGTTCCGGAATTAACTGCCCTGTTTGGTAAACACCAAATCCTTGTGCAGCAGAGCACTATCCAGTCAGAAGTTAACCAAAATTAGGATATCAGCAGCATTACATATTTACCAAAGTGCTGGCTTCCAGACGTGACGAAGGAAGTCGCCGAGCAGAGATCAGAGAATCCCTGTTTTTGTTTTTAAAGCAGGTAATCCACAATACATGCCCCAAGCCACATGAAAGGCAGCCAAGACTCAAACCTTGCTGTCCTCACCCCTTTGCTCACCTTTCCGTGAAATAGGAGAGGAGCCCAAATCAGCGTTTCCGGAGCCCAGCACTTTCCGTGGAGCCCTGGCAGCCACCACTAGGGTTGTAGGAGAAGAAAAGGGTTAGATATTTTCAGGAACTTAACCCACACAAAAAAAGAAGAGATCTTGATTCTAAAGTCTACTTGAGACCAGCACAACAAGCCTTTACCCTAGGGGTCTGGCTGTAGTTAATTCAATGTTTGGAAGGCACATTGCACATGCCTGGAGATGTGGATCCCCAACTAACTTTCACAGGAAGGCAAGGTTGAATTGCAGTGCCAACCATACGTGCAATTCTATTCTATACATGCATACTAACAAGTTCCCCTGAGTTCAACAGGGCCTAATCCCAGAATAGGGCATGCGGAATCACAGCCCAGCTACAGGGCTTTTTACTTCTCAAGTAAACTGCTTACACATTTAAACCACAGCACAGCTATAGGTGAACAATAAACCCCATTAGCAAGCATTACTCTAGCACAAATGGAAGCCCTACCACAATCACCATGCCTAAATTTAGATATCCACCATAAGAGCCAACCTAGCGGAGAGGATAAGAAGCTAAACATGTCCAGAAGTCTCCAGTTCAGGGCTCACCTCTGTTACTGGCCACATTCACACCATACTGTTATGAGTTTGGGGGGGATGGGAGGCTGAATGCCTGGGCCCTCTTCTAATTTCTGGATCCAGCAGAGATTCAATTGCTGGAACAGCAACGCCAGCCAGGTAATGGCCCACTAAGCACTTAGCTACATTGGTAAAGAAAAAAACGCTTTACGTATACAGTATGTGTTGTTTATGCATTCTAACACTGACGCCAGATGGCGCTGTGGAGTTCTGTTTTTGCTAACCCGATTTCTAATACAAAGTTTGCAAACTGAAATGCATCTCTGATGTGTCTAGAGCCAGCCTAAGTATGAGAACAAGGGGAGTGGGGCTGTGCCAGAGGGCAAATGGGTGGGGGCCCCTCCCTCAACTATCTGTTAGCTAGAAAGTCAAAAGGCCTCCTGATTAGGCATTTTAGCTGTGGGATGTTGAATGTTGCCTGTTTTAAACTGTTTCCCTGTTGTTATAATTTTTATTTAAACTATGAACCAAGTACTTGTACATTAACCAATAATAATGTTGTAGAGATTCCTGCAAATTTATTGTGCCATTTCTGTGGTTTTTAACTGACATGAGACTTAGTCTATTTATCTGTATCATTTATAATTCCTGTTTATAAAACCCAATAAAAAGATATTTTAAAAAGAGAGAGCCCTGTTTTGATCCAAGACTGTGGCTATGGGAGAAAGAAGACCCTTTTCAGAGTGCTGATGCTGTGTACCCAGTAGGCTCAGGCTGTATATATACTGTATCTAAATAAACCATTTATTCTAAAGATACTACAGTGTCTGCTGTGCCTCGTTCCAAAAGCAAACACAAACCCTGGAACTCCTGGAATATCAAACTGCTCAGAGATTGAGGTGCTGTGCAACAATACATTTAAAGTACTGTAATATCACTGTTAAACAGTCATAGCTTCCCCCAAAGAATTCTGGGAGTTGTAGTTTGTCAAGGATGCTGAGAGTTATAGCTTTCAGAGGGGAATAAAGGAATACTAACAATTCCCAGCCTTCATTGTAAAGAGGGACTGGTTGTTAAACCACATTGAGAATTGTACTTCTGGGAGTGGAATAGAGGTCTTCTAACAATTCTCAGCACCCTTAAACTACAGCTCCCAGAATTATTTGAGGTGCACCATGACTGCTTAAAGTGGTATCCTGGTGCTTTCAGTGTTTGTTGTGAATGTAGCCATTATTTCACTAGCTGACCTTAGGCCAGTTGACAGAACTCATAGGTTGCTGCAAAGGTCCCAATATGACATTTATAGTGCAGATATTTGCCCTAAGCCTCCAACACCAACTGATTTTTTTTTTTAAAGTTTAATGAATCTTACAATGCTCCAGAATGTATCTAAATGAGGTGTCCAGAGCACTACAGGAAATTTAAAGCGAAAGCTCATAGCACATGAAATAAGATCATGCCTGCCAACATAGGAAGGAACATGCAGAAGATACTTGGCCAAAGGCATGGCCCTTTCAAATCCTACATCCCGCCCTATGGAAGTCCTTCTCAGCATCAACCTTTCCATGGCCAAGTAGAAAAAAAATGCCAATTAATCTTGCGGTAAGGATTGCAACACAGCTAATGCACAGGAAACACTTGGAACCATAAAACGCTGAAGATTATTCATTTCCTATCATCCCACAACTTGCCATGCTCAAATCTCCCCAGGGCTTCAAGGTTAATGCAGGAGTACTGCAAGTCTCGGCTCCACCACCTGGCTCCAGAACTGGAGCTTAGTTCTAGAAAGCTGCAAAGACATCCGCAGTTTTATCTAACGATACTTTCGAATATTTTCTTGCCACGGCCAGCGCCCCCCGAATGCAGGAGAAAGTGGGCCGGTCCGAATATCCAAGCAGGTTTAAAACAAACTACTGTACTCCAATCCCTGCAAATATATTCCCAACAACCTTCCACCCCCCAAATCCCGGTCCAGTAACAAGACTCTCTCCCCCCCCCCCCCGTCTACTAAAAAAAAACTACAAAAAAATTAATGAATGTTAGAATGATGTTGGATTGAAGTTAAGTGGTTTCTAGCTGTAATGGTATAAAAGAATATGGAAAAATTGGATTTTCAATACGTAAAAACCTAATGCTATAATATATTAAGATTAAAGTTCAGGATTAAAAAGGAGGGAAAGGAATTGCTGGACTAATAAATTGAACTGGAATACAAAAAAGGGAGGTATGAGGAGGTCCGGGAAACAAGTAAATGAAAGAGAAGTGATGAAAAGATGGAATTGTTTTTAACTGTTTTTTTTTGTATTTTGTATTTTTCTTTTTTCTATTTTTCTCTTTCTTATTTATGTATCTTTCTTTTGAAACTTTAATAAATATCATTTAAAAAAAAAACTACAAAAAAAAACTCTTTAGCAACTTGGCTAAAGTTTAATGCCCTCCTTCCTCTAAAGATGCCCAGGGCGACACGTTATGGTTCAGCTCTTCCCTCCGTTTCATTCTCCCAACAACCCTGTAAGGTAGGCTAACCTGAATGACAGCGTGCAGAAACCACCCAGGCGCAGTTGCACGGCTGAGCAAAAGTTAGACGCCGGGTTTCCCTACGATGAGCACAGTGGTTTGAAACCCATGTACACTAAAACCTATTGCCGTACCTTTCCGGTAGGCTCCGCCGGTCCCGCCGCAGTCCGCCTTGGTCCGCACCATCCTGCAACGGCCGCTCGCAAAAGCAGAATCAGACTGCAAGATGCAGCAGCAGCAACGCCCGCTATAACTGAAAAGACCCGCGCGGTCTTCTACCTTCCGAGACTTTCAAGCTGCCAAGTTTTGTCCTTCCCGCGCGCGCGCCCCGCTCCCATTGGCTCTGGCGGGAAACCCGTTTGGCCAATCGCAAGCAAACCCGCGGCTGGCGTTTTGATCAGAGAACGCCGTCGCTTTTAGAACTTTGGTACATGTAACTCCTTTCGCCGAATCGCGGCCTGACCAATCAGAATTGCTGCTCCGCTGCGCGTGGGCGTAGCGGGGGTGAATGGGTCTCGCTCGCCATTCATTCTTCAGAAAAGGCGTCCCAAAGCCTTTGACTCAGAACTTGCCCTGCAAGTTCGATATCTGACCGTTTGGGCATGGATCGAAACAGCGGGTGCCTTATCCCACTGGTGGTGTGAACTGGCTCAGCAGCGGATGAGTTGTTGTGGTCTCACCCACGGCTGCTGCTGAAAGCGGGCGGGCACTAAGGTTATTCTGCATACGTTTAAGCTTTAACTGTATTCTCCCAGATTTATGTATAAGCTTAACAAGCTATAGCTTAGGGGCGCCCTCTCTTTGGGGCCCCCCAAAAAAATTAAAGGGGAAAAAATGTACATTTCTAAAATATAAGATAAAAAAAAATATTTCGTTACATGCAAATGGCTTTAGATACCTATTAGGACCATAAATTACCATATAGCATATATTCAACACAAAAAGCAATTTGTTGTTGACAGAGGTGAGCTGGACATATAAAGGGCCCCATTACCTTCAGTAGCTTAGGGCCTCATCAGACCTAATTTCGGCCCTGATTCTCACAGTTTATCTTTTGTTTCATTTCATTGGAATTTGACCCCAATGTGTGTATAGAACTTAGAACACTTCGTGTATCTACTGGAATGGTCACTAGTCAATGAGAGCTTATGCCATAATAAATGGGTGGGGCATTTTTGGGTTGTTTTTATTTTGATTGTAATTTTGTATTCTGATTTTGTTCTGTGAACCGTCCTGAGACCTTCAGGTATGGGGGGGTATATAAATTCAATTTAAAAAAAATAGATTTGTCAGTCTTAAGGTATCACAAGACTTGTGCTTTCATTGCAAGAGTTGTAAAGCTCTCACATGCTTGGGAGCAAGCCACGCTGAACTCAGTGAGACTTCTGCAACTAGACGCGTAAACCCTACATCAAAGGATAAATGGACATAAATCTGATACCAGGAATCACAAGACAGAGAAACCAGTAGAAGAACACTTCAATCTCCTAGGACATTCTATACAAGATCTCAAAGTAGCTGTCTTATTACAAAAGAATTTCAGAAACAGACTGGAAAGAAGTTGCTGAATTGCAACTTATTACCAAACTTAAAACCATGGAGAGACCTGGTCTGAATAGAGAGATTGGATTCTTATCTCATCATACATGATAAAGCTATTTTTAGCCATCTCACCCCTTGCTTTTTCCTGTAAGATCAATTGCAGTCCTTAACAGTCGTCAACAGGTTTACCACACCTATCAGCCAATCACCCCTTCCCACCGCCCTTCTGAGTAATACCCCTCCCCGCCCTCTCACTATATATAATGGTCTGGTGACTTCTGTTTCAGTATATCTGAAGAAATTTGCATGCACATGAAAGCTCATACCAATAACAAACTTAGTTGGTCTCTAAGGTGCTACTGGAAGGATTTGTTTGTTTGTTTGTTTGTTTGTTTTGACTATGGCAGACCAACATGGCTACCTACCTGTAACTAGAACTATAAATGAAAGTTAAACATGAATTAAGGCTGGTACAAGCACCTTCTTGATTTCAGCTGTGTGCATCCCTGCTTGTTACTGAATACAAACCTTACAGGTGCTAAATACTTACCATTATCTATCTTGAATGGTTCCATTCAAAACCAAATACAGCTGAGCTAATTAGGTATAAAGCCAATTTAAGCTCACTTTGGCATTCCCATTATTTTGTTAAACTGACTTAATTGGTATTAGAGCACTTTAGGGCCGTTTACCAAACAGTAATTGTAGTAATCTGCAGCAACAAGATTACAAGAATAACAATTGCATTTAACTTGCTTGTTGTGGAATGAGCTGCCCATAACCAACATCAGAACCACAAAAGTGACTGAAAGAGGAAGAGATAGGCAATCTATAAGACACACAGAGAGAACACATTGGAGATATAAAGCAAAACAAACTGATTGTTGGAACACTACAATGCATAGTCAAATATGACACAATTTATTTCTGTCCTTCTAATTCAAGACCTGAGAAGTAGAGCGCTTTTTATTAATGGCTAACAGTTTTAATTCAGGACAGATAAAACAGATGTTCTCACAACACATTCATCAACATTTTGGATTTGCTAGCTCTTAATGTAGATGCTCATTTAGATGCTCGTTTTGAAATATCCTTCCAGTTTAAAGTGTAATATGACCTAATGGTTTGAAAGCATTATATTATTATTTTTCTATTTTGTTGTGACTTTTTACAGTAGCTTAAGCCCTCACAAAGCGACATATAAAGCATGAGACACAAGGTACAAGAGAAAAACAGTCACTTCAGAACGCATGTACAGATTAGAGGTACAAATAAGATATTATAATTAATAATAATAATAATACCTGTATAAGAAGGTGCTCTGGGGGCACAAACTATTATGGTATAAATTAATGTTACCCATGAATAGGCCTACCCAAATGCCAGAGCTGGAAGCAGCTCATAATAATAATAATAATAATAATAATAATAATAATAATAATTTTTATTTATATCCCGCCCTCCGCAGCCGATGCCGGGCTCAGGGCGGCTAACAACAATAAAATAGTGCAGCATTCTGAAAACATTTCATTGTAAAAATTAATTAAAATCAAATTGATGGCAACCATTAAGCTAAAATTCTGTGAAGATTGCCAAAGGAGGGAGTCAGGCTGTGCCCTGACCAAAGGCCTGGTGGAACAGCTCTGTCTTGCAGGCCCTGCGGAAAGATGTCAAGTCCCGCAGGGCCCTAGTCTCTTGTGACAGAGTGTTCCACCAGATTGGAGCCGCAGCCGAAAAAGGCCTGGCTCTAGTTGAGGCCAGCCTAACCTCTCTGTGGCCTGGGACCAAACCAAAGACCTACCCACTAGTTTAGCATCTGCAAAGTCCTCAGTCATGACATGAGTACAGTAGCCCTCTCCCTCTCATGTTTCCCAGCAATTGGTATTCAGGGGTAATACACTAGTTTTGGGACCACCATTATGGAAGCCCCATCTCCTGCACATGGCAACCAATCATAACTTAACGGCATACACTGAAAAAAGGACCCTTGAGGTACATCTTCGTGTGCTGTCAGGATGATACAGATTAAATATCATATGTTGGTTCCTGCACAGACAAAGGGATTCCCTTCTTAGACCATAACAGATCTACAGTACTTCATCGCTATGTAACACTGCCCAGTTTTTATTTGGTTGACCTGGTGCACCACCTAAAGTTATTCTCCAGCTTTAATTGGACTGCAGTTGAGAAATCAGCCTGAGCTGCAATGTTCCTTCAATAATTCAGTCTCTCTTCCATGTTCTGTCCTGTGTGTGCATATTAAATGTACACCTGGCACAAGGCATGCTAGAGAGGGATGTTAGTACTGTGTGTGTGTGTGTGTGTGTGTGTGTGTGTGTGTGTGTGGAATCTAGGATGAACTTCTGCAAAGCTCACTACATAGACTTGGTCAAGTTGCTAACTCTCACATTATTATTTTAAGGATAAGGAAGATAAGAAGAGCCCTACTAGATTAGACAACATGCTTTCTATACCAGAAGAAGAAGAAGAGTTTGGATTTGATATCCCGCCTTTCACTCCCTTTAAGGAGTCTCAAAGCGGCTAACATTCTCCTTTCCCTTCCTCCCCCACAACAAACACTCTGTGAGGTGAGTGGGGCTGAGAGACTTCAGAGAAGTGTGACTGGCCCAAGGTCACCCAGCAGCTGCATGTGGAGGAGCAGAGACGCGAACCCGGTTCCCCAGATTACGTGACTACCGCTCTTAACCACTACACCACACTGGCTCTCAACATACCAGCATGTTTCCTACAGTGACCACTTCAGGCTTTGGACCTACCCTTCCCTAGACAATAATCAAACCATTTTGGAAAGAAGCACTGCGCTGCTACAGTTCAAAGTTGGAAGGCAGTATAGTCGAGTGGGTTGACTACTGAACTGGTTAAACATTTGGCATGTGGAATATATTGCCAGGGTGGCTATCTATCCACATTGCCTACCTTACCGGGTTGTACAGGAAGAGAATCACCACTATCCTCCTAATGCAGAGCTTTCAAAATTGTGTGTCACGACATTTTAGTGTGTTGGCTGCAGTGTGCAGGTGTGTCGCATGAACACTCCCCGCACTCCTCCCAGGGCTGGAAAGGGGTTAATTTAACCTCCGGCGGTTTGCTAGTAAAACTGAATTGTTGTGTTGCAAAATGATGCATGTCTAAAAAGTGTGTCATCAACATGAAAAGTTTGGAAAGCTTTGTCCTAGTGAAATTCCAAGGAGTATTCAGAGCGGGGTGGTTTTCAGACTGTAGTGATATGCTTGTAGGGGGGTAGAACCAGGGGTGGAGGAAAGGGGTGTGGTGGGTGCAGGCCGCCCCGGGTGTCAACACTGGGGGAGGGGTTGACAAAATGCTGGGTGGCACTCACAGCGGGGCCTGCAGCGCGCCCTAGCCATGTGTCTCCTGCCCAAACGGTCCGCCCGCTGCCTTCCTTTGCCGCTGTGTAGAACTAAGACATACAGTGGTACCTCAGGTTAAGTATTTAATTCATTCCGGAGGCCCATACTTAACCTGAAACTGTTCTTAACCTGAAGCACCACTTCAGCTAATGGGGCCTCCTGCTGCTGCCGCCGCACCACCAGAGCACAATTTCTGTTCTCATCCTGAAGCAAAGTTCTTAACCTGAAGCACTATTTCTGGGTTAGCGGAGTCTGTAACCTGAAGCGTATGTAACCTGAAGCGTATATAACCTGAGGTACCACTGTACTGAAAATGTGGTAATGGTAAACTTGCTTCCCATTCATCTAAAATGACTTTGGAGTCTAAATTTGCTTGCTACATTTAGCATATGAATACAGTACTGTAGTAAATGTTGCTTACTTAAGATGTATACATTTGTTCCAAATTTCTTTCAGCTCCTGTTTCAATAGCCCATTCTATACAGGAAAAGTACTGTCATATCTCAATGTGTGACATGCACAATATAAAATTGATACGAATTGGCAAAAAAAGGATAAAATAATGCTTTTGTCTTTTTGAACTTTACACACCAGCACGTAACAATAATATTGCTTTATAGACTGGGCTGATTAGAACCAGGCCAGAAAGCACTTCAGAGCAGTGAATCACGAATCAAGCAGTTACTCTTTGTATATGTAACAGAGGAGGTGTACAGCCATTTTACCAAGTGGCACAGGCAATGCTTTGAAATATATGAAGGGAAGGAAACCACAGGAGGCCTCCTTTTTCCCCTGCTGGTGTTGCTGCTGGTTTCAAGGGCAGCTCAGCTCACAGATCACTGTCTCCTTTGTGTATGTGGAAAAAAAGAAAGGCAGTTGGAACATCACACGACACAGTGCACCATTTCCCCCCTCCTTGCAGAATATGGAAACTGCTTGAGCAGAACTCTGAGCCTTTGGAACTGCACCAGGGTAAGAACTTGTGAGAATGGCATCTCCTTCTGTGGGATTTTTATCCCAATTTTCTGCTTCCATTTCTTCATTATCTATACATACTATCGCCTGTTCTTTTCACTATGTATTTATCTTATTCTTCCCCCTGCCACATTTCTTTGTCTCTCATTTTCTTTCCTGCACCCACTTGCCATGTTCGAACTTTCTTCTAACTCTGGGCTTGTCCAGAAGACAAATTTACACATTCCCACTTTTACATATCTACCCCTTCCCTGGAGCATTGTGGCCCTGAGTCTTTTGCACGGGGCTCCAGATTGCCTCCCCCTACACTTCCTTTTAAAACTTTTAAAAACAATGTTTTCACATTGCTGACAAGGCTGATAGACATGCTGCAAAGCACAGTGCCCATGAGACCCCAGCCAGCCACCATCTTAATGTACTCAGAGACCTACATTTGCGTCTATACATACAAATTAGCAGGTGCACATTTTATGCAGAATTTATGTCATGGCCTTAGATCTTTTAAGTAGCTAGGCAACAGCTCTGTCTGTTAGCAGGAAGGACCATAGCTCAATGGTAGAGTATCTGAGGTCCCAGGTTCAATCCTTAGCACCTCCAAGTAGGGCTGGGAATGTCCCCTGCTGCCCATCAGTGTAGACAGTGGTGAACTAAATGGTCTGACTTAGTATAGGGAAGCTCATTATACCCCTCCCTCACTTGTCTTTGTTTTCAAACTTCCCTCCTGGATCCGTGTTATGAGAGAGCATAAACAAGATCATGATGGACATCTTCATGTGAACCTGTTTTGAATAACTATAAAGCCTGGGTTTGGGGCTCGCAATTCCTAACAAATCTGAATTCTACTCACACAATGCATTGGCAGGAAGCAAGAAGAACGGCAAGAAAATGATCTAAACGTTATAAATGACTAACATCAAATACATTCTTATAACGTCACATGTATGTTGATAAGAGTTTGAATTGGCAATGACTAAGCACTGTAAAGAGATTTTAGGATCAATGACATTCTCAGTTCTGGGGGGGGGGCAATGAAAATGGAAAATGTCATGCTATTATTAGAAATGGGACTGACAATAAAAATGTCATCTGCAATCCTGGCTTAACAATGAGGATTTTAAATAAAATCGGAAAACTGGGTAAAATTTTAGACACACCACCTCAGAAGGGATAGTGTAAACCTGGAAAAAGACATCCCAAATGACAAATGGTTCACAGCATATTCTCTTAAAGGAAAGGCTAAGCTGGGGCTTTTTAGGCACACACACTCAAAAAAAAAAACTTCACTAAAATCCTGTGAGATAGGTTTAGGATGAGATGGGATTACTGGCTCAAGATCACCCACCCAGTTTGCTTCCTGGTTTAGAGAAAATGAGAATCCAAGTCTCTTCCACCCTTATCTATCACTCTCTCACCTAGATAAACCACACTTTGCTTATGTTGGGATGAGAGGTACAGCTGGACAATTTTAAACTCTAAGTAATGGTCTTCTAGTGCTCGCCGTCTTTAGGATCTTTTTCCTAAGACGGTCCTGGGACCTGACGGCGCCACTGACGACTGCTAAGCGGACCCAAAGATCTGTTCTTCCGGATTAATTCAGAACCGGAACTATCGATGCACAGCCCTAGTTGCAAAGCCGAGATTGTTCGGCGTTGCACCAAGTTGCCGCCGGTTTACGGAGAAGGTGCACCCACTCTTTCCTTCCCCCAGCACCGAGAGGAACTCGGGCAGAAGGCGGGATGGAGGCGGCGGCTGGGGCGCTCGTGTCGTGGTGTGTGGGGCAGCTGCGTGGCGGCTTCGGGCTGGACGTCGGCGAGGAGCTTGTCCAGTGAGCTGAGGGGAGAGGAGGGGAGGGGAGGGGGAAAGAGTCGATTCGCCGAGCCGGTTACCCCGCGCGGTGGTTGTGGAGAAAAAGTGCTGCCGGCGTTGTGGCAGGGAGAGGCGAGTCGCCCCCTTCTCGCCTGGGAGGCGAGCGACGCTAGGCCCGGTGGGGCTCCTGTGCCTTTAGCACAGGCATAGGCAAACTCCGGCCCTCCAGATGTTCGGGACTACAATTCCCATCATCCCTTGCTAACAGGACCACGGGTCAGGGATGATGGGAATTGTAGTCCTAAACATCTGGAGGGTTGGAGTTTGCCTATGCCTGCTTTAGCAGCTGTAGGAGAGGCAGAAATGCCAGTACAGTCATACCTTGGGTTACAGACGCTTCAGGGTGCACATTTTCGGGTTACGGACGCGCCGAAACCCGGAAGTACCGGAACGGGTTACTTCCAGGTTTCGGCGCATGCGCAGAAGCACTAAATTGCGCTTTGCACATGTGCAGAAGCACCGAATCGCAACCCGTGTGTGTGCATACACGGTGCTGCAGGTTGCGAACGTGTCTCTCACACGGATCACGTTCGCAACCCGAGCGTCCACTGTACAGCCACCGGAGGTGACATGTCTGTTATTACTATTATTACAGTGATACCTTGGTTCTCAAACTTAATCCGTTCTGGAAGTCCGTTCCAAAACCAAAGCGTTCCAAAATCAAGGCGCGCTTTCCCATAGAAAGTAATACAAGACGGATTAATCCGTTCCAGACTTTTAAAAACAACTCGTAAAACAGCAACTTAACATGAATTTTACTATCTAATAAGACCACTGAGCCATAAAATGAAAGCAATAGTAAATGTACTATACTATAAAACAAATAAGACAGCGTTGCAGATGATAAAAATTAAAATTATTTTTTTTTCTTACTGCACTGATGATAGTCATTGCTTGGATGTGGGGGCTTTTATCCATTTCCGCAGTCACACAATCAATCAATCAATCAATCAATCAGTAGCTGAACTGGGTTCCACATGGTCACAAAAACAAATTAACCAAAAAAGCCTCAAAAACAGAAACGCAAAATAAATAGCAAAAACAATTCCTAGCAAATCTGAATTCTACCCACACAGTGCATTGGCAGGAAGCAAGGCGAATGGCAATAAATTGATGTAATCGTCATTAATCACCATTTTCAAATTTTCATCAAGCAAACAAATAAAACAATTTCCATAAGTTCCCTTGGACTAACCCCCTCTACTTTTGTGGGTCTTTATGTTAACTTTTTCTCCTGCACCTTCTCTGTTAATCCAATTCTATTTAATCTCCAATAAAACCATAGTCCAACTTTTAACTACGAATGTCATTCCAATCCTACTAATAATTTTAATTGTTTACAATGATTTTTTTAAAGATAAATTGTATATTTCCCCCATTATTGAAATTTTTGGGATTCCTGATTCTTCTGGTCAGCTTTGCTGTTTCTGCATAGTTCAGTTTAATCTGCCATTCTTCTCTGGAAGAGACTGCCTGCTTTCCATCTCTGGGCTAATAGTGTCCAGGCAGCAGTAGTCACATACATAAAAAGTCTCTTCTGGTCACTTGGAAGTTTGGCACTTACAATTCCTAAAAGAAAATCATCTGTTTTTTTAGAAAATGTTATTCTAAGGCCTGTCGAATTTGTGCTTGTCCTGTTCAGTTAAATCTATTTACTTACAATAATAAAATCCTGGCAACTTTTGCTCCTGGCCTGTAAAAAGTACTGTTAAAGTCCAAACAAGAATGGCCATCTGTCATGGGTCTTCAGCTAAGATTCCTGCATTGCAGGGGGTTTGACTAGATGACCCTTGGGGTACCTTCCCACTCTACAATTTTATGATTCTAAGAATAAAGTTACAATTACCGTAGTTCAACAACAACAACCTAGTTAGGAGATTACTGTAGATTGCATGCATGTGTTTTCGATTTTATATGCTACTTGTTCAAGTAAGGAGGTCGTATAGATGACCATTTATCACAGTCAGACAGGAGAAACCAAATGTATTTCTGTTTGTCTGTGAGCAGTTAAAGGCATAGGAACCCAGCAGGGTGGGAGAGCATAAGCATGTGTCAGCCCTAATTGAGTGATACTGATATTTTGAGTTGACAATGGCAGCTGTTGCCAGTCAGTTAGTATAAAGAATATAGACAATATATCTTAAGTTAATTGTTACAACAAATGCAGTTATCGAGGAAACGAAGGACCCACGCTGAGATGGAAGTCTCAAAGGATGAAAGAACTTTATTTTATGTATATGCAACATTTACTTTTTAGTAACATTTTACTTTCTATATAACATATTTTTGTTAACCGATGGGTGGTGTATTTTCGTTTTAATTTTGTGATGTAATATTCAAATTCAATTATGGGGGGGGAGACAACGGCAGCTGTTGCAGCTGCTGCATATATCTGTCCTGTAAAGTGCTCCACCTGCTGATTTCTGCAGATCAAACACTGTTAAAAATACAGGCAGAGGCTATAATGGCTCCTTCTCTCTTCTCCCTCCCCCATCTAGCTGACAACCCTGTTGGCACCTCAGTTCCTAGGGCACCACTGCTTTTGACTGTCTCTTTTTTTATCTAGGAGAAAAAAATCTTCATAATAAATCGTGTTTTAAATAATAGGATAAAAAATAATAAGAAATCAATCTTTTAGTACAGCAGCACCCACACGTTGAAACTCCCTGCCTATTAACATCAGGGAGTCACTTTTCCTATACACTTTTTGGTACCTATTTAAACATTTTTGAAACATTTTTGTTTATGCAAGCCTATTCAGACATAGAGAAGTTACATTTATTTCTACTGTTGATTTTAATGATATCTTGAATGCGTTTAAATACTCGCTTTTAACCGTTTTATCAAGAATGTTTCATTTTATACTTTGTAAACTGCTTGGATGTTTCCTTGTAATCAAGTGGTCGATAAATTTTGTTAAATCAATAAGAAGGGGGTGCACTGATCTTTCTGAATGTGGAGTTTGTATATTATTTCCCGATGCATTCAGCCGTAACTCTAATTTGCTACTACGTTGTCTCATTTAGTTTTTTATTTTGCCCCAGTGCCCTTAGAAGTCTCATTATACAAATAGCATGTTGAGAAATTAAGTAGCAAAAGCATTTAGCCCTCATGTTGTCTTTTGAACAAAGCACTCCTAGAAGCTTCTGCACATTCTGTTCCTTTATAGATATATCTTGTCTATTGAGGATGAGGAGGAGATTCGAGATTATGTCACTGACCTAATCCAGGGGGCAGATGGCAAGAAGAAGCACTTTGTGGATGAGCTGGTAGCCAGATGGCAAAAGTCCTGTCAGCCAACTTCTGACCCTTTGCCAATATATCGGAAAAAAGATGGTAAGTGGGAGTATAATGAGGCAGTAAGTAGAAGAAATAACTCTTTAATCGCAAGATTGCAGCATTTTTAGATTACCACTGAATCCAGTTGCATTACTGAAAAATATGAGATCTTAATCTGAATTGTTCTTGGTGCTCCTCATGAAAGGTGCTGATGGTAAATTGTTGCACATTGACTTGTGCTGATGGCAAGTGATGTGGTGCAGAGAGCAAGTGAATGTTACAAGGAGAAGGGGAGAGGAGTGGCAGGAGCTACTGAATTTTTCTTTACTGTACATTCTCTTTTAGATAGCTCAGAGGTTCTTCGGCCAGGAGACCAAGTCAAGAGGGGAAGACGCAAAGGGAGAAACAAACAGGAAGCACCTGTTCATGTTGAAGCTGAACAGCCTGTAGAGGAAGTAAAAACACCACTAGATTTAGCCAAGGTAGGTGCATTTGTTGTCCACCATTGGGTCAGATTGACTTTGTGGGTGCTTTATCCAAAGACAGAAGCCTAATCTTCAAAACAAAAAAGCAATGGTTGTAATTTTTTACTTGAAGAGCATAAAGGGGCCATTGTATTTCAGTTGTGGGGACTGATAAGGAGTCTGCTATTCTGAGAATCAAATGTTTCATCTTTTATCATGGAATGCACAAATAAATCTGTCATCAGTGGTCAGAATCTTTCCACTTTCTTTCTACGTGCTTTTTAAGGACCCAAGTAGGAAAAGTTAAAAAGGGAAATCACCTGAAGCCCAAATTAGAGTTCAAGGAGTTCTGACTGTTGATTTCTTACCTACTTTTCTTGTTGAGAATTTAAACAAATATGCAAAGTCAGTGTGTGCTGTTCCTTTTTCTTCTGTGGCTAAAAATACAAAGGATTAATGGCATACTTTCTCATTTAGACTGCTTTGTTTGTCTCAAAGTCTTCCAGAGTGTGCAGTCCATGCTATTTTCTCTCAAAAATATTTTCCACTCACCCGGTTTTCCAAGTTGTGTGTTGTTTTTTTTAAATGATATTTATTAAAATTTCAGAAACAAAAAATTACATTGTTAAAGAAAAAAGAAACAAGGGAAAAAATAAAAAAGAGAAAAAACATACAAAGTACAGAAAAAACAAAAATAAAAACACTTAAAAACAAATCAATCCTTCCGTATCTTACATTTCATTTCCTTACTTCCCTGACCTCCTCTCACCTCCCTTTTTTGTATTCCAGTTCAATTGGTTAATTCAGCAATTCCTTTCCCTCTTTGTTTTTGTCTTAGTCCTTTAACATAATATATTATAGCTTTAGATTCTCACTTATTAACAATCCATTTTTACATACACCTTTAAGACATTGCTGCTAAAACCACTTCATTCTGACATCATTCTAACATTCATTAATTTTGCAATATTTCTGTAAATAATCTTTAAATTTCTTCCAATCTTCTTCCACCGACTCTTCTCCCTGGTCTCGGATTCTGCCAGTCATTTCCGCCAGTTCCATGTAGTCCATCACCTTCATCTGCCATTCTTCCAGAGTGGGTAGATCTTGTGTCTTCCAATACTTTGCAATAAGTATTCTTGCTGCTGTTGTGGCATACATAAAGAAAGTTCTATCCTTCTTTAGCACCAATTGGCCGACTATGCCCAGGAGAAAGGCCTCTGGTTTCTTCAAGAAGGTATATTTAAATACCTTTTTCATTTCATGATAGATCATCTCCCAGAAAGCCTTAATCCTTGGGCACGTCCACCAAAGGTGAAAGAATGTACCTTCAGTTTCTTTACATTTCCAACATTTATTATCGGGCAAATGATAGATTTTTGCAAGCTTGACTGGGGTCATGTATATCATTTTCATAATATTCTCTCTTAAGGCATTGCATGCCGTAAACTTCATACCTGTGGTCCATAACTGTTCCCAGTCAGCCATCATTATGTTATGTCCAACATCTTGTGCCCATTTAATCATAGCAGATTTCACCGTTTCATCCTGAGTATTCCATTTCAACAGCAAGTTATACATCTTTGACAAAATCTTAGTTTTGGGTTCTAGCAGTTCTGTTTCTAATTTTGATTTTTCCACCTGGAAGCCAATGTTCTTGTCCGAATTATATGCCTCCATTATCTGATAATAATGAAACCAATCTCGCACTTTGTTTTTTAGTTTCTCAAAACTCTGCAATTTCAATCTATCTCCCTCTTGTTCCAGAATTTCCCAATATTTCGGCCTTTTGGCCGGTTTCCCAAGTTTTGCTGACTTGCAATAACATTAAAAGTGGTGAGAGGGTACAATTTAGCTGGATCAAACTCTGAGGTGGTCTTCATCTGCTTCCCTTTCTCTCCTGGAATCCTTCTAACAGGGCGGGTGGTAATAGATAGCCCAGCTAGAGCAGGCCCTAATGTATTTGTTGCCTGCCTGCCCAGCTCCCTCTCTCTCCTAGAAAGCTTTCCATAGGGTCCTTTGTGATGGATGGCACTGTAGTCTCAAGCAGATCTCTTGGCAGCTGAATAAGTGTTGCCTAATCTTTTACCATAAAAATCACAGGAATAAAGCCATTGAAATGGATGAAGTGACTTCTGTTTCCAAATAGTTGAGGCATTGGTTTTTGTGTTCAGATTTTTATTCACAACGAGAAATACATATATAGTATGCCACTGTTTCTTTTATTGAATACAGTGGGAACACTTGTGACCAACAGCTTTAACACACAATTAGGCTTTTGTCTGCAAATTTCCCACCATTTTGATTCTGCACATTCACACTAACTTTTTTTTTTAACACAATTTATTAAATAATTCACACCCTGTTTTCCAGTTTGTTCAAAGCAATTTCCTGTGCATATTTAAGTACAATTTTAAAAATCGTATCGGTACATTTTATGAAAGCCTAGCAGACCCATTTGATAAAATGTAATCCAGATCCCAATTAGGTGCTCCTTTACTTCATCCTTTCCAATGGGCACCTGTAAACTTTCATTAAGAAATCCTTTCCTGTCTCATAGGAGGTTCCCCACTTAACTAAACTCACCCCACACTCATACGATGGACACCCCACCCCATAGTCAACCTTTTGGTTTCCTTGCTCTCTCGCAACTGGCCACCAGCTTTCTGACAGATGCACATGGAGTGGGTGTTGCTCGCCCTCCCCTCTTCTGCCAGCCAGCATATGGCCTCATGGGTCTTTTCAAGGCAATGGGAATACAAAGTTCTGCCCCTCACAAATGAAGTAAGAACAAAAGAAGAGCCTGCTGATCAGGCCAATGGCCAATCTAGTCCAGCCTTCTGTCCTCACAGTGGCCAACCAGATGCTTCTGGGAAGCCCATCAGCAAAACCCGAGTTCAACAACACTCTTCCCACTTCTGATTTCCAGCAACTGGTATTCAGGGGTGTATGGACTGACAGTGGAGGTTTGTTTGGCATTGTGAGGGCCATGCCAACTTCCTTCTTTCTCCCAAGTAGGGTGCCTTAAAGATCTGTTCATATCTCATGAAGGCATAGGACAAATCCTTGCAATCAAATCTCAGAAAGTTGTTTGTATGGTTCTGTGCTTGGCAGAAATAGTTCTGCTGCCACGATTCCCTATTCTCATAATGATAATTCGATGATACAGATGACATGGCTTCTCCTCGTCCTGCATGATAAAGTAAGTTGATAAAGTTAAGCTAGACATAACTGGAAGACTTCCCTGATAGGTGGGGCATAAAAAACTTGAGTACCAAACAAACTCTGCAAGAGGGGACAACAAATTAGGTACTTTTGTCCCAAGGGAACCATCCGCAATCTTTATGTTGGTCAAAAAGAAGTGGAAAAATAGATAAGGCATTCCAGTTCAGAAGATTCTCACTCCAGTTGTTCTCTAAAATGTGTTTTCTTCTCCCCTCCTGCAACACCTCCGCATAACTTAGGCTCAGGAGATAAACAGTGGTAGCTCCTCCTGCAAGAAGAAGGCAAAATACGTCAATTTGTACACGAAGGAGGGTCAGGACAAACTGACAGTCATGCTCCCAGGACGTCACCCTTGCGAGTGCCTGGCTCAGAAGCACAAGCTCATCAACAATTGTCTGACATGTGGGCGCATCGTCTGTGAGCAAGAAGGCTCTGGGCCTTGCTTATTCTGTGGGACACTGGTATGTTAACCACCTCCTGTATATATTTGTGTGCCCCTCAGGTTCTACCTTGCTTAATTATATCAGGTTAGCACTATATTGTTCAGTATCCTGTGTAGTGTACTAAGCTATCTCTGTTATACTTCTCAGGGAAAAGAGGAAAGACTTAATCCCTCTTTGCTGTTCAGATCTAAATCTCTCATCAAAGAGAGAGCTGCTTCTCATGTGACATGGATGCATGTTCTTAGACCTTCTTTTGAAGTTTTATTCTAAATATAGTTTGCCTCGCAGACATAAGCTGATTTAATGTCCCGACATCTTGCTTTGAAACTTCATAAACCAATACCATGAGAAGCAGTTCCAGGACAATTACAAGGGCTGTCATGGAAGCTGCGTTTCAGAACTCCTGGTGGATTTTGATCAGGGAGCAGGTGAAAGGTGGAGTTCAACGGATTAACCCCACCTAGCAAATTGAGGTACAATCTGAAACGGGAACCATGGGATGCAGACAAAGACAGGAGTGCACCTCGAATCTTCTTATGGCTACCCTTTCATATATGCACAGTGCTTAGAAAAAAATTAGGCACTTGATAACAGGTGTTATTAATAGTGTGTAGAAATTTCATTTTCTGGATCTAGATGGCAGCCTGTCAGCAGCAGATGTGGGGGTGCTGCTTGACACCTTGTGGAGTTATTGCCACTCAGTGTAGACATCATTGGGCTAGAATCAGCAGTGGCCCAAATATGTATTTGTGGGCCCACTTCTTAATTTATTATCATGTTTTCAGACGGTGCTAGTGCTTTTAGTGTGACTCACCTTAGCTCAGGCTATGACCCAGTATTGGGTTCTGACCAATGGGCCATTTGAAGAATAATGGGCTAGATGAGGATGGGGCTCTTTGGATGCTTGAAAATTGTGAGTCTTGGACCCAAACTATTGGGTGCAGGTGCATCATCTGGAACATGGTGATGTTTTAGATGCTACTATTCTATATAAAACGGATACTATGATTATTTATGTGTGTTTCCAATGTGTGTGTTTTTTTAAATTGTTATACGTATTGCTCATTTGAAATGAGATGAACCACCTTAGGCATAATTCTGTAGGAAAGCGGCATACAAGTCAGCAGATGCTGCTGATGAGCCAACCGTAGAAGGCAATTGCATGGCCATGTGTTCGTGCATGGAGAGAGCAGATCTCATAGTTCTCCGTTCTCTTTTAGGTGTGCACAAAAGAAGAGCAGGATGTCTTGCAACGAGATTCCAACAAGAGCCAGAAGCTGTTGAAGAAGCTCCTGGCAGGTTAGTAGCTTATTTGGGGGCGGGAGACTTGAACACAGACCTTGTTTACAGGATCAGAGAATTTTGCTAACTTTAAAGATTTGCAAGAAGGCAATCCTTTCTTACACAGGTTAGAGTATTTTAAGTTTTATTTAGAAGGGTAGTTAAAAGTGTCCTGTCCATAAGTTGTTTTAACGCCACTTCCTTCTGGATAACCCTGGCTGGGTTGGACGTTGCACTTGCAGCAGTCTTTGGTGGCTGTTGTCAACCATTTTTATTTGAGTGACTTGCTTGGTCCCCAACTAAATGCACTTTCAGAGCCAATCAGAGACCTTTAGAAGTCTGATTTGGATTGAAACCACTTCCTCTGCTGAGGGGGAAATGAATGCTCTATTTGCCACGGATCCAAACTGATCCCTCCAAATGGAGCATTTGTTCCTCTGCAGAGGAAGTGGTTTGGATTCTCTTCCTCATCTTATATCAGAAGTGGGCAGCAAGTAGCAAATGGTTCCCAGCCCAATTTTATGTGGGTGGCAAATGTGGGAGAAAGAGAGAAAGGGGGATGGCTTTGCCCACTTTTGGCTCTGGTCTGCATCCCCCGCCAGCTTCACCCCACCCATGTGCCAAGGGAATGCATCCCTTGACAGATGAAAAGATTCCCCATCCCCTCTTTGTGTACAGGCAAGACTATGCAGAAATTATTCTCAAAGTGCCAGGTGGATGTGTAAATTGATGCATGGAGTGCAGGTCGCAATGAACTCTTGTGGATTTCAGGCACTGAGAGTTCTGGAAAGGTGGATATAAGTGGCAAGGACATACTCCCCCGCCAGGAGTCTCGACTCAAGGCAGGTCTGGAGGTGGCTGTGAAGCACAAGGACAAGCTGTTGGAGTATGACAAAACAAGGTACATGACAGAGGGAGTTAGACATGTGTCTAGATCCAAAGACTTCCTGACAGGAAAGATCCTCCAATCCTTCTTTATGAGCAGCCTGAACCACAAGCCGAACTCTCTCTGCTAAAGCTTTGAGGACCAATTTCCAATATTAATATTTGCAGTTTCCGTCCTTGGCCCTGTTCTTGCACTTTCTCTTGTATAAAGCACACGTGTTTCATTTTTTACTCAGCAGGTTGCTTTTGACAGAAAAAACTCGAGGTTTTATTTAAAAGCTTTGATGTGAAGATGCCCACTGTGCCAATTGCTGAATCTCGACTAGCTGGATTTGCCTTTTAGCAGGATAACACCAGCAAGGGGGTGAATTTGACAATTTCAGATCCTCAGATTGAGAGAATAGAAACTGTGCCTGCTTTGCTTCTGTCCCTAGCATATGTGTGAAGCAGTGTTCATTGGGTCACCTTTGTCCCATGCTGTAGACCAGGGATGGGGAACTTGTAGCTCTCTAGATGTTGCTGGATTGCAGCTCCTATTAAACCCAGCTGCCAGACTTTGGGCTCTCACATTTCAGCGGCACCCTGTGTGATGTTAAAATTCAGTCGTTGTCATTGTTGTCCTTACACTCCATTCTACAGCATAGTTGTGGCACCCCTTGCAGCACGGCACCCAGTGCAGCTGCAGCAGTTGTGGTACCTTAAAATAGCCTCTGCCACCATGGCCATCTGAAGGCAGCCCTGTTTAGGGAAGCTTTTAATGTTTAATAGGTTATTGTATTTTAATATTCTGTTGGAAGCCGCCCAGAGTGGCTGGGGAAACCCATCCAGATGGGCGGGGTATAAATGTATTATTATTATTATTATTATTATTATTATTATTATTATTTATTACTGCCCCAGGGTGTGGTCCAAAGGCACGTGAGCCACTGCCTTGCTGAAGCTATGCAGGATTGGGTCTAGTGAGTTTGTGTGGCCTGGGAACCACGTGTATGCCAGGAAAAAGGTGGACTATAAATGTAAGAAAATAAGTAAAGGAATATAGGACTTGTAGTATCTGACATCAAAGATCATCTCTGTGCTATATGGCAAGAAGTAGTGTGCTAGTGTGTTTAGGGAAGTCTTTAATGTTTTCTCTTTTATTGCCTTATTATTATTATTATTAGAACCAAACGTTCTGATCTCCCTTTAGAGAGTTCCCATCCAATTTCTCTTGAATCCAATGTGCACCCCCAGATTCTTTCTTTACTTTACTTTACTTTACTTTACTTACTGATGCTGTCATGGGCTGTTAGGTAGTAATAGCTTAGTGGCAGATCACTTGCTTTGCATGCAGAAGATCCTAGAAGGTTCAGTCCCCAGCATCTCCAAGTAGGGCTAGGAGACAACCCCGTCTGATACCCTGAAGAGCCGCTGCCAGTCAGTATACCTGCAGACAGAACCAAGCTAGATGGACCACTGGTCTGACTCTGTATAAGGCAGCTTCCTATGTTGCCTGACACCTGCAGATAAAAAAGGGGTCAGATAGCATGTGATGGGAAAGACCTCTCCCTGAGCCCCTGGAGAGGGCTGGGGTATTCCTCCCTTTTGTCTTTTGAGAACTGCAATCCCTGTTGCAAACTACATGTAGGCACTGAGCAAGATGAAAGCCCGAAATTGGCAAGGCCTGCCTGCCTGCCTTCCTTCCTTCCTTCCTTCCTTCCTTCCTTCCTTCCTTCCTTCCTTTCTTCTCTCCACTTGCATGAGAATAGGCTGAGAGCTGCATGAAATGAGCATGAGGAGCCACAGGTTGCCCACTCCTGAAGCAAACTTTGCAGGGCTAGAGGAACAAATCAGTCCTTTGTAATGACACCATGTTTCCCTTGGGGCTGCTGGGTGACCGTCTTCTGGTTTTCATGCTAGCGCGCGCCGAACTCAAGTCATCGATGACGAGTCCGACTACTTTGCTACCGACTCCAATCAGTGGCTCTCAAAACAGGAGAGGGAAGTGCTGGAAAAGAGAGAGAAGGAGCTACGGGAGCTGAGGCATGCTTCTCGACTCTCCAAAAAGATCACGATCGACTTTGCCGGACGGCAGATCCTGGAGGAACAGGGTGGCATGGCAGACTATCACAGCAAGTGAGTATCATGGCACAGTAGGTCAGGGTGGTGGGTTCACTTTTGACAAAGAGGAAAGCTTGATGGCTCCTTTTTTGGTCAAATGGATGTAATGTTTGAGGCTGGTCTTTCCCCCTTGTCTCATCCTTCTCCCCTTTAGGAATAGGACTTGTAGTCATCTAGTTTGCTTTTACTGTTGATGGCCTTCTCACTTCCACTTCCTGTTTGGCGACATCACAGTCACAAACAAGGATAGAGTGTGTGTGGAATCGAACAGATGAGGCTCCCAGGATGGTACTTCTTTGCGTCTTTTCCTAGTGATGAATGTAATAGCCTGAAGTGAAACAGAGCAGGGCTTGAATCGCGGCGCTGTAAGGATTTGGTGAAGTACCCTAGCCTCATTCATCTGGAAACGATGCCTTATGAGGAACGGCTAAGGGAGCTGGGCATGTTTAGCCTGGAGAAGAGGAGGTTAAGGGGTGATATGATAGCCATGTTCAAATATATAAAAGGATGTCACATAGAGGAGGGAGAAAGGTTGTTTTCTGCTGCTCCAGAGAAGCGGACACGGAGCAATGGATCCAAACTACAAGAAAGAAGATTCCACCTAAACAGGAAGAACTTCCTGACAGTAAGAGCTGTTCGACAGTGGAATTTGCTGCCAAGGAGTGTGGTGGAGTCTCCTTCTTTGGAGGTCTTTAAGCAGAGGCTTGACAACCATATGTCAGGAGTGCTCTGATGGTGTTTCCTGCTTGGCAGGGGGTTGGACTCAATGGCCCTTGTGGTCTCTTCCAACTCTATGATTCTATGATTCTATGATTCTATGATCTTCATCCTAAATGCACCTCCTTGGAACGTTTTTCATTATTAACAATATAAACTCGCACGTAAAATATTTAAGGTCAGGGTTAGTTTGCTAGGACCCTTGCACCAGAAAAAAACTGGCTTACTGAGTGGTCATTAAACTTTTCCTTTGAGTGAAAAGAAGAATTGCTTTGCTGAATTAGGTCATGGTCTGTCCATCTAGTCAAGCTTTCTGTCTCTAACAATAGCCAGTCACGTGCTGCTGGAAAGCTCACAAGTGCTGCATGTTGCTGACCATCCCTTGTTGATTGTTGAAATCCTACAGCAGTCAGAGGGTCCATTAATCTTTCATGGCAACTGGTGCATTTCATGAATTGGTCTTTTTATCACCTCACCACTGACATTGCAATTCCTATGGTGGAGGTCTGCTACAGTTGTGTAGCCAATGCACCTATGCATGGTGTTTCTATCTTTCTCCAAGCAAAGAAGTTTCATTTAGCAAAGAAGGTGAAGGGAGCCTGGAAAGGCATTTTCAGTTGGACAGGTGCAGGGTAGTTTGCAAAAACTAATGTAAAACTGGTTGGCTCTCCTTGCAGATTGGATGAAACAATTGAAGCTATCAGTCAGGGAACCTTGACCAAGCCAAAGCAGAACCCTGAAGGAAAATATGAAGAATCCGGAGTCTTGGTGAACCCAAACCTTCTCCAGCCAGCTCCTGTGGTCAGTACTCTTCCTCCTTAACAAAATTCTAGATCTCAGATGGGGAACCTATGGTCTTCCAGATGCAACTGGTGTTTCAAAGCTAGTACAACACAGCTTCAGCCAGCAAGTAGTTGAAAGGGTGGTACACCAAATATGAAAAAAGCACAAGTATTCATACATTTACAAGCAAAGGGGCAGTTATGTCCATATATGGCAGTAATCCTGTCACTAGCTTCTTCTAATCACAAGGCATAGCAACTTTCTTATCTTTGCCTCCTTCCTTTGTCCTTAACAGCTATAGCATGAGCTCACACACAACTGTCGCTCTGTCCTTTTCTCACAACTTTCCCATTCCGACTTTCACTCATTCAACCTTTCTCACACACATCTCAACTTTTAATTTTTTTTTATTTCTATAACTTATACGACAGTAGAGTCCAGCAATGCACAGTTTGGCCATTTATTCTCTAAATAGTGTTGCTTGAACAAGGGCTCTTTTGCCACTAGTGAGGCAGAGAACCAGCCATGGGGTCTGTCCATGGTATCTCCTGTTGGAGGCCTAGTGAGGTTAGCCACCCAGTGACTGGGGCAATTAATAAATTGTTGTTATTCCTGGGCAGCAGGATCTTCTGGCACAGTGGAACCTCGGGTTGCGGATGTAATCCGTGACGGAGGCACGTCCGCAACCCAAAGTGTTCGTAACCTGCAGCGCCGCATCTGTGCATGCGCGTGACGCGATTTGGTGCTTCTTCTGTTCATACGCAAAGCGCAATTTGGCGCTTCTGTGCATGCACAAGTGGCAAAACCCGGAAGTAACCCTTTCTGGTACTTCCAGGTTTCCCGCAGTCTGCAACCTGAAAAAACATGTAACCCGAAGTGTCTGTAACCCGAGGTACCACTGTAGTTGCATGGGATTGTGTATGCTTCCCCAGATCTTCAGGGTCCTCATTGGAGGATTACTTGTTGAGGTTTGAGTCTGGGCTCAGTATAAGAGTCACAAGCAATGCTGTCAGCTGGAACCTGATAGGATTCTTGCTCCGTGCTTGCAGTCATGGGATTGGTTTTAATCACATGACGGTGTATGTTTTCATTCCACAGAGTGGGAAGTGGGACAGAGACAGGATGTTTATACTACTGTGTTCCGTGATGTAGGACTATTGTCCTTTGTTCTTTCTCTTTGCTGTCTGATGAGAAAGAGGAAGGAGCTGAATCAGAATGCTCCAAGTGTATTATATGTAAATAAAGTAGTTTAACCAAAATGCTGTGCTGCTGAGTCTGTTACGCAAACTGCTAACACTCTGAAGGATCCTTAAGTGTGCTGATGCCTCTTGGTATCAGTCGCTGTGGTGTTTGGGCTAGAGGAAGCTTTTGAACTCCCGAATGACCGACCAGGAGGGAGAGAACATGCCAGTCGGGTATGTGTCTCTGCCAGGGTCTTACACATGAGTAGGACGATCCTGATAGAACCTACAAGCTACAAAACACACGAGACACACTTTCACGCCTCCCTGTTTTGCAGTTTAAATGGAGAAATGTTAACCTTTTTGTATGTTCTTCTTGTTTTTAGTGGGTGGAGCAGACTGGTTTGCTCCTGCACAGGAAAAATATCCCTTCTGCAGAGGCTGGAAGCGAGGCATGTTTGGAAAGAAGTCGTTTACGAATTCAGGACCGAGAGATACAGGAGATCTCGGATGATGGCTGGTGCCTTAGCATGCATCAGCCTTGGGCCTCATTGCTGGTCAAAGGGATCAAAAGGTAAGCAGAAGACCTGAAACTGGGAGCATTTGAGACAGGGAGCAGCTTGTTTAAGGGAAACCCTTGTGCAGTTATCTGTTGAGGATGATTTTCCCTTAAATGGAGTGGCCTGTCTTATCTAATGAGTGTTATCCAGAGCCTCTTAATTTTCTGTGACAGTAACTGCAATGTGTAAATAACAGGGACATGAAGCACTTTTGTCCTTGCTGCAACATAAGAGACACAAGGAGAGCTTTCACTTGCATAAATATTCCTTGGGGCTTAATTTTCAGTAAAGGCTTATTCATGTAATAGAGGGTGAAAGGAATCTAATGCATCAGCTAGAGCACTGAACTTAGACCTGGGGACAGGTTTAAATCCCTGCTTGGGCTGTCTCACAGGGGTGCTGTCAAGATAAAAGGGCTGGGAACTGTCAGCTTCTTGGAGAAAGTGTGTAGTAAAATTAAATGTTACATATTTTTGAAAGGATCAGCTTCTAGTGATTAAATTTGACCTATACTTACTGGCTTCTGGCCTTAAAATTTTCACTTCCCATTTCAAGTGTTAGGTGGCAGTGTTTTCCTCTATTCCTCTGGGTGGAAAGGAAATAACCTTTTGAACAACTGCTGTATTCACTTAAATGTAGATCAGAAGACTGAGGGTTGTATCTATTGCTAGTCCTACTCAGGGCAGATCTGTTGAAGTTAATGGCTATAACTTAGTCATACAGGCTGTGACCATTTTAGGTGGCTCCAACTGCAGCACAGGTCCTTTTGGACCTGGAGGAGGGCAGAATGGGGGTGTGGTGCAGGGTTTATGCATGCTCTGCTGACATGCACAGGAGCTGGGAATGGAACCCCTGCACGAAATGGTCGTTGCCTGTATTTGCTAATTTCAATTGGACTTCTGTTACATTAGATACAATTCAGAGTATTCAAGTCCAGGTATGGTTGCAAAATGAGTTGTGTTAACCTTGAATTTATTATGAGCCAGCATTGGAGACAATCGGGAGGTTTCTAACGCTTGATGTTTTAAGATAAGCTGTAAGCCGCCCAGAGTGGCTGGGAAAATATTATTATTATTATTGTTGTTGTTGTTGTTATTTTAAACCACTTCTGATGTTATCAGATTGCTGCTTGGCTGTGGAGCAAGCTAAGTGCCATTGGGCAAGTCCCTGTTTCATGGCCTAAGCTGCCTCACACAGTTGTGGAGCAGGTAACAAGGGCCAATGCCACCTATAGCATCTTGAGCTCCTCAAAGAAAAGAAAAGGGGTGATAGAAATTTGATCAATTAATATGGGGACTACCTCACTTCTTCCTTGCTGTATTTGACGCCTGTGCTTTTGTCTCCATAGAGACTGCATGGCTCTTCCAAGCAGTCTTGGGCTTCAGCACCTCTTTTGCAAGCTGACTGTTGCTCAGCTCACTCTCTCTGGCCCCCATCCCCACCATACTTTTAAAGTACCGTCATGTCACTTTAAACAGTCATGGTTCCCCCCGCAAGAATCCTAGGAACTGTAGTTTAAGCGTGCTGAGAATTATTGGGAAGCCCCTATTCCCCTCTCAGAGGTCTAATTCCCACACTTACTTGGGAGTAATAATAATATAAAAAATAATAATAATTTATTATTTATTCCCCAGCCACTCTGGGCGGCTTCCAACAAAACACTAAAATACAATAACCTATAAAACATTAAAAGCTTCCCTAAACAGGGCTGCCTTTAGATGTCTTCTAAAAGGTCTGGTAGTTATTTTTCTGTTTGACATCTGATGGGAGGGCGTTACACAGGGTGGATGCCACTACCAAAAAGGCTCTCTGCCTGGTTCCCTGTAACTTGGCTTCTCGTAGTGAGGGAACCGCCAGAAGGCCCTCGGCACTGGACCTCAGTGTCCGGGCAGAACGATGGAGGTAGAGACGCTCCTTCAGGTATACTGGACCAAGGCCATTTAGGGCTTTAAAGGTCAGCACCAACATTTTTAATTGTGCTCGGAAATGTACTGGAAGCCAGTGTAGGTCTTTCAAGACCTGTGTTATATGGTCTTGGTGGCCGCTCCCAGTCACCAGTCTAGCTGCTGCATTCTGGATTAGTTGTAGTTTCTGGGTCACCTTCAAAGGTAGCCCCACATAGAGCGCATTGCAGTAGTCCAAGTGAGAGATAACCAGAGCATACACCACTCTGGCGAGACAGTCCGCGGGCAGGTAGGGTCTCAGCCTGCATACCAGATGGAGCTGGTAAACAGCTGCCCTGGACACAGAATTGACCTGTGCCTCCATGGACAGCTGTGAGTCCAGAATGACGCCCAGGCTGTGCACCCGGTCCTTCAGGGGCACAGTTACCCCATTCAGGACCAGGGAGTCCTCCACACCCACCCGCCTCCTGTCCCCCAAGAACAGTACTTCTGTCTTGTCAGGATTCAACCTCAATCTGTTAGCTGCCATCCATCCTCCAACCGCCTCCAGACACTCACACAGGACCTTCACCGCCTTCACTGGTTCCGATTTAAAAGAGAGATAGAGCTGGGTATCATCCGCATACTGATGAACACCCAGCCCAAACCCTCTGATGATCTTTCCCAGTGGCTGCATGTAGATGTTGAAAAGCATGGGGAAGAGGACAGAACCCTGAGGCACCCCACAAGTGAGAGCCCAGGGGTCTGAACACTCATCCCCCCCACCACTTTCTGAATACGGCCCAGGAGGAAGGAGCGGAACCACTTTATGACAGTGCCCCCAGCTCCCAGTCCCCCTAGACGGTCCAGAAGGATGCTTTGGTCGATGGTGTCAAAAGCCGCTGAGAGATCCAGCAGAACTAGGAAACAGCTCTCACCTATGTCCCTAGCCCGCCGGAGATCATCAGCCAGTGTGACCAAGGCAGTATCAGTCCCATGATGAGGCCTGAATCCTGACTGGAAGGGATCCAAATGGTCTGCTTCTTCCAGGCGTGCCTGGAGTTGTTCAGCAGCCACTCGCTCAATCATTCAAGAGAATGATTGTTAAGCCACTCTAGAAAGGAGAGTGATCTTGTGCTCAAATTTTGCATGCGGGTTTCCTGCAGGAATTTGGGTCGCCACTGTAAGAACAGGATGCTGGACTTGAAAGGGCTAATGGCCTGACCCAGCTGGCTCTTCTTTTGCTCATATGTCGTTGCCGTCAGTATGGCGAGACTCCAGGATGAGTTCAGAGAACGTCAGCTTTGAAATAAAAGTAAAAAGTTTGTTTCTGGCAGTGTATTGTAGCTGGGGGGAAATGTGTCAGCAGTTTATGGATAAATGGGGAAATGTATAAACTTTGGTGCTTTGAAGATCATGATTCCTTAAGCCGGTCTCTTAATGCCTGAGGCCCTTTCATGGATTTTCAGCTTGCAACTTTAATTCTGTCACTAGCGCCTTCCTTTTGAAAGGACTGTCTGTGCCAAGGGTGCTTGCCTCCCCCAGAATATACAACTTGGATACTAAAATGGCAATTCAGTGTTCCCTGAAACATGTGGGTGCCAAAGAAGGCATACCTCCTGGAGATTGAATCTGTTTCTGTTCCTCCCTCTCCAGGGTAGAAGGCAGGACTTGGTACACATCACACCGGGGTCGATTGTGGATAGCAGCTACAGCCAAAAGGCCATCCCCTCAGGAAATCTGTGAGCAGGAGGCTACCTACAAAATACTGCTTGGGAAAGGTGAGCCCCCCCTCCCACCTCTTAAGACCTTTGGATTTCCTGCCCTTTTAGCTGAGTCAGGGTGTTTTTCCTTGGAGGCCAGCTGGCTAAATGAAAATTAGTTTGTGGGCTTCAGAGTGGCTACTGCTATACATGTTCTGGTTATTTATATAGTGCATATATGTGTACATAGATTAAAAGAATGAGAGGACAGGTCCCTGTCTCCTAAGGGGCTTACAGTGTGAAAACACAACTGGGGTATCAAAACAGGGCCATTTGCTATGCCAGCTGTGGATAATGAAGGATAAAGTTCAGCAACGTCTGGGGACGCAAAGTTGAAGAAGTCTGCCATAGCTTTATTCTCCTGCCACTGGCTCTTTTCTCCTTTGCCTCACAGTTTCCTTTTCTCATTCTCATTTTAAATACTGCAAGAACTCAAATTCTTCAGTCTGAATACAACGTTTGAATTGCATAAAATGTGTCCTAACCAATTAGAGAGTTAGAGTGCTTCTTGCCAGTGAACCTGGACCGAATGTAACATTTGACCTTAGATAATACCTCAGCAAGGCCTGGGGCTGATCTTTGCACTGGCTGGAGGCATGTTAATGGAGCAGATTAGAAGGCCTTGGGAGACCGAGGTCCTCGTGGAGAAATGCTTTCCCCAGGATCAGAAAAGCTTCCCTAAGCAAAAGTACTTTTGTCCAAACCATGAAATTAGCTGTATAAAACAGTGTGGAGAGAGCTCACGCAAGGCACTCGAAGGCTAATCAAGACCATGTGGAGAATGGCAGGGCGCTGCATCACATGTTTGAGCTTGCCTAACAATTTTCTCTCCGGCTTGCCATAGATTTGGAATTTCCCAAAGATTATCCCTCTGGCTGCCTCCTTGGCTGTGTGGACTTGATTGACTGCTTGTCGCAAGAGGAATTTAAGGAGCAGGTGAGTTAGCACAAAAAAAACAAAAAAAAACTGCTCGGTTTTGTGAGTGTTGAAGCTGGAGAACATTATTTGGCTGCCTTTGGCAAAAATGAAGGTCTTTCTCCTTCCTCTCCCCAGTAGGGTGGCAAAATTATGCTACTGCTATGATTTTCCTGACTGGAGGTTTCCAAAGGGGCTGTGAGTGTCCCTTTCAAGTTCTGCTGCTTCAAGCATAGGAACCTTCCTTATCCTAAGTCAGGACTATTTATCCATATAGCCTACCCAGTGTTGTGTATTAGGTTTTCACTTTCCAAGATTTCAGGCTGAGGTCTTTCCCATCATTTGCTGCTTGGTCCTTTTAGGCCAGGGAATTGAGACTGGGGACCTTCTGCATGTGGCGTGTGTGCTCTGTGGTCTTCCCTCTAAAGCAGAGGTAGGCAACCTAAGGCCCGTGGGCCAGATGCGGCCCAATCACCATCTAATCTGGCCCGCAGACGGTCCAAGAATCAGCGTGTTTTTACATGAGCAGAATGTGTCCTTTTATTTAAAATGCACCTCTGGATGATTTGTGGGGCCTGCCTGGTGTTTTTACACGAGTAGAATGTGTGCTTTTATTTAAAACACATCTCTGGGTTATTTGTGGGGCATAGGAATTCGTTCATTATTTTTTTCAAACTATAGTCCGGCCCACCACATGGTCTGAGGGATGGTGGACTGGCCCACGGCTGAAAAAGTTTTCTGACCCCTGCTCTAAGGCAACAACCTGTTCCTCTGGTAGAGTTGGGCAGGCACCAGCAGCTTGCTTTTCCAGAAACGTAAGAGAAATCACCATAAAACAAAGAGTATGAATTAAAATGTAAAGCAAGTCTTCAGCATACAGGCCACAGGTTTGTTGCAGATGATACCTCTCGGATAGATCTGTTCTCGAGCTTATGGTGGAAGCAGAGGCGGTGGGGGGGAGTGTCTGACTGTGGGGGGCGTGCGTGAACTTCTCAACCTTGTGTGTGGTTTTGAGCGTCACTCTTCTTTCTCAGAGCCATGTCAGTTGTGACCTGTATTTGTTTAACCAAATCAGTCCTGAGTCAGGGAAATCCCTTTTTGAATAGGGCTCCTGGCAACCAGTTGGTTGGTTATTGATTTACAGAGGCAGCTGCAGCTAGGCCAGCACACCTAGTAGATTCATAGCAGTCCGTTGGCAGGGAGGGAGATCTTTCTCTATCAGACAAAAGCAGCCGCCACTGCTTGTTTACCCATGTTTGGTAATGTTCTGCATAGAAGCAAAATCTTCTGTTTGTGAACTCAGAATACTCAGTAGTTAGAATGCATACCCACCCACACCCTGGTGTTTCATTCACAGTTTTCTCCGAGGGAGGCTCAGTAAATGGCCTTTGTATCTGAGCTTCAAAGGATCCCTCTTACTATCACATTCCTGGCCTGTATTTAATAGGTTGTATGTATCTAGTAATGGAATATCTGGTTTTCTTTTGTTATGAGTTATGTATTTTGTGTTTTTATGTTGTAAACCGCCCTGTGATCTTTGGATGAAGGGTGGTATATCAATTTAATAAATAATAATAATTGTATCTAAACTTAGGCCCCTCCTGCAGTGTACACTGATGCCACTTTAAACAGGCGTGGCTTCTCTCAAAGTATCTTGGGAACTCTTGGTTTCTTAAGGGTTCTGAGAGTTATTAGGAGACACCTTTTTTCCCCTTCTAGAGCTGCAGTTCCCAGAGTGCTTTCACAATCGATTTCTCTTCCCAGGGAAATCTGGGAAGCTCAGCTCTTTGCGGGGAATAGTGTTGCTCCGTGATGGGAGTTATAGTTCAAAACACCCAGAGGGCACCAGGTTATGGGAGGCTGGCAAGAAGATCAAGCTGACCATGACGATTCACCTGGAGAGGTCCTCTAGAGTGGGAGAGCCTTGCACTGTCCTTCACTGCTTCCATGAGTAATGGTTTGGGATATGGCTGCATTGGGTAGAGCTCTGCAGAAAGAGCACTGTCTTTAGAGTGGCTGAGCAGTGGTGTAGAGCCAGGCATGGCGTTGTCACAGCGGGGAAACCTTGTTATGTTCCTGGACCTCACCTGTGGGCATGTGACGCAACCGCTTTACTGAGGTTAAGCAGATCTGGGTCTGGTCACTGCCTGGATGGGACGCCATGATTGAGTTTCCTGATTGAAGGAAGGCAGCAGGATGTCAGTGTGCTAAAGAAATGTGACACAAATGGTTGGCTGATAACACATGTAGGATTCCTTCAGATGTAGCAAAACTTTCTGAAGTCTTGCATTCTTCAAGCCAGGTTATCTGACTTTCAGGTTATCTTCTTCTAGGCAGCCAGCTCTTCAACACTGACAGACCTACCTGTTACAGGTGTTTATAGAAAGCAGGGGTGGGACCCCAGCCCAGGCCTTTAGCTGGGTGCAGCTTGCTGCTGGATTTCACCTTGTCCTTCTGGGTGCTCTTGTGTCAGTTAGCTGTTGTGTGGGCAGCAGCTGAGAGGGGAAAAGGGCTTTGATATATAGCAAAGTGTGCACACTGCCATTCTTAGAATTTTTCTGTGGAAAATACTAAGTTGCTTTTAACTTTTATATGGTCAGGGCAAATAAAGGGTGTTGGGGAGGATTTGTTGTTGTTGTTGTTATTTATTAAACACACTTTGTAAAATAAAGTCTATGGAGGAATGGAAGGTTTAAGAATTAAATATATGTTTCTGCTTCCATGGGAAATACCTATATGTTTTGTTTGGTTTTTTTAAAAAAATACTATGATTTTCAATTTTATACATTTCAACAATTTTCCTATCATTTTAATATTTCAAGACTTGACTTCCTTCCCCCTTTTTCTGCAGTTCCTTAAATTTATTTTAAATATTCTCTGCACATCCAAATTAATTTAATTTACTCTTTAATTTGTTTGCTTTAAATATATACTCTTACGAAACTGCAGGTTATTACAATAATCCTGCCAATGTTCTTATCTGTTTACAATTTGTAAATATTCCATAAACCATTTCCATTCTTTTATAAAAAAGTTTGCTATCTTGATTTCTCCCCCCCCCTTTTTTTTTGTATGCCATTTCTGCATATTCCATCAGTTTTTGTATCCATTCTTCTTTCACTGGGACGACTTCTTTCCATTTTGGGGCAAGCAACATTCTTGCCGCTGTAGTCGCATGCATGAATAGATTTCTATACAGTTTGAGTAGTTCTGTCCCTATAATACCTATATGGTTAAGGGTATGAGATGGTGTATGACTCTGGCCCATTCCTGGAAGGTGTCCCCAATAGCTTTCCACTGGGTAATGTGGTCCTCAGACGGCAGAAGACTCTCCACTCCTGATATAAAGCAAACCTTGATCTTACCTGTGTGCCATAGCATAGGGGAAGCTCTGTTGCTCTTAATGATGTGCCTTCTGCCTCTTTGCTCTCTTCTTGCCACCAGAGGGACACCCAATACTTTGCAGTTTATTTACTCAGGAACGGGAGGACTGCTAGCCAAGCTCCTGGTCTCCTGCCAGTCGCTTCAGCTCCCTTCCCTTCCTTATCTTCCATTAACTTGAAACCAAACAGCCTAGCCATCATGGAAGGACATCCAACCCTCAGGTGTTATAAGAATCCAGTCAAGCCCAGAGATCTGATTATTTGAGAAAATTCTCTTTATTTGAGAAAGGGCGGGGGGGGGGAGAGAGAGGAAAAGTAAGGAGGAAGGCAATGAGTGTGCACAATAATAAAAAGGAAATAAAACATTACACCAGAGCATTGGTCTGGCTCTTGACTAGCGAACTGGTGACTCTCCAGCTCTTGCTAGACTCCAAACAAATAAATCTCCCAGCAGTGGAGGAGGTGAATAGAATATAAGCCATTCCACATTGGAAGCCAGAAGGCTGCTTTTGAAAATGAGAGGCAAATATATTAATATGCATCCGTTTTTTAAAAAAGTGTCACAGCAGAGCTGCCCAGCATCTTGATCAGAGGTAGGAAATTGGTGCTTTTGAGCTGCTGCTGGACTCCGGTTCCTATCTGCTCCAAGCTACATGGTCCATAGTCAGGGATGATGGGTGGGGTAGTCTTAACATCATCTGTAGGGCCATAGATTCTCTACTGCAGATCCTGATAACCAATTGACAGTTTGTGTTAGAGAAACTGGATGCTAGTTCAGACTAGTTTGCTTTACTCTGCTTCTCAAACAAAGCGTACGTATGTAATCTATAAGGACTTGAGTCCAAATATAAATCTCCACACCACACTGCCACATCCCTGACCATCAGCCATGCTGGTTGAGGTTGGTGTAAGTTGAAGTGCCACAGGTTCCCAGTTCCTGCTCAACACAGGTCAGTCCTGTGGATCAGTTTCTGGATGCACGCTGGCCTCCCTCCTCTAGCGCAACTGTTGGATAAAACAATGCAGAATGCCAGAAAACTCTAGCCTGCGAGAAATCATATTATGTGCTTCTTTCATTAAAAACGACATCATTACTTCCTGAAAAGGGAGCGGATTGCTTCCATAATTTCATTTCAGTAGCCAACATATATATTTTGAGAAAATGTCTCTTTCACATCATTTATGTTTATTCAGTCACATCTCTATGCCCGTACTTACAGAGTTAAAATAGATAATACCGCTATATTTTTTCTGTTTGTAAGCAATGCCATAAATAATACATGTCAGTGTGGCTAGATATGCTCAGTATCTGGTCTGGTTGCCTTTAATTAAAAGCATTTTGCCTGTTTTCAGAAAAAAGTGTGCATAAATCACACCCTTTTCATTAATTACATATAGAAGACAGCTAGCAGCTATCCAAGAGGATACACAGCTTTCAAGCAATGAGGAGGCCATTTAGAACCGATGAACAAAATTGAAACAAGAACTAATTATACCCGTTGCTATCCATGTACATTCTACACACTAAGGTTTTATTTTATTTTTAAACTAGATAGCTGTGTTAGGACAAAAATCCTAAAGTAATAGTAGGCAGCACCTTCATAATGCCCAACTGAAATATTAGGAAGAGAGCAAGCTTTCAGGTTCGACAGAACTCTTTGTCTAAGCAAAACAAGCAAAAAAATGGGGGCAGGTGGAATCAGTATGTTAGACTAGATGCAAAAAAAGGCGTAATTTGCACCATGTTGGGTAAGTCTTAATTCCCCCTTTATTGAAAAGAGGGATGGACAGTTGAGGGTGATGCCCGATAGCATAAATTCCAGAGCTGCAGCATCTTGCCCTGCATTTACCGGTAAATGTGAAATATCAACTCACTGAAAAAGTCCCATTGATGTGATCGCTCATTTGGTAGAGCATGAGACTCATAATCTCATGGTCATGGGTTCGAGAGCCCTGTTGCTCAAAAGATTCCTGCATTGCAGGGGGTTGAACTAGGTGACCCTCGTGGTCCCAACTCTACAATTCTATGAATTGTTGTCACTGCTGCTGCTGCTTTCCTTTTGTGAACCTTTTCAGTGTTTATTATTATTATTATTAGTAGTATTTTATTTATTGCTTGTGTTTGTAAACTGCCTTGGAAAACATTTCCTTTTCAATGATAGGCTATAAAAAAGAGAAAAGTCCGGGGTCGTTCCTTCTGTGTCCAACTTATGCAAGGATATACGTATGTAGCACAGACCTGGAACTGTTTGCCTAGCCTTTTGTTGAGATAGGGGCATGGGATGTCTCCCCTGCACCCCCCAGGTGCCTCCTTTGCTCCTACTCCCGACTTGATCATGCTTGCAACTGATTTCCTGCTCAGGGTGGGCAGTGTGAAGAGTGACAAGGAGCTTGCATAAGTGCGAGATGAAAGGGAAATGAAGCAGCCTGGCTAAGATGTGTCCATCTCCTCTTCAAAGCAGCCAAACCACTTGCCAGCATGTTTCTGTTATCTGCAAGCTGCAGATAGAAGCTCTCAACAGCCTCCAGGGAAGATGTTGCTTGCCTTCAGCAGCCCAGTAGGGCTGTGGTTTGTAACCTCAGCAGTTGAGGCAGTTAGTGTGCGTGTGTGTTTTTCCCCTCCTTCTTAGCAAAGCCATTTTGATTACCAAATCCACGACTATTAGCGGCAGTGGTTTTGCACAGTTCCTTTCTCACCTGTCTCAGCTTGACCTAGCAGACTTTCACACCACAGGCTGTGTGGCTTTTAAAAATCTCACCCCACGGCTTTAAATGACTGCATTGGAGCTATTGCCTTATTTGTTTGCTTTTATATCCCACCTTGGTTGTCTCTTCCTTTCTATTTTATCTGAGTTAGGTCAGGAGATCTGGTTTGTTTGTTTTAATTCACTGTGCCTGTATCCCACCTGGTCTCCAAGGAGTTCAAGATAGTGTACATGGTTTGTATGCTTTGTGTCACACAAAACGCCCAGCCAAAGAAAAAGCACAGTAACACTGCATTCCTCTCTAGCACATGTGACCTTTTCTAGTCCTCTGGAGAATTCACAGTATAATGTTTTATTATAGTGCTTGGAAGGGTGTCATCTGCATGATCATGTTCATCCTTACATCTGTGTAAGATGTAGATCAGTGTTTTTGCAGGTGCATAGGACGGCGCTGTGGGTTAAACCACAGAGCCTAGGACTTGCCGATCAGAAGGTCGGCGGTTCGAATCCCTGTGACGGGGTGAGCTCCTGTTGCTTGGTCCCTGCTCCTGCCAACCTAGCAGTTTGAAAGCACCTCAAAGTGCAAGTAGATAAATAGGTACCACTCTGGCGGGAAGGTAAACGGCGTTTTTGTGCGCTGCTCTGGTTCGCCAGAAGCAGCTTAGTCATGCTGGCCACATGACCCGGAAGCTGTACGCTGGCTCCCTCGGCCAATAAAGCGAGATGAGTGCCACAACCCCAGAGTCGGCCACAACTGGACCTAATGGTCAGGGATCCCTTTACCTTTACCTTAAGACAGCAGCCTGGTGGTGAATCTGCAGCTGAGATTTTGAACCAGAGCAAAACAGAAAAATTGATAGCTATATATGAGAAAGAGGGTCTTGTTGTATTAAGTCTTCTAGATGTAGTTCTGGGCTGCAGTTCCCTTCATCCCTGAGTTTTTACAATGCCAATGGAGTCCAGTGACATCTGGAGGGCTACAGATCTGGAGGGCTACAGAATCTGTGGATCTGCACAAGCAGCCAGTTGTACCCACTGCAACATTACTTCACTTTGTGTTGGAGAAATTGGATGTTGGCTCAAGCCAGCTGGCTTTGCCCTGCTGCTCAAAGTGTAGTCTTATGCTTGGGAAGGCTAGAACAATTTGAGTCTCTATTTAGATATCTACACCGAGAGCAAAAGATTTGTGGCCTCCAAATCTTGCTGGACTACAGCTCCCATCATCGTTGACCATTGGGTATGTTGTCATTAGCTGATGGGAGTTGTAGTCCAGCAACATCTGAAGGGCCCCAAGTTCCCTGTCCCTGATGTAAAGGCTATTGCCACATCTTGTGGCAGTGAATTGCATAATAGAAATTATGGACTGAGTGAAGGAAGTTGCATCTTTTGGAGAGGAAGAAAATGGAGAGTTGGGTTAGAATGTTGTGCCCCATGGTATGTTGGATCTATGCAACAACTGGTTACTTTCCACTGTGGCATCCACTCCCAGCACACAGCAGAGATGCCCAAGTGTTGAAATATACCAATTCAGCTGGTATCTGCTTGCAAAAGTGTGCATGCCAGCAGTTTAATGGCAGGCATTCCGGGGAGGGAAGAGTTGAATGGCTCCATCTAGCTGGAAACTGTCCCATGCTTTTGGGAGGATGGGAGAGACCTCCTGCCAGGGACAGCCGAAGAGAAGCAAATTGAATGGCCTAGTATCTAAGCTTCCTTACTGTTTGGCGATCAGAGAGGTATGTGCATTCCCCATGTTCAAAGCAAAGCCAGCTTAGGTGTCATCATGACACCTTTAGAGATTAACAGATTTATTGTGGCAGAAGCTTTCCCAGACCGGAGCCCACTTCATCCGATGCCATCTGCAAAAACCCGTTTCCCGGCTGCAGGCATGAGTTTTAATGCACGCTTACAGCTGCTCATCGCACAGCTGGAGTGCCAGCACTGGGAAAAGCACACATTTCTGACCCAGATAGTTGCCAAGATAAGCTTTAGCAAAGTGAAGGCGCTGGTAAAGAAGAAGGGCTTCGAGTGGCTATGCAAAGAGCTCTTTGCTTTCCCCCACAGCTCTGAGTGCAATTTGCCTGCCCTCCTCTGCCTTCCATTGCACTTTGGCATTAGGAGAGAGCACTTCACGCTGACATAATTACATACATTGAGTAGTAGTATGCTTCTCGAAGATGGCTTTTTGGCTACTGATTTTTTTAGCAAGCAGTAAACCAAGGTCAGGTTTCTGGCTGAAACAGGGCTGCGTGCATGTTGCACATCTCGCAAGCATTGGTTTGGATATTGGGCACCAAATTGGGTGTCCTGAATAACAAAACCTCGATTTTTTCTCTCTCTCTTTTAAATAAAAAACCCCCACAAGCTCTAGCCCATAAGGCTGTGGCGGTGGACTTGAAAATGTGTAAGCAGTATCTGATTAAGGTACTGGTTAATATAGCAGGAGATGCCTTGGAAAATGCCCACTTCTTGGTCACGGCCCTACAACAATCTATAGGGCGTTGTGCTTCTAACAGGGTTTCCCCAATGACCTCAGTGATTGAACTGTTCTGCATAAGGGGCAGTGATCTTTCATGTCATCTGGTTCTTAGTTGTTCAGGGCTTTGTCAATAATTGGAATGTAAACGTGGCCCAGTAGTTTATCAGCAGACAGCACCCTTCCCTTGGGACAGGTGTAATGTGTGCACATCCAGACGCACCACTCAACATGCAGGCTGCAGGGTTCTGCAGCAGTGGCAGCTTTTGGATCCGTCTCAAGGGAAGCCACTTGTGAGGTTATCTATCTTGAGGCAGCCTTCTCCAGCAATAACAATGATCAGGCATGATGGGAGTTGTAGTCCAACAGCATCTGGAAGGCACCAAGTTGGGGGAAGGTTGATTTATTGAATTTATATACTGCCCTATACCCGGAGGTCTCAGGACGGTTCACAGAACAAAATCAAAATATAAAACCACAAAATATATAATCAAAATAAAACAACCCAATAACCCCCCAACCCCATTTTAAAAGGGCATAGGATGTCAGTCTGATCAACTAAAGGCTTGGTTAAAAAGGAACGTTTTTGCCTGGCGCCTAAAGGTTTATGATGAAGGTGCCAGGTGAACTTCCCTGGGGAGAGCATTCCACAGATGGGGAGCCACTGCAGAGAAGGCCCGTTCTCGTGTTGCCACCCTCTGGACCTCTCAAGGCACACAAAGAAGGGCCTCAGATGCTGGTTATCAGGGTCTGGGTAGGTTCATATGGAAAGAGGCAGTCCTTGAGGTATTGTTGTCCATTGCCCCATCTTTCCCAGTATTTTCTCCTCTGGCTAGCAGCTGTTCTACAGGGTACAGTGGTACCTCGGGTTAAGAACTTAATTCGTTCTGGAGGTCTGTTCTTAACCTGAAACTGTTCTTGACCTAAAGCACCACTTTAGCTAATGGGGCCTCCTGCTGCCGCTGTGGCGCTGCTGCACGATATCTGTTCTCATCCTGAAGCAAAGTTCTTAACCCGAGGTACTATTTTTGGGTTAGCAGAGTCTGTAACCTGAAGCGTATGTAACCTGAAGCATCTGTAACCCGAGGTACCACTGTATTAGCCTTAGGTTTCCCCTAGTCCTGCTACCTAAGATCTTTTTAACTGGAGCTGTCTCAGGTCTTCCTCATGAGTTTGTGGACTGTCCTTCCTTGGAGGTTTTTAAGCAGAGGTTGGATGGCCATCTGTCATGGATGCTTTCGCTGAGATTCCTGCATTGCAGGGGGTTGGACTAGATGACCCTCGGGTTTCTTCCAACACCATAGTTCTGTGATTTTATGATTCTGGGAATTGAACTCAGGTTCTTCTGTATGGAAAGCATTTGCTGTGCTACTAAACTATACTCCTTTCCCCGTTGGATTTTCAGAGAGTAAGACACTGGTGTCCTATATCGTTTACCATGCCCACTTCTGGCTCGCTGAAGTAGCAGAAATTATGCAAAAGCAGCGTATGTATGCCGCTGCATTATTTTTTTCATAAATCATACAAACTCAACAAAGTGTGCAGCTCCTTTATATATGTTCAGGTTTATTGTGGCAGAAGCTTTTATAAGACTAGAGCCTTCTCATCAGACACAGGTGTATACACATAATTCACAGATATTATAACGAGTATGGGTTGCTCGTGCGTAAGTTGCCGCCTCTCCAGGCTTTGTTGCCTTGGTAAACCTTTCAGTCTGGGCAGCCCTTCACTTCGTGGCTGCCTCAGTCGCTAGCAGAATCCGTCAGTGGGCGTTTCTTAAATCTTTTCCAACATAAAAGTTGTTTGACACCCAGTCTCCTCCTACTCTCTCTGCGCGGAAGTCTTCTGCGCAGGGTGGGCGTGGGTAGGCGGGGACCAGTGCTCTCCCCGGTGGTGTCCGGTGACGTGTCGTGGAGCCCTCTCGCCGATTCCCCCATCAGCCCCTCCTTATCCCTGGTGTAGCGCTGATTTGCTTCCCCATCTGCGGAACTGCCTCTCTCCCTGCTGGGCCCTTCTCCAGCATCATTTGAGAGCCTTCCCTCCGCCTCTAGCTCCAGTGTCAGTTCCCTGACAGATATGGAGAAAATGAGGGCGCAGGTGGCGCTGAGGGTTACATCACAGAGCCTAGGATTTGCTGATCAGAAGGTCGGCGGTTCGAATCCTGCCAACCTAGCAGTTCGAAAGCATGCAGTGCAAGTAGATAAATAGGTACCGCTCCGGCGGGAAGGTAAACGGTGTTTCCGTGTGTTGCTCTGGTTCTCCAGAAGCAGCTTAGTCATGCTGGCCACATGACCCGGAAGCTGTACGCCGGCTCCCTCGGCCAATAAAGCGAGATGAGCGCCGCAACCCCAGAGTCGTCCACTACCGGACCTAATGGTCAGGGGTCCCTTTACCTTTATGGAGAAAATCGGGGGGGGGGGACCAGTGATGCTCAAACACCATGAAATGCAAGGTGTACAGTCTGGGCTAAGGACTCTGGACATCTCTGTGCAACACTCAAGTGCATTTGAGATAAGCATAATGATTGTACAGAGAGGCAGCCCCTGGTAATAACACAAACTTCCTAGCTTTGCTGTTCTCATTTAATACCTGCTTATTTGCTGTGCAAAGTGTACAGCTGTTGATAACTTGTTAACCCATTCAGTGATCCTGCCGAAACCCCAATCGTCCTTTTTTTCTGGGTTATTGCTTTTGATGCCCGGTGAATAGCTTTTTCTTTTCTCTGGCTTCTCAGTCATAAATATTGCTAGATCTATTGCACCAGTGCCACTCTGCCCCTGGTTTTGTCCTGAATTTTTGGATTTATTCTTAATGCTGTACTTTATACTTCTAATTTTTTACTTGTAAATTGCCCAGAGAATTTTTTTGCTGTTGAGAAGTGTAGCAATGTTAGAAATAAATAAAACCACCTAGCCCTTCTGTTAAGTACTTGGGGGTGGGGATCTTGGTATGCTAGAAAACATTTCTGGGCTGGCCATCCGACATCCTTTAATTCAAGGATGGGAAACTTGGAAGCCACTGGCTTCAACCAGCATAGCCAGTGATCAGGGATGACGGGAGTTGTAATCCCCATCCCCATTTCAGTGGTCTGCATGTACTGAGCAAGAGCTCAACCACTGAGATTGGACCTCTTTGTTGCCTTTAGCCAGCGCCTTTTCTCTTGGGCATTTTTGTCACTCAGTCCTCATCACTCGGTCCCCGGTGATTCTCTGCGCTCATCTCTGTTTAGCAGGTTTGCTTTGATCTAGCTCACACATCAGTGTCCTTTGCTGTTTAGTCCTCAGGCCGACTCTGCTCATCATACTGTTGTGGGAAAGGCCAGTTGTGAGGTCTGTCTAAGAGTCCATCCTTTTCTGGTCTCCCCTTGTGAGAAGTGAAAGTCAGATTTCTGAAAGCGTTACGTTCTGTACTGAGCGTGCCGTTCCACGTCCCCCTTGGAGATCTGAAAATAGCTTGCAGGGGCTGTTTGATCTGCTAATATTTCACGTGGCTGCATTTTACAGCGCAGTTGCATGTACTGATGGCTGAGAGACACTGTTCCTGGCAACCCTGGGATAACTGTTTTTAGATTATTATTTTTCTGGTAATTTTTAAATTATTGACGTTTTGGCCACCCCAGACTCCTTGAAGGGGCAGGGTGTCAATTAAATAAATAAATAAGAAAGTAAATACTCTGAAGTCAAGTCCCTTTCAGCTCAATAAGGCTCACTCCTAGGGTAGTGTGACTAGGATCACGGCCATAAATAGGGCATTCTGAAGGGCTGGCTTCTGCCACATCAAACTGCCCAGTCAAACAGAGCTATGCCTTTGTGTCACAGAATTGTAGGCAAACATTTTGTGATGAGAGAGTCCTAAGGGCATGTGAGAGTGAAGCTGGAAATGCAGAATAGCCAGGTAGCCTAAGGTGGTTATTTAACTGTGTTAAAATTCACAGCGTCTGACTTTATAAAATTTTAAAATAAATGCCTAGCCCTCAGTGACCATTCTAATTCCTTTTGTGCTCATTCTATGATTCTGTGTCACTGACTAGAACACTGATAGGATTCCTACTGAGCAATTAGATGGAATTTCACCTGCAGGCTTTTTTTATCTTTACATAAAATGGCTGGAGACTGCTGCTGCTAAGACTTATGTTTTTTCTTTGCTTTTGCTATTGAATGAAAGCTAACAAACCTAAGGAAAATTTAGGTTAGGGGCATGGAATCTCCCTGAGGGGGTCATGTCGCCTTATAGCAGCAGCCCTGTTATGTAAGATCTTTTAGAAGCTCTATTTTCAGGCATATAGTTCCTGTCTTAAGAACTAGCTGCTTGAATTTGTCTGTATGCAGCGCAGGTCCGCTTACACCTGGGCTATTCTCTGAATAAACCTCAAGAGCTCTTACGGCCAACGAGCTGTTCCCTGCAATTAAATTCTAAATTGCTCTATGCTGCTTCAAGCATATTTTTGCTGATCTGTGTAACTTTTAGACATTCAATTCTCTCTCTTTCTCTCTCTCATAATTCATTGCGGTGCTGCTAACCCATTTTGTGTGTTTTGTTCTTTTCTAGTATCCGCAGATGAGCCAGGAGTCAGCTTCTCCGTTTGTTTTCATCTGTTCTAATGCCCAGGAGATGATTTTGAAGTTTCCCATCAAAGGCAAACACAAAATCTGTAAGCTCTACTTCTCTATTCCACATTGCAGGGCATTGGGGGGGGGGGGTTGGCTGGTTAATGCCCTTCTGGTGGTTCCCTTCTTTCAGGCTTTCCTGGCAGCAAATTATTGCATAAGGAGTGGTCGTCAGTAACATATATTTAGATTTAGATTTAGATTTAGATTTAGATTTAGATTTAGATTTAGATTTAGATTTAGATTTAGATTTAGATTTAGATTTATATCCTGCCCACTCTGGACAGCTGGGTTTTAGCTGGCCTGGTTTTAGCTGTTAACAATATGAGTTCGATAAACGATAGTTTATTGGACAGAACGAGTCACATGTTTTCCCTGCCCCTCCCCTCTTCTCCTTGAGCATCCCGCTTCAAATGGAGGCAGTGTTTAAATGAGCTTCCTTGTTCAGATGGCACAGGAAACTTTGGCTTAACAACCCACAATAGCCTGAGGGAAGGAGAGGGATCTATGGGGCATGTTTGGGCAATATTGGACCAAGATTGTTATGTCTGAACCAGGCCAATAGCTTCTCATAGTGGGTTTAGTGAGCTGGTAGCTAATCTGCAAAGAACAATGGAGTGTTGTATATTTTGGCCTGAGGGCCTGGGCGGCGTGTTTGTTGTGACTCAGGGCTTGGCAGGTTTTCTAGCTCCTGGCTGTGTCATGCTGAAAGGGCTTTGCAATGGCTTTGGTTTCGTCTAAAGGAATTTCCTCCAACCACTAGCTATTACTACCCAATTTAGCTTCTTTTGATTCTGTACCTACAACATCGTCTACAATTAAGGGCTGCCGCATATTTTTTATTCTAGTTTCCGACCCAGAGAGTTGTGATTAGGCGTAAAGAGAGATTATTTTAAGATTATAACATGTCGCAGGCTAGTCCCCTACCAGCACTGAGTGTGAGGAAGGGTAATGTGAATTACAAAAGCTGGCATAATTCTTTATCATTTTTAGTTGGTCCTAATAAATAGTGTCCTGGTTAGATTCCCCCCCCAACCCCATGGACCAACACAGCCCCTTCCCTGCCAATGTTAGTGAAATCCTTGAAAGCGTAGCTTAAAATCATTGCCATTCCCCACTGATGGTTAAACTGCTATTGTATCCCTGTAGTGTTTTGCCTCTTTCTCATTGTACATCCTTGGATATACAGAGTGTGAGCAAATTATTCACACTCCTGTGTTTACAGTAGAAACAGAGCTGAATATGTCTTTATGTGGGTTGGTTTCCTGGCTTATGCCACAGCATTGTTTCCCGCAAAGGGAGTGGGCCTCTTGCTGTTGGAACAGATTTGGCAGCTGTGGCTGCACAACCCTTAAGAGGGATGCACCTGGCAAGGAGGCTTACCTCAACGTATTTATTGGGGAGGGCTAGATGAGCTGGAATGGTGCTTTTGGGAACTTACTGTGAAATCAGCTTCCTGCAGGCACCAGGATTAAATGTTCAGAGCTTTTCGGTTTGGCTCTGATCATTTCTGGGTCTTGCCTGCCCTCCATCCCTGTGGATCCATCTGCATTCTAGAAAGGAGTTTGCTGTTGGAAGTCCTGCATGAATGGCATTAACCAAGAAGGCCAGTTTTGAAGGGTCCTTGGCAAAGTGCCCTCTCCTAATTTGGCTGGCTCCCATGGTAGGCGCTAGCAGTGCTCTAGATGGGTGTTTAAGCAGCTGGAAGCTGCTTTTTTAATTTCCCACAATGCCCCAGCATAGCATCACTCCGGGGCATTGTGGGAAATTATAATAACAGCTTCCAGGCGCCCAGTGCTTTTCTTTTGGGGGGGGGCGTGTACAGGACAGATGCCAGTGGTTGGTCTTGCTTGGGGCCCTAGCAGCTGCCCAAGGATCTGTGTGCTGGCACCAGGCCTGTCCATCAAACCGGCTCCTTTTCTGCTGCTTGCAGTAGACAGCCAAGCATGAGGTTGGGATCCCCCACCCCCACTTCTGTGAAGCAGAATGTGCACTTTTGCTGCCAGTACAAACCCTTCTCAAGTATGTCACAGTCTGTCCTTTCCAAAGCGACAGTTTCCTGCTCGAGGAGGGATCAGCCTAACAGACTGGAAGGAGATTGCCCGTGCCAGAGGCTGCCTGAGTCCCCTGCTCCCTCATCACTTTCCCTAGGCTTTCTCCCTCTTGGGAGGTTAGGCAACAGGAAAGCGTGTTGTTTGCAGGGAGAGGGTGGTGGTGGTTGGTCATTCTAGGCCATTCAAGAATAGTTGGTGATAAGGCTATGGGACAGAGAATCCTGTAGCTGTTATCACAGCAATGCCCTATTGTTTGTTTTACTGTGGCAGAGCTGCAATAGGAAAGAGTTCAATTCTACTTGGATATTAGCTCAAAAGTCGTTATTCTCATGGCATCCATTTGCCTAGCTGAATCATTCAGGCAACGTTAATGTTTCCTTGTTGCAGCATCCCTTGCCAGCCCAGTTCAGACAATGACTAACATTCAAATCTTCTCACATTTGGATATGATCCATCAGTTCAAGTCCGAATGAAATTAGCAAGGATTGAACAAGAGCTTGTGAACAGGCTCTCATGCAGCTCCTGTTTATCTGAAATGGATTTGCAAAAGCTGCACACCCCACCCCACCCTGTCACTCACACCCGCACATTGTGTTTGCTCCTTTTAAGCAGATGGGTTTGCAAACATGTTCTGCTGTGCTGCTCGGTTGCTTGTGAAAGGTACGTTTGCCCCAAGTGGGACTGCAGGTGAACGCATCACATGGGATGGCATTTGAGGAAAGCAGCAGTGGGGAAATGCATTTGCAAATACGATTTCATGTATCTAAGTAAAGAGCGTCCATCAAGAATTGGTATTGATGTGACTGGTTTGGTACTTCATGCCTAGGATCTGAGGTTCTCTGCCATAAAGCAGAGTTGTTGCTGAACCTCAAGCCAGGACCATAGGAAACAACCTTTATTTTTTGCCTCAGTATGAGTGTGCCTTGGAGGAAACCTTCATTTCTGTCAACAACATGGGCATGAAATGGTTGGTTGAGCATGAAGTGGCCATTCTGTGCCATCCATAAAGATCTTTTTGTTGCCTGTATTATAAAAGATGCAGGCACAATAGCAGACTTTTAAAGGGACTGGGGATGCTGCAAGTTCAAAATTCTGAATGCTACAGATATTTGAACAGTGCATACTAGTGGGCTAGTGGGTGTCCCAAGGTGCAGTATTAGGATATTTCTTTGATTTTTGCTTTGACATGCAGATGCGCAGTACAATCCATCGATTTCCTGCGCCTGAGACACAGGACTTTCATTCTCGGATATCTGTTGACCTTAACAGCTACCCATTTAAATTGGGGTTTACCAGGCTTTTCCACATCCCAGCTATCAATCTTGGGACCAACTTACATGTTCAGATTGGCTGTTTTGTGGAGGAAAATACTACTATATTTCTGCATACGTATGTCAAAGGAAAGGCCTTCCCTACTCAAACCTTTGTGTCCTTCCTCCACCCCAGGATACTTGGCTGGTTTTCTTTTTAGCTTTGAATTCTTGTACTTAAGCTGCTTTGAGTGTTATTTTTTAATGCAAAAAATAAAATAAAAATGAATCTCATGTTAAAAATCTAATCGCACACCTTGGAATTTTAACAACCTCAAAATCAAGGGTCTGGCATGTGTTCCTTTACCATTTTGGATGTTAACTTTTTAACCGAGAAAGGCTGGTGAGGTTTGGTGGTGAGTGCAAGGAAACGTTTGGTCAGGGGTAGCGAACCTCCAGCCGGCAACTCCTTTTGCCTGATTGGAATCGCTTTGGCATCATTATGCATGGACTCGCTCTCCTTTTCCCACGCTCAGCTGTGCGGTGTCCCGAACAGTATGAGCTATCAGTTTGTCTAGCTCAGCTTGTACAGTAGCATGTGCATGTCTGAGGGGTGCAGAGGCAGCTAATGAGTAACTGCTGGTTATGGATGAGTATGTCTCAAGTCAGCCGGTGCCCTGACCAAGCCGAGAGATCAATGCAGGCAGACTCCTCTTGACAAATGTTCCTGTCTAGAGCAATGGACGGCGAGCCAAGGGCAGCTGCTGCTTCAAACTGATTAAGGAGTACAAAATAGCATCAAACAAGAGGTGGCAGAGCGCATGCTTGAGCTGTAAAGACAAAGGATAGGGCTTGGGTGTAAAGGGCAGGGGCTTACTGACATGTCGCTGGGTCTCCCTCTCTCCTCCATCTTGTCCCCTCACTGTTAGAGTCAGTGACTCTGAGGTTGATCCAAGCCTGGCCAGGGAGCTCATATGAATTTGGAACTGATTCCATCTTGGCAACAGAAGCTGAATTGATCTGCTGTGCAGAGCTGCATACGATGGCAGTGCCATCTTGCTAGCAGTGGGGAGAGAGGAATTGCTAATCCTGTTTTAGCCAGTAATACTGTGGCTATTGATTCTGACAGCTCCGTCTGAGAGGATCTGAAGGGCTCAGGTGCTTCTTGGCTCGGGAGCCCTAATAGCTTGCGTTCACTATTCCCAGCAGTTCAAGGGCATGCCCCTGAGATGGTCTTGCTAGATTCCTATGCTCCTCTTGATCTCTCAGCCACCCACCACCTCCGCACTTCTAGTGCAAAGTGGGGAACTTCAGGCCCTAGGGGCCCATTTAAACCCTGCAGGGCTCTCTTTCTGGCCTTTGGAACTCAGGCCACATCTCTCACTGGTCTTGCTTCATGCCGTCATAGAATCATAGAATTGTAGAGTTGAAAAGGACCCTGAGGCTCATCTGGTCCAACCACCTGCTATGCTTGAATATGAAGCTGTCCCATACAGGGATTGAACCTTTCAACTTTGGTATTATCAGCACAATGCTCTAACCAACTGAGCTATCCAGGCAGACCCAGTTGGAATGTGTCCTTGAACCCTGATTGGATGGAGAGAGGGATGAGAATGTGTGTAGATGCTATAGCCTACTGTGCAAAGGTAAAATTTGCAGGTGTTGTTTCCCCCACTTTTGCCTCTGGCCCCAACCAGCCATGGGCAGGGCCCCCGAGAAGGTTGCACAGAAGGGAATGCAGCCCTCAAGATGAAAAGGTCCCAACTCCTGGTCAAGTGATGGGACAGGGTACAGTCCTGACCGGAAAAGATGTTGCTGTGCCTCTCCTTCCCTCTGCCTTGCAGGTGTGGATCCTCATAGAAAAGAGCAGCCACTACCGCATTTTGGAGTTGTAGGTTTCCATTGCTTTCTGCTTCCCATAGCTGGAATAGAGGTTTCATTGCTCTCTATTATAAGGTGGTTTCTTGACTGAAGTGCTCATGGTCTCTGAGATGGGACTATGTATCCAGGAACATGGATAAGTCTTACTAGGGTTTTCCCCCCCCTTAAGGTGATAACATTGCCTACACTTGATTCCCCACCCCTAAACCTGCCTCGAGGGCCTCTCACTAAGGATCGAGCTCAAAAGCCTGCTCTGCTGCAACAGGCTCCTGTTGTATCCTAAGTGTTATCTGTGGTGCAGAATTTTATCAGCAGCAGCAGCCTTTTCACCCTGTTCTTCAGCCGACAAAAGCAAATTTCACTGGCAGGGTCTGTCTACCTGTCCAGTTTGTCTTCCTCCCTTCATCCACGGATGTTACAGCCTTATGTGGCAGATTAGATGGTGGCTTTTCAAGAGCTTCCCAGTGACTTGGTCGCTGCACAATAACTCGAACCAGGGAGGTGACTTCAAAGCTTCCATTAATGTAAATAGGTTCTCATGATTGGAGTTGCCAAGGGAAAGAAGATGAGACGGAATTGCAGGATCACAGCACCTGGCGTGCTGGGCTTTCAGGCTGTTACCTGTGCCCTTAACTAACAGGTGTCGAAGCCTTTTGTCCTGAGAATGGCCATGCCTGTTTCCAGGATGCTCTACTGCCCTCTCTCTGCTCACGGCCCTGGATAAACTTGCCTGTCTTGCCCACGCCAGTCTTTCAAAATGTCTGGCAATTGTCCCTTAGCTTTCCTAGAGTGTACCAGCTGGCTTGTATCCACCCCTCAAACAGAGATTGCTTTCCTCTTTGCAGCTGCGACAGCAGAGGAGGTGGTGGCAGCAGCGCTAGCCGCACTCCCCTCTCCAATCCCCTGGATTTCTTTTTCTCTCCCCACCGCTCGACACAATGCTTCACAGCTCCTTGCATCACAGGGCAGCAGTGGTGGGGTTTGGAAATGCCTGGTTCCTGAAGCAGGAAAATTGGATGTGACAGCAGCACACTAACAGGGGGAGACCTTGTTGCCTTCAGCTGATTTACATTGCAAATAACCTTTAAAAACAAGTACTCATGAGACTCCTCCCCCCTCCTCCCCGCTTCTTTCCTTTTTTACAGGGAAGCTGGATTCAAAAATTCATCAGGGAGCCAAGAAGGGATTAATGAGGCAGAAAGCAGTGGTGTGAGCCGGAGGGCACAAACACCACCCACCCACCCCACTCCCAGGCAAGAGAAGAATGGATCTGAACCTGACCACTGAGGCTGCTGGAGCGGAGGCCCCAGATACGTGAAGAGGGCATTCTGAAAATGCAGGCACTGACAAAGACGGATCCACCAGCAAAGGAGGGATTGCTGTTAGCTTGCATAAATATTAACAATCAAAGAGAGAAATTGGGTGCCGAGTTGTCTGTGGCCAAAGAGCACTGTGGGGAGCCCTGGAGGAGGGGGCCGGGATTATGGGCTAGCAGTATCTCTTCCGCCTTTGGCTGGCTTCAGGCCAAGCCAGAGGTGCTTTCGGAATTGGCCCTGTGCCAGAGCTTCAAATCCTCACCCTATGCATTAAAGCTAAGCATCGTTTGGCTTTGTTTTCTTCTTGGCCTTGTTTCTTGCGGGGCACGGAACAGACGAGATCACTTTGCAGCGGGAGGGCTGGACCGTTAGAGCATCCTCCGGCTAACTGGCTTGGAGGAAGATGCGCTGTAGGTGCCTGAAGCACTGGCTTGGCATCAAGGCCTGCTGCAGTTATCTCCCACATGGGGCCAAAGGACCTGAGCTACGTTTCACCCTCTTATTAATTTCAAGCCTAAGGACAGGGCAAGGTGTCAGGGATGGAATGTGGTTGACTGCCAGCTCCTTGCTCTCTTGAGTTCTTGAACTAAACTGTCATCTTAAATCACCACTTCTGGTTTTTTATGTGACTGAACACACATAGACCACTAGCACTAGACAAGTAGACAGAGCTGAGTAACTGGTCCCTTCTCATCTGGGTGCATAAGTTTTAATCCTACATATTGCTGCCTGAATAAAATGGATGCCCCTCCACCCCGTTCTCTTTAATACTTTATATTTAGCAAAGTGCCGTTCTCCTTGCAAACTTGCTGTATCTCTGTTACGAATGGTTCTCTCTCCTGTGAATTGCCCCTATCTCTGCATTGTCTTGAGTGTCAAATGCTTGTATAGCTCAAGATTTTTCTGCATGGATATTGCTACCATTGCTCTCCTAAACAGATAGCTGGCACTGACCAAGAGCGTAATTTTTGGTACTTTTGGCTTGCAACAAAGGCTATTATGCTAGCCATTCTGGTAAAGTGTGCAGAGCTGGCCTTTGTTCCTATCATAGCTATGTGGCTGGCCTTATATCTGGGCACTTGGTTCTTCGCCTGCGTACCCTTATGGTGCCTCTGTTCCTGCTAATCTTACAGCCAGGGTGGGAAACTCCTCCTGGCCTCCCCATGTTTTCTTGAAGCCACACTCACCTGCCCCCACCTCCCACTTGCCTTCATATGCAACATCACATGTGGGGCAGGTAGCGATACAGCTGGATCCTGCAGTTGGACATCAGGGCTGAGCCCCCTGAACATCAGCTGATGGGCAGGGAGCTTGGCCCTGCTTGGTTTGTGTGTGCCAACAAGTAAGTCTGAGAGAAAGGACATAGCTCAGTGGTAGAGCACATGCTTTGTGTTCAGAAAGCCCCAGATTCAATCCTCTGCATCTTTATGTAGGGCTGGGAGGGACCCCTCAGTTTGAAACAGGAGAGCCTCTACCAGTCAGTGTTGTTTTACTCAGCCAGATGGAGCAATGGTCTGACCTCGGTATGAGGCAAGCTACTAATAGTGCTGTGTTCTCACTGTGCTGTATAGCACTCCAATTGATTTCTCTTTACCGCCTCCTGCTAACTGCCACCTTGGCATCTGTAAGCTCACTACACTGTGAAAGCCAAAATGTGTCTCCACAAAGGACTGTTAAAGTCACCCATTCCAATCTTCTCAGCGCAGCATTTCTGCCAAGGAGCTGTTTGGAGAACTTATCCCATCTTCTGCTTCCAAGTTGTCACATGCCTTTTTGCTTCCTCTTTGTCCATCCTCTTACAGTCATCTTGTTTTCAACCAAATATCTATAAGGCCCTCTTTCTAGCACTCCTCCCACTGACGTTTCTCCTTCCTCAAAGCTCCTGTTTGGCTTCTGGTGTCTTGCCCTGCAGTTCAAATCTTGACTTCCACCTGCTGAGCAGGTGTGGGCTAGAGCCATAAATGTCTGGAAATCCCCTGTGTGGGTGCATGCACTGTTGATACATGCAGAAATGTGTAGCCCTTTGTGCTAGTGAGACGGCCTAGCAGAAAATGCTCCTGCTAAGAGCCTTCAGGGCAGATGGGAAACTGCCTAGAACAAAGCATGATCTAGCACCTCCTTTTAGCAAAGGAGCGGATTACTTCTCTCTCTCCCTCCCTCCCTCCCGCCCCGTGTGTGTGTGTGTGTGTGTGTGTGTGTGTAAAAGGGATTATTTAACAGTTCGATTTCACTGCTGAATGATTCAGTCCTTGAGCAAGTGTGTAAAAAGAAAAAGCAACAACTCAAGTGTTTTTCATGAACATGTGTACCCATACACAAGCTGAGACTGAATTGTTTTTATTTAATGTCTACCCCACTTTTCTGTATAAAATGACCAAAACGGCTTAGTGCTGAAAAGGCAGTGCTAACAGGCAGCATTTTAAAAGCTAAAGCAAGAGACTAAAACAACCATTTTAAACAACACCAACTGAAATAAAAAGGTCTTCAGCAGCAGTCCGAAACTGGAAAGAAAGAGAACCCAGTGGATCTCTACTGTGACAGTTTTCTGTAATCTTGGTGCCAGCACTGAGAAGGCCCCGTCTCGTACCCATCCATCCAATCTCATGTATGGATGCTACAAGGAGCTGTGTCAGCTCCTACATGAGTCTTGCAGTAGCCTAGAAGCTGTCCCTCCATGGCAGGTCCCAAATCTTATTGGGCTTCTAGGGACAGCTGCAGATGAGGGTTGGCCCACCCATACGAGGCAAGGTGAGGAGACCGCATCCACTGGGTCAACAGATCCTGATACAGATATTTGTTCCCCCCTTGCTACTGATGTGCATCTTCACACTTCTTCCCTGGCCTGGCAGGGTGTGTGTGTGTGGCATCATTTTGGCTCTGCTGGAAATAGAATCTCTTTGGGAACCACATGGTTGGGATTCCTCTTTGCATTCTACCTCAAAGTTTCCTCCACCCCTTTCTCTGTCATATCACAGCCGAGCTGTACAGATCCTTCAAAGAACTAGGCTGACAAATCTTCACTCACAGGCAAATGAAGTACATAAAAAGTGAGGGGTAAACAAGGCGAAGTGGGAATTTCTCTGATCTTCCCTTCACTCCAGCACCACAACCCTGTCCCTCTGACAGAAAGTCAGTGCAAGAGGCACACACACTGCTAGCCTTGAGGGCTTGTCTCTTGGAAGGCAACATATCAGCTCTGCTCACCAGGAACGTCTATCTGAGTGCAATGCTTGGAGCCAGGAAACTGGAGTCGAAGGAGGAATCTGACCCTTTCTGGAGATGACTGGTGATAGATACATGTGCATTGCACTTATTGTTTTGGGATTTTCATTTCCCCCTCTTCCTTTCAAAGCTTTGATGAATCACTGTGAAATAATCATCTTTCTAACAAACCCTCCCCACCTCACATGCTGCAACCCTCGTACATATCCCTCCTTGCATAGCATAAATACTGTATTTATTTAATGTGTTCATATCCCTACCTTTTTCTCCAAGGAGCACATGGTTCTCCCTTTCCTCAATTAACACAACCAACAACACTGTAAGGTAGATTAGGCTTAGAGGCAGTGACTAGCCTTAGGTTACCCATTGAAATTCATAGCCAAACTTGATCTCTCGGGTCCTAGTTTGACACTAACCACTACACCACACTAGCTTTCTTTAGTTTAGTTTATTTTATTTAGACATCAGACCCAGGGGTGGGGAATTTTTTTCAGCTGAAAGACTGTGTTCTGGGCAGCTTCACAGGGGTGAGCAGAGACAGGGATGGAGCAATTAATTCACCCTTGTACAGCAGGCTAATTTCTACACACACACACACACACACACACACACACACACACACCTTTCTGTCCTCCATCTAGGCAAGCAAGTATTCAAGATTCCTTTCCAGGTAACAAAAGTGCTCAAGGAAGATGTGATGCAAGGGCAGTGAGTGGTACAGCCTGGAAGGAGAGAGAGTATCTGTGCAGAGACAGTGGCCTGAGAAAGGGGAGGAGGGCAACCAAAATGGTCAAAGGCCTGGAAACGATGCCTTATGAGGAACGGCTAAGGGAGCTGGGCATGTTTAGCCTGGAGAAGAGGAGGTTAAGGGGTGATATGATAGCCATGTTCAAATATATAAAAGGATGTCACATAGAGGAGGGAGAAAGGTGGTTTTCTGCTGCTCCAGAGAAGCGGACACGGAGCAATGGATCCAAACTACAAGAAAGAAGATTCCACCTAAACATTAGGAAGAACTTCCTGACAGTAAGAGCTGTTCGACAGTGGAATTTGCTGCCAAGGAGTGTGGTGGAGTCTCCTTCTTTGGAGGTCTTTAAGCAGATGCTTGACAACCATATGTCAGGAGTGCTCTGATGGCGTTTCCTGCTTGGCAGGGGGTTGGACTCGATGGCCCTTGTGGTCTCTTCCAACTCTATGATTCTATGATTCTAGATGTGCTGCAGTATAATCAGCCTCTTGGTTGCAGGTTTTACCTTGTTTCTTGGCTTTTTCCCAAATAGTGCTTCTTTTCCCAGAGACAAGTCAGGACACCAGTGATGACCTCAGATGTAAGAGGGAACAGCTAGAGATGGAATGCCCAAATGCACAGTCTCCAGTACCTTCAACTGTAAATTACTTTTGAGATGATCCCTTGTGTCATCTGCTTCTTCCTGCGGTGAACTAGCCATCTCATGTTAATTTGGAACTTTATGCATCCTACCCACTATACCTCAGTTGGCATGCGATGCCAAACCATGGTCTGGCATTACATGAGCATGCCTTGCGTCTGAAGAACCCTTGCTCCTCTCACCTGCTATGATTCTGTCCCCGTTTCAGGGTAAACCAGAGTTTCCCATCACACCTGAACTGGTAAACTATGGTTGTGAATTGGGGCTCTTGATTCAGTTATGCTTCTGAACTTTAACTTGGAGGACAAACCATTGTTTTCTGCTTTGGTGACTGTGAAAAACTCTGGTTTTGTTGTGAAGCAGGAAGGAAGGATGCCAGCAGGGAGAGGAAGCACACAATCCCAAGGCTTGTTCGTGTAATACTGAAACATGGCTTGGTGTCATATGTGACTTGAGCTAATCATGCAGTATTACTGGGATGTTGGTGGAGAAAATTGGCATTTGGGTACAGTTTCAGTTGTAGCAGAAAACGCATGTATCTGTGTGCTTAGAAGCTCCATATCAGGAACAAAATCTATTTGGCAGTTGAAGGCTGCTTCAGACTATCAAGAAAGACAGAAAGAATCACAAAGGAGGTGCCAGAAGGAGAAAAGCCACCTCAGAAAATGTTTCCAGGGAAAACAGTCTGCTTGGATTCTCTAGGACTTAAATTACAGCATGGAACAGGGTTGTGTTGTATATTTTTTAAACTAGCAAAGAAGAACAGGAGCCAAAGAAGAGCTCATTCTCTTGCGCTGTTAACATCTTCTGAAACAGAATTCCTGAGAATGGAAAATAGATTTACTGCAATGATAAATGGATAAAGCCCCATGGGCAGAATAAATTCCTTAGCAAAGTATTTTCACAGCTGGGAACTGAAACATAGGTATCTCTGCCTATCTTTCCATGGTGGGGATCAGGAGACGGACTACATAATATATAATGGTTTGAAAGGCCAGCCTAATCAAGAGAAGGAGAATCAAAAGGGTTCCACAACAGCCAGGAAAATTAATTAATTATCAGTTTAGTACCTTTTATAGGCAATATTCTAAGTTTTAAGCTATAGGATTGCCTATTATGGTGCTGTGGCCCATCCTCTTTCCTGACTGC